TGGTGCAGCTCTTGAGGGACGTGTGCGTAAGTCCCCTTCTTCAACAAGAAGGACTCTCCGCCTTTCCCTCTTGCTTCCAGCACAGTATCGCTGTACATCATCTTCAAGGCCCAGCCGCAAGAATAAACCCTCATAGTTTCAATGTACGAAGCTTTAAGGAGCGGACATTTAGTTATCAGTCCGTCGATATCCATGTCTTCCAGCACCGGCGGCACCCAGACTGCAGATCCAAACTCGTTCTTTGGCTGCACGGCTCTGACATATGGCGCAATCTCCTCACGAACTTGTTCCAAGAGCACAGGATCCCGGTAAAGCTCAAAGAGCATCCACGGGATGAGGGGGTTGGAATTCGCAACCGAAGCCCACAGCAGCGCCAGGTCAAAGGACGCACGGCCGTCGAGTGACACTCCATGCTCTCTGAACAGCGCAATCCTGCTTTTGACCAGTTGGCTGACATTGTCCAGATTCTGCCACTTGGGGTCGACCTCTTCGCCGTCCATGTGCTTGTCCATGGCTTCATTGAACTCGTACAGAAATGCTAGAAGACGTCTCCTTGCCAGCTTTCCGCGCTGAAGACGCGGCCAGGGAATCCAAGAGGGAACGCTCATAGCCAGCAGAACAAAAGCCTCGTTGTATATCCACATCCATTTCCACAGCTCGGGAAAGTTTTCGACAAAATCAGTGCCGTAGATGGCTGGAATCGCTGTTGTTGCGACATAATTCCTCGTCAGTTCCATCAGGTCGACTTGAGTGGTGGGAACCCCTTTGTCGCCCTCCTCAATAACATCAACATCCGCCATCTTCTCCCATTCGGTTTGATCCATAGGATTCGGGCTGAATGTGACATAACTATTGATAGTTTGCTTCACTTGCGATAGAGCCCCCCCAGTGATCTCGCTGAGACCCGGCTCAGAGCTAAGATACTTGTATAGAGCCAGAGCTTCGGGAAATATCTTGTTGTAAATGGCTGCGTCTTTCTTGCTCACTCCAAAAGTAGATCCAAGGAGGCGATTTGCCAGCATTTGCTCCTCAGAAGCCGGGCGATGCAGGTTCAAGAGTGCCGCAGCCAGCGAAGGCTTGTAGATGAAGTGGTGCATCTTGCCGCCCATTTTCAGAGAAAAGATGCCGTCTGTGAATCGATTCCGCATGCTGGCCAGAAAGCCGCCTTGAGCCATGGAAAACGCATGTCCGAGAAACGGAAGCCAGTAGCTCGGCGATGCAGGAATCTTGTGTTTGCCACTTGCGTCCACTGTTGTAGAGCTTCCGGTGATGGCTTTTGTTGTGAGAATAAGGACGAGAAAAGTAGCAATGACGGCGACAGCAATAGACTGCTGTCTCTCGTCCAGCCTCGAAGTGAGGTCGCTCCAAAGAGCCTCGACAGATGCCATTGTGCAGGCCTGAAGAGATAAAATCAACGAAATTGGCAAATCAGGTCGCCTGCGCTGAATGATTGAAATTGATGCGTGAGGGGTTTCGGATTTCGATCTTGAGCATTGCGTCTCTTGTCTCGATATATATACAGAGCACACTCGTGCCTCAATTTGTTGGCGCTAGGACTTCAGTCGCAGCTGTTGGTCAAAAACAACGAATGAATGAATGAATTATGGACCGAAAAATAACCAAGTCGCCATGCAAAACCCGAAGACCTTGTAGAAGCACCGATCACGAATGAGAACTAGCCATCCATGCCGCAGTTCCGAGGCGATTGTTTGCGGCGGGATTTTTTCTCCAGGACTTCGGACATGGACCAGCAGAGAAGCGAACTTGATGATGCCAGCGAGTAGATTTTCTCTCTTTTGCTCTACGCCGGCTATAATTAGGCGCAGGGGTATCGGAAGGCTTCGCGACCCCACCTAGCCATCAGATCTCAGCTATCAGCTTACACAGAAACTCGGTAGCTTCTGTCCACCATCAATTCGGCGTTCTTTTGTTCGGTGCCGAAACCCATGGCCGGCAGATTGCTAGGCGGGATTACTTTACAAGACTAGGCTATAGCCTCAACTCTAGAGATCGGCATGCAATAGTTGCCTATCGAGGATGAATACGAGTAGTTTTATTCAATCTGGAGAGGCTATAAACTGCGAATAAACGTCATGTGCTTATTACTACCTGGTTCTCGGTAAAAAGCAAAGAGGCATCACATGCGCCACAAGCAGGCAGCGATGCTTTCAGACATGGGTTCGGGACATGAATCATCAACAAAGACGAAGCCCCCATGTTTGCATCCTCAAAACAACCAAATACAGCGACATGAGTCAAACTCATACATCATGAAAGAAGCATAGGTGATTGAAATCTAGCTAAACAATTCAAAAAGTGCTTGCGGCAACATGTAAGAGATGTCTACTCTAGATCGCTCGTTTTTCCAACTCCAACATTCATCGCTACAAAAACCATATCCTAATATCATCTCTCATCTAAACCTCTTTCTGTTTAGTCGCCTTCCCAGCCGCCAACAGCTTTGCTTTCGCTCTACTCTCCTCAACCTCCTTATTTATTCTCAAAATCTCCGCCCTTGCACCCTCCCAGCGCCTTCTCCTCCCAGGAAACAACCTCCAAAAGGCCGAAGTAAACGGACCGTCCATAACCATCTTCCAAAGCTTCCTCTCTCGCCACCAAAACATCCATCCTTTCCATCCCCAGCCCACATTCTCCTCCACGCCCGTACCAGCTGTTTTATCTGCCCAAGAGAGCCATTCACTCGGAGGTACTGCCGTGGGAATCACAGCTCCGCTCTGTGCGAGAGTACATATCCTCTTCTCTTGCTTGTCTACCCATTGCTGCATCGTCGATCGTGGTGGGAGCGAGGCTTTTCCCGACCAGACTTGCGCGATGCACATGCTGGCAAGATCAGCAAGGCAAAACGCACCAGTGACGAACCAGACACAACCGAGGAAGGCCAACGAATCAGGTGCACTCATGGAGAAGACGTTTTGGTACAGCCGTGGATATGGCCGGTTCTTCGAGCCAGGAGCCTGCAGCCAGCTAGCTGAAGGCATAGAAGACGGATCATATGCCTTCTCCAGCAGGCTGAAATCGTTCTTGTATCCCGTACAGCAGATGACTGTGTCTGCTTCAATGACTTCGCCAGAGGTCAACTCTATCTGTCGACCTCCAAGAAACCTTCGAATGCCTTTAATCGACAACACCGCCTTGGATCGAAGGTTGGCAATGAGCGTGTCGGAAATCACCGGGTTGGCCACCAGAACCGAGAGGGCTGGGTCAAGTCCCCAAGCTGGATCGACCTTTCCAAATGCGTCGGTCATGATTTGTCGAGCGGTCTTGTTGTATAGTCTCTCGGCAAACTTGGGAAATAGTCTGTTGAGGATTCCTTGCAGGTTGATGAACCTGTACGATATGCGGCTTGTGGCTGCTACCCCGTCGAGGAGCCGAGGCATCTTTCAAAGGTCAGTCAGTTTCCGTTCATCATATATAGCAATTTTCAGATGAGGTGAAAGAACGAAAGAAAAGCATTTGCATACAATAACGGCGCCATGGTGGTGCGATATCGAAATTTCGGATGCATGGCCAACAAGTGCATCTGCAATATCACTTCCCGTGTTTCCAAGCCCCACGACGACAACTCGCTGCCCAGAAAAGACTTCAGGTCTGGATTTTGTTAGATCCTCTGGGCGTGCTCAAGCAGCTCGATAATGCCAGCGAGCTCACCTTTTAAATGCTTTCGAGTGAATTAATCGACCAGTAAACAGCTCAGCGCCTTCAAGCACAGGCATCATAGGTCTGATGTGAGGACCCGTAGCCATAATGATCTTATCAAACCACTCGCTCGGCCGATTTTCAAAGTCGAGCCTCCATCTTCCGCCGTCTTCTTCTCTGGACACCGACCTAACACTCGCAGAAAGGCAGAAATGGGGTCTGAGGTCGAAGTGTTCCACGTAGGCTTCCAAATAGCTCTCCACCTCTTTTGCAGTGCAGAATGTCGAGGTTCCTTATCATTGTGTCGTCAATGTCAGCTGCCAGTTTTGCAAAGTACGTCTTCAAGGACGTGAGTAAAAGGCCAAAGCGCGGCGCTTACCAGCGGGAAAAGGAAAATCGGTAAAGGATGCCTATTTTGAACTAGGTCAGTAAGAGAGCATCTATTCATTTAGCAAACGGTGATCAAGACTCACTCGATCAATTGACACGTTGACCGTAGTTGCTGAAATGGAAATGGGAGCAGTTAGAACAATAGCCAAGCACAATATCGTGAACCATAACAAAGGGAAGGATGATGCATATCAAGGTCAGAATCACATCGCCATGGCCACTCACACTCTATGATGCTCAGCATCTCTTCATCTTCTGTAAAGTGCCACAAGCCGCCGACATAATTGCTGCGTTCAAATCCAACCACGTCGAAGCCCTCTTCCAGCAAGTTCTTGACAGCCACGATCCCCATAGCCCCTGTTCAGCCGTTAGCTCTCCTCGTATCTCTCTTGCATCCCAAACAGAATTGATAAAGTCAAGGAATTCGTACTAGAGCATAAACTGATGCTGATGGAATACTGCAAAGGCGAAAGACATACCTAGGCCAACCACGGCAACTCTCTGTCGCCGTGATTCCATATCCTCCATGGCCATTGTCCGTCGTCGAGCAAGCACGCTATAAGAAAAGCCACGCTATCCGCCCAGCAACAGTTAAATCAATAGAAATTGGAGAGAAGATGCAGACGCCAGACACTTGGGCCTAGTCTCGGCAACAGCGGTTTCAGCTGCTGGGCCGCAAGCTGAGAGACGCCAACTGAGGGGGGGTTTCATGGCTAAGACCCGAATACGCATGCACCCACTCTGGCAGATCAATCGGCAGTTTACTTCGCCATACCATGTGAAGTCCGATTTATCGTATCATCGTTTCTGTTTCATACTCAAGCTCTGTCCTCATATTACAGGGTCTCTGCTAAATTGGGCTCTCAACGACAAAACGCCAACTCTGTCTGTAAGTTATAACAGCTACCAACATCTCGGCCCTCGCTATAGCTTCGGCATATTCTGTAGCGACACGGGAAAATCAATAAAATCTCACGATGGAGCTCGCATTTACTGACATCTAAGCATCTTTCATTGGCACAAAGCAGCCTACTCAAATTCAAGCAGGCGAGCATCCTAATTCTTGATTTTTTACAAACAAATCGAGCCAATTCTTTGTTTGACATCTACACGTTCATCAAACTCGAACCGTCTTATCATCCAGCCACAATTATCATCCATGAATACCCGCACTCAAGCATAGGCAAATGCTCAATTCCAAACCATTACCCGAATACCCTCCAATCCGTGAAAATCTCAATGTTGCGCAATTATAAAATAGGGCCATCATGGGCATGCATTAGGCCAGAATCTTAGCCGGGAGATCTTCCATGTCATCCATATCGCTGTCTGAATAAGGCTCCGCCGGCAGAGCAGCAACGCCGTTTTCCTCCTTTCTGCCCTTGGTCGCCATGAATTTCTTAGGAATCATTATCTGGGGAGTCTGCGCTTCCTCGAGATTTGACTCTTCGCCCTCATCAGCAGCAGCTAAGGGTATAGCCGGTTCACTGTCTTCGATAGGGTCCTGGATGTCAAGAGTCGCCTTTTTCGACTTGCCCTTCCTAGAGTATGTCTTCTTCGGCTTTGGCGTGGCCTTTGGAGGTGAAGGCGGTGGCGCTTCCATCAAAGCTGGATCAATAGTTATGTCAGCCTTGTTGTTTTCAGCTGCCCCAGTCTCCTCTGCACCAGAATCCTCGACAAACTCGGCACTTTTCGGTGCTGGTGCTGGTGCTGGTGCTGGTGCTGGCCTGCTGCGGAAACGAAGCTGCTGAAGAATTTCCTTCTCTCGCTCATCATCATCGTAGCCACTGCCATTGATTTCAGGCAGGCCTCCCGTTCGGTTATATTCATTGATAATGTGCTGAGCAACGTCTAGTACTGTTAAAGTTTCCCAGCCGGGGACTGTTTGTTTCAGACGGTCCCAGAGCAATACCTGAGTGTGAAGTCTCCATTGGCCTCGGAACTTCTTATCAAGGAGTTTTGCCCAAGGAATATCAGAGTCTAAAAGCACAGAGGCCTGTTGGATCGCCAACACCAAACGATATTGCTCTTCTTCATGCATACTTGCGAGCTGTTGACGAGCTGAATCAAGCTGAGAAGAAATATCCTCCTCCGAAACAGGTATCTCAGCAGGTGCAGGCTCTGGGCGCTTTTTCTTCTCGGAGGCGGGCTTCTTCTCGGAGGTAGACTTCTTGTCCTTCTTTTTCCCAGAAAGGCGATTCTGCATTGCCTTCCACTTTGTGATGCATTGCAGCCGGCTTCGCTTTCTTTCCATATTCTTGCTGATATCTTGCCAGTCGATTATGTCCTCAATGTTTTTCTTGTATATGGGATTGTTGGGGTGTTCTTTTCGGAATTCTTCAATAGCCTCCACTGCCTCTTCGACAACTTGTGCCAGCAGCTGCTCTTCTTCTTCGCTCCACACATCCTTACGTTGGTACGGGCCGCACACAATGTAATTGCGATACCGATCTCGGACATCTTCGGGATGGCGGTTGATGAGACCAGCAATTTCGGACCATTTGTTTCCATGCACGGCAATGAGCTGAGAGAGCTCTTCATCTTGTTCCGGTGTCCATGTTCCTCGTGCAACAAAATTATGGTACTTTTTGCGAGCAACGTTGATGACCTTTTGTCTCTTGCGGTCAGGGCACACTTCAAAGAGGCGGTACCAGAGGCGTGCATGAGCATCACCGGCTGTTGTACCTCCAGGTGCTTGGATCATCTATTTTTTAATACAGGGTAAGTGATCTGATTCCAACCAGCAAAGCCAGTTTTGAAGAACATGGTGGGCACGGTGCAACTGGGCCTTACCTGATTGACTTCAGCTTGTGTCATTCCATATTCGTCGCGGAACTGTTCAATGACGCGGGCAATGCCATCGAATTCGGCTTCCGTGAATCGTCCTTGCGTGTAATTTCCCGAATCGCCTGTTCTCGCCGGTGGCTCTTCATATTCTGCGTTTTCAGCATCCTCTTCCAAGGGCTGCAAGGGCTGCTGCGTCTGTTTCTTAGTAGCACGCTTAGCTCGTGCCCTTGGCTTTGGTGTGTTGGCGGAGGGGGACGGCAGCTCTCCAAGTGCTTGACGGTTCTTCTTGGAAGGCGTCTCCGTTTTGGTCTCCTGCACAAGCAACACGGGTTTCACCTTTGTTCTTGTAGATCGCCGTCGTGCTGGGCTTTCAGTTGGCTGCTCCTCTGCTTGAGCAGAATCTCCAGAGCCATTGACACCGGTTGCATTCTGATCAAGGTTCGCTTCGTTTGCCCCATTGCTCGCTTCATGTTGGCTACTCTTATGCTCTCTCCATACCTCTCGCGCGATGTTGAGCATTTCCTCGTCATCACGATCATCTACGTGGTCACCAGATGTTTCTCGCTGGTCATTTGAGGCTTCTTCTTGCGGAAGCGAATCAATTGCCATGGGAGCCATGGGGGCAACTTGAGCTCGGAAAGGTACACTATTCTCCCTCGAGCGAGTTTCCTCTCCCGTCTGGCTGCGACGGCGAGCACGGGCAACGCTGGGCGACAATTGCTCATCGGCATCGGCGACATCATCCTCAATTGCTGTGCCGAGTTGGGGACTGGCGGCATTGTTTCTGGCATCCAGGTTCTCGGTCTCGTCTTGGGTCTGCTCAACAACAGCCGGGTGAGCATCTTCAATGCCCTTTCTCTTCTTGTTTCGCTTGCCGTCCACGGAGTCGGACCCTTTCCGTTTCTTCTTCTTCTTTTGAGAGGCTTGGGCCTGCACCAAATCCAGTGCATCCATCTCGGTGGTGGCATCTTCAAGCGCATCGGGTCCTCGTTCGTCATCTTCGGCGGCGGGAGCACTCGATGTGTATTGATTTATGTCGGTAGGCTGATCCTCAGCGAGTTCGGTATGCTGCAAAGACTTTCTCTTCGACTTCTTGCGCTTTGAGGTGGCGGCATTGGGATGGTCGTCATCGGCTGCGATATCAGACGTCCTGCTTTTCTTCTTGCTAGATTTGGCGCGTTTCGCGATATCACTAGATGGAGGAAACTCAGGCTCCTCGTACTTTAAGGATTGGGGTGCCCCCGAAGAAAACGGGAGCTGTGACGCGTTGCTGTCAAACATTTCGAGATCGCCAAAGTCGACATCGACGTCGGCAGTTTCGCCTTCGTCGGGGTAGTTGTCGACATCTTCCATCTCCTCGACACGAGCGTCATCAATCTCAGCCATTGAGGCAGTGTATGCCTGGCCTCCCAGATCCTGGTCGTCTTCGGCTTCCTGGGCAGATTCGAGTTGCTCGCGTTTTGCTGGGTCGAGCTGTGAGGTCGCTTCCGATTGAGTCGACTCAGGTGCACTTGAGCCCATGAAATAGCGCAATTTGGAAGCCAGCTGGAAATCGGGCCATTTGGCGTTGGCAGGCATGAGAGCAGCAGCGAGTGGCGAGGAGATGAAGCTTCGCTGTGCTTGTCCCTGTCCTTGGCCGTCTCGACTTGCTCCGAAAATATTATGGGACTTGGAATTTCGAGGGATGTGACTGGCCTTGGCCCAACCGCGATGTTTGTGCCTTGTCGGTGAGGCAGCTTAACAGTTGGTACACGAGCGCGTAGCTTTCGCGTTAGGGACGCCAAGGTCGCAGACGATAGTGCGCTGACCAGTCAAATTGCAGTGGGGTGATTATGAGTCCAAACAGCCCTACCCTGTAACTACCCTAGACCACACCGGAAATTTGAAATAGGAGGCTGGAAGCGCACGTCAAGGAACCAAAAACACATAAATTCGTTGATGCACAATAAAACATTCATAAAATCTTCCCATTCGACCTATTTCCAGAACAAGTGTTCAGCCATGTTGTCTTTCTTTGTCCCGCACTGCATGATGCACAATCAAGAGTCTGTACGTTGCCCGGCTAAATGGGGGGCTGCTCAAGCATGAATTAGAAATAGAGGTATAAACAGATATGTATTATAAGGAAAAGGGTATTATCTAAAACTAGGTAATACAATCAACTAAATCGAAAAGTAATGCCAAATATGTATGGTACAATGAATTCTGAAATGACAAATGAAATATTGTAGAGTCTTCCAGCTCTGACCAGACCATCAAGGTAGGTCGCCCGCCATCTCTCTTTGTGTCTAAACTCAAGGGAATTGCTTGCCGTTGTATGGCCATCTTGTGTAAACGCAACGAACTCCAAAGCCCGTTTCATCCATTATCGTCGCCTTTGTTGTATTCGAACCGTCGTCGGATACATATCTCATCAAATGCTGCTTTTATTCGTACCAATTGATTTTGTGCATGAATTGTTAATAACTGCTGCCGTTTTGCTTAGTCGTCCTTTTCTTCCGGCTGCTTCAATTTGACCGTGATGCCCTTGCGGGTTGTCTGAATGTCATATTCACCACCAAGGACCAGATCCTTGGCGACGAGCTCTCGGGTACGACCCAAGCTCTCAATATCAGAGATTCTCTGAATGGTATCTTCCAGGTGCTTCCGGAATCGAGGCTCGGCGCATATCTCCTTGAAGGCGAGGTGCATCGGGACACTGCTTGCGCGAACATCTGCCTGGCTGGTGACAGTGAAGAGATTCAGACTATCGAGATCTCGGATGAAGTCGGCTCGGGTCATGAGCTCCTGGGCGATGTGGAAAGGGAATGTTGGCAACAGGTGACCCACGACTGGATCGTATGTTTTGGCCATCTCTTCCTCTTTGTCAACAAGCGCCAGGGCAAGAACCATAGCAGCCGCCTAAATGGGGGTATCGACCATGTTAGCTGGGTGGAAGCTTTAAGTGAAGGTGAGTGTTGGGATGCAATGATATAGATATAAGACGTACCGCCCATTTCTGCTGATCCATCACGTCGTCATCCATCTCTGAGCCAAGAATCCAGCATTGGTTGAGAAACCACTTCTTCTCGGTGTCTTTGATCTGTTCGCACGTGCGAATCATATCCTTGCTCTTTGCCACACGGTTCAAAAAGCTTAAGCGGCCGCCGATGCGATCGTATACGTCTTCGAGCTCGTGGTGGTTAGGAATCTCCTTGAAATATCGCATACGGTATTTCCGCAGGGCATTGATGGCTTGGGACTTGGGTAAATCAGTAACGGCAAGAACTTCCATGCGAGTGGCTAGGAGCTTCAGCCGCTCGTATACCCAGTAATCGTCAGTATTGAAGACCATCGTGACCAGGTTTGCGGCTGCCCACTGTTCAGCGCGCTGTTGGAAAAGCTCAATCAGGTCTCTGCCTTCTTCGTTGTTCCTTAGAAGATGCAGCTGGTTCACAATGACGACGAGTGGCTTCCTTCTTTTTTGGACGAGCAGCATAGCCACCTTTTCTAGCTTGTTCAAGGCTCGTTCGATATCAAGCAGAGCAGTGGTCTCACGAGGACCTCGTTCGCTGAAGTAGCCTCCAATGTAGTCCTCATGGAACTCATAGTCGAGACATTTTCCCAGACGTATTCTTACGATTTCAGTGTCGGCATGAGCTTCAAACATGGCCACGCCATCACCGTCAGTCTTACGCATAGCTTCGATGAGCATGCTGCTTTTGCCAGTTCCCTTTTCTCCCATAAAGAGATAGTAGTGGCCGGATTCTCTACCGTCAATGATTCTGTCCACATGCTCCTGTTCAGGGCGTTGGACCCAGTGCTCATCCTCGGGAGCCACTGTTCGAGGCACTTCCTTTGCGGTTGTCGCCAGGTCGAGGACTGGGTCACCTGGTTCGAATGCGCGCGTCATTTTCTTCAAGACGAGCATTTTGTAGCTCTTATGGTAAATGTAGCCGGCAGCAGCAAATCCGAAGGCAAGGACGAAGATGGAGGCAAATGTGGTGGCGGCACTTTCGCCCATCTTCTTGAGTAGAGATTCCTTGCCCGCATCATGACGACTATGAGAGGATGACTGTGAGAACGATGACTGTGGGAATCCCTCGTCTATGAATTGTGTTAGTTTGATTGAAATTGGGCACTGTATCTTGTACTATTTAGACATTTCGCAGCGACTCCAAGACAAGACTACATATGTACACAAAGCCACGGACTGCTCGGCTACGAGACTGCCGATTGCACACAAACTTGAGACGCGTGATGGTAGTACAACATGTGCGTTTTCAAACAGCCATTGGCCCCAATTGCAGCCATGAAACAGTATGAGCAACTCCCAAGTTCCAAGAAGAGACGTCGAGATGAGTACAAAGCGAATAGTACGAATAGTATCAGTAAACGAACGTACCGGCGTGTCGTCGAGGTGCCTGAGTGGAAAACCGGGGCCTGCATAACTGTCGCGCGCTGCTGCGCCCCAGCCTGCTGGGGATGGACGGGGGGATATGCCGAGTCAAGCGGCTGCTTTGGCGTAGCATCGTGTTTCTAGATGAGTCGTTGGCAGATGGAGATTGAAACTACAACAGCCAGACAAAAGACTTTGAGGTTTGAGGGACGCTCGGGAGTGTAGATGAACTACCTTGTACCTTAGTCCAATTAGCAGCGCTTGGCAATCCCGATTACATCTGCTGCTGTGTTACCTGGACACGAATCTTTCAGTTGCCATGCCCCTGACGTCTCTTGGCGCAAAAGGGGCTTCAGCACCCACAGCTCGCTGGAATTGCTGGCTCTGGCACCGGCGGCCTCCCAGTGGGCATATTATTGGTGCGTGGCCCCCAGCCTAAGCTTTGTGGCGCGTTGCATTTTACGCATCAATTAAATCCCTTGCTTGGCCCTGTAGATTCGCGTGTCATCAAATAGCAGGGGTCAATTGTCTTGATCGATTGATTAATACTAGTGGGATTCCATGCATGCTGCGGATAGTATATTAGTGGTATATATTGATTAATGCAGCTATACAGATACGATACTGCCATACATCACACGTTCTGCTGTCTTCGTACATATCCTGCGATGCTTCTGTGTCTACTACATGTGCCTATATTTCTCTCAGGGCTCGTAACGCGTCTTTGTCTCCCACTCAGCAAGCAGCCGCGTCATCAACCGAACCCACAACTTTGTAAGCAATTTTGTAAACAAAGACCAAAATCCAAAAAGAGGGGCCTCAGCTCGGCCCTCCACACGTGACGGGCCAGCTCGATGCATGCAGTTGCGGCCGTGCGTGATGTGGGCTGGCACTTGCCTGGTGGGAGAGATGGAGTCGATCTCGGGGCTCCAGCTCTAGATCGGACATCTAGACTTTGGCCTCGATCTTCGACCAGGGATAGTTACAAGTAACAATGCTTATCAGAGCCTCTAAAACAGGCCAATTGAGTCTCCAGCCATGCCTCTTTTTATATACCGAATTTGTATATTCCATCTTCCCTCCTCGTGATCGTGATGAAGGAATATCAAGCTCCTGCTCTCTGTCTTGTCCGTCTCTCAACTCAGATGCCCACTTAGACTCCCATGCCAGAAGTGAGCGTCATCTGAACGGTCCGCCGCCAAACGCGTTTGCCTTGCCTACTGGCACATGCCCCCTCTTGGTCTCCCTCGAGGCTGGGGGGATTTTTTGCTTTCTACCTAACCTTCTTCACCTCCCAGTACTCTATCCTAACCATCTGCAACACTACTATTTCAATCTTGTTTTTTTTCCCCACCCCTTGAACACCTCTACATCATCCTTGTTTCAGCATAGTATTTTTCTTCTTTTTTTTCTCCTCTATATTCTCACTCCTTCGTTACATTTGATTTCCCTGTTACTCGAAAACTCACAATTCATTGACTTCTAATACCGCTCATCGGAATGCCACTCACTCCCCAGGAGTACCTGGACTGGTGGCTCACCACAGCTCTTGATCCTCTCAAAGAACTTGTCGACAAGGAGGCATTAGGATGCGGTCCTCAGCATGTTGGTTTTGAGCAGACAGTTCAAAAAAGACAGCGAGGTTTTGATAATGATGTCGACCTGCGAGAGGCTCTGCGGCTGCACGTCAAGCGGCTTTCCTCTCACCAGACTCCTGAAGCCTCCTGCAACCCAAGAAACAAACTGAGAGAGCTTACTTTGAACGTCTTCAAGAAACCCGAGGATGGGGGCCTAGTTCCCGACAAAGTACTCGATGGCCTCGCTGATCTCAACTCTGTCGAGCTTCGGCGCCGTCGCCTCGTGGCTGAGACTCCTCTAATTTTCAGAGCCGGCCATCCTGCTTATGGATCAGCGGCAATGGTTCAAGAGCTGAATAGAAAGGCTACGGAAAAGTTTAACCAGTTTTACATGGGCTTCAGAGCATCCGTAAGTATCTCCCAAAAGCTGCACACTTGTTCTACCGCTAACCTCCTCTCAGATGGTTGTTGAAGAGTTGAAGCAAGCGAAAGTCACCAGAAAGCCTTCTGTGGAGATTATGGCAGTTGTGAACGCTCTCTTCCCAGCTCATGACCTTTTGAAAAACTCAGACGACATTAGTCTTGTTCCATGCACTGACTCTCTTCTCGGCTGCATCCGTTTCACGGTTCTCTACCATCTCTTGGGAGACAACCCGTCGAGCGACAAACAGCAAGCCATGATACAAGAGAAGCTGTTTATCTGGTGCAGTCTGCCAAGGTATGAAGCGGCGTACAAAGCATTCGCTCAATACATTGAGGAGTTCAAGACAATCGAGTCTCTCTGCTTCAATGTCCTCCAGCTAGCAGAGAAAGAATCTTCTCGCCGAAGATCAGGATCAGGACCTCGCCGTCCTTCCTTTACCCCCAATTCCGTGGTCATGGTCAAATCCATCCTCAAAGGTTCTCCCCAGAGCCCCCGTGAGGTGGAAAGTCTGACTGGTTCTGGAAGATCTAATTCGCCAGAATTCGTGGCATCGGCGCCCCCTGTCCCCAATCCTTTGCTGAAAGGTCTCCCGGGACGAGAAGTCTCTCCTTCTAAAACCGACGGAGCGGCATTTGCTTTTGACCATTCATCTGCACCAAAGTTGAGAGTCAAAAACACTTCCACTCTGTCAAAAACCGCTTTTGACCAACATCCTCTCGCAAAAGACTTGAATCTTAATTCGAGAGAAAAGGCCCAGCTCGGACTTCTCCTCCCCAAGCAGAAAAATCGCCGCAAGTTTTAGTATGATGCTGGCGGCGAAACTGTTGTCAAAGGAGAAAAGGTTGATGTCAAGACTTTTGACCCCAGCAAAAAGTTGAAAAAGAAGCTGCCGATGAAGCAAAAGTCGTTGCCAACGAGACAGAAATCATTGCCGGCCAAGCAGAAATTGTTGGAGACAAAGCAAAAGCTATTGCCAGCCAAGAAGAAGCAGTTGCAGGCGAGAAAGAAGAGAGAAGATGATGACATCCCGCCGGTTCCCCCCACACCAGACATTCCTGAGTCTATGAAGGCAACAATCACAAGAACCAGTCTCAAGCTCCTTCAACGAATGCGGTCGCATCCAGAAATGCAAAAGTTTCCTCAGATTGCCTCAGTTCTTGCTGGTGAGAAAGCCAAGTCGACCACCAAGCTGGCGAAGCCGCCGCCTACTCGCCCCAAAGCCGCTCAAGGTCAAGTTCGAGATAGCTTCTATCTCCGTACGGCATCTTTCCCCGAAGCAAGTATTCGAAACAGCCAACACAGCCTGTATAGTCAGCGAGCCCCTTCTACGCAGTCAGTAGACAGAGCCAGCGCCATGAGAAAGCAAGATAGTGCTGCCGCTCAAGAACAAGCATCACTAAGCAAACCTGAAGTCAGATACAGCATGTGCCAACCACGGCTATCTAACATGGAATACACAAGACTCTATCTTATAGAGGAGGCCAACGCCAAAAAGGAAAAGCGCCCTTGCGAACTTCCTCCTCCTAGGAAAGTTTGGCTCTGGGGACCTCGTTGGGAAGAGTTTCTCGTATTGCCTAAGCTTCCAGCAGCCATCAGACGTCGGTTTTCCCTCGGTACTGGCGATGAAGAGAAGAAGCCCATGGATTTGGAGCCACTTGGCCGAGGACATGATTCGGATGCCGACTCCGTGGAGACTGTCAAGGGAAAGACATCGGTGTCTGCTAAACCGCCTCGGCTGTCTTTGAATCTTGACAATATGACTTCCTCTCTGATGCACTTGGTACCTGTGGAGTCGGGAAAGGCAAACCAGATTTTAGGCAGGCCGCAGGCCCATAAAGTTGTGCAGGCTTCTGGTCAGGAAAGCCCAGTCTTGGGCCATTTCGCTCCTGAATATGTGAGGCAAAGCTGGTGAGTTGAGCCTACAAGTTTGAATTCCCGCCAAGTTGAAATAACATACTGATATGAGAAATAGCGTATCGACGACTCACAAGGCTGAGAATCCGCCTCACACATCAACAGTGTCCTCCGTATCTACTGGCGTAAGTGAAGAAGAAGAAGACTTGTACTCTGACGACCGACATCTATGGCCGCCCCCAATCTGTCAACGAGGCGCGTGGCTTGATCCCGTTTCTCCCACAACTGAAGAAGTCACAGAATCCGTGCGTGACGAAGGAGACAGCATTGAGAACACGACACCGCAGCTTAGTGATGACACTTTTGAAACATCGTCCATCTATTCGGATGATAGTGCTAGAACTGCCGTCTTTCTCGGCAACAACGGCAGCGGCAAGGAAATTGAGGATGCTCCCAAAACTCCCCAGACAGCTCGCCACCACCCTGAGCAGCTTAAGATGCCAAATGAAGCATCACCTGTGCGCCCTGGTATTCCATTTAGCTACAGCTGTGCCTCGTTCAACTCAGTGTCTTCCGATCGCTCCTCGCTGACGCATTTCCCCATCTCAGCTGAACAAAGATCAAGGGCCACCACAGAAGAGATGGTGCAGGGTATCCTTAGCCAGTCCGGCGGCCGCCTCTGTGTTGAAGATGCCCGCCAAGTTCAGTTGGTGGAGAGGAAGCAGAGCACCGAGATTCAAGCCTCGTCGGCTGATATTTGGAACACCAACGAGTACATGGAACCAGAGCTTCAGCCAGCCCCCCTTAATCTATCCAAGAAGCCCTCTATCGCGAAGCCAAAGCATGGTTTACATGAACCACCTTTGAAGTCCAAGACGAATCCCGATATTCTGGAAAGCATCCAGCCGTTCATATATACAGGCAAGGGGAGCAACTTGGTGAGCGGAGCTCCTCAGAAGTTCCATGAGAAAATCAAGTCGTACGAATCTGGCTTTGTGCCTCTGCCTGGATCTCTTCTTTATGAGGCTGATAAGAATACGGACATTATTCGAATCCCGCGAAATCTATCTGATAGCTCCAACTCAAGCAGTTCTAGTTCGGCCGTTATCACTCCATCCAAGCCTGGTCCAAGCAAACAAACAAGCTACGCAGCCCAGCGCGCGGAACCAAGATCTGCTCGCTCTATGAATGAACTATATGGTGCTGCTTCACTAAGCAATGGCTCTCCGTCTCAGCAACGAAAACAACCCTCTCCTACTCTGAGCGATTTGGACGAGTTCTTCGGGGTCGGTCCTTATGAAAAGGCGTTCTTGGAAAAGCATCCAGAGGCGGCAAAACCGTTTGTCCTTCCTCCCAAGCTCCCACAGTTGCCGGTAGCACCAGTCTTTACGGCACCTGCACAGGCTACACTGATGCTTCGCCGACGAGACAAGAACACACAGCAACACCGCACTCCTCCAGTGCCAGATAGGGGCGCACAGCAACTCCAGACTCCTCCACTGCCAGACAGAGGCACACAACAAATCCAGACTCCTCCAATGTCAGGCGGAGGCACACAACGGCTCCATACTCCTCTACAGCCTACAGTCCAAAGAGTCATGGAGAGAAAGCCAAACACCTCGGTGAACGTGAGCAGCTTCGCGTTACACAGAGCTCAAGGTAACAAGGCGACCATCCTGCCAGTAGTTGAGGGAAGAAGCCGTGCGAACACGACTAATACCAGAGGCCGCGACGTTGCTACCGGCCCAGACCGCAATTACGAGGATAGCATATCCGAAGAGCACATGCCACAGCAGACGTTTCTCGACGACGTTCACCGGTTCTCTCTTCAGCGGTACGATGTCAGCGCTCGTCGACCTTCGACTGCCCATGCTCGCCCCAACACCCTGTTTGAGCAAGCTGCGCCGATCTCGCCCGTGGAGAATGTCCCTTCTGAGGGCAAGAAGATCTCTAACACGCCTGCTACAACGCTGGGAAATCTCTTCCGACGGCGTAATCGGAATTGTAAGGAGAATTAATAATTGCCCTTGAGCACTAATCTTTGTATGTATGAGTAAACTCAACACAATTCAGCCATGAGAGCTGCTAAGGAATGGGATATGGGGATATGGGAATGGAAATAAGGAAATCATATTGCGCGCAACAGGCTAGATAGCCAGATAATTCGATTTAGGTAGTTTGAAAAAAGGTGCTTTGAAATTTACAACTTTGTGAGTCTATAGTGAAGGGTGATGAATTTGTTTGCGTGCTTGTTGGCGCCTTTGCTTTCAAACCCTACAAACTCAAAAGACTGGCCGACGCGGTCTGGAGAAGATTGATCTACAAAGTTCGCCCACCTATACTAAAACACGTCGTTGGTTGATCTTCTCAGCTCCAATTTTCAACGTTGCCACCAAACTCGTACGATAACACAACTTGACTCGCGATCTTAATTACCTGCCATCGGCTTCGTCTTGGCAAAGTCCCCTCGGAAGAGAGACTGCCGAGAAAGAAATTATCAAATGCCTCTTTTCATATACAGCACTGGCGATCCAGCGACATAACCCGACAAGGAAGAAAAAATAAGCCATAACCTCATTCGCTAAACTTCGTCCCGGAACCCTGGTCGAAAGAGCAGCGGGAACTGGCTCTAACAGGCATCCCGGACCATCCACACCTCAAGCGAGAAGGCGTAACGAAGACAAAGAGCAGGGCTACGGAAGGGGGGAGAGGAAATACACAGAGAGAGAGAGAGAAAGGAAAAAAATAGGGACCCTTGAACGGGACGTTTCGCTTGGCCCGCCGGGTTGGAACGGAAGCATCTCGGGCATTGCTTTCTCGCGGCCCGTCGCAAGAAGATGCGCGCTCCGGGCCAAGAGATGAGGTAATGTTACAGCACACTACCTACCACTGCGGAGCCTCGAGCCTGACTTGTCAAGTGTGTCTAGCATCGCAGCTGTAGCCGTACAATGAGCAGCGTCCGGTATGTCTTAGTCGGAGGGGGGGGGAACAGGCCACCAGAATCCGCGTGCTGGGTGTGGTGTTTCAGAACCGAATCGCCCGCCCAATGCCCATCACCAAGCAACCACATCGTTCGACCCAAGAAAGCGGGGGAAGAAGAGCAAAATGGCCCTTCAACTTGCCTTGCAGGCGTGGGTAAGGACGGTGATTTGCCAGATGCAGGATTTCGGTTTACCCCCCCTCCCCTCCTCTCTCTTTGCTTCCCATCTGCCATCCTTTTTTTTCTCCAACACACACACGAGAGCCGAACCCCGGACACACGCGGAGAGCGAAACTGAGACATGGCTTTGATAGCGGCCCAATATGTGTGGCAGCGAAGCCTTGTGTATCGTCGAATCCCCAGCCGCACCGCTGGAGGGGGGAGGGGGGTTGGCAGAGCAGAGACACGCACGAGCACAGCACGCCAGCGCTACGGCATGCATGGAATCATCATGGCCACGCACGAAATACGATCCGATTACATGGCGGAGGTGTTGGTCTGCTGGGCTCCAGGATTGGGGGTCAGTCAGCCAGCCATCAACCACCAAAGCCCAAAGCCGGGCCAGGCCAAACCGGCATCATGGCCAGCGGCAAAAGAGGACTGTTTCATTCCCTCCTCTCACTCCCCCACTTTCCGGATGGTGGGCTAAGGCACAATCTCACAGGCACACCCTTTTCCCGTTTGGCCTTATTTCTTCTAATCGTCTCTGCTTGGTCTTTTCGGAGTCCAGGCATACCGCGTGCATATGGGGGATGTAATTCAATGACAGATGCAAATGACCCCACGTTGTGCTCCATATCTAACTTTGTTTTACCTGCTTAAAAGTCTGGGGAAGAAGAAATCGATGTGGTAATTCTCCGAGCAGCCCGACCTGCAAAAGTTGCCTTGTAACGTAAGGGAATGCAAATCAAATCTGTCGATTTTCTCAAAAGGCAACATGCGGCACACGATACACGTACGTAATAAATCGCACACACAGCGAATTTGTCGTTCCATGTCCCGCCTCGGCCTGCATGCTCTGCCGCGCCAGACCCTTTGATCAGCCTCACCAAAAAAGACACGCCAGCAGAGAAAAAGATCATCCGCTAAGACGGAGACTAGGCAATGACAGATGGGAAAATCAGCGCTCAGCCCGTGCCGAAGGGGGCTGCCTGCGTCGGCCAAGTCGAAAACAGAGATGGATAGACGGCTCGGAGAATGCACAAGGAGAAAAAAAAAAAGAGAAAATCTCCCTTCCATACGGTACGACGTGGAATGGATATCACGGCTCCTTGCTTCTGCCCTGACCGGTTCGGCAAGGAGTTCCCGATCTTTGGCCCCCCGCCCCCAGCTTTTCATTCTTGACAAATTTCGAGGCTGAAACAGCCCTTGAGAACAATATCGAGGTGGTTACACAGCATCTTCCCACTCACCTGCCAAGCCATGTAAAAAAAAATCTTCTCCCTGCAATCTGTACAGTACCTACCGATGTGAGCTGTAAGGGATCCATGACCGTACATTAGATGCTATGGAGAAAAAAAGATGACGCCCACAAAAAACTTCAGCTCCGGTCTTAGTGCCAGAACCCCCAAAAATCCCACACGGCAACATGGCATCTGCTGGACGCTGATATCGACGTCATCTCGAACAAGAATAGAAGCTCCTCGGCGGCAAGATACCGCTATTTTCTTTCTTCTCGGTCACGCCTCGCCTCTTCGTTGGAGGGACAGCGGATCTGATGTTGGGGTGGGGAGTGGGTTCATGTCCCATCGAATAAAGCCCATGACCATAATCTGTCTTGTCTTGGTCCCTTGGAAAAACCAAACACTGTACTGTATTGTATTTTTCCTTTAGCAGTGCTACTCTACTTCGGAGGTACAGACAGGTACGAGTCATAACTGCTAGCAAAAGAGTGAGACTGCGAGGGAGGAGAAAAAAAGAAAAAAGACGGGAGAGGCTCGGCCAACGAAATGTCCTGAAACCGCCGCCCTACCACCTGAGCTTCACAGCCCGTGATTTTTAGTGCCTTGTCCATCGTCATGAGCATGAACGAACCGCGCTGGCTTGATACATCCTCCTCACCGCATTTTTTTCACCTACACTTTTTTTTTCATCCTCTCTCTCTCTGTGCTCTGTGTGGTCAGTCACCATGACAGGCGTGTCCCGATGCTGGCCTAGTTTCGCTCCCACGTATCATGTCATGCGAGATGAAGCAAAACAACTAACAAGATGTTCTGTCGAGATTAGATTGGACTGTCTCGTTCCTCCCTGCACGCGATGACGTGCTGCGATGCCATCCATCCGCTTATTCGGCTTCTTGAGATGTGATGAACGGATTGGCTTGGGCTTGGCATCAGAATCACGAGTAAGGGCCGCCTCATGGGAACGAAGCAACTCCCTTGCGAGTCCTGAATCAGGGCATGGCATACAATGGTCCGCCACGATCTAGAGCCTCGCTTTAGCGTGCGATTGCGGACTTTGCCGCATAGTATTTGAATACTACTTATTTTTTTATATGCGTTTTTTTGGAGAACGTCGTAGGATAATACCCATTGGGAAAGGCATCATCGGGGAAAGGGAGGGGAGAAACAAGGTCATACGACGAGGGCAAGCATGAAAAATAAAGTGCAAAGACAGTCTTGGTATGTAGGTCTTTTTGTCGGAGGATAAGTTCCTTGAAGGATCAATGGCAGTCGTTCAATACGATGTCTTCCCATGGCCTCGGGCTATTAGACGGTCCGCGGCTCCATGTCAGTAGGGCGTCGACGCAGGCATCGATGTAATGTATGTCTCAAGGTTTAAACAATGGTCTGCTTGGCAGATGTGAAGGCATGGTTTGCTGACCACGTACGTCTACATGTACAGTATATGGGCATATAAGCGCTATGCCAGCAACCTTTCAGAGCAACATTGAAAACATGTCCTGTAACAGTACCATACGGTACAGGGGAGACTTCACATGCCGTCGCCCCGGATGTGTCAGGGCTTTTTGACAAAGCTGAGAGATGATAGCCGTTCGTGAAGGATGCAATCAGCCATCGTCCAGAATATAGTAGATACCTGCAGCTTGCCGTATGCGAACGCATCCAGCAATGTACACTCCCACTCCCAGGATCCGTAGACTCAAAATCACCAGGTTGCAAGTGCCTTGCTGAGCAACCTTGAACAAGCCCTTTAGCCTACCACTCCCAACGCATGGCATTGGCCGAGCCGTCAAAGTGCTGGTGTAAGCGCCAGCCTAGCCGGTTTGCTTGCTCCTTTGAAGCTATGGCCGCCACGCCGTTCCCCGAACTTGTGCTTGTTTGATTGATTTTCTTGCCACCGAAGATTTGGCATGGGCTGAGCGGTGCGGCGCGAGGGCGGTCCGCATGGTGTTTATCCGCCGTTCAAACTCAAATATCGTCGGTGAGTCTAGACTGGCCGCTCAATTGCCTAAAGGAGGAGACATTGGGCTCTGCTGGGCAGCTGGGCTTGAGATTGACTTTTTACCCCAAAATCTATCATTACGAGGATTAGAGAAAAAAGGAAGGCTGTGAGATTCCTCTGCCCCCACCAGCTACTGTATATGGATGGATGGATGATGGGGCTACCATTTGACTATGTACTGCCTCATGAACAGTGAGTGGGCAGCTGGAATCGAAAAACTGCGCCCGAGTTGATCAATCACAACGGCGTGGCCACTACTGGACGCCGCCATTATGCTACTCGCAATGCTAAGGGGGTTGTAAATTGCGAATTCGTCTCTTTTTCACTCTTCATCTAAGCATCGTCTGGTAATAGCGCTGGCGCATAACGCTGCCCCTAGCAAGTCACATGAATGCCAGCACTCTGCGGTCACTCGATTACCGCTTCTCTGGAAGGGGAACAAGACAGCAGACGGATCCTCTTAGCAGAGTTAGACCCAGAGGCTAGATGCCACCATCGGGTGCCAAGGTCAGGGTTGTTACTAGCGATTGCTAAAAATCCAAGAGCCCGGCGTGGAGGATCAAGTCCAGTTCTTTTTTCGTGTCCATGTACCCCCAGGTAAATCTCCGTACCAAAGCCCACTTAGCCGCCTGGGACAATGTCACGTATTCAAATCCCAATTGCCAGCCTCATGGCAGGCCTAAGCCTATTGAAGTGCAAGGGCGGTCTTTCGGCATTGTTTTCTGGGGCCAGATGGTTACACAGGGGACGGAGGGTTCAATGCTGCTTTGTGCCATCGAAGCCGTGTCTCGAAATGTTTCCTCGAATGCGGGGAGGTTCAAGAATGCCTGTGTCACCATACAAAGTCCTATAGCGTCCTTTGGCCACAACTGATTTCCGAGAGAGACCAAGGTGAAATGTGAGTATGCGGCTCTCGGCATGTGAGAGTGTGAGTGTGTCTTGGGCGAGAAGGAGAAAAGACAGAGCGAAAGCCCGGCATACAGCTGGCTAGTGGAAGGATCTGTCTAGCCCACACTAATCGACTGAAGCAGTGCTCCGTATCTCCAGCCAAAGTGTTCTTGTTTAGCTTCATTTTATCAGTGGCAAGTTGAAAAGGGGAACATCGTGTCAAGGGAGCGTCGATCATTAGGCCTTGTGCGTGTTGAAATTAGCACTGCTGGTAACGCTAGTTTGAGTATCTCTTCATGAGTGGAGATTCAAAGCATGCTAATGTCCGTTAGTGATCACTTAGTATATCGCATGGCAGCATATGCGTACGAGTAGTGTACAAGAGTCGAGGCCAAAAAAAGCCCGAGTCGTCTTCTCCTAATCTGGCCACTCGAAGTGCCCCTCCATCGTGGCTTTTTCAAGGGCATTGAGTCGGGATGAGAGTTGACATACATAGACAGTACTTACAGGTCTATTTACCCGTAGGGCAATATCGGGGAATCGTCTCATGTGACCGTAAGAAGCTCGTCTGAGAGGTGGATTCGGCATAGCCAAGACTTCACGGAAAAGGTATCCATTCCGGGAAGCCCGACGAGGAGTCAACAGTCCAGTATCATGTTATGTACGAAGGAGTTCGGAGCAGCATACTAGATAAGCACGCAACACTCCTACATACGAGTACAGTACATACCACAAGGTTGTATGGGATGTGATTGATAACCTGTCACTTGCGCTCCGTCGTATTGACACTTACCTGTATGTTGCGGCTTTCGTTTCAACATCTGTCTTTGCTTTTCCATTACTCCCCAACAACATACTACGGCTGGTAGGCGGCAGCTGTCCACCTCATGGCGTGACATATCCTTCGTTGCCAGCGTTGCTGACCTTGGAGCTCGGTAATGCAGCCGTCTACTGGTCGAGCGAGCGTGGAGAATAGAGGCTAAATCTGTAAGCTGGGGAGAGAGTTGGCGTCAAAGACTGGCTGGTTCCATTGGGCGTGCCGGAATTCGTTGCAGCCAGGTCTTATTAGTAACTAGTACGAAGTAGCAGCACCTTGCGAGTTTCGAGGCTCTCTCCGTGGGATTAGTACGGAGTACCCAGGCCACAGCACTAACACGATCACCGTCAGGAAGCTGATGACTGCGGGGACCAGATGATGGCTTCAGCCGTTAGCGTCTCTACACGGTCCGTTGCGCCCGCTTCTAAACAGTCGCTAGTTAAACTCGCTGGTGAATCTTGAGGCACGGTTCACTTGGGGAGGGGCGTCGTTTAGTCGTCCGGAGAAGTTGTCTCAGCCGTGCCGTTTGGGATGAGCGGCTTATACGGATGGATTGCGGACGCGTGGCAACAACTCCCAATGGCAAGATGTTTCAAAGGTTCTCTGACCTCGAATTGCTCGTAGGAAATGCTGTCTCTCTACTGAAGCAGCGAGAGGAGGATATCGACCAGTCCCGTACAACACATAGCGAGCAGCGTCGGGCCGGTGTGATATTGCTGCCAACAGCACGATGTTATCCACAGGTATTCCGTGTTAAATACGTACGAATAGTAAGCTCTTCCATCGTGTTGGGCCGTGTCCTCAGCTCAGTTACCAATAAGAGAAGGCTCCTCTTCCTCCTCCCAGCGTCCAGATTAGTATACAGTATAAGTCCATGTAGTCGTGGAGACGGCTGTTATCGTGCCTGGATTGGACCGGGGTCTGGGCTGCCGTCTTTTAAACGGAGAAACCGTATTCGCTGCTTCTCTGGACAGGGTTCAGCATTGGCCAATCTCCTCGTTTGCAGAACAGCTGCGACTTCCGAGCGGCCAACACAGATCAGTCAGCCCCACGCCTCGTGGGGGTTTTGCTCGGAGCGTACCGTCTTGATTTAGCACAAGCAGCACCAGGTCTCCTGATGGCCCTTCTCCGCTCGATCTCGTCTGCTAGCTTTGAATGGGCACAGGCGTGCGTACTGTAGGATTTGCCTGTATGTCCGAGTACAGTGGGCTCATGGGGCTTTGTTGAGGCGGCTGATAAGATAATGATCTACAGACTGGAGTGTTCCTCGTGGAAGCTAGCGTGGACCGGGGCGGCTCAGCTCAGGGGCTCCAGTCTGGGACGGATCGTGACCTCGTACGGATACGCTCTCATTTCGTGCACGGTAGTTTTGATCACGCTCGAGGACAGGCTGTGACGTGGTGTACATGTACATATGTACGCGGTGCGTAAGAGTCGATGGAATCACGACCTAGGTAGATAGCGCATGTCAGTGTTGGCAAAGTTCGCTGTAGATGTACGAGTAGTTCAAATCTCCAGAAGAATAATCAGAAAATCCAAGACACTGGTAACACAGCCTCCAGGCACGGGTACAGCATGTTGCTGATATTGCATTTCGGGGAGGCTGCTTGATCATCATCCCGCATGCGCCGCACTTGCTGGACCTCCAGGTACAAATTAAACCAAATCACTAACCTTTCCGCCTGCGCGATGCAACGCTCTGATCGTCCTGGACCCTCTGGTTGGCGGCAACGAGATGCTCCGTAGCCCGGAGACCAGCCTGTTTATGACTTTGGCCCGGCGGTAATATGAGAGGGGAGAGACCCAACTTACTGGGCCCCTGGCTAGCGCCTATGGGAGAGAGGCCACGATGATAGTGTCAACTGCTGGGCGTACATGTCTGTACAGAGCGATTGCAGGCGCTGGAACGAGCAGATTATGTTCTTATCATATCAGCCAACTAGGCCAATTAGCAACGCGGGAGTTGTCTCGTATGAGCAAAGGCGTGTAATGTGAGTAGATATGCGACTACATGCGTGTACGTGTATGAGTGCTCGAAGATGGCCTTGTAACTGGAGGATGTTACGAGGATTGGTGGACCTACGAGAATCTCTTGGACCAACTGCTACAGGCACGACACTGAGCTTTATCAAATGGAAGGCGAGCTGCTGCTGCTGCTGCCACATAAACCCGAGCTGTACCTACATGTACGGAGGAGACAGTACTAATGTACGGATTTACGGTTAAGTTCAATGCCCTGAAGCGCCAAATCTCGTGCTAATGCTGCCTTTCCTGCAGTTGCTTCTGAGGTACCTACGAGTTAGCAGGTACACAGAGTACCTGGCACAGTATGTAGATTCTTCCAATGCGTGAGTCCTCGTACTGTACTGACAGCAACTCAGACAGCCCGAGGCAGTGACTGAGCAGCCTTGTGAAAACTCCAATCATCAATTCCCAAATCCTTCCGAGGAGGGGCTTCCCTTTGACCTCGACAATCCCAAGAATGAAGGGAATAAACGACGAGACGGCCATGATTCTTTCTCGTCACTCATCACGCCACGACCTGCCAGGGATTGCCGCCGATTACTGGGTCGCTATTGAATTAGCTCCGAGCTCTAGAGGAGCTGTCTAGTGCCATGACAGGGCACTCAATTCAGCCATGGCACGGGTTGGCCATTTCTCGGCGATGATGGCCTAATGATAGCTCTCCGGAGTATACGAAGTACTCGTACGAACACAGCTTACGGCTATTGGTATACATACCTCGAAACAGCATACGGCGCGAGTAGGATGAGTACGAGTGCAGATATCGAGCCATGCAGCAGCGCCGGACAAAGGACGACGGGTATCAATCCCTGTCCCTCAGTAGTGCCATCAGTTAGGTGCTACGACAGAAGCATCTCGACTCGGCTTGGCTGGAATCGTTACGCCAGCAACAGCCACACGCGGCCAGAAGAAGGAAAAAGGGCAAAAATAAGCCAGCCGCTAATAAGCTAATCAAATCCCATCAAAGGCCATCAATCTGTCGGTCTGGGCCTGAAACGATGCGCCGCCGCTTCAACCAGACATCGACCGGCCTTGCCTGTGTCCCTGCCTAAAGGGCACACACACACACACACACTTACACCTACTCGTACACACACTCAACGGCAATGGTGAATGGCTTCCGGGAGAGTGTGAGGAGACAGGCGAGAGGACAGGACAAGGAAGCATTTCCGCCGCCGACGACGACGACGATTATGCGCGCTGGCTGCTTAAACAACGAGCCATAATGCGAGTAGGGCTGCAAAGCAAAACTGCGGCGGGGACATTGGCCCGCACCCCCCGTCCACAAATCATGTCCAGCTACCTGACACACCCTGGGCTTGCCAGCAATGATATCATGATACAGGACGCTATGTCGGAAGCAACCTTTCTGATGCTTGTTCGCCGCAGAGTCTAGCCGGGGGGTTGAGGGGACTTGGGGGAGGCCAGAGGTGGACAAACGGCCTACTGCTTGTGCCTGCTCGCACCGTCACGCCTCTCCCAGACACCGCGTTGCACGTTGACGGGCCAGAAGATGGCGTCAGCAATGGCTTCCCCATATAGCGTGCCACATTCCCGAAGCACACTGGGCGTCAAGGTCCTGCAACCCATGCTCATGCTCTTCTCACCAGAGGCCGGCGTTGGATCTCGTTCCCTGGACGCAACTAGCCAGCAGTCCAGCCTCAGCTCCCAGGCCAGACTCGCAAGGGTCAGCTCTGGAACGAATGCTTGGTGCTTGACTCTAGCACTATTAAGAAGCTGGAATTGTCAGCTAGGCGGGGTCTCCTGAGAAGTGAGAAGAGACAAAAGACACCACGACGAGAAGCAGAGGTGCAGTGCAGGGGTGCGGCACGTCCCTCCCCCAGCACTCGCAGCTCCAACTCGGTACGAGTAACGAGCAGCAGCTTGACCCCTACCGACCAGGCTTCTTGTACCGGGGAGTACCTCCACGTCTCTCTGCAGGGACTGGCTGGCCGACGCTAGGATAGGGAATGTGTGGGTTTAGAGGTGGAGATGAGCGTCAAGGCCTCGACCCCGTCTAGATGTCATCTACTGCTCCTCCCATCAACCAAATCCTAAGCCCAAAGCTGGCTTGTACCCCCATCACAATCGTCTGTCCACGGGAGCGACGGCACAACAGCTCTTGAGTCGTAGCAGCATTAGGGGAATAACGGCGACTACTCGTACATGTACGGTACAGAGTGTCCAGGCGAGGTTGCGATTAGCTTCGCGCTTTGGACAATCCCACACGCCCCTTGCTTGGGTGGTGTGTTCCCAACCTCGTTCAGGCCTGGGGGCCAAGATGGACGGCTGTGGGGGGGAAAGAGAGCCCAAACAACGATTGACGGATGGTTCTCATGAGAGGATCTTATGTATATGATTTAAACGGATGCCGTTTGGACCCTGTCTCTCTGGCTGGTCGCCAAATAAGACCTCTCCTCCACCACAACCCCTCCATGCCGCCCAATCCTTACTTCTCTCTGCTCGCCACGATCTTCGCTTGCACCGTGCATTTCGGCCAGCTATCCCTCTGATCATCTCCAGTGCCGATGTCGATGAATTACCCAACGTGATACTAGCACGAACAGCCACTCAACCACTCCTGCCTGACGGGCCCTCCACCCTTCAATTTTCTACGCCGGCCGGCAAAAAAGGAAAGAAAAGAAAAGTGACAGAGCACAAAAGAGAGAGAGAAGAGCTTTTGTCAGCTTCAATCGCTGTTCATTTCTGCCTCTCAAGCCTCTTTCTCAATATCTCTTACCTCCCCCCACCTCTTACTTCTGTCTGCGAATAGCCTATTCCACGTGCCAACGCTTCTTTTCCCGAATACCAGCTTCGATTGGGCATGTGCTTGCTATTGACGTGTAATGGAACATACGCTCGCCATCGTGACGAACGAAGACTTTACCCAGTCAGACGATAACGGCATGTCCCCCGATGAAGGATCCTATGATGGGATGGTGCTGCCGTCGCCGTCTCCTACCGAGACCGCATGGAGAGCAGGCATTTCCACGGCACCTCTTCAGATGGGGCAGCTCTCGCCGGTGAGCTCCAATACCGACGCCAACCTAGACAACTCGTCTGTCCCGCCCATGGCCCATCATTCTGCATCGTCGTCGTCCTGTGTAGACTCTTGGAACCCCAGCTATGCCAATCCGGACGAGGGCGAAGAAGATTGGGACTGGGAGCAAGGCTCCGAAGAAGCACTCGCCATTCCAAAACTAGAGCCGATCGACGACGATATCAATCTGGAGGATGTAATCGCAGCCCCTCTGTCGCAAACGCCACCGAACGAGCTGCTTGGAGGACCCCAACTCAAGCAAAAGAGACCCCGTGGACGACCGAGGAAACATCCCCTGACCCCGATAGTCAGTGCGAATAAAGTGACCAAGGGTCGCTCCAAGACTGGGTGTATCACCTGTAGGAAACGCAAGAAGAAGTGTGATGAGGCAAAGCCAAGGTGTACGTAGGCTCTGTTCGAATTTCATAAGGCATTGTAGTCTACTCACGCTAACATATGGCTGGATCAATAGGCATGAACTGTGAGAAGAACGCCGTCGTCTGTGAGGGATATCATGAAAAGCAAGTTTGGAAGAGCGGCAGGGAAAGGGCTGAAGAGGGTACGTTGAACCAGATTTGAAAGCAAAGAATCTGGGCATAGCAACACCACGGGCTTCCGAACCATCTAACTAACCCTCACAGTAGAACGACAGCGATGGGAGAACCTACCCATTATCACCATGCAGCCCATCTTTCATGGCGTAGAAACCACCGAAGACAAGATATTTTGGAAGCATTACGTTAACCACTTCAGCAATGTGCTGACGGTTGAAGGAGAGGCCAAGAACGCCTTCAAGGACATCATACTGCAACTCGCCAATCAGCATCAGGGCTTGATGCACTCGATACTTGCGGCTAGCAGCAAGCATATCGACTGGGACACGCCTTATGGCATGAAGATTCTTCAGAACAACCCATCCACGAGCAAAGAGACGCTGGAGCAACGCTCCGAGTATCACCACGACGAGGGCATGAGACGAATGTATGCCGAGATGAATGAAGAGACGGACAAGAACGACCCTGAGTACAAGACAATTCTGGCTGCTCGGTACGGCCAGATGATGTGCCTACTCCTCCAGACTCGAGCCGAGGGCAACCCGCGAGGCGACCACAGAGTTCATCTGCAGGCGTACAAGTTCCTAGTGCAGCACTCGCCTCCGGAAGATACAAACTTTCTCACCTTCATCACGGAGTTTTTCCAGTATCACATTTATGCCGACGATCTCTTCTGGTACCCTGAAAAGAAGACGGAGCGCCTCGCGTCGGAAGACTGGGAGCCGACGATGCCTATTCATCCTCCACGCCTACTGGGAGTCGCTGATGGGCTATTTCGCCACCTCTCCGAGATTACCAGCATTCGAAACGCAATCCGTGTCAACATGGCCAACGCTGTCGACCCCCTTGTGGACTACACCAGTCTGTACAAGGCCGCCGAGATTGATGCCGCCATCAGGGAGTGGACGCCACGCTGGCCGTCTGGTGACAGCCGTGATCGTGTCGGGCTGCTGTACAAGCAGATGCTATGGGTCTATCTGTTCCGGACGATATACCCTCCCTCGGCCCTTCCTGGACGTCGTAGCACCATTGGCTCATTACCCACGGTTGTGTTTTCTTCAATGCCGTCGAACCCACAGCCGCGACGAGCTTCGATGGCTGCGGCCATTGGCACCACGGCTGCTTCTCCGCTCATGGGAGCGGGCAACCCCTTCTCCCGTTCGAAGACGACGCACAGCGCTCCATCTACTCGTCATCCCTCAAGAACTAGCTCTATGCACGAAGGAGATTTGCCATCGGAGGCACAGAGACAGCGGCCTTCATCTCCGCCACCCGCCCGTCGACCGGCACAAGATGACAAGCGGATCACACTGGCAGTTGACGAATCGCTGGGGCTTCTGGAATCATTCAAGCCCTCGGATCCATCACAGACTCTCCTTTTGATCCCATGCCTAGTGATTGGAACGGCTTGCTTCGAACCCGACCAACGATATCGCATCAAAGCAGCCGTCAGGGCAGTGCGAGGGTATACAGGCTTGAAGAACTGCGATCGCGTCCTGGAGTTGCTTGAAGAAGTGTGGGCGCTCATGGATCAAGGCGACTGGGTGGCTGTTTGGGATTGGCAAAGGGTCGCGAGGCGAATGGGCCTCGACTTTCCCTGCACATGATGAGGCATACTGATTTTGGCCTTTTAAGCGTCTTTTATCTCATGGCGATTTCTTTCTTTCTTTCTCCTTTTCTTTTCTTTTCGAAGAGTTTTGATTCTATCAAATCATTCTGCTTTTCTAGAAAGTCCCGTTCCTAGTAATGGCTCCTCTTTCATAAAAGACTCTTTAAATCAAAAACAAAGGTTCACAGCGCCGAACTCTTTTCAACAGCACACAGCATATCATTGCCGTTTTTTATACCAACGGCCCCAATATCCATATACGTTTTTTTTCCGCGGCGTTTAAAACATATACGTTTTTTAACGCTGCAGTCATCCTATCTATATATGCTTAGATAGAACACCAATACCGTTAGTCCAGTCTAACAATCACGCTTAGATACTATCAGTATCACAGAGAAGGGGGTGGAGGAGGGGGGTCTTTTTCAGCAGTTTCTTTCATATTTCGTATCGAGGATGATGGTTTTTTTCACGGCTGGGGGATTTGGTTTTTTGGAGTTTCACGGAACTGGTGGTAGCATGCCAGCCATGCGGACTGAAAGTGCTTCATTTATCGCACATGGCCTGGTTCAGGAGGGAGGCGGAGGAAAGGAGGAGGGTGGTTAGCCTGGGGGATCTTTTATTGTCTTTTTTTTTGTTCTTGCTCTTGTCCACGGCGTTGTCTCAAAAATGTTGGTTCCCTGTTCTTCATCCTTCTGTTTCTGCGCTCTATCTACCCCATTGGATTCTGGGGGTTCCCTTTTTAACTGTCGTTTGAGCCGAGCATTGCTTTTTGCTGCCTTAGAGTTTCGTTTTGCTATATATTTACCTAAAAGGAGGTGGTTAGATGCGTTAGATTATGTTTGGCAGAGGATGATGTCGATAATCCCTTCGTTTGGGTTTCTGCTTTTCTGTTAGAATTTAGTGTTATCCGCTATGCAGCTTTTTGTTTCCCTTTCTCGTCTTAGACTTGGTGCCTCGCTTCCCTGTTGTCTTCTTATGGTCATAAACGCATTGTAGTTCACATAGATAGCCTGATGCTTTTAATTATCAATATGTTTCTTATTCCATCCTAGGTAGTGCGTATACGTAGGAGAGCGTCCCGGCTCAGCCGAAATACCTTGATCAATCCCAAAGCTACCAAATCCCAGCAAGCAAATTCCCGATCCGTCAAACACATCAAACGTGACTCCTAGCAAAACGTGAAAAGGGAAGAAGAAAATGGATACACGAATAAGAAAGGAAGGGGGGCAAAGGAAGAAGAAAGAATAGAAGTGGTGTTACAACGCCCCCCTTCCATAGTATTTGTTTACCGCCGTAGACCGAAATTATCTGCGGTGCTGTGTGTCCTTTGCCGATTGCCTGCCCGAATTCCCAGTCTGAAAAAAAGAAAAGAAATCAGAATCATACATAAACTCGAAGAGTGATAGAAAGATGATAAACGCTCTCCGTCTCCCTCGTTAATCATCCCGTTTGTCAGTTTCAAAGTAGAATTTGCCCAGCTTGTCGCCTCCCCGACCTGGGCTGCCCATTCCCGATGGTCCCGCCCTGGACTCGCCGCTATCCAGTCGTTGTACGATCCTCTCTGCGGTTTCCCTACCAGGCTGGCGGCCTACGGGAACCGGTCCTCTGAAGGTTGTGTCGACGAAGACGTCCTGGTCTGGGGTGATTGGGTTCGTGGGCGGCCCGTCCGTGGCCACGCCATCCATCATGCGAGCATGCTGGCGCTCCTGGATGGCTGCGGCGCTCATCGGCGTGTCACCGCCGCTTGCCGACATATACGAGTCTCTATCTCGTCTAGCGTCGCTCATGCCCGAGTTGGTCCGCTCGAGACCCCATTGATATGCGGCGCCGGGAGCCGGACGTCGGTGGTAGATGGGCCCGGAGACGGTGCTGCCGGCGCCTTCGCCAAAGCCGACGAGAGACGAGCCGTCGTCGCTCATACGGTCCTCGAAGCCGGTCGAGTGGCCGCCGAGGCCCTCGAGATCCTCGTCCATAGCATCGTGGTCGACGCCAGTGCTTGTGACGGACCCAGCCTCGCGGTAGTTTGTGTCGGTGCTCAGGATGTCCTCGTCGCGGTCGCCAATCGTTCTAGGATGGCTCTCGGTAGCACTAGCGGTACCGACGGTGCTCATCTTGGTCACGGCAACGGGCTGGCCATTGCTGTCGAAGTAGGCGGGGGTCAGGTGCTGCGTCAGCGGGTAGTTGGGCGGAAAGCCTGCTGTCGACGTCGGCGTCGTCTGAGGCGACAGAGACGAGGCGCGGCCGGTGCTAGGCGTCTGCTGGGGCGCTCGCAGCGTCGACACCCGCTCGAGCCCGGCGAGGCGCGAGATGCGGTCGGCGCGCTCAGCCTCGAGGCTGGTGGCGGAAGGGTTGTGCTGGTGGCCGCGGCTGAAGAGGCCCGTGTGGAAATGGCCGCGATGGCCGTCCTTGATGGCGGTCGTCGACAGGGCCGACAGAGACGTGGTGGTGCTCGTGGGCGTGCCGCTGGTTCCCGGGCTTGTCAGCACAGAGCTTTCTGAGCTCTACTAGGACGCAACATACGGCATCTCCGACGGAGTCTCAGGGTTGGACTCGGGAGGAGGCAAATTGGCCAACGCCATTGCCGTGTCCGACATGGTGGTCGTCTTTTGGGAGTTGCGACAGGGCCAAGGTGGGAGAGCTGCGAAGAGCTGCGAGCTTGATGGGCAAGCTTGATAGAATCAAGAGCGCAAATCTCAGATCTGGACTCTAGACAGACCTAGATCTTTGAATCGTAGATGTTAAAAGTTGAATGGCGCAGGCGATGCGAAGCTGGCGGAATCGCAGGAGGATGGAAAGGTTGAAGGTTGAATGCGATGATGTTTGAGGTTTGAGGTTCGAGGTCGAAGGTGCATGTCACCGGGACGTTTCACGCCACCCTTTTCTGGTGCTTTTGGTGGGCCAAGGCGTTCGGATCTCTGGCAAGCTTCGCCTTTGACTGCAGCCTTATGCCAATGTCACTCCAGTCAGTGGCACAGCGTCTCTTTGCAGCGTGTTGGTTCTTTTGTGGCTGCAAATCGTTGGTCCATGCCCATGAGCTCAGTTCGTGCTGATATCAAATCAGTGCAGCTGGTCGAATCCACGTGCATTTATACTGCCCGCGTCTGCCTGCTTACATGTATGTACCTGGTATAGGACTAAGATGCAATTACAGACAAGATACATGTGATTGTTCACGCAGCCATGCTCATGATATAGATTATGCTGTGACGAACATACGACTACTTGATATGTGATATTTACAGCTTGATAGCCGCAAGCAGCGTTTCTTGATTTCGACCGTCTCTTTGAAGTGCCGGGATCAGAGCCCAGAGGCTGTACGCCCATGACGTAGCTTCCGCCAATTGGTGGTTTGAGGTCTGACATTTGGCTTGAGCCGGCCAAGACTAGCATCCATCCAATATCAGGCCTATGCATATTGGAGATTTGTGCATGTTGCGCTCAACATGCCGCTGTAGCTACATTTTCTTTTTCCAAGTGGTTTCTACCGTCAATGTTTCTTTCTTTTGTTCTATTTCCGAACTTCCGATACAAAACAAAGCTCTGTTAGTCATTCTACCCACTGTAAGCAATCGTATTGAGAGCCTTTATTCGAAAAGTGTACTACCATCTAGGTGCCGTGTATTTTATATGCATACGGCAGTTGAATGAGAAACATCCTCGATATCAATGCAGCTTCCGGGTAGCTGACATCAATAGCCTCAATGCCTAAGGTCTAGGCGAAGCATTTGTAGGTAGGTATGTACAGTGCAGATGAATACACATGATGGCTGAGAACTGCTTCAATGCAATTGAGTATATTTTGCAGACTTGTGTGTAAACTTGTAGCATTCGCTGAAAAACGCTCACAATGTTTCGGTAAACACGACATCCCATTCCCATAATTCATCATCGTCAGAACAACAAATGTTGCTCAAAGCCACACGTACGCCAAGCACGCCGCCCTCCCATATTTTCCAAGTACCATAAAAACGCCTCAATAATCGCAAAATGTCTTCGATGCCCATCCAAAACAAACAATGGAGCAATCTGCTAACACGTACTAATACAAGAAAGCACCTCGCAGGTGCCTACAGAAACACCATGCCTCCGCTGATGAGCACAAACGAGACACTGAGGAGTACAAATCCGGGCTCCTGCAGCATGATGTTTGTCAACTCAATCTTCAATCGGTGTCTGTCCATATTGAAAGATGATGTCTCGGTAGACGATGGAGATGTATGTGCAGAGGCATTGAAGGTAGATGAATTGTCGTGATATGTCCAACTGTCGCCTCGCTGACCATGAATGGCCGTCGCCATTACTTCCGAGGAGACGGCGCCATATTCAGCGAGGGCTAGCCCGAGGAGGACAAACAAGACAGCAAGATGTTTAAGCATCTTGAAAGCCATGTTGTGTAGTTGGGAGAAGAGAGTAAGTAGTTTTTGTTGTGGTGGCTGTGGTTTGGAATGAAGAGTGTTTTCCCTCAGCTGAGTGTCTGTAGGTGCGTGTAGATGCAACGACACAATGCCAATGAGAAGATAGTGTATATAGATACGAGATAGATGATGGTAGATAATAGAAAGAAATATATCCGCGTAGAGAAGGGGGGCAGGCTTTCTTCTTGTATCTTTCCAAACAATGGATCGAGAGATAAGCACGAAGGCGGGAGGAGAAGATGGCGTCAACCGCAGCGTCGACCAAGGGAGAAAACGCAATCAAGACACCACCAGCCATCCGATCCATGCATCTTCGGAATCAGGGATGCAAGGCTGTTTATGAATAAAGACAACGGCAGAGATGCTAGATATGCAGCAATTGCTATCTGGCGAGGGGAAGCCGGTTTCTGTTATCATGGGGGAAGGCCAATCGAACCAATCTCAGGCACGGCGTGTTAGTAGGTTTCATGCATACCAAAAGTAAAATGCAGGCCATTCCTTGGCTAATGCATATCAAAACAAGCATCCGCTCCGCGTGTAGGATATCATTGCTTCGCCTTTGTTTTTTTTTGATTAAATTTTGACCGGGATGGAGGGTTTCGAGCCGTTGCTTCCGTCCAATTGACTCGTTGGACATTAGTCAAGCCAAACCTTGAAATCGGATGGTTTGCCATTAGCACCTCCGTGGACATGATGGCTATACTGTAGCGTCCGCGCCTCTTTGCACCATCAAGCAGATATTTTATTTATATTTCCACGTTGCCTATCGTGATACACACCCGACCTTTAATTGCTTCCATTCCTGCCGGTTCCTCCTCAGCTCGGGGAGGCGCCTGGACCATCGCAAGGCGAATCTCATCCGCTCTCCGTGCTCTGGCGATGCATGGATCAAATGGATTCAAAGCACCGGCTGCACGCAAGCGGGGTATTAGAGCGAAACTCTGTCGAGTGATTGTCAGATTCAAAAACCCGCACATGCAGGTTCCAAGCGCTAAATGCTCCAGCGTCGCATTTCATGCTGGTAGAGTCACATACTGTAATACTTCCAATCATTTCTCACCAGCATCAATGAGTTGAAGCAGCATGGATGGACTGGATTTAGTGCGATGGAGACCTGCAACCAAGAGCTACAGCGGAGCTACTGCTGGAGCCCCCCTTGGACCAATGCCAACACCGCTAATGCCAGTCGTGAACCGCTAAAGCAACCTCGTTGACCACTAAAAGCCTGCTTGCTGCAGCAGATGCGGAGCCCCGTCCCGACAGTCTCGCCTCCGTCTCGCTTCATTCTCTCCGCCTTGGACGCTTGCTGGAGCTTCGTATCGCCGTCGGCTGTCGCTCAAACTTTGAAGTCTAGACTCTGCACATCATTCCGTCGCCAGAGACACTCGATTTCGCTTCCCCTGGATCTGGAACGCACGAGCCGCCGTCAGACAAGGCTGACTGGACATGTTTTAAACTTTGTTTGACTTGGCTTTGGACTATTGATTTTGATATGATTTTATTTTAATTTTTCTTCTTCTTCCCTGGTCATCATCATCGTCAGCCTCTCGCAACATCGACTCTCTCGTACCCATGCCTGCGACCGGAGGATATCAACTCATCGAATCAATCCCCCTTCACGCTGATCTGATACCCGCCGCTTCCTCTTCATGCATGGATGCCTTTCTCTGCCTCAAAGGCCGCGCGCTACAGGCAGCTAGTCGACAAATCCATCATGCAGCCAATAGCAGAGGGCTGACTGCCTTCTGGTCCTACCATAGCTTTTTCAGCTGGAGGCTCAGCTAGGCATCATCGTCAGTCATGCGACTGGCAAGCGGCTCTTTCTTAGCTTGTAAAACAAACATCTGTGCAAGGGCATAACCATTCGTCCTACCTCAAGTTGTCCTCTTCACCGTTCGTCTTCTGGAGAGCACCGTGACTGTTCATTTGCCTTTTGCTTTGCTCAAGGCTCAGTAAACGCATACTGTGGCAATTATCCGCAGCGTATTGACATGGTGCATTTCAATCTGGAACTGATATGGCTCTCCCGCGCAAGCCCGCACGTTGAGTGAGTGCCTCGTCGATACAGCCTTGTCTGGGCCTCGCGTGCTCATGATATCGCGATGTCGTGGCTAACCACATTTCTCAAGTCTCGTCTTCGTCCATGGATACGGTGGCAATCCGGAAACTACGTGGCACGACGAATCTACAGGCAAAATATGGATCAAGGATGAAGAATTCATCACTCGCATCAAGAGGCCGATTCGCATCTTCTCCTTCAGCTATAATGGCGACGTAGAGGCAAACCTGTCATCATCCAGTCCAGCCTTCCATGCAAGCGATTTGCTTTGCTGTTTGGAGCAAGCTCTCGAGAGATCTGCAGTATGGCTCTCCATGCTTTGTGAATGATTTCGAATCACTTTCTTACTCTGTCCACTAGGGAAGACCCTTGATATTCATTGCCCACGGCTTTGGAGGCATAATTGTGAAGAAAGTCAGTAAAAGCCCATCCGCTTCTCACATAGGCCGATCAAGTGATTAACCTTATTGCATTGTAACTGTAGGCGATCCAGCTGTGTTTCATGACACCAAGCTATCCGCGGACTAAGAATGCGCTGGCCGGTGTCGTCTTCTTTGGCACTCCACACGCCGATACAGATTCCGAAGCACTTCTCCAATCAGTCAAAGGGACTATAGACACTTTTGGTCCAAAGGACGGAGTTAGGAGCGAAGATGTCAGGGAATTTGTTTCCATAGTGAGCCGCATCAACACCACTTTTATTGCATGCAAGCCTAGTTACCTCCGGCTGCTGTCCTTCTGGGAGAATCTACCCTCAAAAACCGGTGGCTCGAGTACAGACTCTCACAAGGCTCCGGTAAGTCTACTCAGCGTCTTTGATAAGGCAACCAAGTACTTTCTTTACTGATACCCTCATAGGTCATTCCTCTCCAATGCCAGAAAGAGAAACTACAGGGAAACACAGATCACATAATAGAGTGCGGCCATGAGGAACTGCCTCGGTTCTCTAGTATATTCAGCGACAGATTCATGCAGTTTATGCAGATATTTTCCCAATTCTTGGTGGACACACTATCCGAACGCACCGTACCTACTTTTCCCGCCAAAATCCCGCGTGCACCATCACGGATCTTGGACCGACCATTCCCGATTGAAGAAATCCCAGGTATAAAGAAACTCGATTTTCCAATAATCAAGCCTCGACGAAGGATTTGGAAGGTTGACGACGACCTTCACAGCCGTGAACGTCAGAAGAAGGAGGAAGAAGAAACGGCCTCCAGAGAAAGCTTTCTACGCTCATTGAGCGGCTGGTCAGATATCAATTACGGAAATGAGCTATATGTTGCCGCTGGCACATGCGAATGGTTCAAGGATGGCACCATCTATAAGAACTGGCTCACAGATCCAAAATGCGGCACAATTTTCTATATAGGGGCTCCTGGACATGGGAAATCACATCTAGCCCGTGCTGTTTTTACCCATCTCAAAACTTCTAAGCCTGAAGACGTTGTGATGAGTTATTTCTGTCAAAAGGGGGAAGAGAAGCCGGCAATTTGGGAGTACTTCACCTGGAAGCTGATCAAGGAGTGGCCAGACTGGTTTTTGCACGTTCCTATTCAATTCCGCCGCAGCAACGATGAATCCAATCCTCGTCTCGACCCATCTTCGTATGCCGAAATATGGACCGCGTTTCGGAAAGTTTGCTCGCCGCGTACGATATATCTAGTCGTGGATGGACTTGAGCAAACGCCTTCAGCCAACTTCACTGAATTTTTCGCCTTGATAGAGCACTTGAGGCAGCCGATCACTTTGGGACCGGAGAGCCGCCCCAGAAACCCACTCGACATGCCGACAAAGGTCAAGCTGGTCATAACAAGCCGATGGACAGACGCTACCTATTCGGCCTCAAGTACTACCTCATGTTACACTCTACCAGATGAGGATCTTAGAAAAGACGTCTCCACATACCTGAACAAGAGGTTCTTGGCTATTTCCAATTCTAGGCAGAAATCAGATCAGGACCTGATACAAAAGATCAAAGAACGAGTCATCCAAAAAGCAGGAGCTTATTGGCTCTATGCTAAACTTGCGGCCGACGAAATTGAGAGATTGTATAGTTTGAATCCGGTCCAAGAGATTCAAGAAGATTACATTCCAACCGAGTTGGCACAGCTCTATGAGCAAAAGATGCTGCCTTTACTGCAATCCGCTAATAACAGCGGAAGGCATCTGCGTACAGTTCTTACCTTGATAGCCTCTGAAGGCATTGGCCTCGCTTTTTCTATCAAGCAACTCGACAGCATTCTAGAGTGCTTATATGGTCAAGACGACATGCCAGTGGAAAGCCTTGCCAAATCCATGCAGCAGTACTGCGGAGACTTGTTCTGGGTCAGCCCAGCCGACTCCCTCATCTTTTCCGTTCACCCTTCCGTTCGAAGCCATCTAAGCAACTATCTTTCCCTGGATCACAGGCAAACCAACATGGCTTTCATCTGCCTTACATATCTACTCCAAGATCGATTTTGCGACCGCCTGCCTCTCTCGTGGACTGACAGAGAGGGTACCTCAGACGGAATGGCCAAGACGGCTGCGTTTTACGGCTTTGCGTCTCAATGCTGGTTAACATATCTTCCCAAGTTGAAGACACTCAATCCGCAATTGGTTCCGCTGCTTCAAAGATTCCTGTCCCCCGGCTGCCTGCAGTACCAGACGTGGCTTCATTGGAAAGCATGGCTCCTCAGCGAAAAGCTCCAAGAAAAGGCTCTACCGGCCGAGGATCCGATCATGGCCATGGTTCGAGAGGGCTGTCTTGCCGTCATCCAGCATTTTTTCCCGGCCTCAGAGTCCCCGCGAGCTCCGTGGAAGAGCAGGCTCGGAAGCTGGACCCGATATGTGTCATTTCCAAACGCTCAGCTCTCTGATAAATTTACGGGAAAGTGGCCGGATATCACAGGCCTGCATGACCATACTCTTCTAATGGCAGCAGCGCTTAGCGGAAATCGTGGTATGGTCGAGCACGTTTTGCAATGGAATGTCGATGTGAATGCGCGTGACGAAGGTGGAAGGACGGCCCTCACACTTTGCCTTACCTCGGATCGATTGATGGGTGTCAAGGCCCAAGATCAAAATGTATACGACGTTGTTGAAACACTGCTACTGAATGGAGTCAATCCAAACATATGTGACCAACACGGCATCACGGCTTTGCACGTTGTATCCGTTCGCGGCAGACACGAGCTTGCTCAGCTCCTGCTCAGATTCGGTGCCTTGCTCAACGTTACGGATATGTGGGGGATTACGCCGCTTGAAAGGGCATACTCTGCCGGAAACGTTGAGCTTGTCAAGTTGCTCATGGACTTTGGTGCAGACACAGAAGCATGGATGCTGGGTGGAGAGCCACCCCTGACAAGATGCATATTTGACGGGAAACTTGACATGTTCAATGCGTTTCTTCCTTACGCAGATATCAACCAGGTCACCATGATTGGGTTTGCGCCGATTCATCTTGCCAGCGATGGCGCCGACAGGATAGAATTTCTTCGGATACTACTTACAAGACCCGGATTGGATCTGGATGCTGTAAGCTCACTGACCGAACGTTTTCATGTCAAGCGTACTACAGCTATTGGATTTGCCATCAATAGCCGTAACTATACGGCGCTGGAATGGCTTCTGGAAGCTGGAGCATATCCTGGACTGCTGCCCATGGTTAGTGTGCCGCCGCTTCACGATGCCGTTATTGTTCAGGATAGGTCCATGGTTGAGCTGCTGCTGTTCTATGGAGCATCAGTGAATGACTTTAGGCGCAACTGGTTTCCATATACTGCTCTGGGTCATGCCGTGGATCTAGGCCTGGAATCCATCGTGGATTTACTTCTTCAAAATGGTGCAGATGCTTCCATCGAAGAAGGTTACGGCGTCGTTGCGTTGCTTGAAACAGCCGTGACGAGGGACGGCCCTCCCATCCCCAAGATTATAAAGAAGCTCTTGGAGTCACGCCATCCTCCTGATGTCAACTACATCAAAGAAAACGAAGACCACTGTATCATAGGCGCTGTTGATCAAGGCGATGTTGAAACAGTGTCTATTTTGCTGGAGCGTGGAGCAGATATGAGCATCTATCTCAACTCTGGCGAAAGAGTATCGCCCTTGCACAAGGCAGCCAGAAAAGGCAATGTCGAGATGTGCGATATTCTGTTGAAGCACGAACCGAATCTTCTCGATCTTCAGCTGGAAAAGGGGTTCATGGTTGAAACCCCCTTAAATGCGGCATGTCATAAAAAGAAGAAGGACGTTGTCCGTTTTCTCTTGGATAAGGGCGCCAAGGTAGACCTGGTCAGCTACTACTATAAGGAATCACCTCTATTCACCGCCTGTGAGGTGGGAGATATGGACATTGCCAAGATGGTTCTGGAAGCTGCGCCTCATATGATCAATGTGCCTACGGTCTACAACTGCACCCCGCTTTCATTTGCTTGCAGTCATGGGAATCTCGACATGGCCAAGTTGTTGATTGACGCCGGAGCAGAAATGTATCTTCCCAACGGCGCTGGCACTACAAGCGCGTTCAGCCGGATCTTTGATGCCAAGGGCAATAAGCCTTTTAAAACTCTTCAGCTGTTGCTAAACAATGGTCTCGACCTTCACGCCGTCGATAATGAGACTGGGCTTACTGTTCTTGGGTGGGCTATAATAGATGCCGAAGCAAGGCACGTCAAATGGCTTCTCGAGCAAGGTGCCGATCCGCTGCGTGCTCAGAGGGGCCCTGGTGGTGAAGAGACGTGGCAGACAGCTATTCAGGTTGCCGCCCATACGAGCAACAAAAATATCATGCCCATTATAGATTTGCTGCTTGAGCCGCGCTGGGGCTTGCGGGAACATCTAACTCACAGAGACTATCAGGGAAGTGCCCTTGTGCCTGCCCTGGCCCGGTCCCGAAAAGGCATGCCAATTATATCTCGCCTCATGTCTGCATGTGATACCATCCTCAAGGAGACTGGTAATGACATCTTCTCCGCCATCATGGACCAGCCTAGCCACTCCGGGCTCTCACCCGTTGACTATGCAATGGGCGTTTTCGATGCCAAACCTGAGGCACTGCCCGACCTGGACAAACTCATCATTGCTCGAATAGATGAGCTTCTTGCTGGCCCTCGCACGATGGAAATCCATCTTCTCACGCTGGATTACGTCGCAATACTCTTTTTTGCACGTGGTGGATACGATGCAGACGCCAGGGTTTTGGCCGAGTTCATACTCACCAGACCTCAGGTTCGATGGAATGACGACGATGGATATTACATGGGCTCTGTCGCCCTACAGCAGTGCTTCGTCTGCGACAAGTCCATTTACGACCCTTACATTTACTGCACCCTCTGCGAGAACTCGTGGTGCTCAGAGTGCAAAGACAAGGAGGACACAATCAGTCTACACAAACACAAATTCTTCCCCATGGAACTCCGCAAAGATCTAGACATCAACGCACCAGATATCCAGGAAATCCTAGAGAGAATACACAAACAAATCACATCCAACTTGGCTTCCATTGAACAGCAGCCACAGCAAGATGGCCAAGTACTCACCAGCAACTCCCCAACACCTGCGGACCCTCCTCCCCTCGCACCAGCTCAAGCCTCTCTTCCGCTCGCCACACTTCACGCCTTCAACTTCCTAGCCATCACCCGACCCATCTGGACGCCATTCCTCCCCCTCTCCCCCTCCGCCCAAGCCCTCGTCGACCCATGGCACGCTCTGTGGTCTCGTGAATACGAGTACCGCCGCTGGCGAAGTTTCATGGAAAGGAGAAGCATGAATTACGAAAATTCGGCTTGGAGACGCTTCCAGGAACTACAATATTTGAAACGGGGCTTTACTAGAGCGTATACCGATGGAGAGCGGGTGAAGCAGGATTTAGTGCTCTGTGATATACGGCGATTGTTCGATGACAGGGTTGTGGTTAGGCCAATGCCGCCGAGGAAGTGGCCTCCGGCAGTGAGGAAGAGGCAGTGATGATACACGACGTTATGATGAATATCCTACAACTTTGGAATTAGTTTTATTGTTTGCAGCATAGGTAGGCATTGGATTCACGTGTAATGCTAGTTCTGAATTTTGAGACAAGTTTCTGTTACGATATACTGAGTATAAAACATCGTAGCGTGGGCTATTTCTATCATAATAATTAAGCTATTCCATAAGACGTTCTAGGCCAGTAATAATCCCAGAACTCACCGCAGTAAATGTATTACTGCGAGTAAGAAAACAAACAAAGCAGGCTTGACCAAAGGTATTAATCATCTATCCAGCGTGATACTGTCATTGTGCGCATTAAATCGTGTATCTGAAGTGAGGGCTGTCATCACCAAGCTCCTTAAGCTCATCGTCTGGAAGCCCCTGGTGCTCTTCGCTCAACTCCCCAGCATCACGATTCTTGTTAGCCCTCCAGAACCAGAACCAGAGGAATGCGTACACGCAGGTGCCGAAGCCAACCATGCTGAGAGAAACGGCGTGACCACGGATGAAGCGTGGTTTGTCAAGCGCAGGACTAGATTATGGTTGTTAGATCAAATATTGCGCGTAACTCTCTGCCAAAAATGCACAAGATGGAGTACATATACAGAGAGATAGTTTGGAAAACTCACTATATAAAGGCGGACATGATTCCAGATGCGTTGCCAAAGGTAAGTTGCATGCCTGTGGCAGTCGTTCTCTTGCCGTACCGAGGGGTATTATTCGGTAACTGTTTGAAAATGTTAGTTTCTTCCCCCTAATAGCTATTTTGGAGTGTATAATAAAAGCTTACCCATGCAATTGGAAGACCGACAACGACATAGAGTCCGCATGCGACAAGAAAGCACCCAAAGTAGTGTACTCCGGGCGACGAATCAGACAACAGGACGGCGTATCCGACTACACTGATCATGCCAAAGATGACACAGAACACTCCTCTCATCTGGAGCCGATCAGAGAGCATGGCTATGCTCATATATGCCACTGCTCCTAGAAAGTAGCACGGGATGGTGAGAAGCTGAACTTGAGCAGTGGTCCATTCACCAAGAGCACTGATGATGGTGGGCAAGAAAGTTGAGAAGCCTAGACACATGATTAGCAAAGAGTTTCCACTTTCTACAACGCAATATAGACAAGAAACACACCGTAGAGCATGGTATCCACTCCAAACTGGGCAAAGGAAAAGGCCCAGACCTTCCAGTCGGTAAAAGCCTTCATCATGTCTCGTCGACTGAACTCACGGCTGGAGGCTGTATTGCCATAATCCCGCTTATGTCTCTCTTCCATCAATACTTTCTCCTCTTTAGTAAGAAAATAGGCAGATGGCGCGTCATTCGGCAGCGCAATCAACGTGACTACACCAAGTACCACGCTTGGAATGCCTTCAATGATGAAAATCCAGCGCCAACCACTCATGCCGCGAACACCATCCATGTGTCCAATACCGTACGCCAGCAATCCGCCGAGAGCACCCGCTATAGCAGCGCTTACAAAGAGATATCCTATTCTCAAGGCAAGCTCATGCTTGGTATAGAAGAAGGTGAGATAGACGCTGAGACCGGGGAACAAGCCCGCCTCGACAACTCCCAAGAGCAGACGGCAGGCAATGAGTGAGCCATATGATTCCACTAATCCGGTGAGAGTCGCAATGATGCCCCAGGCCGTGACGATGAAGGCTATCCACCGTCGGGGGGTAAATAGCTTGAGAACAAGATTTGAGGGCACCTCGAACAGAAGGTATGTGACGAAGAGGATGGAAACGGTGACTTGGAACTGCTCGGATGAGAGGTTGAGATCTTCCTCAAGGCCATACAGTCGAGCGTTGCCAATATTCACTCTGCAGTCTGTCAGTTATCACTACCTTCTCCTTGGTACTCCTCTAGATGTAAATACTAGAAGGCGAGAGTGAGAGGTCTTACCTGTCCAAGAAACTAAACAGATACAAGGCCATGACAAGAGGGATAATATAGAGGTCCAGCTTCCGCACCAGCTTCTTCTCATCAACACCTTGGAGCAGCGTCTCATTGTCCGACTCTTGAGCAGCACGATCTTGCAGCTGCGTCCTCTTTTCCTCCTGATCTTGACTGGGCACCGTCCCCATTGTGATTTCTTGTGACGCCATCCTTGATGAATCCTCTCTCTTCCACTGTTCCTGCCAGTCAAACGACGTTTCGATTTGTCACCCAACGGAACTAGAGAATCTTGGCGTTCTCTCGGAAAGAAAAGATAACCTCGAGAAGCTCAAACAGCCAGTCAGGAAGCCAAGGAAAAGTACGAGGAACACTTCTCCTCTTGGTCCCCACCTCGGATCCTTTCGTCCAGCCACTCGCAGAAGCCGAGATGTCTCAGAAAGACAAACAAAGTAAACACCCGACGTGGACTCAATTCGACATGGTCAAGTAACAATGTCTCAACACGGGCCTCGGTATTAGTAATATCTCTTCACAAAAGTTGTACTCGGTAATGAACAAAGTGAGGCTGAATGTTGTGAAACACACAAGCAAACAAATAGATGAAGAAGAAGGAAAACAAGCCGAAAGACCGAGCGTCGAACAACACAAAAAGAGTCACAAGTTCGTGACCCAGAAAAAAAAAAACCTGCCTAAGAACATAGAAGGGAAGGCACTCTATAGAAGCGAAAGAAGAGTGGCGTGAGTGGCCGTTCCGCGAATCAACTAGCGTGCCCGCATTTCGGACCTGGGAAGCAGAAAAAAAAAGAAAAAGAAAAGAAAAAGCCTCTTTTGCTTGGCTTTTTCTGCTCATACGGTGAAGAGTTGGTCTCCAGGTTCTTATGCATGTAGAACCTTATCCGGAGAGCTTATCAATCAGTCCCATCGGCTGTTGAGGATCTCGTCACGAGCACGTGTAACCAATCACATAAGATGAAGGGATCGTGTGCCTTTTTGCTTGTGCCACTCCAAAGATTCGGGAACTGGTAGTGTCGTAAAGATAGCGTTGTTGGTATAACAAACAACCTCATTATTCACCTTCATCTACCGAACGAAGCATAGAAGAAAAGATTCAATAGCTTCATCACCACCCACATACAATCAGCTATATCGTAATTGCAAACAATCATGCATGCATCAATATCATGCTTTCAATCTCCCATCCTCGCCAGTCCCGTTCATCGCATTAAGCTTCTTTTACTCTATTTTCAAAGTTTGGCGCAACGCTCGAAATTTGCCGTAGCGTGCTGGGGCGCAGCAGCCGGTTATTTGCCGCGGAATGCATGGCCGCACGCGCATTAGCCAGGAACCAGACTTGCTTCAGAAAAAGCATAATAACATTTCACCTGGTCTAATGCAGAGAAACAAAAACAAAGGAGGAAGAAAGAACAAAAGAGAAGAGAAGGAAAAAGCACACACACACGGCAGTTCAAAACACGTAGTAAATTGAAACGGTCCATTATTAAAGATACGTAAAAGGTGGCTACACAGAACAGAGCAACGCTCTGCTCTCTCAAGTTCCTCAAACCTCATTCGTCACACGTTTGTCGAGTCTTCCAGCATCATCACAGGTCTTGCTAATGGCATAGCCTCCTTCTTCTAGCGTCAATTTCATACAATCACATCAATCGAAAAATCCTTCCCCCTCCAAGTCTTGTTAGAATCACCAAGCCTCTCCTGTTGCAATTAAGCCTAGTTCGTGGTGAACACGTCGGGTATAGACAGTATATACAAAAGACACGTGCCTTGTATGTTCCCGCCGCTGCCGCAGATGGGCTCCTCCCAATCAATCAATCAGTTGGGGAGTCAAGCCATCTCCTTTGCTGATCCAGTATTCTAGTTCTCAGGTCACCAAATATTACCCTTTTTTTTGTTGCTTCTTTTAGTGGTAGTTTTGCGTAGGCATTTCGTAGACTGGCCCGCTCTGGTGGCTCAGGACTGCGTTGCCGTCAATCTCAGAAGCCTCGGGGTTGTTCCATTTGGCAGCATTGACGTTGTCGTTGCCCAACTCAGCAGCATCGGCATGAGCAGGGGGGACGTTGGCGGCCCTGTTGTCGAACGAGACGGGGCTGACGGTGTTTGCCATTGTCGTTGCCGGGCTGGACGAAGTGTAGGCTGAGCCATACGGCTCTGGCTTGGCATATCCAGCACGTCCATCACCCAGGGCGGTACCACGGTAGCCCTCGGGAGCGACGGGCTTGACGGGAGTGCGGCCGGGGGCCAGGAAAGCTGCTGCGTTGGCGGTGTGAGCCGACATGGGTTGCTGGCGACCGGGACCGCCAATTCCGCCGCCGCCGCCGCCGATCGGGACTTCAGAAGCGCCAACCAGGTCGTCGTGGTCAGGGCTGGGGCCGCGGTTGCGACGTCTCAGGATGAGGAAGAGGGCAGCGCCGATGATGAGAAGACCACCGACGCCGACGCCGACACCAATACCAGCCTTGGCGCCGGTGGACAGGCCCGAGCTATCGGAGGCATGGCTGGTGTTACCAGCCGGAACGCCCGTACCAGAGCCTGTCGGGGCGGTGCTGGTCTCCTGCACACCGGTGGTAACAACAGTCGAGGTGACGGTCAAGGTGCTGGTCGTAGTAACGGTCGTCTTGGCATTGACCTGGTTCGTCTGGGTAATGGTCCTGGTAACAACGGTCCTGGAGGTCTCGGTGTCTCTGACGGTCCTGGTGGTGGTGTCGACAATTGTGGTGCCACCGCCGCCTCCGACGGTCACAGTCACGACATCGGTGACGAAGGCGCGCGCCTCCAAATCGCGCAGAGCCAGATATTGGTTCAGAGACTCGGCATCGACAACCTCGGTGGGAAGAGGATCAACTCCCGTCCTGGGCGCAATCCTGTAATCCCGCTTCTGCGCGGCGGTGGGCGTTTCGAAGACGGTGCTAGTCTCAAAGACGGTCGTGGTGGCTGTCTCCGCGTTGCTGCTAGTAACAGTGGTCGTGGTAAAAGCCGTCGACGTCGTGACAATCGTGGTGGTGATGGTCGTCGTCAGCGTCCTGGTGCTTGTCGCAGTCCTGCCGCCGGGGCCCGTCACAGTCTCGGTCTCAAAGATGGTGGTGGTGCTGTCGTCGGAAGAGCTGCTGCTGCTGCTGCTGCTGCTGCTGCTGCTGCCAGGAGTCGACGAGGTCGGGGGAGGAGTTGTCGAGGATGACGGTGGAGGGGTGGACGAGTCGCCGCCATCGCTCGAGCCTGGAGCGGTGGACGATGAGCCCGAGTCGTCTTGTCGGATCACAACATTTGCATGGACGCTTCCAAGCAGCGCGCCGAAGACGAGTGCCAACGGCAGGCGCATTTTGAAGGAAAATCTCGAGGTGTGGCCAAACTATGCGTCTTAAGGATGAGGCCGTACAACAATGAAAATAGTGGTGTCGAAAGTAAAGTAAGAAAAAAAAATGAAGAATGATGACGATGGCGATTAGGTGCCAGGCGAGTGAAACAAGCGAGTGGAAGGGGTCGGTTAGGATGGAAGCAGCAAGTTCAAGGGCCCTGGGGAATTTGACTGGCGACAAGAGCCAGTGGCCAGAGGGAGAAAGCGAGAAACGGCCCGTTGTTTGGCCATTGGCCGCAGCAGGCACACGCGGACTCCCGGAGAAGCAGAAGCCACGCAGACCTGACAGACTCCGTTTGGGGGTACCCGGTACTTGTGCCAAGGGTACTCGGACAGTCGGGCACGCGGGTATCTGTACGAGCAAAACAGGTCCACAGCATGCCAGTTGACCTCTGTCTGTAATCAGCGATGGATTCTTTTCTTTCTTCTTCCAGTGCGGGTAGTCCGCTAAAGTTCCAGTCCAGCTGTCGCAGTCTGGTGGTTCTACGGAGCACAAGGTGCACTAAAGATGAGGCCGCCCAGAAGCGTCTACTAAGCATCGAGCATGTCTACAGTACAAGTTCAATACGAACTGCGAAACTGTACGTGCACCACCAGGTACCGGTACCCCGTGGCGACACCGCACAGGTATTACTCGTATCGCATTGTCGCGAACACATGAGCAGCACGAGAACGAAAAGCACTTTTTGCGCATTTTCGCTGGGCAGAGCAGAAGGACCCGTTGGACTAGTACGAATGTTGCACGCGGGACTTCAGGAGAGTGAATCAAACAGCAGCGCTTCTGCCCGGTGCAGCTTAGCGGCGAAAAAGTGGCAATGCAGGGACCCCCCCAGAATACGAACTGCTCAGAGAGGGAAAAGGTTCCATTCGATTCATGGAAGACTGACCAAAGGAAGAAAAAAGAGGATCCCCCTCCCCTGAAAAAAGAGAACCGAGGGTCGATGTGAGTTGAAAGCCGAGTCACCTGCCAATGGGGCGAGCAAGTAACGTGTACTCGTATATACAGTACAAGCGAATATTACGATTACCTCACCTGGGTCCATGTTGATGCTACTGTACCAGGTTGATACGCCATGTTGGCAATTTGTTTCATCGTCATTTCATGACCGTCAATGTCAACGTCAATGGGTGATTACCACACCTAGCCCGGTCTCGCTGTAATGCTCGCACAAGTACAAGCAACGCCCGAGGCTATCCATCCATCCATGCTGCAATCGCTCCTCACCTTGCCCAGAACCGTAAGCCTGATCGCCTCGCCCACGAACGAGTCGTTATGCGAAATGACGTGCACCAAGCTGGCACTATTAGACACTAAACCGCCAGTGGTACTTGGTTCGTCATTGATTGTCGAGTGCGTGACCAAGTATTATTGTCTCTCCCTTCCATGCCTCATCTTCAATAGTACAGCGTCCCATTGTTTTGGCAATAAACAACGTGCAGCAAACAATACGAACCCCGAAATTCCAACCAAAAATGTCATCCCATTCCTCCCCAAATCTGCATCAGCCTCCGCCACAAACCCCCGAAATAGGAACCATGAGAAGAAGAAAAAAGCCACAAGATCCAAATGCCCAAAACTAGCCCTGCTTCATAAGATGACCGCCAGGCTGGGAAACGATGATGCCCCAAGCTGAGATTTTGCTGCTATTCTTATTCCTGTATCTGACTTGCGCCGTACTAAAATGACCTAGTAACTTCCCTTTACTGTTTTTTTGCTCCAAACGAGGCGCCCCAACCAAAACGTCTTCGCCCGCTGGAATGCCGGAAGCTGTCAGACTGCATGGAGCTACCCTCGTGACGATCCTTTGGCTCTTCTTTTCTTATCTTTTTTTATTCATGTACATTTTACTTAGGCCCGGAAATCCTTATGGCCGGTAAGATCTTGCTCCCGTGATACCGGATCGGATACCCCGAAAAATCAATGTCACTTGAAGCCGGCCTTTCCTCAGTGCCCTTGCTCTTTATTGTCCCAAGTCATAGATCCGTATATAAAAACCCCCGTATTTATGAAGAAAATACAATAAAACAGTGAAACATTCGAAGGGGGGCGTGACCACCTGCCTCATTTTGCTGCAAAGTCGACGATTGCTGATGCTACTAGCCAACAGCGGCATATGAATTTCAGACGCTGCTCCGCAGCGACAGAAAAGCCGGCATTATAACCTCCACATGTACGTGACAATACAAGGTATGCTGGACGGTAAGACGTCAGTTAGGCTATTACAGCTGACACTGGCGTCAAAGGCGTTCTAAATCGGGCATCCCAGCTTGATCGGCAGGTAGTATTATCAAAAGTTTTATTCATCCAAATCTTGATCGACATTTTATTCTGCTTTAATACTTGTAACCTGATAGTAATCACACAAGACGAGAAACGTATATACACAATACACATACTCGGATAGTTATAGATATATATATCTTGTACAAGTCATCTCTCATCAGCCTGCTCCATCCCCTTATATCCCATCCTCCTCTTCTTTGTCAAAACCCCCCCTCGGGCCCCTCTCGCCAACAGTAAGTTACGTGTATGCGTCCAGCGCAACGACTTTTATGGGAATTATTACGTTTATAAAAAGAAAAACTTTCTCCATCCACCACTGAGAGAGCAAGCCCTGGTATCATGAGAGGGGACAAGAGCCGACAAAGGGAAACAAAAATTGAGAGGAAAGCAAAAAAGGGGGGCACTGCTGTAGTAGTAGTATCGATCGATCTCGCCGCGGTGGAGAAGAAACAGGGAAAGAAATGGAGAGGCCGTTGACAAAGAGATTGAAACAATCGTAGGCACTTTAAAAGTTTTCTTTGCCCCAGACGAACGAGAACCTAGACGGGAATCATGATTAGTTTACACAGAGAAGAAAAAAAAAACCAGAGATGATAGATGAAACGAAAGACTTACTCAGGATCCGTATACTTGTTGCAGTAAACGTGCAGGGAACTTCCCAGACCCTTGGGTCCACAGAAAAACACACCCGCCTCGCAAGGAGTGTGCAGCTTCCGGATCCCTCGGAAAATCATGTCCCAGTTGGGCCGCCCAAAGTTGGTCGGGCTCCTCAGGCCCGTAATGGCATCTTTGTCGGCGTTGGCATCGTTGATCATGATGTTGGTCGCGTCGTCCGCCTTGATCTTGGCCGTCAGGTACGTGTGGATCTCGATGCGGTTGTCCACGTCCTGCGCCTCGACCGCCAGCAGCAGCGAGCGGAACCACTCGAACGAGCCAAAGTCTCGGCAGATCCAGAAGAAGTAGACCTTTCGCAGCCGCGTCTTCTGCTGCGGGTAGTTCATCCGGTACCAGATGGACTTGAGGATCGAGGCAAAGGGCGTCACGCCAATACCGGCACCGACGAGAACCGCCACCTCGTACTTGAAGACGTCCTCCGATGCAGATCCGAAGGGGCCGTCGACGTAGACCCTGGGCAGGACACGCTTCAGGGCCGGATCATTGGTCTCGTCGCCGGCAACTCCAACTACCTTGCTCGAGCTGCCCTTCTTGTCCCATTCGCAGCCCAGCATAGTCGAGACGGCCATGGTAAAGTCACCCTGGCAACGCATGTGGATGGAAATGTAGTCCTCCTCGGGGGCACTGGTCAACGTAAAGGGGTGATACTGCCACAGCGAGACCGCCGGGCAGCAGAAGAAGATGTACTGTCCAGCTCGAGTCTTGGTGTGCTCCTTCTTGATCTGAATCTCGCAGACGTTGCTGGGGTGCTGGATGACCTTTGAAATGTACGTCTTGTGGCGTCCTCGGATTTCACGGGCAATTCTCTCCGCCAGGTAGATGAAGCCTCCGTACATCCAGTACTGCCAGAACACACCAATGGCCGAGGGTCCGATGCTCGTGCAAAAGGGCGCCACGTCGGGCTGGATCATGCAGTAGGCTCCGTGGATGGCCCAGAAGATGAAGAAGACGATGAACATGTGGTGGGTATACCAGAATCGCTCGTAGTTGGCGCGTCGGGGCTTCTCGATCGAGGTGAAGACCATGCCCATGAGGGCAATCAGCATCACGTATCCAGTCCAGCCAGGGCCCGAGGCAAAGTTGGCAAGCAGCCAGCCGTAGATTCCAAGGTTGTTCTTGGCCGCCACCTGGGCAAAGTTGTTCCAGTGGGCAATGGTGTGCACCCACGAGAAGAAGACAATGGACCAGGCTGTCGTGATGTGGAACGTGATGTTCTTGTCGAACTGGATGACACCGTTGAGAGGAGTCTGTCGGAGGAGTGAGATGAGAGTTCTGCAGACGGGGAAGAGGATGATGCCGACATCGACGTGGAGGACCAGGGCGGCCGATCGAGCAACGACGAATGTGAAGCCAAAGGTAGCTCGAGATGTCGCCAAGCTGTCCTTGAGACCGTAGTGGACGCAGGCAAAGGCAAAGATGAGGGCATGGGCCAGCATGAAAACGAAGACGAATCTGTTCGCATTGAGTCAGTAACCGAGTTTCTTGTTTTGTTTCTTCTCTTTCCCCCCCTGCTTCACAAAGTCCGTCTGGGAGCAACGTACACTCTTCGGTATCCTTCGTTAATCATCCATCGATCAAACTTTTCTCGCGCCGTCAGCTCTTGCTGCTTCTCCTGTGTCATTTCTCCCGAGAGCAACATGCGCGTCAGGGGGGTCCATCTGGAGCGCTCCGTCGGCCGCTCATAACTCTCGTATTTTTCGTAGTCCATTGTGATGCAAAGGTTGTGGCTGGTTGGTCGGCTGTCGCAATTCGGACGTATACCCAAGAGTTTCGAGTGAAACCTCTTGCTCTCTATCCCAACAAACGGTCGGTCACGGTATAGTCTCTATAATTATCCTTCAGTTCAGAAGCGATCGACTGGCGCAGGCAGTATCGGTGGTTCAGATCCCGCTGAACGAGCAGCAGCCTGTCGAATAAGAGAGTGGAATGACTTGAAGTCAAAAAGAGGACCGGTGCAAGCACACACGGCTGTAAATATATAAATAAGAGAAACGAAGGAGAGGAAGCAATCCCGAGATCTGCAGAAACCAATAGTAGTCAGTACCAAAGCATCAAAGGAGAAGAGAACCCGCCTCGCATCCAAGAGCAATCGGCGCATTAACACCAAAAAGCCAGCACAGGGGAATTCACATACCACAAGATTTAACAATGCAAACTCGACCTTGCCTTGCGATCAACGCAACCCACGGAAGAGAATCCAAACAACAGACAACAAAAAGAGAAACTAGAGATGAAAGAACAAATAAAAAGAGTCCAGACTTTCGCACCACCGAAGTCGTAAGAGACCGAGACCGAGACCCTCCACCCCCGGGGGTTACGAGTAACGCCAAAAACAGCAGCGAGCACAGCCGGGGATTCGCTGCCGCGTCCCTGTTACAGGTTGCAGAAGCTCGTCCATGCAGCGAAAATACACGCAACGACTGCCGGACATGGGCCCCCGTTGCTAGCCAATTAGCGGCCGGCCAGCCGGGGTCTCGAAACAGACCATTGACGGTTGGTTTGATGCCAAGGGCGCCTTTTTTTTTCATTTTCGTTTTGGCGGCGAGTTACCTGTCTAGCCCGCTGAAAGCACTTGTACGAATACTATGTACTTGTGTAGGTGATTGTCGGGGGACCAGCATCTGGAAGCCCGTACCGGTGGGATATTATGGCAAGTCGATGCTATTCCCGACCCGAGATCTCTCCATCGTTGTCTCTTTTCGTGATCCATCTCCATTACAGCATCTTCATCGTAAAATCAACTTCTACACGGAGGATTCTCCCATATTGAACACGGAGCTGCTTAGACCCAAAGGACCACCGGACATTCTCCACCTCAAAAACCCCCCCGAAGCGAGAAAAGCCCCCCTAGATTCCCTTCAGCTTATCGAACGCCTCTCGAAATCAAATCGCAATCTTTCTGGTCAAAAGAATCCAGCAAATGGAAGCAATCAAAAACATGTGTGCAAGCGCAAAACGCCAGGTCCCTCGAGTTTCAAGACTTGTGGAAAATCGTTCGACTTTTTTATCCTGCCGTTTTACTTGTCGCTCCTCCCCCGTGGTCAATTAATTCCCCGCATGCATTAATGGCTGCGAAAGGAGGCTGAGCGCGAGGCTACATGAAACAAGATGCGACAAAAGGTGTGACGAAGATGCCCTTGGCGCTTGCCGCCCGACCCGGGCTTTCTCTTTTTCCTTCTCTCCAACTTATGAAGCATCTCTTGTTTATTAATTCATATTTAATCATATTGACGAATTTCTTTTCTTTCATTAGCTAGTATCGGCAGGACTCTGTGCTCTTCTTTTCCCGTTTGTTTCCTACCGACCTGGCGCTAATCTCATGGAGTGTCCCGTGCATTCCCTGCCTGGTTGCGCATAACCCTGCAATATCGAGGACATGGACACACCATCCTTGGATACCACCATTGCCTACCACTTTATTCTGACCATACTGCACTCCATGTCAGAATCTCTTATAGATTAGCGCCAAATCCTCCGCAACGCATGACATTCTCCCTTTCACATGGACGTTGATTATCTGCCTGCTTTCCCAGAGGCTTATCCGTCCATTAACAGGTATTGCTTGGAGATCTATTTTAGGTAGACGAACTCCATATGTATTCTATCCTTTCCATACGAGACTACGCCGCCGTAACGTTTGACTACCTATACCATATCTCAACGAATCATTCTTCACACTCTACTGCTTTCTCTAGAGGCAACACTTTTACGCACAACTTCACTTGCAACTCGACAGCACAATTCACAATCGTCATACATCACACACAAGTAAACCATTCTTATAGACGCGTTAAATCAGATGCCTGTTGTTGGATGCAGAGTACACGTTGTTGATGCAAACCCAAAGTCAAGTCCAGCCGCATAAAGCCCTTGAATAGCGGATATTTCTGTCTAGTCTGCCACCTGTCCGCCGGCCATGCGTCGTCTCACCCCCAGCATCATAAACGTGGTGCACCCGAAGAGATGATGAGAACAGCAAGGAGAAGAAAGAAAAAAACTTGCACTGTCCGCCTTCGAATACCATCCCCGCACCCGCTTATAACGTAGAGGCTCGCCAAACATGCCGCACCGTCATTGCGTGATAGAGGACGTCAAACACCCAGCGCCATCAAAACCCCTTAAAAGAAACCGTTTGGTATTGCCTAGACGGCGTACTTGCGGGTCCATTCCCGAGCGGTCGCCTCGTACCGGGGCCGGTCGGTCTTGTACACGTGCGCAATCTCAGGCACAAGGGGATCATCGGGGTTCGGGTCTGTCAGCATAGAGCAGATGGAAAGGAGAACTGTTGTGTGATTTCCTTGTCAGCGGTTTTATTTCACAGAGTATCATCTCATCGAGATGATTAACATGGTAGCCTACCTTTGGAAATGGTCAGAGCAGGGCTCCACTGGTCTCGAAGAATATCGAGGCAGATGCTGCCGTTGCTGTTGATGTTGGGGTGGTAGATTCTGGTGGAAAAGTTGACTTTCGGGGGCTTGAAGGGGTAATCCGTAGGGAACTGAATCTTCAGGAAGAAGACGCCTCCTGAGTATGGTGAATCACCCTATGTCGTGTCGTTAGTCGTCCATCTTGTCAAAACGGCGTTGTCGGCAGGGCCATCTGTTTGTTCATCCCAAACGACAAAGTGCCGTCAGGATCAAACAAAGCCATGCTTAGAATCCATGGGCATCAACTCACGGGACCCATAATGGTAGCTTGCCAGTGAAACTGCAGGAAATGTTAGCTTATCTTGGTACACACAACGTCGTTATCGTTCCACGCGAACAACAGCCATCCTCTGATGGGAGTTGACGCATGGAAACAAGGCTCCCGACTTACCAGATCTTCTCCAACAGGACCAGCGGAGCAGGATGATGGCGGGTCACTAGTCGATCGACAAAGTCAGCATACATAACTCGACGCTCTAGATCAAGTGCGACATGGTGCCAGACACTCCAGACATTCCAGAAGTCGAACATCAAGCCCATGCCGTTGAGCTGGTGAGACCCCCGCTCAGCATAGCCCCACCTCACACGACGGCTTGGGCTGCAAACGACGACACTCCTGACGAAAGTATCCAAAGAGAGGCACCAAAGGGGCGGGGAGAGCAGGTGCCAAGAGACGGAGAAGAAAGGAAGACGGGAGAGGGGAGATTTACGTGCCGAGGTCCTTGAGCTCCTTGTTGATGCGCTTCAGGGCCATTGTGATGAGGGTATGTGGTATCTAAAAGGGTGGTGGAAGATCGATCTCGGATCGAGGCTGGCAGAACTGGCGTCAGTATTTGCTTTCCCGGACTGGTCGGGTCACGATGCGGAGACGGTGCAACTCACAGGCAAAGAAAGAATCAAAAGATCCTAGGCGGACGTTGGAGACGATGCAAGGCGACCGTCTGCAAGTCCAGAGCGCTAGGTAGAGGCTTTATCTGATCGGGGGTGCAGAGTCCCTGATGGCGGTCCTGTGCAGATCGAGTTTGTATGTCGAAAGCAAAGTGGAGGGGTTGGAAGGGAAGAGAAGAGAAAGGCACAGTAGGAGTCGTAGTAATGAGTACAGTCAGTAGCGGTAGCCACCAAAAGAGCGGGCTTGCACACGGCCAGTGGCTGCGAACCCACGCACACAAACCACTAACAAACTGGGTAACTAAGCAATAGCAAGGCCGAAAAGAGTCCAGTTTTTTTTTTCTTCGATTTTTTTTTTTTTTTTAATAAATTCCCCAGCCTTGGGCCACACTGGTGGCTAAGAAGACACCGCCACTGCAAGCTGCTGCTTAGGCCGTGACCTGGCCACTAACAAATGTGCAGCAGATTTACGCGCAAACGGCGATAGCAGCGAGGGGACTTTCACTCGCTGTCACGGCCCAAAGGTGACATGTCGCCGCCATCCATGTCTTTCGCTCAGCTTCGACGGCTGGAAGCGCCAAAACCGAGGCGTGACTGATGCCTTTGACGCTTCTTACGGGAGGCACCGTGATGGCCGGGACGTGCACACACATAACACACTTGACATCCATACATACAAAGCTAGGCACCTTATGTCAGGATGACCAAAGCCGAGGGGGGCTAACCTTGTGATTGATTACATGACAACATGAAGCCCCCTTTCCTTTTCATACCGCTAGTAGTTGCGATGCTAGGCACACACGGCGCTTGGCGTGCTTTCTAATACGGACGGCCAGCTTTTGCCTCAGGGACGGAGACGCGGTAGCATCCCGAATGGAGTAGTTGCTCTGTCTGGCCGGCGATGAAATCGCACGGAACTGTCACGGCAACCCCACGGTGGGGTTTCGGAGAATCTCGCTCCAAGGTTTACGCTTGGTGGTGTTCGACTCAAGCCATTCGTAACTTTAACATCTTGTCCCGAATCACGGACCGAACGCTTGATAATAGATATAATAGATGCTACTATGGGTAAATATTCATGACTTTTGGCCTTAGGTAGTCTGGCAAAGGATGTTGGCGTTCATAGCACTTAATATACGTGTTATACCATACGTTCTGTATGTGATTATATGCTTTTATTTCATCATCTATATTGCTAGCCTATTTTACACAAAGGCTTGTATGCCGGTAATCGCCCTGCCCAAGATCAAACTGTGGATATCACTCTGTCCCTCGTACGTCTGCGTCACGAACAGGTTCGCCACATGTCTTCCAATGTGATACTCGTCGCTCACAGCGTTTCCACCAAAAATCTCCTGCAGCACGCGAACATTGCGCAAGGCTGAATCACAGTTCTGTCTCTTAACCATGCTGATCATTTCGGGAGTCATCTTGCCCTCGTCCTTGAGCCTACCGACCTGCACCGCGGCTAGTGTGCCATAGGCGGCATCTGTGGCAGCATCGGCGAGCTTCTTCTGAATAAGCTGGTACCTAGCCAGAGGGTTGCCCTTGAATTGCTTGCGTTCCAAGGAGTAGGTACGAGCTCGAGCAATGGCGTCCTCCAGGGCGCCCATGACGCCGAGCGAGATGCCGTATCTAGCGCTGTTGAGGCAGCTAAAGGGTCCCTTGAGGCCTTCGACGTCAGGGAACATGTTGGCTTCTGGCACCGGGACGCCGTCCATCTGGATCATGCCCGTGATGGAAGCTCGGAGCCCGTTCTTGTCCTTGATGGCTGGTGTCTCGAGTGTTCCAGGCGGGCAGTCCTTTCTCTCAATCAAGAAGCCCCTAATCTTGCCCGTCTCTTGCAGCTTGGCCCAGACCAACAGCACGTCGGCAATTGGGCTGTTGGTGATCCACGTCTTGGCTCCGCTCAAGGAGTAGTATCCCTTCTTGGTCGGGTGCGGCTTCGCAACACTCTCCATACTACCCGGGTCGCTACCGTGATTAGGCTCCGTCAGGCCAAAGGCGCCAATGAGCTTGCCCCTGGCCATCTCGGGGAGGAATCTCTCCTTCTGCTCCTCGGTGCCGAACTCGTGGATGCCGCCCATGACGAGGGACGACTGCACCGACATGCCAGACCGGTAGCCGCTATCGACTCGCTCGACCGCTCGTGTAATCAGACCGCCGGCCACCGAAGAAACGCCAGCGCATCCGTAGCCCTTGATGCTGGAGCCAAGCAGGCCTAGCTCGCCCATCTCTTCGAGGATCTTGGGGTCATAGTGTTCGTCTCGGTAGGCCTCTGGAGGAAGAGAATCAGCAAGTCAGCAATGCCGCACGAATGGCAAATATGAAGCAGCATCATGTAAATGAAAAGAGAGGGGGTGACGCCATACGCAAGACCCTGGGCTGTAGCCGTTCCTGGCAGTATCGCTCTGCGGTTTCTGCAATGGCCTGCTCTTCCTCGGTAAAGAGGTTATTCGCATTGAGGGGATCCTCCCAGTTGAACGTAGCGTAGCTTCTCGCCGCGGCCGGTCTCGCAACAGCCGTGCGGGCAAATGCTCTGAAGGATTGTCGCAACATGGTCAATCGGATCCGTCCTCGTCTGCGAAGGGTGGAATTAGAATTGGAATTGGAATTGGCACAGCCGTGTACATGTTTTAGTTTGAGTTGAACGAGGCACCCGCTGCGTTATGTATGATTCGATTCCATTAGGTATTCAGTCGGCTAATACTAGCATCATCCTCTCTGCTCCTCGGCAACTTCCCCAGAATCGCGCCCTTAACGCGCTAAGTCCAAGCACTAATCCGATGAAACCCGGCCATTGCCTTCTGTGGAGGGCGCTGGAACGACATTCGTTGATGCAAATCTCCACCGGAATCTCCACCGCCGCCGCGGCACATGATGCGCTTGCAATTGCTCCGGACGATGCCTTAGTAGGTACTAGTAGGCGTCATCCGAGCAGGCTAAAAATGGAAGATATTCGGAGAAACGGTACAAGCAGATGTTTATAGGGAACATACATGTATTCAGTCTCAGTTCCACTCCGATGTCGGGATTCAGGGATGGGTTGCTGTAAGTACCTACCTTAGGCATCCATGAGGTACATGAAGACTCAATATGGGTAGGTGTGTTCATTATCTTTCTAGTATCTGCTCGTGGATTCAGCAAGTGATATGGTGTACTACTTATGGCCGAGTAATTCCCATCTCTTTGTTTATAAGACAGACGCATCTTCACCATATGTACCTGCCCCAACAAGAGATGGCATAGACTCCAAAGAATTGAAAGAATACCTCTTATCAATACAGACAAAGCCCTACTCTCTAATCTTATTCCAGAAGTGGCTGCACAGCTGTATCAACAAAGAATCATACCCTCGCCCTGAACCTCAACTCTCGCTTGAATCACCTTTCTTTGTCTCCCTCCTCCCTCTCCTTCTTGTAAGCCTGGCTCAGCCTATCCAGGTCAGCAGTCGCCAAACACGATTCCAGCCACCACTAGCGGGCCTGCTCCTCGTTCTCCCACAGGAGTGCTTTGTCGAGGGCTCCCAATGTCAGAAGGGCTGTGCCGTTCTAGCGAGCCTCGCGCTCTTCGTCTCCTCTCTCGTCCGTCTTGGAACCTCGGCATGTTAAGCTGAGCGGTTGCTGAGCCTCGACAGGATTTTGGAGATTCCCAGGGCCGTCGGCGGCGGAAACGGACAGCGATGCGTTCGCGGAAACTGTAGCCTGGTGGTGTGGTAGGCTGCGAGCGAGAACCACGCCGACTATATTGGTGCTGCCATCCTCCCACTTGGCGCGAAGTTGCCTTATAATATCTTATTAGTTGCCTGGCTACGTGCATATGGAAATTCGTAGGCAATTAATTACCCAAGGCTGCCTTGTAGAGTGATTCAAATCCGGACACGATATCATGCACTGATCAATCATGCCCGGCGAGCCATCCTGTGTGGTGGCTGGCCACAGCTGTGAAGCCTGTATAGAATTCGATCTTGGTAGCCCTCGATCTCCCGAAAAGAGCTTGCCACTTTGCGGTGGGCTCATATCGACAGGCCCTTCGGTTGGTTGGGTTTGGCTCAGTAAAGGAGAAGGTTGACTAGAGGGTCGTGCTGGCGATTCGGGCGATTCGTTCGAGTTATTGTTCATTTTCGAGGACTCCGTGAGATGTTGCCGGCCGGATCGCTAGGGGGTTTGGGTGAGGGAGCAGCTGGTTATAGATGCCTTGAAGTGGAGTTGTTGCGATATTTGACTGCGACAAGCGCCATCTAGGGACATGTATTCAGTCAAGAGTCAGAATGATTCAGGGTTGGGAAAAGGGGTTTTTAGCCACGCGCAATGCATGCGAAGTAGCCTCCCACCAGAGGTTCGTACCTTCCAAACTGCCATGTTGTCACCAAACAATGTGAACGTTAACACAGCGGCTTATAGGCCCACGTAACTTGCAGCTGCCTTCCAGGCTATTTTTCATGAAACGACACTGCCACTGATCATCCTATTAAAACGAACCGTCCACGCCAGTCATCATATAACTGTGCCGCCTCTTGTTTTTGCATGGAATTGGTCGCATATTGAGCGACCAAGCTCGCCGCAGCAGTAACTTGCAACCCAACGTTGAATGGTAGGAAAGGTTGGTTCATCAAATGCTTGGAATCTGCAAGGATAGCTGTCGACAGAGATTCTTGCCTCTTGAGATCGGAACCTGATGCACTTGCTGACACGAGTTCTCGTACGTTCACAAGAACTCGGACTATGCGTTCAAAATCAGCAATGTGGTCAGGACGGGCAAAATTGAAAGTTGCTCCTTGGCCGTGACCCAGGTTTACGCCGCTAATTTTCCGCTGCTCGATAGTCTCATGGCCCAAAGTCTCCCCTTTAATCGTCTGATTGTCTTCTAAAAGAAGTGTGTCGATGACATGGTCGAATTCGGTTTTCTCACGATGCAAAAAGGGCATCTCCATCCAGGTCTGAGACCCGAGGAATGACATCTTGCGAGTAGATAGTGTCACGTGGGACTACAGAGAAGTAAGTATAGTGTCCATGGCATTTTGCGATTGAACATCCTTCTAGCTTACCATAAAAAACCGTAGCTGCCAGAATATCTCGAAAAACGGCGATTCCTGACAGCCTTGAGGTCCAACCTGTTCCAAGAGGCCTAGAGCGCCATAAGCATGAGGGAACCAGGAATCGGTAGCGAGAGGCGCCATCATCTCGAATTCCAAAAGTGCCATTGACATGAGAAGAAGATTTAGAATGGAAGCCAGGTGTTGATGTCTCTGCCATGGAACAAGCTGGTGGAGTTGGGCCTGATGACGCTCCAAGCCGCTGGAGTAATATTTATACGCCGCGGCTTTCAACGAGGCATCATTCTCTGGAAGGGCTCTAAAAGCCACTTTCATGGCTTGGAAGGGTAGCAACATTCGCGATTGAAAGTCCGCCGAGAGTGACAATCGAGGAATCGACAAGAACCATGGATGAGGCGTCCACGGTGATAAATGGTACGATCCGATTTCGACGGCAAGGCGAGACACCACTTCATGTGCGCTACTGCTGATACTAGGCGGGATTGTGCACATATTTGTCCGCTTTGTATTGGATTCATCAGCACACGCTCTTTTCAGGTGATGAGGCAGCCTCTTACTTGATGGCCCCGAACCGGGCGAACGAGCTGCCGCTGCTGTTGTGACTGAGACTCTTGACGACTGTTAATAAAAGACACGCGGGTGCCTCATAATGTGGTTTACTTGCCATCTACACTATGGATGAAAATAAGGCCTTCGGTCGACCCAGGACACTTCTTGTTCAGCCGTGTGCATTGAGAGCAGTTTGGTAGCTTGTTGTCACACTAGACCTCAGTTAGTTCTGTCTTCTCTCCTCAGCTGTGTAACTTTTGCTTGCTTTTATTTTTCTTCTTCTGCATGTCTGGCACGCATGGACTCTCTGAGAACCCAGTCTCATTTTACCTTGGGTAAGAACCAGGCTTTCTCCTATTTCAATGCATAAGTGTGGAATGTATATGTAGGTGAGAAGAGTCGCGATCCACAGCTAGACGCCTCAAGTTGGATGAAATCGGATGAGTAAGCAGCCTGATTTAATACTGCATGAACAATGACCCTCTGCTCGCCGCTCGTCTCTGGCATAAACACTGCTAAACTCCGTATATTCGATTTCAAATCCCCCTTCTTCATTATGAGACCCAGAAGAGGTCATTTAGCAAATAATAAGAATGATGATGATGGGTGCTTGTACTTTACACATGACATGGTTTCCTTACTGAGCACTCCGTACATGTATTCTATTGCTACCCTCTCAACTGGCTTATGTCTTTCATTACAAATTCCTCGAAAGAACTCTCTTCCACCTCAGACGTAGAATAAAATGAAAAAGGAAGGGTTGATGATCGCAGTACGCGTAGACGGCTAGGCATCATTAAAAATCGACAGAGACCTAGAGATTGTCCCTTCGCTTCCTCTGTCTCTCAGTGATTTAAATCGCTCCTGGCTCGAATCTTCTCCCCCTGGAAATACACCCAAAGGGGCAGCGGGATACCTATTGCGATGCTCAATCCGCCAAGGAAAGAATATGTTCCCCCCAGTCCCATCGCATCAATCATTTGTGGGGCGAATAGGGGGATGGCGAATGCAAGCAGCGAGCGAGCGAGCGAGGCAGCGGCCAGTGCAGCAGCCGAGTATTTGAATGCGTCGATGAAGTACAGCTGCAGTGGCAACAGGATGGACATCATGCCGAATCCAAAAATGGATGATCCAATGATGGGCAGCATCCAGTGTTGATGTGTCTGTGCTGTCCAGCCGAACCAGAAGAGCCCGATGGGGACAGCAACGGAACCGAGAAGCATTCCCGGCATGCGAAACTCGGGCTTTTGGATGCCGCCATTCTTTTTGGTCAACTATTGACCGAAGCATTCGTGTCAGTTCGTTTATAGGAGATGCGTGAGGGAAATTCCGGCACTCACATTGTGGTAGACGGTGTTTCCAACCCATCCGCCCAAAGCTGTGGCACACAGCTCTCCAAGTCCGCCTCCTATGTATGTCAGACCGGTTGGTCCAGGTCTAAATCCATATATCTCGCCAAATATCGTTGGAAAAGTCGTGAAAAACATGTTGAGGAAGCCGTAGACGCTGTAGGCGATTGTGGTCAGTAGATAATTTAGAAGCGTTTCGAAATGAAGATACTAACAGTGCTCCGTAGAAACTCAGGATAAAGCAAATGGGACTTCTCGTGAGAAGCACCAAAGGACGTAGAGCTGCTTCTCTAGCTGGCCCCGTCAGGGGGGTAGAAGATTGTGTGCGCTTGTCCTCAACCGACGTCTCTGGCTTTTTATTGAAGAGCCCCGTTATTCCTCCACGCTGCGGACCACGTTTTGATCGGATGATTGCATGATCAGTCTCTGGAAGAAGAAACACGCTGAGTACCAAGGCTACAGCTCCAAGAGCGGCCGTGAGAACAAATCCATACCGAACTCCAACCGTCTGTGTCAAATATCCTCCCATAATGGGGCCAGTCGGTGGTCCTATCAGTAAACCCAAGCCATAGATAGCGCTGGCTGGGGCTCGCTCCTCCAAGATGTAAAGATCTGCTATGACAGCTCCCGCAATAGATATCGGTGTCGACGCTCCGAGGCCAGCCAAGAACCGAAAAGCAATCAGTTGTCCAGTTGACTTGGCAAAAATGCACCCAATGCTGAACGCGGTGAATATGACGCTCGATATGTTAATCACCCACCGCCGACCATACATCTCAGACAAAGGGGCAAAGGCGAGTGGGCCAAGTGCCCAGGCCAGGAGATATATCGTCAGAGTCAACGCTAGAACGGTGTCAGATTTGATGTTGTATTTTTCTGCCAATTCTGGTAAACCGGGAGCCATGATGGAACTCGCAAGAGGACTGCAGAAAGTAAGAGAGAGAACATCCATGTACAGTCATCTGATGGTGAGAACTTACGAGATGAACGCTTGGAAAGAGACCAGGCCAATTGTCTGGTACTTTTTTGATCGAGGCCAGTTTAAAGGATTATCTTTTGGCTCCCGCCATGCTTGATCAGTGTCTTCAATCTCCGAGTTCAAGACTGACGGAGCCGTAGCAGCTGATTTCTCCATATCTGTGGTCTCCATGATGGCGATTCGCTAATTTCCCTTTGGATGCCATTTTTGAGAGCATGTTTCCGGTATTTATAATCATCGTGAGAGGTGATAATGAAGAGTTTTGCAAGTTACGGTAAGAAAGAGGCTGTCAAGTCCTCGGTACTCTAACTTTATACAGAAGAATGGGCCAAGGGGAAACATAATGGGATATCAAGTCATGGCCAGAGGCGTATGAATGAAGAGGCAGCTCGGGAGTCTAACCTATTCAGGATAGTGTAATTCTTGGTCAACACATTGAACCTCAAGCTGGAGAAATGGCACGAGGAACTACGGAGTACTTCATGTTCTAAGCCAAGAGCTCATTTAATTGGCAACTCTTGTTGGGTGTAAATGCAAGAGAAATCTATCCCAAGATTCCAAATTGATAGAGTCCATAATGTAGGCTGCCTTGAAATGTCTCTTAGTTCATCGTGGCCTTGAAATATTAGATGATTGTGGTTCTTATAGGGTAGCTAGTGGGATTTTGATGACTATCAAGAAAGCTGAATCAAACGGCGGCACATAGGTATGGAGAATTGAATATCCAAGATGCTGTTATCTAGTGTGAGTAAGATTTGGACAAAAAAGCTAGTGTATATGGTTTGTGAGAGTGGAAGGGGAAGCATGGAAGCGTCGGATGTACGAGCATAATCGTAGCATCACATGTTGGCTGTTGGTTGAAGCTCGATCTTACAGGCGATCATGTGCACTACAGAGGTACATGCAGGTATTCCCACGGAGTGTCCGCATATAACGGCACGAAATCAACGACACTTGGGCACACAACTACTGTGTTATGTACAGTACGATACATGTTAGATGGCGATTGTACTATCTCACTCGAAACTCCGTGAACACAAGAACCTTGTTCCGTGGGTTGTGAAAAGATCGACACGACTGATCATGACGTCGATGACGCCATGGTACTCAGACCAAGGTACCTCCACTGTCTCTCGGTCAAGGAGCTGCTGACCTTGATGTTTGCTTGAAGAAAGTATGTACGAGTATGATGGTTGGAATTAAGGCACATTCACATGTAATACTGAGAGTGTACGTACAGGTAAGCACGCAGTAGACGTTTCACTGTCCTGCGCAGACGACAAGTTGCTCGAGTAACCTGAGGCTGCCCCCTAGGAAGTTTTACTATAATATTATCCGTGTGTCGGCAGATGCATCCTTTTGAAGCAGGCGATGCGACATGGGGGCGACGGCGACAGGGCATCGATTACCTACAGCCTAAAGAAGAAGCTTCAATTCTTCTTGTCCGTGGCCTGGTTCTCCTCCCTCTTCATCCTTCTGTGTCCTGTCCCGGGCTTTGCCTGTGCGCGTCCAACACAGTAACAATCGGGTTCCACCAGCTCTTCTAGAAGAACAGGGAGACTTGTGCATCGGTAGTAGAAATGAGAACTGGAGACAGGATTCAGGGATGGCGACAGCAATGTTTCTGAGCGAGAGGGGCTGAGTGCTTGTGCACGGCGCCAAGATATTACCAGTATTTATGCGCTGGCCCGGCAAGTTTCGGCCGGCATGGCTTAATATAATGGGAGAGGCAGTGCTGACAGGGCCACCTTTTTCCCTATGGATTTTTTATTTGGGTGGCAGGAATTGATTACGGAACATGGAAGCTCAAAGCAGAGTGGATGGGCGAGTGCGATTTGATCCGTATTCGATTTGATCCTTTAAACGTTAGGTTAGTGCCAAGCAGAGATGCTCAGGGGGGAACGAAGTTTTAGGGAGTGTCCAATTTGATGTCAGTGTGCGGAGTTACCTGTTGGTGCGTGATAAATACAGCGCAAGGACGGGTACCACCATTTCGGCTGGAATGGAACATTAGCCCTGCCGCCAATCCGCAAGGCCGTGGAAGTTGTGCAGCCGGCGCCATGATACGATCGTCCAGATACGGAGTAGCAGTTCTTAAGTCCATGTGAGGAACTCCGGAGTTGAGTCTTGAATTGTTTTTATTTTCTCTCTGTCACGACATGGGCAGATTGGACACCATGATGCTTCTTAGTAAGCCGGTTTCACCCATGCGGAATACGATGGATGGATTTGTTTGCTCTCGTCTCCCCCCTGTTTGGTGCGGGCATGTTGGTGGAACGGTTTGAAGGCATTGGGCCAGAGCGCCAGAGCCTCCTGTAAATCATTTCTGCGAGTCACCATACGAGCAATACCGCCAACTTTTCCGCTTCGGCATCCAAATGCGCACCTGTGCAGTATCTGCTCCATTATAATTGATCTTACGCGTACGTACGAGTATGAAGACAGTACCTTAGCGGTACATGCACATGCAAGTCTGCCGTGGCACGCGCGCTGGGGGACCACGATGCGACAAAATCTTGGCCAGCGCACAAAAAGCACTGCCTCAGATCAGCAGCGCGAACTCAGCTGAACCAGGTCCAACGCTGGCTGGCACCAAAAGACTGTCACTGTGTGTGAGCCCATCCATTGTCCATCCAGTAGCAGAAGCAGTAGCAGAGGTTCAGTACATCCAACTATTGATTCCATCTATCAAATGATATCAATCCCGTGCATGTTGAGTCAACATTCGTGCTGCCGTGATGATGGACTCTCACAGCGGCTGAGCGGCCGCCCACTGGAGCCTCTCCATAATAGCATCCATCGGCAGGGCTCCAGTGTGCTATGCAGCAAGTCTCCAGGTTTTTCCAAGTTTCATGGATGTTCAAGCAACAAGTTCCCATCAACTTCACGCTGATCCATTTTTTCCCTCGCCCATTTCCGCTGCCAACCCCCTTGACCCATTAGCGCAGCCCGGAGGAAACGACAAACCCGCCACTGCCCAAGACCAGCCTCATTTCAATTTTCCACGTTGGACCCCGACAGCCCGCTGCCAGATTGTCCCTGGTAGGGCCAGAAGGGCAAGGTACAGTAAGAGTAAGCCTCCGAGCGCTGCGTTTTGCGTGTTCGTGTTCCAACGTTGCTCGTTCTCTTTCCATTTCCATTTCCATCACACCAGACATCATCGATACACCAAAATCCGAGCAAACAAACAGCACCAGACATCACAGCTCAGCACTGCACAGCACAGCGCAGCCCCCCCGAAGAGCCCTAAACGTGCACTCCAGCTCTCCCCTGGCTGGCCCTTCTAGGCGCCGTCCCTCGCTGCAGCCCCCGGGCTATTCGTCATCCAATCCCCCCCAGCGCTGCGCCAGTGGGTCGGCGCGCCAGTCTTTCCTCGCTGCTGCTGCTGCGTTAGTTCTGCTTGTCTCTGCCCAATCTCCTGCACCATCCAATCCGCGAGAATCAAGCCCGGTGCAACGACCTTCTTGGCCGCTGCCAGCAATCCCCCATCCCATCACCACTCACATTCACCCCGTCGATCCAGGAAGCATCGCTCAATTGGTAGCATTTAGCACCCGCCTGCCGCTCGCGTCCGCCGTCGCAGCGAAATGCCCTCGTTCTTGACCCAAGACAACCCGACAGTCTTTTCCAACGGCTCCGTAATCAAGCTCAGCGACCACTTCGGTGCAAAGGACCAGGCGAATGAGGCTTCCATAACCGACGCCCGGTCCTACGCCGTCCATGAGCGCTTCGACGAGAGCTCGACACTGTCCACCCGCGACTCGGACGTTTCGGACTCGCCCGTGCCCTTGAGCGACCTCGACCGGTGGAGAGACGACGCCAGCGGCAACGAGACACGTCCTACCAGCATGAGCTCTCTCTCCAACGGCAAGAGTCTGCCTGGCGGTTACGGCGTGCAAGGCTTTGGGCAAGATTTGGACGTGCAAGACGTTGACCATCGCCTGTCCAATGGCACCGCCTTTTCTCTCCCTCATCGCTCCGTGCCACAGACCAGCAATGGGCTCGAATTCTCGCATGCAGCTGCAGATGCGGCCCGCAAGCCAGCGAGCAATCAGAGTCACAGGGCATCGACAAGGAGCGTCCAGGACGATATCTCTGCTACCTTCACCCGACCAACTCCGCCCCCCACAGACGCCGAGTCGCACAGCCCGCCTCAGCCTTGGACACCGTCTCTGACGCCTGCATCGCCCATGGCGTCCGACCTCGCCCTGCCGCAAAACTACAACACCAGCATCAACCCCCAGCGCTTCTCATCTCCCGCAACCTACCAGCCCAGCGGCTCCAACTCGGCGCCCTCACTGTCCGCTCACTTGCAGCCCCCAGGCCCCGGCATGGGACCCAAGCAAAGACATACGCTTGAGGTGCCCAAACCACCATCGGGCAGAACTTCGAGAGAACTCGATACCGCCCAGGCCAGCGGACGCTTCTCCCCCACAGTCGCCAGCCCTACCGGCCGCGCCGCTTCCTTCAGCCTGGCCCGGCGGACAACGAGATCCATGCAGTCCGATGCCCCCCGGGACGAGATTGCTCCCGACGAAGATGCCATGCGATGGGCCGAAGTATATCGACAGAAGCGGGCCAGCAAGCGGAGACGGAAGGAGGAAGAGGACGATGACCGTGTCTTGGTTGGCACCAAGGTTGACGAGAGCCATGCCAACTGGGTGACGGCCTACAACATGCTAACGGGCATCCGTGTTTCCGTTTCGAGGACAAACGCAAAGTTGGACCGCGAATTGACCGATGCAGACTTTAATGTTAAGCAAAAGTCTACATTTGATATGTACGTAAACGCAACCTTGCCCCCCTTAAACTCTTCATGCTTTGCCTAGCGGACTTCTTCGTCCCGTATGGCGCCATCAAATGCTAACATTATCGCGTCTCATTAGCACCGGCAACGAACTCGTTCCCTCGGCCAAGTACGACTTCAAATTCAAAGACTATGCTCCTTGGGTCTTCCGTCATCTACGAAACGCCTTCCGTCTAGACCCAGCCGACTATCTCATGTCACTGACTGGCAAATACATCCTCTCGGAGCTGGGCTCCCCGGGCAAGAGCGGCAGCTTTTTCTACTTTTCTAGAGATTACAAGTACATCATCAAGACCATTCACCATGCTGAGCATAAATTTCTGCGCAAGATCCTCAGAGAATATTACGAGCACGTCACCAAGAATCCCAATACGTTGCTATCTCAGTTTTACGGCCTCCATCGAGTCAAGATGCCCTACGGAAAGAAGATTCATTTCGTCGTCATGAACAATTTGTTCCCCCCACACCGAGATGTCCACACAACGTTTGATCTCAAGGGATCGACTATTGGTCGAGATTATAGAGAGGAAGACTTGGACAAGAACCCCCGCGCGACCCTCAAGGATTTGAACTGGCTCCGACGAAAGCAGAACCTCGAACTGGGTATTCAGAAGAAGAAGCTGTTCCTTGAGCAGCTACAGCGGGATGTGGCCCTCCTCAAGCGTCTCCATATCATGGACTATTCCTTGTTGGTCGGCATCCATGATCTTTCCCGTGGAAATGAAGAAAACCTGCGTGGAAAGACTTTGCAAGTGTTCAACCCTGGCGGCGAGAAAAGCACCGACGACGATCTCCAGGCTTCCCTTCTGCGAACACCATCGAAGCTGGAGAATTACCGCAAGGCAAAGGAACTGCGACAGATGGTCCAGAAAGAACGCCCAGTGCCCATGGGCGTGGCCAACGACCAGATGCCCGAGGAGGTGGGCGAGGATCGTCGTGGGCTTCTTTTCAACCAAGACGACGGTGGCTTCAGAGCAACCCACGAAGACAATGAGCCGGCAGAAGAGATTTACTACCTGGGTGTCATTGATTGTCTGACTCACGTAAGTCGTAGGATGGCGCCGTGCCGCTAGCTAATCAGCTTTGTTGAAATACTAACTAACATCTTGATAGTACGGAATGATCAAAAAGATCGAACATTTCTGGAAAGGTCTCTCGAATGACAAGAGCAAAATATCCGCTTTGCCACCGGACCAATACGGAGATCGCTTCTACCACTTCATCCAAGGTATCACCATGTCCGCTGAGGAGGCGAAACGAGAACGCGCACGCAGAGACCAAGAAATGCTTGCTCAGGCACAGAAGCAAGAAAGGTCGAGGCAGAGCACGATTCCCCCGATGCCGATGCACCAGCCCCCACCGCCTCCAGTCGGAATACACTCTAATGGGCGAACGCCTGAGGCTCAGATACCCGAGCGAACACTCAAGACTACCGCCATGCCCGGCGCCCGTGACTCACAACACGAGGCCGTTCTTCCCGTGGTAGAAGAAGCCGGAGAGAGCAGCCGAGACGATACGGAACGATGGATCCAGGGCACCTCTTGGAGCAACATGGCCGAGCCCAGCCGCGCGCCTCCGCCGACCCCTCCTCCTCACGACCAAACCTATCTCAAGCCCGATAGCTCTGATAGTGGCTACGGCGACAACAGCAACGGCACCGTGAGCAGGGACAACTCCCTCAAGGTGGCCCGACCGACGAGCCGAGGGAGTCTGAACAAGCATCTACCGCCGCTCCCCAAGAAGGAGAACTCGCAACAACCAGGTGGAATTAGAATGGTTCAGTAGACGGATTACAAACTGTTGGACCTCGACTCCGTCGCTGATGGATTGGAAATTGATTGGTATTACGACAAAGCACGGCATGGCGCATAAAATCAGCGATGTTCACTATAAACAAAGGGTCCAGACTTTAACCCAATTTTTTTTTTCTCTGATGATTCCGCATGAAGGACAAGGAAACGGGTCGGGCGGAATTGCTGGGCTCTATGATTTTAAACACTGTTTTGCAACATAATCAGCACCTCGCGTTTCTCTTTTTTCGATTTTCATTGCTTTTTTCTTTTCTCATCCCCTTTCTAACCCCCCATCCCTCCTGCTTGACGGCCATTGCGGTTTTCTTCTTCTCCCCATCTGATTGTCTCCTGTTGGCCAAGCTCTTTCCTGTCCTTTTGATTGGGTTCATATTTTTTTTTTTCCTTTTGTCCTCTGAGGAAACGGCATCTTTTACTCTCCACGTGTCTTTTGTCTCCTTTTTCTTCTTTTCTTTTTGAGTCTTGTTTTTCCTATGTGTGACATGGGAGTGGAGAGAAACAGCGGCGGAATGGGCGTGCAGATTGTTTGTTTGTTGTAGGTTGAAAGAAGAGAAAAAAAGAGAAAGACAGAGAAGGGAAATTTGTGCACCCCCGTGTTGGGGGGCTGTGGTTGCAAAGTGTGCTAATATTGGCTTTTATTACAAGACGTGGATGATACCATTGACCGCATTCGACATACATACAGACAGTTGATATTTTTTTTTTTAAGTAGATTCGGTTGTTCATTTACCTGCATCTCCATGCTCTCGAGAATCTGCTTTGTCTTTCCTTTTCTTGTGACTGTCCTATACTGTGTTGTATGTTGGTGGTGTGTGAGATGTGCCTTTGGAGACGGCTACTAAACAATCTTTTTTGGGAGAAACCGTGTGTTTTGCTTACCTTGATAGAAGCACTTTTGGACGGACGTTTTCAACGCATAGCATGGGCGGATGGTTTAGTGGTATAATTTTCCCTTAGCATCGTGTAACCTCCTGGTTGTACAACCGCATGGGAAAGGTCCGGGGTTCGATTCCCCGTTCGTCCAGCGTTTATTTTTTTCGACCTTTTTTGTAATGTCTAACTCTCTCTTTTTTTTGTGTGTGTTTCTTTTGTATATTGGGCGGTTCTTATTTATTGCTACTATTGGCGTAAACGGAGTGGAAGGATAGATTTTTATAGTTGACTGCTTTACCAAGTTGGTGTCAATAAAATATAAAAAAGTGCAAAACAACATTTGAACACATTAAAACATGCAAGAGTTGAGGTCAGTCAAAGAGTCTTAATGTTTAAACTGTTAGGATGCAATAGTTGAGTATGATTAACCCCTTGACAGGGAAGTATCCATTAAATAACATCATATCATAATTACCTATCCTCCCGATATTTCACACTAAACAGTAACCAAATTCTCAATTTCTTTAACACTTCATAGGGTATTCACTCTTTTCTTTTCACTTTCATCCCCCCTCTGACTCTCCTCATTCAGTTAATTATCCCAAGTAACCTTCATAGACACAGGGAAGGGCGTAAGAGTGCCCCAATCCTCACTCAGATACTCGCAGTGACCGCCCTGTCTCGGGACCTTCTTCAGCTCGCCCTGAGGCCCAGCAACCCTCTTCAAACCCTGCTTCTTGAAAATAGCACGGAAGAGCTCCACCAATGCAATCTGGCTGACTTCCTTATCCAAAGCCCTGTGCGTGCCGGCACCGAACTGGATGTAAGACTCGAGAGGGCGACGGGGATCAACAGTGTCCGGGTTGGGGAACTGAGTCGCGTCACGGGCGCCGGAGACAAAGGACGCAAAGACCTTGTCGCCTTGATTGACGCTGATTTTGCGGCCGTCATCTTCGGTGATGATGTCGGGGCCGGTGGAAACCTGGTGCAGGCCAAAGGCACCGGCCATGCGGACACCCTCCATGGCGAAGCCGAGGAGAAGAGCGTCGCTTTCGGGGCTGGGCTCCTGCGAGGCGAGGATGTGGAGGTCATCGACGTAGGCAGCGCCTTCGGATGATAGGTACCAGTCGAGAGCTTGGGCGAACTAAATAGAAAGAAAGGAGCACCGTTAGCTTCTAATAGAAATGAAGAGGGACTTTAATATGTGAAAAAAACATTGGGAATGCGTACCAATCGACCTTGGGTTGGAACAATAGCAGCAGCCGTAGGCAATATCAATCCCCAGGCAATATCATGAGGGCTCATGCCAGACTTAGCCAAAGCCTTGACGGCATTAACACCGGCGGTAGAAAGAGGATCGTTGCTGGTGTTGCCAGTGAAGAGGCGAAGGCCAAAAGATTTGGTGTACTTGATAGTCGTCTCGAGAGACTCCCCAAGCGCATCAGCGGCTTCCTTTATCTTTTGTCTCAAGGAGAAGGATTTCACGGGATCAATGTCTAAGAAGATGGTGGTGAAGATGGCAGCCAGAGAGGCGTATAGCTCGTGCTCAGAGAAAACGCCCTTGGGATTCTCCTGCGTCTTGAGGGGGATGTTGAAGATCTGAGCGGCGTAGTGGGTGTGAGCAGTGTTGCCGAAATCGCGAACAATGTCGATGTGCTTCTTGCCCATGATAGTGTACGACTTATTGGCCAGCAACGTCTCGGCCGTCTTTGCGTAAAATGCCTTGACGGCACTTCTCCAGTTATCCTTATAGAGTACAGATTCAAGCGTCTTGCGGTCATTGGCCTGCATGTAGCGGCCGGTGTGGCCAGAAAGAATTTCGAGGCCTTCCTGCCACTGGACGCGGTACTTGTCCTCGTTTGCAATGACCTGCTTGAAGCCGCCAAAGGTGGTGATATCTACGCGAGGAGCAGCGGCTCTCGGGCGCTCGAAGCTGAAGCGGTGGACGCGGTTCAAGCTGGTCAAGATCTTGCGGTTCTCCTGAGGGATGACCATGGGGTAGTGGGCATAAACGGAGTCTTGCTTGAAGTGGTTGGGGAATGCTCGGATGAAGAGTTTGTGGAACACGCAGCCGTGATTGACTTTCAGGTCATATTCAACCTCCTTGTAACCCCAGTTTGTGAGGTACCGTGGGTTGTAATCCGTGGTGTAGTGTCTATCGCCACGGACAAGGGAGACTGCATCAGACAAGACGACACGGGAAATGGTGTAAGTGGGAGCGATGCCGACACCAGGAACCATGGGTGATTTGGCCTCCTCAGCCACGATGCCAGGATAGAGTTCGACATAGTCGGGATGCTGGTACAAATTACGCAGAGCGTCAGCAACCTGGGGATCCGAGTTGATGTCCTCAAAGGTCGCGTAGGCCTTGAGACCAAAGTGCTTGCGGAACTCGTTCAAGCCAGTCAGGTGCCACTTTCGGCCACGAATGATGCCGAGCATCTCCACGGGCTTCATGATGCGAGGCACGTTGCGGGCACCGAAAGAACCACCCGGCTGCTCAATGGCCGTGGCGATGCAGTTGACGAGATCGTCGTCGTCAAAGCGTCCGTCAGCGCCACGCGTGAAGCCGCCAAAGACGCAGTCGGCAGGGTCCTTGGGCATGCCCATGGCAAACTTGCGGATGGCAATCATCAGAGTGCGCATATCCATGGTGCCATAGTTCTCGCCCAAGAGGTCGTCATAGAAGGCGTGAATCCACTCGTCGTCCATCTCGGAGATGCAAGAGTGCCAGCGGTAGCAGAGGTTGAATTCCGCAGAGACGCTGTTGCCGACTCCTCGTTCAGAGCCCTTCGTAGTGCCGACGTCGACGCCGGCCTCCTGTCGAGGATCCAGCGTCCACTCGGTATCAACTCTGTTCAGGTTGATAATGTTTCGCACATAATCGACTAGAGTGATGTTGATATACAGACCAGAAGTCACCAGGCGAGCTGTCTGGAACAGCTCCTCGTCGTACTTCTTCCAAGCCGCAGTTGCAGCATCTCCTTGCAAAGTCGGAGAAGGCTTGGCGAATCTGTTGCCTTCGTTGATGGCAGCCATGTTTGCAGCAACGTAATTGTGAACGCGGTTGAACATGACAAGAATAATGCAGACACCCGGTGGCATGCCCAGGAGTCGCTTGTCGGCAAAGGTATCAGGCTTCAGCATGCCATCTTTGAATGTACGAACCGAGTTCTGCGCATCCTGGCTATGGCCATAGAGGGGAGCTAAGTCGAGATATGATGACGAGTCGTTGATGTTGGGATCCCTTTCGTTGGTCCAGAACAGATCTGAAGTTGTGATTAGTTATGTTCTTCTCTGAACGTGATCGCGCTGTAACAATTACCGTGGATGATAATGGTAGCCCAGTACCACAGAATGCTTGAGACGTTGTTGGGATTCTTGATGAACTTGTCTCTGGCCATGATGGACTCGAAAATGGCTTCTGGATCAGGCAAAGCTCCCAGTGGCACGACGCTGGGATGGACCGAGCGAGAATAAGGAGTACCGGCTGCACCGAGCTTGGGCATAATAGGGTTCTGGGCGGTCTTGATGAGTTTCTAATCGAAAATGCGTGTATTTGAATCGTAAAAAAAACTCACATTGTTGGATCCATCAGCTTGACGAAAGCGGAATTGGTCTCCCATGTACAACAATGGGGGATGTTCAAGAGAGTACCACAGCTCGTCAATAAACATATTGGTGAGCTGCTCTTGTCTTTTAGAACCACCAGGTAGCGCAGCAACCAATTGGATAGTCTTCTCCATTATCATTGTCTTGTCATCGGATTGAGTCTCGCCCTTGAGCTTGGCAGTGATAATTGCCTTGAGGGTCTTGAGATCTAGAAGAAAGCGTCAGGATGCCAGGTTTCACCAGAATATTGGCACGATAATTACCTTGGAAGGTGATTGTGCTCAGATCCTGCATCAACGATGGCCTGTTCTTAACCACCTGGTAGGTACCATCTCCGGTCTTGTTAGGGAGAGGTCGGCGAGAAGCACGATATAGTTGCATCAAGCTGCCATACTTGACAGGCTTGGTCTTCTTTGCCTTTGCGACAGGGCCGCTGGGGTATTCGACAGTGGCATGGTTGCCATTGGGGGCATTTCCGCTGGAACTCATGGTGGACAGAATGTTGCTACTGGCCGGGTATCATAAAAGAGAATTCAGGAGCAGCAGAAAATGTGCAATGGGAGGAGAGAAAAGGCAATGGACAAGCTCATGCAGCTGGGGGCGTCCCGGTGTCTTATCTACCATCCGGGTGACAAACCAATGCTCCTCCTGCCGCCGTGCTCTCCCCCCTTTCAGAAACATGCAAGACCACCGACAGCATTAGTCCATCAAGCGTTATGGATACAGACATCTCTAATTAGCCAGTCAGAAACACCCGGGACGTGTGAGGGTTCGGGCCGCGGCCTGCGGCTGAACCAGAAATCTTAGCGACGGCATGCTGAGATCGACACTGGGAACTAAGCCATTACTACATTGTAGAACGAGAAAGACGAATGACGAGTGTTGCGGCAGCTGGGTAGCCCACATGGTGTGTGCTCCCGTGTGCTACCGGCACCTCTGCAAAAGCCGTGTCTGCTTGCTCCAAGCTGTGATACCTCTAGCTCCATCCCAGGGGGATCAGAAAGGCTGATAGCAGTACTAGCACGGGATGTGTATTTCCCTATACGCCTCTAGCCGCCCTTATTGGAGGGCCTGTATGTCAGGGTAAGACATATATGCGGAGAGGACCGGGGATCATGACGGGATAGATTCCATCCAGTCGTCACGGGGAGACGAATTTTGGTAAAAAAGAGCCCCCCCCCTCCTTGATGTTGGACTACACTCGCCCGCAGGAGGTGCCCGTGGCAAACGTCTGGACCTTCGTAGAGTCGTACAACACATGTTGAACAAGGACAATCTTCCGATTGTCTCCCTTCTACCTCCCTCTGTGTCTGTCTCCGTCTCTGTTTCTAGCTCTGTGGGTCTGACTTCTCAGCTCACGAAGCTTGATATTGGGAGTGATCCATATTGTCAGGATGGACGAGTTGTGGTGAATCGAACCTTGCTGGTTCCCACCCCCTTCGACCCACCACATCTCGTTATGGACAACCAGATTGCGCCGTCGACTCTTTTGGAATCATGGGTGCGAGTGTTAGTCGGCCGTCACCTGAAAATGCCGATTCCCACTAGAACTAGTGCTGCGGGTACAGCCCCGTACCCTTGGAGGATCGAGCTTCATGCGGTTAACCTGCTCAGGCCAACGTCAGATCCCTGGAATCATCGCTATGACAGCTTCAAAAAGTTGGATGCTGGACTGATCAAGAGAACAAAGGACGCCAAGAGGCACGCGCGTGTGGTTCGAGAGCTGCCGGTAACACGTCGTACGATTCTCAACAGCGTGGCCTTGGCTGTGTACGGAGAAGCTGCTTCGCCATTTTGCCCAGAGTCAAGAGACAAAGCTGAGAGTCCCTCCCTTGGCTGCTGAACAAGCTGCCTCGGACGCTAATTGCGCAAGCTTCATGCGCTGCAACAAACGTGCAGATGGCTTCAGTGCAAATCGGCCAATCCTGCCCAGCAGTCCTGGAGATAGCGGGCGGTCGAGTTTTCACCGTGCCGTCTCTTTCGTCCATGCCCCCGGTCTTGCTCGATGTCTGTCTAAGACATGCGTATATAGGCGCCAGACTTTACGAGCAGATCATTGCTCAGAATGAAATGTCGTCGTCCGGATTGGTCCCCGTCTCGGGGTCCACACTTCTCATGGAGAAATGAGAGGCGTGCTCGATGCCAGCTGAAAGCTGCAATGCTACGCCCATTACGTCGAGCTTCCTGGTTGAATGGTTTTTTTTGCGAATCGCGAGTTTCCCTCTCTCCGCCCCTGTGATTGTTGCCTACGTATTCGTAACATTCATCATTCTGCACAAAGCGATGCAATGCACCGGCATATGCAAAGACTCAGAGCACATCCTGTGCTAAAACTTGAGTTGATACGCCGTAAAAGAGCCAGGCAATCTGATCCCTGCATAGATGTATGTGGAGAGGCCAATGGCTGAGACCAGCTCACCGGAGTCGTACATCTATCGCCATGGAGACCATGCAATTAAAAAGAGAGAGCAAAGGGATGCCAAGTCGACGATCGGGATCCAATGGATTGAGGTTCGGAGATCCCATTGTGATCCAGATGAACCCTATTACTTGGACACATACGGATCGATATAGAGAGATCATTATTTGAGCGCCTCTTCGTTCATCCGTAGCTTGCAATATCTTCTGCTGGATATCCCGGACAGGGGGCGGATCATCTCAGATAGGGCTCGATCCATATGTTTGTTGCGGCTGGCCCAAGCTGGCTCCACTGTCACCGCAACTTGGTCATCTTCATTTTGAAAACCGAGTGGTTGGCTTTGAGGCCACTTTGTCATGCCACTTGGACGATTCAAGTTCTGATGATGCTTCATTTCGTGTCCTCGTTAGTATTTGTAGTAAGGTATGAGTTGTTGTACACAGCCCATGATCAAGCAAATATAATATTACGGAGTAGCTTAGAAGTTCACCCATCTTGTCGGGTGATAGTAACCATCGTTGTCAACCACACATCTGACAATCTCTCCTCGGATTCTTAACGCCCTGCATTTCCATGCCCTTGTAATGATTTCCATGTCGCGCTGTAGTCATTTGTACAAGCACATCGGTATGGACGCAATCTCTTTGTGTGAAACCTTCTAACATTGGTCGCATGAGGAGCTGCATAACAACGCGCCGCATGCGCAGTATCGACCAGAAGCTGTTCAACTCGAGCAGTGACTTACATGCTACATGTAAAGCTACCCGCTTCCTACCCAGTCTCATCGAAATGTACCGTCAATCTTGGAAATTGGCCTTTGGTGGTATAGATTCCCCACAGCGACCATCTTGCTTTCTTTGGCGGTAATTTATCATCAAGACCTGAGCCGCGCATTTGTAGTCCGCATCAATGATAGATTCTCTTTGTGATAGCCGTCATTTAATCGCAAGTTTTCAGCTCCTTAGATGTTTGGATATGATATGGCCCCCAGACCAAGAAAATGCCAATAGAAGGAAAGGAAAAGGCCAAATATGCTCGCGTGAAAAAGGAAGGAAAAATCGCTGTAACATGACCGTATTGCCAGTAATATAACGCTTCACGATGTTCCTTTAATAAATAAGTTTTGAGGTCCAGGATGTGTGAGATTTTCATCATTTCATCCGTAGGTCGACTACTTGCAAGGGCATCTTGTCACTCTCGTATACGTGCCCATTAGGATGATAGGCCTCTCGGTAGAGGTTGTCAATAGAATGCTGATGAAATGTCTCTGTGCGATTACAGTTGAGGACGTGATCTAAACCAGGGGGGTGCGTGAGTCGAAAGATGCCGTGCCTAGATCCAAGTTAGTCAGAGTGCTGTTCGCGCGAATCGCCTACTTTCCCAACTTACTCATTGTATCTCGGTGCACACACAATGGCAATACTTTCAGGCATCATTACCTGATATCCCGCATGCGTGTGGAGATCACGAGAACTCATGAAACACGTTTGTGTTGGATGTGTGTGTATCCAGCCCAGCATCAATAAATCCTCGCTCATACAGTAATCGAATAAAGCACTTTCGTTCTCCGTTTCACATGTGTCAGGGGTGGATTTCTGATCCGGAATCAGGAGGCAGCGGACAAAGAGGGCGTTATTGATGGGCGTTCCGCAGAGGACGCCACAGGTCTCTAAGCCGGCTGCCGTGTTCTTGGAGGCAATTTCCAGGAACTTGGAGCGCAGGCTACCGGGTAGAAATATTGATCGAATAGGATCCCCATTCTCGAGATAGCCCCCGGGCTTAAAGGCGAGGCGTTCTTTCTTCGGCTGAGGAATTTCCATCGAATCTTTGGGTGGAAGAGGAGGCTGATGAACATCAACCAGGGGCTGTGAAGGAGTACCCAGTGGTCGATAGTCATCAGCATAAGCCTTGCGGGGCACCTGAGGCGGGATAGCCGACTTTGAAGTATCGTATCCATCTTCATGCCGCAAGGGAGGCAGGTCAAACTGCTCCTTTGGCGGTCTAGTAGGTTGAAGCTCTCTTGATGATGAATAACGGCTTTGTTCGTATTCGACAGGCCTGGATTTGGAGAGTGATGGGTAGTAGTAGTTATGGGATGTCACTGGAGGACTCCGATCATCTTCCAATGCTGCATCAATATTTCTGCGCTCTTGGGCCATGTCGAGCGTACGTCGTGTTGCCTCCATCTGTCTTCGAAGATCGCCATCGTCGAATTGTGACGCTCTATTCCCCGCAGCCCGCGCGTCCCAAACGCTACTATGCTTGCTTGCATGCTTATCTCGCTCTCGCCGGCTTAGCTCTTGTTGTGCCAAATCCACTGCCAGATCCTGGTGCTCAGCCGCGTCCAGAATTCTCGCATTGCCACTTAGACTTGGATCTCGAGCTGCAAAGGCTGCATATGACGATGCTGCCTGCTGTTTATGCCGCTCTATAGCGGGAGATGGTGCAGCGCGTTCCCACTCGTCATACAGAGTCTGAATCTCGGGTTTCAGCTGCTCAAGGTCTTCGAGGACGCGAGGAATCCGCTTCGATAGTAACTTGAATGCCTTTTTGTTTTCGGGGTCTTTGAATTGAGGGTGAGTGGGTAGAAATTTCAGGACCAAGACAGAGTGTCGATATAGCATCATGTAGGCTCGTCCGTAATCGCCATCCGATAAAGCAAACGATGCCTTGAAATCATGTCAGCGCATGGGTCATAACGACTAAAGAAGAAACAGCAGCAGCATTTCTGCACGCACCTCTTGATAGAGTGTATCAGCAGCCCGAATCCAGTGCTTCATAGCGATATTGACGTTGAAGGCAAAGCTCTCGGCCTGAGTTACCAGCTCCTTGACGCTTTGCGGCCGGCCCGCGGCCATGCTCGGACGAGCCTCCATTGCGAAATGTTGGACAAGATGGGCTTTGCGATATGGCCGGATAGCGTCTCTGCGAATCACGGACTTTCTAGGGGAAATATCTCATGCTAGAAGCCCAGGCCGCCGCCAAATACTGCAGAGCTGGAGAGCTGCCTGGCAGGCAGAAAGATTAAATGGTCGTTGTTCCTGGCAAACTTGCAACTAACAGAAGCCGCAAGTTGACGTCGGCCCCTCCAAGACAATATGGCGGGGCACAAGACCGCTGTAGACTGGGCGAATAGAAGGAGGGTTTAATTGCATGTGCAGTAAGCTGGCGCGGCGCCAATACGTGCAAAGTGTCTGTATCGCGAACAAATCTTAAAAGGGGGCAGCACTCTCCCTATCATGGAATATAGGTACAGTAAAGTTCCGTGGTGAATGTGAACACATGAGAGGTTTGTAGCCTACGGTGAAATTCTTGGATACGATGCCAAGCTATCTTTTCATTTGATTTATTTGTCTCGTTATCTACTGTGCGCTAATGGCCCCTTGGGCCCCTGCCTGAATCTGGATAATCTCAGTCTTCTTCTTCTCAATGTTCTCCTGCGTGTCCTTGATCTGGCCCTCTAATCTTGTACTGCGTAAAGTTAGCCGTGCTCTCAAAACTATAAAAGTCTAAAGCATGTGAATAAATCATGCGTGGTGACCAACATTTCGCCTCCGATAAAGTCCAGTCGACCCTTGACGGTGCTCTCTGCCTCGAACTTTTCCTGCTTCAGCAAGACTGGTCCCACAAGCTTGTAGATGGTCTCATCCTCGCCAATGTTTTCGAATTCCTTCAAACTGTTAGTTTCTAAAGGCTCGTCCAGGTCCCTCCGTAAGAGTCCGAGTGACACCGACCTTTTGCACTCCGAGGTTTTCTTGTCTCTGGCCCTCCAGCTTCTGGCGTGAAGCCACTGTGTTTTGGAGATCTAAAATAAACGAAGATTAGACACCTCTGCACAACTAAAATGAGGTACAGCTAGATGCAGTGAAGACAACATCACGTTACTCACCCTGCTGGAGCTTTTGATACTCCTCGGAAAGGGACTGCAGCTTGGCCTGGATCTCGGCCATCTTTGGAGCTCAACGCGTGATTGATGGTTACCTTGTCTGCTTGGTCAGTCACGGCCAGGCACAGTCCAATTCTGCGGAATCTTATATATCAGCCTAATCTTACTTACCTGGCACGACTGGTCGATTCGATGAGTGCTAGAGTCGAATTGGTGACGCCCCGCTAAGTATCAGCAGGCAGCTCCAAATTGCGCCCCGTTACAGAGGTAAAATGTTACCCCGCCAGCGGTCAGTAGCGCAGGTACGGCCTCCATGTTTTGTTACAGTATCCAGTTCCCAGTTCATGGCATCATCTCGTTCCGCTGATAAAGCCCGACCTTCCTCTGGTGACCAGCTCGACCGGCCTGTCGAATCCTCCCAAGACGGCTTATAAGTGACACGCCCCCTGTCGCCTCGAGTCACTTTCCGAGGCTGCATTGCCGTCGTCTTTTTGCGCTCGCATCCTCGAACACTACAAGGCAACCGTCATCATGTCCGTCAACTTTCGAGACCGGGCCATCGCCGAGGTCCAGAAGGCTATTGCCGCGGACAATGAGAAGGAATACCAAAAAGCCTTCGATCTCTACATGTCGTCGATGGAGCTGTGGGTCAAGGCTCTTAAGTGGGAGAAGAACAAGGCTATCAAGGCCACCATGCAGGAGAAGATGGCGACCTACTTGGACCGTGCCGAAAAGCTGAAGCAGTTCTTGCAATCCGAGAGCGAGGCCAATGCCAGTGGCGGCAAGACGCCTATGGGAGCCAATGGATCCAGCGCAGGAGGCAAAGCCAAGCCATCAGCAGAGGACGAAGACAGCAAGAAGCTTCGCAATGCGCTGTCAGGAGCCATTCTCCAAGAGCGACCAAACGTGAGATGGGAGGATATTGCTGGATTGGAGGGCGCCAAAGAGACGTTAAAAGAGGCCGTCGTGCTGCCCATCAAATTCCCAAACCTGTTTCAGGGCAAGAGACAAGCGTGGAAGGGTATCTTGTTGTACGGCCCTCCAGGAACCGGAAAAAGTTACCTGGCCAAAGCCGTCGCGACAGAAGCAAACAGCACGTTCTTCAGTATCAGCAGTTCCGATTTGGTGAGCAAATGGATGGGTGAGAGTGAAAGGTGAGTTTCTGCTGGACGGCGATGGCGCTTCACAGCCCTTGTAGCTGACGATGATTTTGCGGTTAGACTCGTGAAGCTTTTGTTCTCTATGGCAAGAGAGAACAAACCGTCTGTCATCTTTATTGACGAGATTGACGCTCTTTGCGGCCCCCGAGGTGAGGGTGAATCTGAAGCTTCTCGACGTATCAAGACGGAAATCCTAGTGCAGATGGACGGCGTCGGCAACGACAGCAAGGGCATTCTTGTGCTAGGCGCAACCAACATTCCTTGGCAACTGGATGCTGCTATTCGCCGACGTTTCCAAAGGCGTGTTCACATCGGCCTGCCTGACCCCAACGGGCGAGCGAGGATGTTCAAGCTTGCTATTGGAGATACAGACACTGCTTTGGAAGCTAGCGATTTCAGCACCCTGGCATCGTTGTCAGATGGATTCTCGGGAAGCGATATCAGCAACGTTGTTCAGTCCGCTCTCATGAGACCTGTTCGGAAGATTTTGCAAGCGACTCATTTCAAGCCCGTATGTTTCAAGCTTTCTGATTACTGAACTATGCCCTGCTAATACTAAAAATTTCTAGGTAATGAAAGATGGCAAGAGAATGTTGACGCCTTGTTCCCCAGGAGATCCGGAGAAGATTGAGATGACGTACGACGATGTCAAGCCGGAGGAACTGTCGGCTCCGGACGTGACACTCCAAGATTTTGAGATAGCTTTAGCTGACTCACATCCGACAGTGTCCAAGGATGACATTGAGAAGCAAATTGAATGGACGAATGAATTTGGAAGCGAGGGAGCTTAGGCAATGGGGCGTGTCTTTGAGAGTACATGGCACAGCGGCGCTTTGAGGAGTTAGAGGGGCATCTAGGCACTCTTTGCACATACAATGTTGAATTCGGGAATCGTAATGCATCTGTCTTACTGGAAAAGAAAAAGAAGCTGTTCATATTTGATTCTTTTTATGGTAGATAGTGGGCCGGCATCTTTGTAGGATGTGATTAATTTTGAGTCCAAGATGAATTGGCATTTGCTTGCATGATGAAATCTAAGATTGTATGATAAACGTTTCTCTGGTCAGAGAAGACGCAAGAAGGCTCAAAAGTGCGCACTGCAGTGGCCAGAGGCAAGTAATAATCAAGATATATATATCTTGGTCACTTATGTCTCATGACTCTTTGCCTAACATGACCTTTAATAAACGACCACCTCTACTTAATGGCTCACCATACCTAGATCTCGCATTGGAGTAATGGTTCATGTAGCGTCACGCCTATTAATAAGTGAAGAAGTATCTTGATGCATGCCCTGACGCAGTTCTCAAGCCTCCCCTTCTTTATACTGGTAAGGTTGAATAAGCCTGTGTGGGTGGAATGGAGGCCCATTAAATTCGGTGAGCGCCCCACCAGACCGGGCCTCACCTTGAATTCTCCGTAACTTGAACATTTTGCAGCTTGTTTGACCCTTCTTTTCCATACCGCATCAACACCCCGAATTAGCCTCTTTCTTCTCTTCTTCATGTCATTTCGTCTTAATAATGGACGTACAAGTCTGGCGAGGTTGCTGCACCAGCCCTCAATAACCTTTGCTCGGGGGGCGGCAACTAAAGCAAAGGCTCCTGATATGCTCAAGGCGACAAGCCCCGTAGCAAAACAGCTTGCGGAAACAGGGATATGGAATAGGAGGGGCGGCAGAAAGGCGAGCAAAGCTCCAAAAGCGATAGAGCCTCACAGGGTAAACATTGTAAGCGAAGGGCTCTGTGGTATGCGTCACCTTGGAACAGCCTCACGCTTTTATATAACATGATAGACGACTGACCAGTGCTTCAGACGACATCATCCAATACATGGGCACATCATTGGAACGCCATAGGGGATGCGACCTGATTGATTTGAATCCAGGAGCAGGAGTATGGAGTCGCAAGCTTCATGACTTTTTGGAGCCTCGGAATCACATCATGATGGACCTCGACGCCGAACTGTACAGCCCATTTCTCAAAGATCTGACTTCAAAAGACAATGTCCAGCTGATTCCAAAGTCCGGAATCGTTTGGAAGGATCTCTTTGAGATGATACAGACGAAACTCTCCCACCAAGAATCGCTCTCTACCGGGGAAGCAGAGCCGATACGTAACGACACGCTACTGGTCACAGCAAACTTATCCAGCTATCCGAAAAAAGCCTTCCTTGGGTTCGACAGCGTTAGCACCATGGTCATGTACCAGTTCATGTCCAGTATCAAATCATCCTCGTTGTTCCAGAAATATGGCTTAGTTCGTATGCTTCTGTGGGTGAGTGACGATGAGAAGCGCCGACTCGTTCCCAAATCACTAAACCGCCGCAAGCGAGGCTCATTCGAAGCCGAGCTTGCGTGCGAGTGGATTCACGAAGTTGCGGGACAAGAGCTGGAAGCTGAAAATCGTACTGCGCTGCGCGATGATTGGATTAACAAGGAGTCCGCCCTTAATACACTAGCCAGGATGGAAGCACTGGGCCTCAAGGTGCCCAAGGGACGAGAAGTCAAGATGTACAAGGAATCACTCAAATCAAAGAATCTCATAGGCAAGAAGCTGGCCGGCGTTCGCCTGCCTAATGTCCCCCGGCCTTTCAAGAAGGAACTGGAGGATCTCGAGCACGAACTTGAAGAGGAGCCCGCGGAGTTATCTCACCGGCTAAAGAGTCTTCGGAGCAGAGAGAAATATGAGATTAACCATTCCAAAATGTACCTTGAATTACTCCAGGAACACGAGAGGATATCAAATATGGGGACAGATAACACGAGCGCGTTTGTGGAAGCCAATGAAGCCTGGAACGAGAAAATCGACAACCTGAAGAAGAATCAGCGAATGGAATTCAACGTCGTGAGAGATGGCTACCATCTATTTCGCCAAACCCCCCCTGCATTGCTCTGGGACCGCCGAGAATATGAGCCACTCAAAGCCATGCCAGACGAGTTCTTCCCAAATTCGCCAACGGCCCTTTTGGATATCCAGCCCAAGGCCATGCATCCCCTGCTCCGACAAATCGGCCCCAACAGCAACCACGCCGGTGACATATCGGATATTATGCTGAAGTCTTGGTGGAGCATGTCACTCCAGCCGGCAGACAAGGCGATGGAAAGCTTGTGGCCTGGTTTCAGCGATCTTTTTTCAGAGGTGCCGAGCTTAAGAGATCCCTCACGTGGAGGAGTACCAATGACAGGGCATGGATCGTTAAGCGCGAGGGGCATCAACGAGGGACAGTGGACCGAGATGCTGGAGGCGTGGATGAGATGGCCGTTCCGACCGACATATGGGCAGATGCTGAGCAGGATGAACGATGACGATGGAGATGTTGAGGATGAAGATGTGAGGTCTGGCGCTATTATGATGCAGGTTTAGAATTTTCACGATGGCATGGCGTTTTGTTGTACGATAGATGGAGCGAGAGTGGAACTACTCATGATATGAATGGATAGTCACTTTTTGACGAAACAATATTTCATTTCACTTGCGAGATGAACCGTTAAAAAACAATTGTGGCCAGTAGTAGGCGGCATTGATATGATGTTATTATTACTATTGTACAGTCTTGTTGTAAATCATAACTCGTCCGTTCATTAATTAGACCACTTGGGGTCGACCTTGTTTCTAAATGGCGGATACAACATCAGCGCCCATATTCAAACTCAAGTTTTAATGTTCTGTGTTTACTTACCCTGTCACCTTTTCGTACATGTTACGGCCTGCATCCGTAATCTTCTCCTGGGTGTTGCGATCCATGTTGTGGCCGCTCTTCTTGGCGCCCATGGAAAAAGCTAAAGCCCAAAACACGATGTGTTAGCCATGGTCTTGTTCACACACTGAAGGAAAAGAAAAGAGATGGTAAAGTTCCTTTGAAGAGAAGAGATGGCTTACCCTTGTCGGCGTAGTCGTCCTTCTGGACCTGGCCGCCTGCTTGGGGAGCAGCGGGAGCAGTTCCCTGAGTGGAGCGCTCCTCCTTGCCCATAGCCTTGTTGACGAAATCCATTGTGAGAAGTAGATGTATTTGCTTGGAATGATAAGAATAGAGATGGAGAGTTTGATTGTAAAGATGTAGATACAAGGGAATAGTTTGAGGGGAGCATCCAGCTCATTTATATATCCTCTTCCCCCCTCCGTGGCTTATTCACGGGAACCAATCGCAATCATCAATCGCAGCCATGGCTGACGGCATTATTGACGGAATTGAAAAGCCTGGGTACCTGGAAGTATGACGGAGCGGCCATTGTACAGTAAAGCTGTGCCTCATTCGACGCATCGAATCATGGCATGGCGATGATGCTGCTTTCATCTTAAGTACGTCATAGCGTGCAGGACCAAGCTGAACGCATGTGATGGGGGAATTCCTGGAACCAACGGATTGTCCAACTAGGTGGAAGCTTATTGGGAAAATTGGGGCCCCGAAGAGATGCCATGGTTGTGGCTCTGATGCCGATCTTGCATCATAGCCTATGCGGATCTGCACTGTCTTTTTCTCCGCCAAGTTTCGGAGATGGTTGAGAAATTGTATCGATCAGCTATCCGGCATCATAATCTTACGATAAGATGGAAGATTAGTCTATGATTATATGTATTTTTAGATACAACAAGTAGAAGTGTGTGATGGGAGGAGGAAGTAGTAAACTCATTGGTATGCTAACATGAAGACTACGGCGCAACAAATAAAGGCACTGCAGCCACTTGCACCAATATAATATGCCGCTGCAGAACCCTTCAATTAGATTTGCTATGGTTGATTGAATGATTGGTTAATTTATATTCGCATTGGATTTTTAATTTAAACTCGTATAACTGCTCTCTGCAGCTCGGTGGATGGCCCATTGCATCATCTATTACAGCTAACCTCGCCCATGTATACCAATTATAATTCCCTCCCATCCGCCAAGAATAAATCTACCGCCATAGTAATATGTCTCAAAACGCAAATCCAAGAGCTCCAGCCAAGCAGAACCCAAATTCCAACGCCCGCTCGTAATGCATGTAAACGTTAAAACGTCCAAAATCATCCAACATCCATAAATATCCATACGGCATCCATCATGGCGTCAGCATGAGATACGATAATATCTCATCGTCTCTCATGAAATATGCCTTGTTCGTTTCGTCTATACCAAATGATCGTCCGGCCATAGAGATTGAAGCCTAAACGATTCGGCTTCGCCATTGGCCACAGCTTGGCGTGAAAGACCAAGCTTGCATCACTTTGCCTGCTTTTATATAAAACGGAGAATAGAAAATCGATCGTCGCCCTTTGTTTCTTTGCTTCTCATCCCTGTCCCATCTTCGTCTGGCATCAGTGTCATGACCTGGCAAAAACCTGGTAAGCCATAATCATGACCCAGAACAGAAAGATGCCTCCCGTCAAGGCCATGGCAAAGACCAGGTCCCAGCACTGGCAGATCATCTTCTGCTGCAGCCACGCCAACGTCTCCTGCGTCCGGCCCTTTGGATTCTGGTTGAAAACGTTCATATTGCAGGTGCTCTGAATGGATCCGTTGGGCCCCCAGAGCTCGAGCGAAACGACGACGAGACCGACGATCCATAGGACGAAGAGCATAAAGGCGCCAATCATGACGATGGCGGGTAACAGTCGGCGTTGGGCGATTAACCAGAAGACGCCGAATATGAAGAGGATCGCAATGGCGCCGACGGTGATGAAGTACGGGAAATACCTATTAGGCAACCAACGTTAGTATCCAATTACTTCGTTAACAGACGAGGGAGAGTGTGGTAATCCATACCAAGGAATAGGCAGCTCGAGCTGATTCTGGATCTGGATGAAGCTTCCGAAGACGCCGATGATGGTGGCAGAGCAGAGCAGCATGACGAAGATCCAGAAATTGAGCTGCAGAGGCGGCCAGTTGTAGGTTCGGATGTGAGTCGTCACGACCTTGCGCTCGTAGACGACAGATGTGCCGCTCAGCATTGAGCGTGTTCCCGCCATCATGACAACGGGGAATTGGTGTTGCTACGGCCCGTACTCTTGCTCGTTGCTGTTGTTCTCTGCCTCCACATATAAGCTAACGCTCTCTAGGCGTTTCGTGTCAACCTCTCCTTATTGTGTATAGGTATATAATCGGCTCTTGCTGCGTATCGAGGATGGTGGGGGGACGAAGTTTTGATCGTTGGCTGATTGCGTGGATGGATTTCGAAAAGGTCAATGGCTATGTCTGCATGTGTCTGTCACTTCGTCTATGGTCCAAGTATCGTTTGGAACAAGATGTCGGTATATAACGAACAAGACTCAGCTCCCAGGGGCCACAGCTGACTTGCTCTGTCGCCTCGTTGGTTCCGATAGGTGAGGTTGATGCACGACGGCGGAGCTACCGCTTCCTCGTCTGGTCCTTGTCCCGCGTCCTTTGATGACTGTCCGTCTGATGTTCCCCTTCTGTCTCTCCAGCATGTACCGGTACAAGGCAAAAGAGACCAGAAGACGATCAGAAACAAGAGAAGCCCCAGCCGCCCTGTCGGATGCCGGGCCCTCGATGCGGGTTTCCCCCCCAAAAGCCTGGGTCTAGGTCTGCTTGGCCTTGCTGCTGCAACCTTGAGCGCCCAACCAGCTGCGGTGCACGGAGCCCAAGCCCCCACTGCTGGAAGAAGCGTGTCGAGCACTGATTGATGAAATCTGGTCGAGAGAATGTCGGTCGAATGAATCTTCAGGCCTCCCCTTGCATGTGCGTCAGTTTTTTTGGGCGGCGTGAACCAGGGGGGGCAAAAGCCGTTGAGAAAAAGCTTCGACGTACGATGGTTTCTGTTGAGACTATTGATTCCCACCGCCTGAACTCGTGCTTGGGAGATGTGACAGGTGAAAACAAGGAGAACCTTGGAAAGGAAAAGAGGAGCAATTGTCAGAAGCCGATGCGACAGCTCATGTACGTACTTGGCCATGCAAGTGCGCGCGTTGCAGCAACCGTTCAAGCCGGGCTGTTAGTACAAGTCCAGGGAAAAGCACGATGAGGGGCCATAATGGATATTATTAGAGGGCGGTATCGCTGCTGCTTCGAGGTGGCTGGCAGCTCTTTTGGTTTGTGTGTGTGGTCCTCTTCTCGACAGCTGAAAATGAGATGGCTGGGAGCGGGAATAACAGGCACAGGCACAGGCACGGGAGAGCTTCGTAGCCTATTATCCAGAACACGGACTAAGAGTTAGTAGCATGGAGCCTTTTTAACCGCTAAGCATCTTACATTGGCAATGGAAGACAGTTGAACACAGACTCAATGTGTAAACAATTTACATAGATGAGCCCCACAACCGGACACGAGCCAAAACAAGATGCCTACCATGTACTACCATCCATGTAAGCAGCAGCCCTCCCTCTTCATAGGGTTGCATGCATCGTCCTTTGATGTTCAAACGTTTCCTTACCGCCTAGCATCACCGCCCTTATGATCGCTTGTACTTGTACTCTCCGTCCTGCTGCTTCTCAACTCGCCCCATAGCGGAGAGGCGGGCCCTTGCCGCGATTCGCAAAGCTCGCCGGGGGACTTGAATCCCGCCTCCGGGCCTCCACCGCCTCGCCTCTGTTCCGGTACGCCGTTGAGCTGCTTGTTGGCATACGAGTACATGCATTCGCATTGATGGTTGAAGGGGGGCGTATACAGAAGATAGAGTACAGAACGCAGAGCGCAGAGTGCAGAGTGCATACATTAGTTCATACATACTGTGCAGCCTTATTTCCGACACAGGAATAACACGCAATGTTTCCCATTCCCTTGCTTGTTGTGGGTTGTGGACCGAGCAAGGCTCTAAACATAGAATCTGAAAGGTAATCTTTAGATCATCTTTCGTGGCAAGTAGGCCTATGTGTCATCATCATATATTTTAGCTGTCTGAGCAGTGTAGAGTACATTTCAATTTCACTAATAAACGGTCTTCCATCCAATTGAGGTTCTTCCAGTCTTGTCCCGCATACATTTACAACAAATCATGCTGTGAATCTCAAATCATCCATCAAATCATCATCTTACATCTATCTATTCCCTATCATCTGGGTGGAATACCAGCGCTCGGACCTCAATACTCTCCCGCGTTGGCGCGCTTGCAGGTGAAGTCGAGTCCGAAAATGCAGTATGCGGCACTCGTCGTGCTCTTCCGTCCGTCTTGCTGTCAAAGCACTTAATGAGGAGGACTTCCTCGGGTGTCAAGCCGGATTTGTAGAACCACCTGTGTCCCTCGTTATACCTCACGCTGAGTGTCTCTCCATTACGGTTAGGGTAGATCAGGCCAATTGGGACCAGGTCCTCCTCTACAACTGACTCCGCCTCAGCAACTGCCAAGGGATCGCGTTGGACCTGTTTGATCGGACGCCAAACATTGATGATCTGTACGCGGCCTTTGGAAAGCTCTTCTGCTTCCTCGGGAAGGTGAAACGGAACACGGGAGGCTGCCGCGGTGTAAGACTGATCGATATGGACTCGCTGGACAGGGCCACGAAGGGCTGCATCCGAATTCGCCGAGGTAGTAGTGTCGTCAGGGTTGTGACGGCGGATGGTATGATCAAAGATGAAGATTTTGGATGCTCCGGTTCTATATGGCCGTTGTCAGCGTAAGTGGGAAAAGAAATAAAGAACAGGCGCGAGGACATGAAAGTCGACTTACACATCCTTGAGGAGTTGCTCCGTCTCAGGGTAATATTTCGCTTTGATCTGGTCATCATCCAGAAAGTCCTTCTCAATCGAAGTATGGCGATGGAATTGGAATCCGCTCTTGTCGAGTGTGTACTTGTCCTCTTCTCCTGCAACGTCGTGGATGGTTACCTGATGCGACGCAATCGGCCGGTTGGTATACGTCTCGGGCTTTCCAACGTACGTAGGCGCAGGAGGAGAGCCATCTTCGTTGTCCTTGAAAAAGTTGAGAATGGTGTTTACGTCGTGCTTAGGAATGCTCTTGTAAGTCGTTTGTTGATCAAGCTGTGGCTGGAATTGGACTCCTTGAACGGAGTTGAAGCCGGAGCTGGGAATAGCACTCTGAACTGCAGCGGCCGCCATTGTTTCTCTCTTTAGTTTGACTTTTACAGATTAAGTGTGGGAAGCTGTTATTTCAATTTATGGGTTTTAAGGTGAGAGAGTACAGTATGTACGTATGCACCGACTTATAACAAGCCGAAGACTGTCACACGCCCTACACTATACAGATATATATGCTATCGGGTCTTGCAAGCATTCCCCGCGAGCACGCCATTTCTCTACCACCCATCATCAGAAGGGATTGATAATCCAACCCAAAAGTACACATCCAATCCAATCCAATCGAAACGTAACGTCATAATCAGGACTTGACACGCCCTTCCCCTCAGCTCTTTATTCCGAGGTAAGCGGGTTGATTTGAAATCTGTATTTGCGAGCCTCGCGTTTGGCATTGCCTGAAGGAGCGCGAAGGAGCGGGGACTGCAGCCAAGATACATGAATTGGGCCTTAATGTGGCAGCTCAGTTAGAGTTTGATCCGGCAGGACATTTTGAACTACTCCGAAATCTTGCTCCTACGGCTGACGCGTTGTAAGCGACAACCAACTCTCAATTTGTGATTGATGGACAGATTGATGAATCATCGCCATGAAACACCATCTGCGGAATTGCGGAAAATCCTGAGAATGTACTGATGAATTTGGTAGTATTAAAAATACATATCATGCCAAGTAAACAGTATACCCAATTTATAACAATTCAACGCTTGCGATAAACCAAATAGTCGCCAAATCATGAGATAGCTCTCAAGCTCAAGCTCTGCTTACCACGCAGAATCTAAAAATATGGAGCTTTTGGGTTTTTATGAATGTAAAATAACCCGATCTAGTAGATGCCGTGAATATAGATATGCTCAGCTTAGATCATTCATAGCTATGCACAAGCCTTGTAATAGCTGTTCCGTCATCAAGCACTTCGCTCTTCTCTTCCAACTTGTACCCTCCCCACTTAGGCAGAAGAATAGTCCAGACATACCAATATAGGACGCCACCCACAATACTAAAGAGATAGGGCAAAAGTCAGTGTCAGTTCATCAACAAGCTCTATCAGGAAAGGTGATAACGTACGTGCCCATCCCTACCACTGCATAAGTTGCATACCAAAGTCCTCCAGAGGGCTTCTCTTTGGGAGGGAAGAACGGGGCAGCAAGCAACGCAATGCTCAGGATAATTCGTAGTATAACAGCTGGTAACCATGCTTTATAGGGCCTCTTGAGGTCCGGTCGTTTATATCGTAGCCACACAAGGCCGAATCCCATGGCGAGGGTAAACACCTGCCCGGGGTAACCCTCCACTTCGAGGATGAAGGAGTATACCTCCGTCGTGGGTGGTAGCACAATCACAAAGAATGAAGGTATAAAGTTGACGATGAGGCCACCCAACGGCGAGTTCCAAGGCTTCGTCGAAGCAAGGATATCGGAAAAGGGAAGAAAGCCCTGCCGAGCAATCTCTTGCTTCAATCGCGCCTAATACAAAGTCGTCAGCAAAGATTCATATAATTCTCCGGTCTTCCTTTGGGGTGAAAATGCCAGTGTGGTTGAAACACTTACCATTGCAAATGCAACCACGAAAACGTTTCCCACTGCTGAAAGAGCAACGGCCAGAGTCAAGATCTTTCTACCCACTTGCTCGCCAAATAGGCGTTGGAAAAAAAGAGCTGCAATGAGCTCGCCGCTCCCCTTAATTTCATCAAGGGGAACAACGATAAAGTATGCCAAGTTAATAAGGGTATACATGGCACAAGAAGTGAACAAGGCAGTCAGCGTTACAGAACGCAGAGTCCGCACGGGATCCTTAACCTCATTCAGCACGTTGCTAACATTGTCCAGTCCGGCATATGCGTAAAACACTTTGAATAGTGATGTTGACATGACACCCCAGTTCCAAACAGTGTCGTCCCACAGATGGTCCCATGATAACGGATTCTTTTGTTGTACCGAGGTATCCAGCGTCGGCTGGAACACCACGACGTAGAGGCCAGCAAAAATCATGAAGACGATGATTCCAACCTTGATCCAGCCAAGGAAGTCCTGTATCTTGATACCTGCTTTTGGAGTCACGGCGTGGATGACCGTTACAGCGACGAGGAGGAGAACGGCCAGTCCTTTATTAAGAAAAGCGCTCCCATTTTCCACACCAAATGCAAACAGCACGTAACGGCTAAAGATGACGCAGTTGCTTGCCGTAAATCCCAGGAAAACAGCATTGATGGCGACTTGCGTCGTTGCAAAAAGTCGCGGATGTCTATATGTAAACTCGAGATAGACTTTGACGCCCCCAGATCGCGGCAGCATGCAGCCGTACTCGAGTGACACGGCCAGACCGGCAGCTGCGACAAGTGTGCCGACAATCCATAGTAGTAGTGCCAGGCCAGGACTGCCTACCGACTGGAGTATGGCTCCAGGTGTCGCGAATATGCCGCTACCGATGACTCTGGATATTACGAGGATGTAGGCGCTCTGCCAGCTTAATGTTCGGCCGAGAGTAGATGTCTCTGGTAACACATCATCCTCGATGGCCCGAGACGGATGAACATCGCCAGCGGCGTTTTCTGTTTCGCTCAGCGTCGCTCTCGTATCATATTTGTTGTCGTCTGGTCCTGAGGACAAAGGACTTGGAGAGCTCTGAAGCAGCGGCTGCTGTTCTCCGCTATCCGCATCAATATCACGGCCAGCCATGATGTATGGATGCTTGGCGAGGTAACCTTGGACACGGAGCTTGTAGTTGTAATATTCAAGACTGTCCTGTTGATCAAGGTACCTGTATATATCGCAAAACACAAACGAAACTCTGTTTTCACAGTAGGCTTATCGGGCACAAAAACAGAGTTGCCACTGCCCAATGGCCTGTGCTGCTTGGTTCATCGAAACGGCATTGCTACCCAGAGCCATATCACAGCAGCCCGGATATCAAATCAAATCGAACAAAGGATGAAACGCACGCACACACTCCCAGGTCATCCGAGGCTCCCATGCCCATCAAGGGCCAGCGTGACACGCACACAAGACGCGCCCTCGTCAGCCAAATAGTTTATTGCGCGATTGGCTCGATTAATAAGGCAGACAAAGGCCAGCTTCTGAGACACCCAAATTCCATGGCGCGAGTGCAAGGAGCTCGCACGCCATCGCTCTTTGGCCACAGATAAGAGGTCAGCATTTGGGCTTCCTTATCATTCCGTCAACAATGCCCGGAAATGCTAAATAAAGTCCACGGAAGCTATCCCGATGGTACGCGGAGCATGGGAGACATGTGTGTAATTATTTGAGGAATCTTTTAATATCTTTGCAAGGATAGCCTCGGAATCGAAAGGATGGCAATGTGCGACATTGAAGGGAAGCTGCACGCTCTTAAACTGAGACCTACATCTGTAGATGCGCTAATAATCCGTTGTAAAATACACCACCCCAGCCTATGGCATTTCCACATTCATTATTGAGTTGAATGATCAACTGACGACTCCAAGTTGGGAGTTCGGAGTTGTCTAGTGCATGCAAGTAGTTTATTAATCGAGTTGTCAATCGACTCTCTTCATACCTCTATTTCATAGCCAACCAGTTTGTCTAGCAGACCTGCACTTCTCAAGACCAATGCCAATGAGTTTATAGATGTTATATGGCTGAGATCCGTGCACATTTTCCCCAAACACGTAGCCCTAGATCTTGTGTCTAGTAAATAATATTTAAAATACTCTCAGCCCATGTACTATCAAGAAGAGAAAAGAGCCACACCTTTGTAGACGAAAGAAATGGATAACCCTAGTCGCAGCTTTACGCAGACCCAACCGCCCAACAGCTACCTTTACCCGCGATTCTGAATAAGAAGTCTCATGAGAAACAACAGAATTATATCGTTTTTATATACCACATTGTACGCTATTTACATACATTATGGAAATCCTGCCAGCATGGCCTTGAACGCCTCCACAGTTGTGGTTTTGGGAGGTGCTAGTGCCATGACTTCTTTGCTGGCTGGGTGATAGTCGCGCGCACACTTTCCTGCCCATAAGGCCTCGACGGTGGTAAACATAGCAGGAATAAGCTTATCAGGGATACCCATACCCTTGACGGCGCTGAAATAAGTGTCCTTTGCCGAGTAGGTCACATTCTCGACCTTCTCACCAATATAGTCCTCGACAATCGTGACAATATCTCTTCCGGTAACATCCTCAGGGCCGTGGAGAACATACTTGCCATGATTGTGGGGTGATACATCATCAAGAGCCAAAAGATGGGCGGCAACATTGCCAATGTCCTCAGGGTCAATCAATCCCGCAGGAGAATCTTCTGACGAAAGCACAGGCAGCACTCCCTGTTTTCCCGTTTGCTTATACTCTGCAATGAAGCCAAAAGCAGGGCCCAGCCAGTACTGGGTAAAGAAATTCGGCTGAAGTGATGTCCACTGTAGCTCTTTGAACTCTGGCTGACTCAACAGGTTCTCGACTGCCCAGTGGGAGCGGGCATATGGCGTGGGATTTGTGGGAGAGATAAATTCCGCAAAGGTCGATACCCGAACAACATACTTGACACCGGCCTGTAGCAGAGCTAGGTAAAGGGTGGACTCGTCCGCAAACTGGTGAGGCAAGGTGTGCGGCGCAATAAAGACTCGTACTACCTCCTGACCCTTGAGCCACTCAACGTCAATATCAGGCCAATCCTTCTCTAGCCACTCAACACCATCCACCTCCGCTGCAAGTTGCTTGACCACTGAGTTATTCAAGGATCGGGTGAGGGCAACAACGCGGTACTTGGTGCTGCTGGACTTGAGTAGCGCGGGAAGGCCACGAACGACGCCCTTGCCGGTGTTACCGGTGGCACCGATAATCAGAATAGTTGGAGCCATGATGACTTGGAGATCCTGCAATGTTCGAAATAAGCAGATGGTTTATAAGACGCTGACTAGGTGAAAGAAGAGTCAGTTTGTACAAGTAACAGGTTGTGGAGACGAGAACGCAGGCAGAGCCGTCGACTCTTTAAATACAAACTTACGGGCAAGAGACTTCAATACTTCAGCAGGAGAACCGCAATTTTTACGAGAGAAATTCTAATGAGGGTATAATAAATAATCAACTTTGCAGATAAACCCCGGTATCGTCCTGTTGACCCGCTCATTTGCTGCTTTTATCTACATCAAAGACGCGTGGGGCAGCGAGATCTTCCGCACTGCAGAGGCCACTTGGTCTAGGCACGCAAGCGGTTCGCAGAAAAGCAGAGACAGCAAAATGAATATACACAGACATGAAGAGAATACGCTCACCATTCTAGATGAGTTTGTAGTGGGGGATATGTGCGGATTGTCTGTTTCTGTATGCTGATCTTTTCTCGATTCTCGATTCTCCGCAAACTCGGCCCGCTATGGGTCCATAGTCAATTATATGAACCGACCGGAGACTAAAAGAGAGGGAAAAAACTTTAACTTTGTTAATTCCAATGTAACAAGGATTCGCTGAAGGAGATTTTGCAAACCGGCGCGGCTTATTTCTCACCCTGCAATTCTCCGATTCATGAGAGCTTCTTCGAATGTTTATGGGCATGTAAGATGAGACCGTGCAATATGCCATCATTGCCAGTGGGGCCGTCGTTGAACCAGCCTCGTACTCAAAACAAAATACTCACTCTTATTGTAATGTTACTGCGTAAAAAGTGAGGAGCCTGGAAGAGATGCCCTTCCATTAGCTCGACCCTCTCCGGCAAGTTACATGCCCGAGCCACCTCGGCCCGCCTTCTCCAAACCTCCGAGATAGTGTTGCATCGACATCAGAATCTTACAGCAGGACAATACGACGCCGGAACGAGTGAGCTAGTTAAGCACTCGACGCGTCATCCTAATGCTATACAGACTATTCAACCTATCCTATATATACAAGTTGCCGCAGTTAAATATGGCTTACCGCAAAATCTCTCTTTCGCAAGTTGTCAACAGCCTTTTCCCGTTAAAAAAGGGACATACGGTGACATATAATGTTCTAAAGTATAAAATAACAATGGCAATTGAGTAAGCCAAGTTGACTATCTAGGATCTTGTGCGCCAAGTTTAGATTTACCCAGTCCTTCAGTGATAGTATCAGATATTAGAGAGATATATCTATAGTAGCCAATACTAAGAGAGAGTCATGATAATGGGAGAAAGTAGATGTATTTGGGAGATCCAGCAGCAGATACCTAAGTATCTACTAAAGAAACAGAGCATCTTCTTCGTTTGATGAAGCGCCTCCCATGTTTGCCAAACATTCTCAGCATAATCCTGCATCCAAGACAGAAGAATAGTTAAGCAAATCTGCGAAGCACGTTTGCGAAGTTATAATATCTTCTTCTCCTTGGTGTGGATTTCTCAGTAATAACAATCGAAGGCTCAGTACCAAATCGTGGCTGACTTCGTGGACTGACAGGCTTTCCCTGTTTCTGATGATCACAATCTCCTGGTGGCTTTCAGGTGTCTATGCGCTTGCCAAGCAATGTCCTCTTTGTTGCCTCTCTTCCTATCTCTGTATGGTTATCTTGTGATAATCCAAGTCAAGCTTTCTAGAATTACGATCTTAATATAGTGATATAAGTTCTCAAGTCAAGCTCTTGCCGTCCGCTGTATAACTTGTAAACTAAATATTATTAAATCTTCAAGGCTAGTAAACCGAATCATCAGCATTAAATTAGTCCCTATACTTGGAGTTACACGGAAACTTAACTAAAGATGCTACCTCTTAGTTGAAGTAAAACATCGTGTCACGGGGTTCACGACAATTTCATGTATTTTATGCATAGTACTAAGTATGAGTCTGCATCCATAGTGTATTATTATGCTCGCTACTACAATGATTAAGCACGTATGGGCTGTAATACAGTTTTCAAGCTGTCCATGAGAAGAATTGCTCCACTCAAGAAAGCCTTCTACGCATCTAATTGCCGAATAGATCATGGAGAGCACATCAAGGATGGAAGAGCCATCTTCGGGTTTGCCAAAACAACGGGTTTCCAATCCCATTTTCCAGGGTAAACTCACCGTACTTCCACCCCGATGCACAAAACGGCGATCTCCCGGGCGATCGGAGAACGTTGAGATCGGGAGCGGGTACCAAGCACCTGGACCCTTCTAGACCAACAGCCTCATATAAATGGCTCCGCAGTTGTTCAGCTGGCTTAGGATCAGGATTTAGCTTGCTCTGTACCCAGCATAGAGCACCACACTGCAATCAATAGACCTACTCCCTGCCCATCTGAACGGAAGAGTCGTCTAATTAAGGCGGTTCTATCGTTTCATCCATATCACTCGCCCCAAACACACACTAACTTATAGATGACTTCCCAGCAACTTCACTAAGAAAGGGATGAGAAAGAAGCTATACGCCGGTGAAAACTAACGAGCCGTGCCTCCTCTCTAGTGCTATTTTAATCATCATGTAAACAACCTCCTTCCCCTTCCTTTCTTGTCCGGCCCCTTCAAAATACCTACCCGGCCTTCGCCTGATGTCTTAGATCTATATTTGGCCCATGTGGCTTCAGCCTGAAATCCATTCAGTTATTCCCAGCCTATCATTGCTATAAAGCATTAGTATCATCTCTATTAGTGTAGAGCGATGTATTGGATGTGAACCTTGATCCTTGCATTCGTTTTCCCAACATATCTTGTTCAAGCTGATCCACTTTGTGAAGTGTACTATGTTGAGTTGCAAGTCTCGCTTCTTATTGCGTAGTGTCACTCCTGTGATATTATATACACATTATCTTTTATCTCTTGCGTTGTTAATCCATGTGGTATCATACATTTCATCCAGTGAAGCTACCAGAGGTGGTAGGTCAGCATCGACTTATGGTTACTAGTAGTTTACTGGATGTGTAAACAACAAGATATTGGACTCGTGACTAGTTATAAGTGCCCTAAGGGATCAAGTAAATGCGAGGCACTCAGCGTGAAGCATGTGAATCGAAGAGAGTGTACTCCGTAACCGTCATGTAGCTCCAATGACTCGCCCCATCCAAGAATCGGTGTCTCCGTCGTAGTTACAGACCCAACAAGTAGGGGCGTATGCTTAAGATCTAGTCTTGACTTCTCAGTGTACCCTGGACATATTGCTCCGGGTTAAGCCTGCTCTTCCTCATATTCTCACACCCAGCATCAGTATAGCATCATGCTAGTCTTACCATGAGGGTATCCGAGATTATGCGGCTACGGCGGATGAAGGAGTGGGATTGGGGCACCCGTAATGCAGGTTATGCCTCGAATGACGTCCTATTCAGCTGGCTTGAGTACGGCAACCCCACGATATGTGATATATCACTTCATTGTACCTAACCGAGTGCATCTTTGTACTCTGTGTTGGAGTGGTGATTGGAGGAACCAGGACAAGGATCTCATGTGAGCAAATACCAGAACGTTCAAGACTACATGTCATCCCACAAACACGGCATATATCATGCAGTATTGCGAACCACCATCTGTAGGGGCATGTAGTTGCAGCAGTACTTTTGCACCCCCAAGATAACGCCATTAGATGGTGTGGGATTATAAATGAGAGAACAAGAACCACTATATTGGGAACCAGGAAATCCCATTGTTTCGATCTCAGTGGCATATAGATAGTTTCATAATCTAGCACTGTGGCCGGAGGAAGACCTTGTCATCATCCGCCTCACTGGCTCCTCGGTCCTCGGGACATTCGTATGCGGTCCGTCCCTGATCCTCTATCTAGTCTAATTGACTCCTTGCTTGCTTCATTTCCCGAAATACGCCTTTAGGGGAGAGTGTTTTGTCTTGTTCAGCTGTCTACGTAACAGAACCTCCTTTCCTCTTTTTGTACTACCACCTTTTCATCCAGATTCCTCAGAATTGTGCGAATGCAAGTAAAAGCCATGTATACGCATCCGAACATGCACAAAAATGGTCTGATTTATTTGTGCCGTGTCTGGTTGAGCTCATTTCCTCGTCGCGGTACATCCATAACAAGGGGGGGCTGCACCTTGTCTCCCTATTGTGAGTTAGGTACTTCTTGACATGTCCCTTTTCGCCCCAAATCTAGTCTAAATGTATTCATTGCATTATCGTAATCGCAGCATTTCACACGTGGTGTCTTATTCAAAACCCTCTCCCAAGTAATCTACTTGAAGTAATCCATCTAATGAAGGGCACCGGGCACCAGGGATCTGTCATAAAGGATACATACGTCAGTAAATGACCGGCGGAGGCAGCTCCGTGGATACACACATGGCGATTGGCTATATCGGAACTAGGTATTTAATCAGGGTCTTTGTAACGCAAACATCCATGTACGTCACTCTATCAGGCTGAGGAATTTCCAGGATAGCCTTGGACATTTACGCGCACACAAAATTCCAGCAGGGAGTAAGACACACGAGTCGGTGATACTCCGTAGTTACTCTGCATTTTGTGTCCTGTAACCAGTACCTCTCCAATCCTGATGGGCGTCATCAAAGGTATTAGTTCGAGAAGGCCGTTTTCATTTATATGCAACTTGTCATTATCACTTACTACCACTGCATAATCGAATAATCGTGCATGCGGCACATCTACATGCATCATTATCCCTGATAGTTTCTGTCTCATTCAACCTTCAGCTCAGAGTGGCCAATGAGTCAAAAAAAGGTTAGAAAACGGCCCCCGAAAAGAAGGGGGTAAATCACCTCAACGTTGTGATATCTGCGCGGAGGCTTTCCATGCCATGCGTGTTGAGTCAAGCAAACGAAAAAAAAGCAAAAACATAGAAAAAGAAAATAAATAACCGAGACCGCCAAATACCCCTGCCCTCCCCATCCCACCCCAAGCCGCTCCACGGACGAGTGGCATACGAGTACTCGTAACACAGGTCAATACGGTTACACCCTGCGTCCTTCAGCTTGTCGGTCAACCATTTTAATTTCCCCATAGGGACGGCGCCCAGACAACTGAAGCCTCCTCCCATTCACAAACCAATACAAGAACAGGTCTTGTCTTACATTTCAACGCTAGCAGCATCCGGGCCAAGGATCTTTCACCACATGAGCCGTTTAGTCCAAAAAATCAACCACCCCGAACATCAAAAAAGCAATTCACGCTTCAGCTCAGGGCATTGGTTGACAAAACCTTTGTGTCAAGCTTTTATCCGTCTAAAAGCTCCACGCCTTCGCGATTCGCGCCATATCAGGATACCTTGGCCCAAGTCTCGCTGCCCCTCTACGAAGAGGGTGTACGAGTAATAGAACAGCTACCCCAATGAAGTCTACCTCCTGACGAGGCTAGAAGGGGACTCCTTCGCTCATCATGTCATAGGCGCCTTGCTTAGGCTGGGCGCCTCAACGGCTGTCAGCCAGGCAGGTCCGTCTGTTATTGTGAATAGTGACAGACCTCCCGGCGGAATGCCTTGGCAAGATCCCGTAGACGAAGATTGTCAGACGAGAAAAAGGAAAGCAATCAATAGCGCCGTCCATTTGGGAATTGATGAAATCATCATTCATGCGCATTGAAGCAGATGATGGAGAAGGCCAAATCTAGACTTGATTCCTGACCCCGATCTGTATCAACCCAGCATATCCCAAACATCGCGGGGCTTTGTATGGTGCGGCTGAAGCCCTATCCATGCGGTTGCTACTGTGCTCGTTATGCCGCAACGTCCGTGTCACCGTATTCCGTCTATGCCGACCCCTCCCACGGTCTTTAGCTACAGTCTATTTGAAAATTTCCGAGAATGACGACTTCAAGTCGTTTAATGTCAGTTATGAAGTAGATATGAAAACAGGCAGCTGAAGATAAAAGGGAATAATAAACGCTGTTCTGAGATGGAGGGTGGGATTCCCTGGGATTCCCATGTATTCATTCCCGTGTAAGCGCCGTGTCCCAAAATTCAATGATATTACAAGCACGAGGCCAATTTTTATTTCGAAATTGAAGAAACATTGACAGCATAAATAAAAGAAAACTAAATACCTAAGGGAGAAAAATTCGTGTACAAGTAGTTACTGCCATGACCCCAGCGTATACCATTTCTTCAGCGAACCGCCCATTTTTGCTGGCCCTGTCCCAACCCCCGGCCTTCATCCCCTGCCGTTTCCGGTATGAATCTAATGTGACTGTGTGTGCTGCTCTCGCCCTGTGCTCTGGAGCCTACGAAATCCATTGCTGTAAATCTCCCACAACTTGATAGGTCGGGTTGGCAGAGTGGCCATCACCGCTTTTCTGGTCCCACGCCCATCGGTCTGCATAGTCTGCACCAAGGAGGCCGTGCAGCATATCAACGATGTAGTCACCAATCACTGGCAAGAACTTCCAGCCGTGAAAGGAGCCACCTGTAGCCACGTACAAGCCTTCGCAGTGAGGATGAGGCGTAATAAGGAAGTCATGAGTCGGTGTAGAGGCGTCCCTAGAATAGGTACTTGTGTAAGTGTGTGTTTTTAAAGCCCAAGCGGAAAACAAGGGGCTTATCTTACCAACAAATACGGTACGACTCAATGGGGAGATTTTCAACCTCCTTGCCATACAGACCATCAAACGTCTTCCTAGCACACTGTTTGAGGAAGGGAACGAATTCCGGGCCGGTCCACGTGTTGTAGTCCGATGCTTCAGGTGTCATGGACATCTTCTCACCTGTGATAGGGTTATCGACGTAGTTGGTGAAGCACATATCGCAGTTGAACTTTATGGTCCCATCTTTGAGGATCGACATGCCCTCGCCTGTGTCTCATATCATTGTTAGCGACTGTTTCCCGTTGTCTTATGCTTGTACGAGCAGCTGAAGGAAGGGAATCCTAGCGTCCTCATCCTGGTGCTGGAAGTGGGGAGAGGGGGGGCGGGGAGCCAGTTCCGTTGAGGAACCAGACGTTTCTCAGTACAACGCACCTTTAACCTCAGGGAGGCAGTTCTTTAGTACGGGAATGCAGGCAAACTTTTCCTTCTGCTCGCCTTGCAGCTTGGAGTAGAAGCTAACGGCGCCTGTTGCAACCAGACGGTCACCGATGTGGAGCTGCTTGTTCTCTGGGGCGCTCTGGGCCAGGAGAGAGCCAGTCCTTGCACCTGTGCAGAGCAGCACCTTGTCCGCTCTCAGGGCATCGCCATTGGCGAGCTCAATCCCCACGCACCGGCCGTCAGCACCGAGATCGAGCGACTTCATCTCGCCAACCACGTACTCAACACCCAAGTCGACTGCAGCTTGCATGACGGCCTGCAATGCCTTGTCTGCCTCCGCATACCCCACCGTGGGGTTGTAAAGTACCTTGTCCAGGCTGCCGAAATTTGCTGTGGCATAGACACCGTTCCAGCGTTTCCGCACCTCATCAACGGATAGGAATTCCGCCTCGTTGGCAACTCCAACAGCCCTGTATGAAGCAATACTCTTTTCACCAAAGTCAGATGCGTCAGCTCTAAGCATACCGACTTCATGGTACCATGGGCTGTAGAGCTTGTCCGCACGCCACATGGGCATGGCCCTGATGAGCATCCGCATATAGAGCTTGTCTGGATAGTCATCTCGCACGATCTTGTTGACGTCGTGCGAGGCAGCTCTGGGGTTTGGATAAGGAGCAGTGTCAAGAATCGTGACTTTGAAGCCACCTCTCCTGGCAAGGCTCAGAGCCGTTGCAGCGCCGAAATTCCCGGCGCCAACAATCAAAACTGACGGCACATCACTCTGGATGGAGGAGGCCGACGAAGCCGGGGATGCTGGCTCAGTGTCTGGTGCCTGCCTCGGTGATGGGGGAGTAGACATTGGCTTTGAGGCCTGAGAGGTTGAGCCTGTGACGATATGCATCGTGTGAAAGGTAGTACTGAATTGCGTCTACACTAACAACTTGAAGAGGCAAAGAAACGTTGCTACTGAGATGTAAGAGGATGAGACGGTTGTGTCTTGTCCTCTGTCTTTTTGTCTTGTTCCAAATGGAATTTTTATATGAAGAAATGGTGAGGGAAAACTGAGAAGTAAGAAGATGTTCTTGTCTGTCTGGAAAGCTGTCTTGAGTTGCTTGCTGCGTCGAGTTCATGAGAGGAGGGGAATGACCAGAGCTTTATACTTGGGGAGCCTCCCAATAAGTTTGACTAAAGGCGTTGACGTGTTGTAGATCGGCGTGCAAAAAAAAGGAAAGAAAAAAGCATTAACACCCAAGCCATCTAGCAGCGAATGATGATACGGGCATTGCAAGGCAATGCCCCAAGACACGCGAAAACACCCCGGCTAGGTAACGTACTGTACGCACTCCGTACATTAGTCCTCCCTGTCATTATCACCCGGTGTAGTCTGTCAGCTGCCGGAGCCTAGCGGATCTGGGTCTTGGAGGTTGTTTGGGGGTTCAAGTCTCAGCATTAGACGGAAAAGATACGTATCCCTTTTGGGTTGTAGCTCGGGTTATAATTCACACCCCCCAGTCTGTGGCAAGAAGAGCAGCCGCCGTGAAAGATACAGGCTAGAGGGAAGAGGAAAGAGAAAACAACTGAAGAAGTACACCGAATTGAACGAGAAAACACAGGTGGTACGACAAACGTATGACGACGCATGAAGGACGGACTTTTGCGAGCCCAGAACCATCGTGTGGGTTCCGCCTCTGTGTGCCTGTATGTAAGTAGACAAGCTGTGGCCATTGCGGATGACCAGGTGTCAGTGACTGCCAGCTCTTCAACAGATCGATTGGTAGGAGAGGACAGGGGCTCAAGGCAAAGACAGGGCAAAGACAGGGCAGGGCAACCCTGGGCTAGGATATGCCCACGATGGTGGCGGATGCAGCAGCCGTTGTGCATCGGTATGAAGAGTTGACGAGGAAACAAGATGCTGGAGCTGCCAATCGAGACACGGAGGGGGCGTGTATTTAGCAGGCCGAGTGCGTAGCCCAACATGAGGCCCGGAGAGACTGAGACTGAGAAAAGACGAAAGCCAAGCACATGCAGCCCAGCCCGGGGCGGAGGAAATTAGGAGAGACACTCCAAGTGACGAGAAAAAGCAAAAAACGAGACAAGAGAGATGTCCGATCGATCCCCAGAGGGGCCTAGGCAGGTACAATTTTGGTGGTTAGCACTACCCTGTACCAGAACAAAATCCATTGAGCCATTGATCCATCCACGGATGATAAATCGGGCAGAGCTCCGTACCTCGTGCTCTACTAAAGCAATGCAGCGCAGTACCTTACCTCCATGTACCTACATGCACTAAGGTCCCTGTAATGAAACCTTGAACATTCCTCCTTAGTAGTAGTCAGCGACCCGATGCCGAGCTACGCGCGATCAAAGACGCCAATCTGGACTGCGCTAAGCAGAATATTAACGGCAAAAGAGCTTCGGATATAGATTTGATGCTGACCGAGAATCTTGGGACGGAACCTGGAAGCAATTGAGAGCTCAATGGCACATCCCCAATGTTGCAGCGAGGTATCTAGGTATCATTGGCTACCTAATGTACACACAAGATCAGTGTTCAAGATTCTCTCCCAGAGGCCCAATTCCATGTCCTCACATACAAAATATAAACTCTATTCTCCTTTGTCTAGCTCCCGTCTTCCCCTGTCCTCTGCCCGGCCATCCCAAGCCAAAGACATCCAATGTATGCGTATATCTTCTCCGTCGTTATCGGCCTCTCCTTCGAGCGCTTCTCCTGTTATCGGATCGGTATCGTGGGTACAGAGTAATTAGCGGTTGATCCCTCAGGCATCAAGCACCTGTAGTTTATTTCGTGTCACGTCAAATTGTCGAGCCTCCTTGTTTCCTCTCTTCTCTCTCTCCTCTCTTTTCCAATCTTCGTCTCGCGCCCCCCTTTCTCTTTTCCCCACGCCCACGCCCACATCTCTCTCCTCCTCCTCCCCCGGCGATCGCCCTACTGTAATGCTACTGTAGGCGCAAAACATCCGCCCCATTGTCCCCTCTTCCAGGCCTGTCCGCTATCCGCTCGCTATGTCTGCCACGATGCTCCACAGGCTGGCATGCATATTTTGTATCTCCACTGCGGATACGGCCTTAGTGTCGCAGGGTATGCCATGGTCCAGACGGCGTGCCTGAAACGGCAGAGTATGGCGTATCGGAGCTCGCAATTCACGGAGGCATTCGCAACCAACAGGTATACACGCTGCAGCTGCAAGTCGAGGGCGTCAATGGATGTATGTGCGACGTGAGCTTTTCCATGCGCGGACGGCCAGACGTGGGACCCGGTGAGTCTCCAAAGTCGGTACCCCCCATCAAGAGAAAAGACACCACCTGGTACCTGTGCGTTCTCTTCCTAAAGCGTTGGCTGCTGTGCCTGACACGCAGCGGACCAGTAACGAAGAGGACAAGAAGAGCGCCACTCGCTAGCGTTTACCTGCTGGCTGTTAGCTCCATCTCTTGCAGTTCATTGCAGAAACGCCGTCGTCGTCCCGGACTGGCTGAATCCAATGTCGTGGCGAGCTAGCCATCACATGCAGTCCGCTTTGCCAAAGATTCCTTCCAGGTCGTACAAAGAGAGGTTATCCGCGGCAGACTCTGGTGAACAGACAATAAGGACGGCCTATCAAGATAGCCGGTGGCATCCATTTCGCTCTCGCCGTCGCTGCCGTCGTCCTAAGCATCGTCATGACACTCTAGGCCCGCACCGTTGACGAACCACGTGCCACAACCACTTCACGATATTGACTTTGAATGTGACAAGAACCCGCATATAATCTGCCAGCTAACACGCCTCGAGGTGGCGGTGTGCCAAACCGCGAGCAGTTTAGGTTTCGACGTCTCAAGAGAGGCGTGGAGGTGTGGTAATATGGAGGCAACGCTGGGTTTGGTATCGACCGAAACAAGTGGGTTCGCTGCATCACTCGGAGCAAAAACTTGCACCCTCTACTTGAGGTTATTCCAATTGGGGTGTTGTGCTCCAATAGAGGCAAGAGGAGCCCGAGCTCTCGAGGTTTCGTTGTACTCTAGCTTCGACGACTGGCATTGCTCTAGCTTTCCTTAGTCAATCAGCCTCGACGTCTCGATGTTGCCCTGCATGGTGACGCCATATTTTCTTTTTAAGGAAACTCGACACTCTTGATATGGCATGTCATTTGTAGGTGGTCGATGCTGACCCCTCCAAAAGGCCTATTGGTGAGCTTCGTTATGAGCGTCTGTCAGCTATGTCGAGTTACCACAGTCGCAATGCCATAGACAGGACGTCTGACCTCAGCATCTGGAGGCAATCACATGAAGTAAATGCCGCTCCCTTCATGCTTCCGTTGTTTCATAGCCTTCTTGAGTGCGTCCCCCTTCCTATGTCGCCTCCCCATCCCAATTTGATGTCTTCTGATCTTGTTGTTCTTCGATAGGTGTCGTCCGTTACTCCGTGGTGGTATGCTGTTTCGGGTTGTTATTAGCTGGCTAGTTGCATCGAAGTGAGCGGCCGCTTTGGCAGACGAGACTCCATGCGATGATAAAACGCCACTGCTGTAGCCAGAGCCGGAAGTCAAGTGATCCTGCGAGGTATTATCTAATACATACCGGCGGCCGTTTGATCACTCTCAAACTCTCACTATTCGTACGAATAGTTCTTTCTCTCGATGTCTATGAGAAGGATGACGACCAACATGTTTTGATTCCGCATCCTTAGTTTCCGACACGTCGCCTCGGGGTAAGCGGGACAACGAAGAGCTTCTCGGTCAACTCGCTCTCCCAGCATCTTGACCTATTCCTTCAAGGCTGGGGCCAGTCAGAAAGAGAGTTCCCTCTTATTTGCTTCTCACGTAGAAGTATTAGAGAATTGAAGGTGGTCATCATCTGATCTCAGACTGTGACTATGAGCACTGGTTCTGACGGCTGAAGCTAGAAGAGAGTGCAGAGAACCACTAGCCGTTGTGATTTTCCAGTTTTTTCCGGAACGTACTCTGTACTACCTACTATTAGGCTTTCGATTTTCAAAGCTGGGTACGGGGCATCCGCTTTACTGGAGAACATTCAGCTCTTCAAACAGTACATGTCTCGTGAATTGGAGGACACACGTGGAGAGTCTCCGAGAACTCGGTGTCAGTTGCCCCCCCCCCCACGCCGTCTATCGGCTATTTTTCGACCTTTGATAGTGTGTTGCAATAGTGCCTGAGAAGTTTTCGTGTCTGTACTCTACTCCCGGCACGACTCACACACATTTACACGGGATCCACCAAGCTCGCGGGGCCTGTTGTCATCACGCATGCACCATGTGCGTCTGTTGGTGGGTACTTCTGCTCCCATTTGCTGGATAGGGCTGGCATCATTGACCGGTCAGTATTTTTAGATTGACCGGTCAAGAGAAATGCATTGCAAAACCCAAGGATTCATGCAGAGTGCAATTTGCATCACCGCGTGACCTGATTCATGATATGAAAACGCCAAAAGAAATAAGGGCGAGAAGCGGGGGCAGTGCAGCAGCAGACTTCCTTGTGATTTTGGGCCTGAGATGAGAGATTGGGAGGAAATACACGAGGCTCAGATGGTAATATTGGGCACGATTTGGGATACGATTACATACGGCCCGCTGTCTGACACTCTATGTGTTACACGATGTTTGCTTTTCTTTTTTCTGGAAATGCTCTCTCCTCTCCGCATGAGGCTTAGAGTACGGGCAAACCCTTCCTAGGACAAGGTGCACTCCCTGGATTGGGAAGCGACGGCAGGCGACCTGGCATCAGTTCATCAGGCATCATGGGCGTTGAAGCCCAATGAATGGAGCCGTCCCCTCAACCAGCACTCGAAACGCTGGAACCCAGTCAGTTAACCACCTTGAACAACCAGCCTCCTGGTCGGGCGAGTACACAATTCGGGTCCGGAAAAAACCTGCCTCGCATCCTCCCCCCTGGCTTACGGTTATCATTGCGGAACATTAAGGGTCAATGGATCGTATCAGCTCTATTTTTTCTTTTGGGAAGTATATCCACAAAGAGAAGTCATGGACAGATCCCAGAGTTCAGCTCTCCAGGATGCGGAAACATGTACATGGGTGGCCCCGCCCCTCGAATTAACTAAACGCCCGCTATCTTGCCCTTCCTTTTTATTCCGTCCCGTGTGTTATTAAACCCAATAGTTTTGTCAGTTAGCCTGACACCGTCTTCGTCGTCATCGTTATCCTCGTATAATCTAGCCACTCAGAGCGAGTTGCGTTTTCCGATGCTGTACTAAACAAAGCAAGAACATAGCGCCACCAAGAAAAAGAAAAGAAAAGCAACGAAACCAACCCTCCCTTGCTTGGCAAAACAGGGGTAATCAAATTGGACGCAAGCCACCAAGTCCTGATAGCGCAAAAGACAAAATTAGTGTGTACGGGGGTCCGACGGGTACCGTGACATCGGGGGCTAAGAGACGGGCAATGATAGCCCGATCCACCTTTGGATGGCGTTGGAACTAACAGGGCGCGGACTCGGGGAGAGCCGTGGGCGTGGGGACGGCATCTAAGCCAGCCTCACCGACTCGTTTCGACTCCGCTTTCGCCAGTGCTGTGTCCCTTCTCTAGCTGACGGAACCGATCCTTGAGAAGGCGCTACACTTGTTGTTGAGGCGCGTTGTGAGATCGTCAGGCCCAGCTGGCCTCGTTCTGCAGAATCACAAGAGCTGACTGGCAGTTTTCGCCCGTCACCTGTGATTGATTCCATCGTGTGATCCCTGCAGCACATTCATTTTCCCTCCCCACCCTGGTTCTTCATGGTCTTGAGATGGAACATCATTCTCATATCTGTCTACGCATTACGCGTTTGTAAGCCAATCTGGTTGCACAAGGAGGAGGGAGTCTTCTCCTACTCACGTCATGAAGTAATGCTTGACTGTGGCTTTGTGACGCTCCAGTCCGTCACGGCGCGCAAACCGACGCTTCTTGGGAGGATTCGGACAGCCAGGCACATCACACCGCCAGGGCTTTCGATGTTTGTTACAGTGTTGCCTGCATGATATATTAGCAAACATGTCCACCAAAGCACATGTCGCAGGTGCTCTTCCGCTTGTGTTCGGGAGCAGGGCCTCTTGACTTTCCAAAACTCCTGGGGCAGAGGGAAGCAGGGAATGGGAGTTTGCCATGCGCCACACGCTGAATGGGGAGATGACTACATACGCAAAAGATGAGTTACGATCGAAAAGTATCAGGTTGCCATGTTTATCGACCCCGCCTTTGTCGCATTGATGCCCCCTGGGGCAGTAGTATTTCCCTTTGCCTCGCTGCTTCAAGGCCTTCATGTTGATGCCCGCAAATTCATTCTCATCCGAGTAGTCGTCTGACTCATCTTGCTCTGGAGGATTTGCCCCAGTTGCCGTCGCGTCTGACGCCGGCGTTGCTACGGACACTGGGGTTTCTGGTGGTGGAGGCGTTGGTGGTGATTCAGACGCCGTGGCCGATGCTGCTATTGGTATTGGGGCCATTGGCGTTGAAATTAGTAATGGCCTTGCTTCGGCCTCTCTCCTGGCCGCAGCCCTTGATAGCTTCGGCGGTCTCGGCGGTGGGTTGTTCGGCGCCGGTCCAGTTGAGTCTGCGGCATCTGATAAGATGGGCGGTAATAAGAGTGATGAAGCCGGCGGTAAGAGCGGGAGCGGCGGCAGTGGTGGATGTGGCGCCGCCGCCGCTCGTTCACGCTGTACAGCGGCGGCATCGGGAAGCTGCTTGCGACGTTTAGGTGCGCGCGAGAGCGTATCAGGCGCCTCTTGCATGTCCAACGAGGTCGCCGATGAGGTCACCGATGGGGCAGCGGATGGGGGGCCGTCGTGTGACGAGATGGACATCCGGGGCGCGTGTGAAGCCAGACTCGACCTCCTGCCTCCAACCGTCCATACTGTTTGGACATCTCGAGCGTACTGCTCTGCCAGGTCGCGCATCTTGCTGCACGCCATAGCCATGATATGGTTAGTCTGTGCCATTGCCTACATGTTGACAAGGGAAGAACAAAAGGTGAGGAAGGAGAACGAAGTGGCTGAAGAAGAAAACATATACATACCGAAGACGACTAAGGGTCACGTCCATGGAAACGGATGCGGCGAGGTCTGAAACCCGGGTGTCTGCTCGAGACTTCTCTAGTATTTGTAGAGTAACCTGGTCAATGTGAGGTCCCTGGATGAGACTTTGAATGAGAGAGGACCATATCATGGCAGTTCGAGCTAGGTAGTCTCCCATCTCGGTCACCAGAGCGGCGACATCTCGTGGTTCGGCTGAGCACGACTCCGACGACGGGACAGAGGCAGAGAACAAGTCACCCGCAGCCAGCTCAACTTTGCGAGCGGCTTGTTTGAGGTGCTGTTGAATCAGTTCTTCCAGAGACTCAGTTGCAGGCGGCGTAGTAAGTCCAAACTTGAAGACATGCGTGGTGCTGAGTGGCGGCATAGTGTGAGTTGACACCACCTGTATTACAGGACTTCCAGCTTCTGGATAAGAAACGGAGGCTTTAGCCTGGGATATACTACTCGGCACTCTGGAGAGTAGACAGTCTAGAACCACGAGTTTTTTCTGTCCCAGGGGAGCCTCCCCTATCAGGCCATGAGGCTGAAGTAAAACCTCACCTCTGCCCGATCCCCAGCTCTAGCGTTGGCGATTGATTGAGCCGATCGCTTGCTCTCCAATCGCCCCGCTCACGCTCGGGCTCACTCGCTCGCTGACACCAAGCCGATATAACTGGCAGCAGCACCACCCGAGGGCTAGAAACGATGACGAGATTCAAATAGGACAGACGATGGCTGAGACTTAGAGTAGCCTTCCCGTGGTTGGTCCCGTGGGTCGCAACCCAGGACAAGAGGCAGCAGAACCCGGCCAGCCTTGTGGCGACCCGGTGACTGACGGCTCAAGCAAAAATGAACTAAGTAAGGGACCGATCCGAAAGCCGCCGTTGGAGTTGCGTAGGTCCAAGCCAAGTGGGCAAAGGGAAAGGGGCCGTCGTGTGTGCTCTTTTTTAGTGAGCACTCCGGCGTCCCACTCGCAAGTGAGGTGAGGCTCTCTCGCTGATGGAATGGGAATGGGAAGGATGAATAATCACGGGGCGATGGGATTTCCCATGTCTGTGTCTTTTCTCTTGGGTGGGCTTGAGATGGAGAGGGACTAGGGGTCTTGATTCGGCTGAGCTTAGTGGCCACTCTGTGACTGATATGCCTGTGATTGGCTCGATGATGGCCACCCCTGCCTTGAGTGCAAAGGATCGTGAGGCCAATGGCTTGGTTTGTGTTACCCACCCGACTCCGCACCGACTGAGAGGGCGGCAGAGACCAGAGGGACGACAGTAGAGGATAGGAACGGGCAGAAGATGGGGGTGGCGATGGCTGGGGCCAGGAGCAGAAATACCCGTCCGAGCGAGCAGGAGACGGCAAAGAAGGAGGGGGCTCAAAAGAGAGATCAGGAAACGCCAGCAGCCTCGGGCTGTGCAACAGAAGCGAGCTTCACGGCGTCACAGACGGATGGCGGCCCCTTTTGAGCCTGGAGGGGAGGCAAATCACAGCAAATGGTGCAGCACTTGGGTGGTCGCAGGAGCCAGGCCGTTGATTGGCCGCGATAACCTGAGGCGTCGAGGAGCTGGCGAGAGAAGAGACAACAATAAAGCGCCATTCGACCTGCCGTGAGCTGGCCACGCTAAAGCACCAGAAGCAGTAAAGGCCTCGACCCCTGCACACCGGTATGCGAGCCGTGTCTCCATGTGCGTTAGGCCATTGTCGGATTGGCTGCTCGTCGATCATCTGGACGGTCCTTGGGGAAGCTTGGAGGACCGCCAGCTGCAACAAGCAATCCCTTCTTGCAGGGATGGCACAGCACTTCTCCACTCGGTGAGGCCAGGACCCTGGCCCCGATCATGAGCATCCTGGTCGGACAGCGCGATCGTGAGGCTTTAGAGGGCACCAGTACGCCGGAAGCATCACGTTGGTGCAGAAACGGGGCTTTGTACAGTACAAGCCCCCCAAGCAAAAGAAATTATGGCCATCTCCAGGTTCCAAGGGCCCGGTCATGCCCTTGCTATACGCACCCTCTTTTGGGGAGACGCTGCATCTAAGCGTAACAGACAATCGACGCTTAGCAGGACGAAGAGAGTTCGAATAAGATGTCCTTGGACCTACAAACTTTTGACTCTTCCCTAGATCCCCCCAAAATCCAGAATACATAAAGGAATCAGCCAAAGCTCACGCGTTGCCCCGGGGGTTTGGTTCTCCATCTGACTGCTTTGTACTGCTACCACTGCCCGGAGTGCGAGTAACACCCGCTCGTATTATCGCGACGCCTTTACACTTTTGATTACTCGAGTTGGTCCCTCCGATCTTCAGGGACCGTTTAATGCGGCTATATTCTCTCCCAAGCGGAGCTTCGTGGGTAAGTGCCACTTCTTCTCTCGCATACCCAGTTGATGCCGGCACGAGGGGGTCTTGGTGTCTTGTCCGGTGGATTCTGGCTCCTCCATGGGCCCTTTTATCTTTGCTCCCCTCACGAGAAAAGAGAGAAAGCGTGAGAAAAGTTTTCCGCCGATTCTCGGCTTTCCTTGTTTTCTCTTTTCTCTTCTACTCCTCCTCCTCCTCCTCCTCCTCCTCTTCCACTCCGCCCCAATCTTATCCTCTTGTTGCCTCTCTCGGCGCATCAGATCCAACACCCCAGATCGTCGCCGGCTGAGTCGGAAGCCCAAGTTGGCCGCTGCAGATTTTTTTTTGGGTATCCTCACGCGCATTGTTTTCTCTTTTCTCATTTTACCCCTACCACCCCTGGGCCCGAGCAAGTACCAGCCCGCCACCCCTCGGCCAATCCTGCACTCCATCCCCATATTGGACGAATCGCTCTGTTGGTACGAGTACCCTTATGGTATCTGATCATTCTCGCGTTAGTCTCAACGGTTGTTGCGTTGCCGAGCCAGTCTGTGTATTAGTTGTGTCCCGAGCTTATTGAACCTGCTGCACGCACTTAATCCGCCTCTCTGCCCTTGATACCTACATGCCTGCATTTGGCAGCACACGCCACCTGGTACGTTGTATTTAGTTACTTGGTCTATGCAGACAACAACTTTCCTCTCCCAACCAACTGTCTTGGCATTTCTGCCGGTAACTGGCCCTCTCTTTCTGCCTCTTTTCGCTTTGAATCTCACCGCATGCCTCTCTGTTGTTTCCTCCCGTTGGGCTGTTGTGGAGGTCAGAGCCCGGTCGTTTTACCGAAGAGTTTCCTCTCCCCACACACACGATCTCACACACGATTCATACACTTACACGCCCTAATGGTCATCTTACTCACTCTTTACAAACAAGATACAGTGCCAGATCTGATCGCCAAAGCCACAGGGTGGCTTCTGATTGACCCGGCTGGCCGAGCCCGTGGATGAAACGCCCGCTTGTGGTCATACTTGGTATAGCCCGGCAAATACTCTTCTCGCGAGGCCACTGCCGACTGGTAATTGGCGATCGGGTTTATTAATTGTGCATGGTCCACCGCCAGCCTGCCTTTCGTTGTCGTCCAGGCTCAGTGACACCCACACCCTGGCCCGTGTGTGCATGTGTGCGCGTGTTCCTGTCCGACGTCCGTGAGCCCACCATTGACAAGCCTGGCGTGTGTCTGCGGCCTACGGTTCTAATCAAGGCGTCCCGAATCCTCGTTGCCACGCGAGCCTGGTCTCTTCGCTTCCAGTAAGCACCTGACTCGCCCAGATGGGAGACTCGTTGGATCAAGGGCGCCCGGCCAAGCGCATCAAGCTGGCGCCACACACGCAGCCCTCGCATCCGCACTCTCAATCCCAAGATCGCACTCGCCAGCGGACGCTCCGGCCTGCGCCAGACCCTGCGGAGGCGGCTGCTGCGGCTGCTGCAGTTCCTGCTTTTCATATTATCCCTTCTGGCAGTGGCGCCCGTGGTGGACGCCGTGTCCGTCGCCGTGTCCGCAGCCGTGGGGGCGGCCGTGCCGCCGCCTCCGGCGCTGGGGCGTCCCGGCCCCCTTTGCAAGTGCCGGTTGACGCCGGTTCCTCTCCGGCCTCGACTGAATCAACATCTTCTTTGAATTCGATGTCGACATTGCCTTGGCCGACGCAAGAGCAAATCCATATGGCCGCAGAAGCAGTAGACAGGCCAATTGAAATGACATTGATACCTTTGGACAGTGGTAAGTCAAGTGCAAGCAGATGCTACGCTGTGGCAATGCTACCCCACGCCAGCTTGGGAACCACCCTCCCCTGTCTTACAATTCCCTGGCATTGCATGCACCATTACGCCTTTTATCTTTTTGTACTACTCGCTGCCCCTCGTACATATATGTACACATAACACTCCCTGTTGTCTTACCACGCCACGCGATCTGTGTTGGCCCAAAACTACTATCTATCTGTCATATCTAATATTTTCTTATGGATCTCTGCACCTATCCGACGAGAAAAAGGAACAAGGTTCCTTTCTGTCACCGCAGAATGCCACACGGTACCATACCAATTTCTTCCTCGCACTATTTCCCTTTGCTAGTAATCCCAATTCACTCGTGCGAATTACACTTTACTTTATTCCATCATTTTTCCTCTGCACTTATTCAACTACCACTCCTTGTTTTGGGCCATGGCCCCTAATATTGAATATCAAGAACTGACATTTAAATCTAGTACGGCCGCCCGTGGAGATCGATCTCGTATCGTCAGACCATGGCTCTTCGAGCAATTCCATTTCTCCAGAGCGAGAATCCCAGTCGCCCCAAGATCTGTTTGTCTCAGCCATTGTTGAGCAGGTCGTATCTTCCCAAGCTGAACAGGGGCACAACTCCTCCAAATTCGAATCACGGTCACATAGATTCGTCAGTCCGTTTAAAGATTGTGTATCAAGCTATGTACAAACGTCCCGGCGCTTCAGCCGTCCCTCGGATGGCACAGTCAATTCATACATCAAATTCAACTGGCCGCAGCGCAGAACGCAGGGCGGGCGCTCGTCTTCTGTATCGGTTGTTGCCCAGCCTAGTAATGATGCTGATGATGACCAAGTAGAGGAGATCATCAGACCTTCAACCCAGTCATCATCGTCTTTGGTTGCTTCTAATCGCCACTCGCATCAGTACGCAAAACAACTATCACAAGCTACTGCGATTTTATTGAACTCTCAGAGGAGATCCGACCGCTCGCTGTCTTTCTCAGACGGCACATTGCCGTCTGCAGGGTCGAGTTACACTGTCACATCTCCTTCTTCTCATCCCTGGAGCTCCCACGGTTGGGCTAGCCATTCATCGTCTCTCGCTCCTCGCATGTTACCGTCACATTTTGGGCTGGTTTCGAAAATGGATAAGATAGATAGGCAGCTTTGGGCATTTTGTAGGTTGAAAACTCCTGACTTCCTCAAGGCATTTCACATCCCTCACTTTTCTCCATTACAATTCCCATGCAGACTACACCAATGGTTTTAGTTTAGGTTTGCGCATCCTGACTTTTTCGGGGAACATAGATATCAGGAATTGGTGTCCTGGCCGGAGTATTCTGGGCAAAACAAACTCATGGTTGCAGGATTTTGCTCCCATGGAGGGGAACGACGGCGTGCTCTTCGCGATGCAGAGCCTCGCCGGCATATATGTCTATGACTACCAGCCATTGGAAGAAATAAGTCGGCGCATTAGCCTTCAGTTTGCAAAGGCCGAGGCACGTCTGAGCCAACTACTCGCTAAAACGAATCCTACTACTGAAGAAACCAGCGAGCTGATCACCATTACTTCTATCTTATCGATGCAAGACGTAAGTGGCTTTGCAAAGTGTTTGCATTTTCAATACTTTTGAGCGATTCTAACTAGTTGGGTCTCATTCTTTACAGATTGTCTATACTGAGCGCCGTCGCAAGCGACCTCAGTCTCCACGTTGGCTGGAGGGCTTCAAGCAATGCGAACATTTTCTCGAATCAATCGACGAAGGGTCGCGATTCTGGTCACAAACCAATGTTCAGTCGTCCTCCCTTCGTATCTCCCAGTCAATCATTGTCGGCAGAGCCGTCGTCCTTTCGCAGATCATGACGCCGCTCAAGTCTCCATATACCTTTGATCCACAGAAAGAGTCCTCTCGCTTCGGCTGGCTCCTCTACGGGAACATGGAGGACATGTATGAGATTCACGGCGGATGCGGCTTCTCCAAGAAGCTGCTTCATTCGCTGAGCCAAATCTCATACCTCGCCGCGCGTCTTTATCAGGACCCTGAAAGTCCAGTCGCTCCACTCACTGCCCGGTTTCTGCTCGCAGAGCTGCTCCAAATGAGGCAATGGAGCAGCGCTCCCGACGCCGCGCCTTGGGAAGAAGCCAAAGATCTGCCGCAGACTATTGAAATGGTGCGCGCTGCTCCTGAAGGCTATGTTATTGAAACCGCATGCCATATGACCGAAGTCACTGCGGAGGCCTGGAGAATTTCAGCCATGATTTATCTACAGTGTCGTGCTTTAAGGTGAGCTGGCTTTCACTTTACGGAGTATAAATCGTTTTTAACAAATGGAATCTTTATAGGAAGCCCCGGAATCACCCAGAGGTTCTGGATAACCTATCTGATCTTGCCAAATGTATAAACATTATGCCAACTTCAGGTTACAACTTCACTGCCCAAGCGCCTCTATTTCCAGTCTTCCTTCTGGGGATGCTTGCTACAGATCCTGAGCACGCTTCCGTTGCGCAGACGTGGTTTGAAAAAGTCACCAGCACTCCAGTGAGAAGTGTAAGATGAGCTTCCCTTTCCACCCACTCTACTTATTTTTTTCCGAAGCGCTGACTCCGTATGTCTGATATAGAGTGTTCCTCCACTTTATGAGGCATTGAAACGAATCTGGACGTGGATTGACTCTGATCCCAACTTGAAGCCGCCTGCCAAAGGAAAGCTCGATGAAGATGTCGGCAAAAGAATTCCATGGTGGGAGCATCTAGTCAAACGCGTGCAAGACCACGAGTCCGAGATACTATGCTTGACCTAAAGGGTGAGGATATCAATTGGTCTCATCAAGTCTATCTAAGCCTATCTATTTAGACTGGCACCTTCTCCAGTCTCCGACACGACCTGGTCTAGCATCGCCTTTCTCGCCAATTGCTCAGAAGTCCAATCTAAGGGAGCAAACAATGAAAAGTATCCGGCAGTCCAAAGCATTATTAAATCAGCCCTGATACGGCGCTGTCCCCATCATCTCTTTGGTCCTGCCCCCCTTTCATTTTTAAAAGGTACTGCCCTACGAGACAGATTGTTAGCAAAGGCAGACCGAGAAAGGGGAAAACAGTCGATGACTCACGAAATTCAGAGTTTGGTGCTTGCCAGACACTTATCACACTCAGTCCCGCCTTATGGCACATGAGTCGAACGCTCTCCTCTCCATATTTGTGAGAGTCGAACCAGTCTAGCTCTTCACCCTGTTTGATGGTCCGTCCAAGCTTGTGGATCGTGACGTCCTTGTTGGCACGGAAGAAGAATCGATGCCGGTTTGTGGGCTCTTCTTCAAGTTGCGCCATGAAGTCCCAATCTTCTTCTTGGAACCACTCTTCTCCAATCGCTTTGTTCACTTGCTCAAAGCCATTCAGGAAGAATTGATGGTATAGGTCGTCTCTGGAATGATAGGCCGCCCAGATCTTGTCCTTATCGTTAGGCAGCAAGTGGGCATCCATTCCTACCAAGAGAAAATCATTTGGCCGGAGCGCCTTGGCCCAGTACTTGAGATGGCTCAAGGCTTCTGGCCAAGGGTCATTGCAAAGCACTGAGCCCAGCGAGAGAAACAGTCTCTGGCCCTCAATGCCTTGGACATAGGCCATCCCGTCTTGGAATGTTCCCCACAGCCCTGCACAAGTTACCTTTGCATCCGCTGCCGAATGCTTATCGAGAAGGTAGCCCACGCTGTGCTCCAACGAGGCCTTAGAGATATCCAGAGCCAAGTAGGTGGCTTTCTGCTGCGCTTTCTCAAAAGCAGCCAACAAATGCTCCACTTTACGAGTGTCACTGAATCATTATGGAGCTTGTTAGATCATATGATCCCTTGACGATTGATCCTGTTGAGACTTACCCGACTCCAAGATCAATCATGGTCACACCAGGCTGGACTTGCCCAACGATGTCGCTGCCGTGAGCATCAAAGAGCGCAATCTCGTCGTGTGTCTGGTAGAACTCAGGGGTGAAAATGATCTCGTTCCATATGGGCAGTCCCATATCAGTATACAGGAGCTCATCTGGGAGAGTTGGCTTGGCATTGGGGCCATAGACAGCCGTGAGGACCCTGGAGAGTCTCTCTCCAAGATCCTCGTGCATTCGGCTTCCGCCTATGTCCATGACGTCGCCGTGACCAGGGATCTCATGCCGCAAAGCCATGATGCGTATCTGATATATGGTGGTGATCGGTTATTCGAATCAAAAGCTGGCGCAAGATAGCACAGTTTGCTGTTGCAGTCGAATTCTGCTCTGGCTCCAGGTCGTTATACTGGGATATCCTCGAGTTTTTATGTCGAGAATATGGCAGCGGACAACAGCCTTTTAGTGTGTCGGTCGCTGCTCTTACTCACTGCTGCAGCCCCAAGGTAAATGCGTGAATGGGAGAGGACAGGAGAGAGACCGGGGTGGTATTCAGAGAGGAATGAAGAACAAAGCATGGACCCAGCTCTACCTGCTGGGTAGAGATGTAGACTACTCATCTCCTATTTCGCCGGGAAACGCAGAGGAACTGATAGAGCTCTGCGGTGAGGTCGAGCTCTGATTCCTCTTGTCGCACACCCTACATCCCCCCACCAGCCTGTCAAGCCGCCGCGTGTGTGCATATATGCGGTGCTTGGCCAGAAGGGCCGTAATAGGATAAGGTGCTGTCCAGGATGGGCCTGGCAGGATGACAACCTCAACCCTACAAACTGTTGGTACATGGCATTCCACCAAGCTGCTGTAGCCAGCCGGAGGACTTTAAACCTCACAGGCCCGCCTGGTGGTGAGGCGAACTTAGGGTCCTGCCGGGGCATGGCCGGATGAGGTTCGACTTACATTAGCCCGCTTGTATATGGAGTAGAGGGAGGGGTGCCACCGCGCGTAAATATGTGCCCCCCTGTCGAGACGAGCCACCGTTGAGGAATTGGGAGGGGGGCAAGTACTCGTACTGTACCGCGCTCCGGAGCTGCATGAAGCGAGTCTTACGGGTACTTGTAGTAGTATATGATGCCGCTGTCCTGCACCTAGATGGAGACTTGGTGTCAACCATTTACTTCGTCTGCTGCACCGTTGGTCCATCATCGACGGCGAGAGAAGAGAAGAGAAGAGAAGGGAGGGTAGCTTTTCAACGGAGCCACGTCCGAACCAACTGCATTCGCTTCCTCAGCTGGGGTTGGACTCTAAGGATCCCCGTACTCCCCAAGCAGGCCAGCGCATACATGCAATCACAGTCGATACTTGTGCTCTGTCATATCTCGAGGTGCTTCTGCAAATGCTAGAGGGCATTGGAAATCCCATTGCTGCGCCACCACGTGTCTTGGTGATGCGAAGCCATTGTGGTTGTCTGTGACAATAGGAGTGAATAAAGCACAAGTTTATGTGTGAAGCCTCGTCGCCGCTGGGCATCAATAGATGGCCGAGCTGGTTCGTCGTTTCTTCAGGTAGGCATTGGTATTCCAAATGGAGATATCGAGATGGTGGCTTGAGGGCGTCGTCCCCTTCGGCGCGGGCCGAGCGAAAGCTAGTATTTAGTATATTATTCTTTTTATACTCCAAAACAATGCGTTGTTCCATTGTCAATCACTTCCGTCCATCGTTTACGTATCCAATGCTTTCACTGAGTTCCTACTCATACTTGCATTGCTCATGCCTGTCGCGGTGGTGCTCAGAATGGGTACTGCACACTTACCGGTGCAGCTCAAAAGATAATGCAGAACATCCGGAGATGTCCAGTTGCTCAGGTCCGCCTTGTACACATGAAGTACAGGTACGAGCCCGCAGCTCTAGTGGAGCGAAAGAAATATGCAAATCAGTCGCTTGCAAAGGCAGGGCAATGCAAATGGGTGGCGTGGGTCTCTCGAAAAGCTCAATTGGGCACTTGGTGCGAGTGGGATGAGGATGGCGAATATCTAAACGACAACCAAGTCGATCTCGATTTCCATGGACCTGACCAAGCACCAGATAAGGCTCATTGCCTCACACCCATTGATTCCCAAGCGGGCATGTATGCAGGCAATTGGAACGCAAGAGTTGCGCCTTGATACCGAACGAATACAGCTGCATGGATAACTAACAGCAACCTCCAACCGCCGATGCATACTGCACTCCTACTAAGAACGTTGGCTGACAGACCGACTATCTGTCCGCATACGACCTGCTTAGTATTAGCACCAGTAGCTTCATCAAAATAGCCGCCCACTGCTTACCCTTACAAGCGAATGAATAGGGCTCGATCCACCATATTGGTTTCGGCTCGCTCAACACACCCCACGGCCCCTGCATCATTGTGCTGTAATCTTCTGCGGCACCGCCCCAGATGATCCTTGTGATGAACGGGGAATTATTTGTTGCTGGTCAAATATCGGAAAGTTTTTGAATACACACAAGCAAAGTCTTGTGCGAGTGGCGGGGCCGTTGCTCATGGCACTGCGACTGCCTCTTTGGTGTTAAATCCTCCGTTACGGTTGTAATCGGAGCTCTAGCGGAGAGCAGATATGGGAAGATTGTCTTGTCTGTTCGTGCTACGTCACAGACGGCCGGCCGGGAGCATATACGAAGATGGGGGACCTGCCGGGCGGAATACACCCGCGGTCCGAAGTGCGACGTGTGAAGCATGCGGAAGCGTGTTGTACAACATGTTGGCTTTCTATGCTAATATCCGTGGCACCATCGATCATATCAAGAGTCTTGAGCCTCAAGCGCAGGGCAACGCGGTGCTGCGCCGCCGGCAGTTTATGTCTGTGGGGTTACATCCAACTGGGGCTCTTTTTCAGACTGCATACGTACCTTGGAAAGGTATGAAAGAAAGAATATTGATAGTGATGCCGACTGGGAGGGACCAGCCACGGCGTATAGACGTACAAATTTCTCATCGAGCAGGTTTCAACAGTGGCAAAGACTGGCTGGTGCTTTTGCAATTGACTGATTTTCCGTACCAAGACCTACCCTCGTTTGGCAAAGGGAAATATTGCTGCTAGCGCTGAGCTGAGTGACGACGTTATCCCCGTTTTGATGGCAACTGTCAATAGCACAAGTGACGAGTAGTGAAAAGCCGTTGTGGGGTCTGTGCTTGCAATGCCTGCAGGAATATGACAGATGATATCCCGGTCTGATGTCGGTACCGATCCTGTGTCACCATATGCAGGAGCATCAACTCCAGAGCCTTGTTACAAAGGGGCGTCAATTCATGCCATTCGTGGGTGATACGTCCACAAGACAAGGCCGAGCTCTAATCAGGCATGCACTGATCGATCTGTTCAATGGGAGGAACAACGCAGTAGATGTGTGGGACGTTGCTCCCCGTGCTCTGCATCGGAATGTTCAGGGGCAACTAGACGGAAAAGTCGGAGTAGCAATACTTGCCATGGAAAACTTGGATACAAAATCTGACTGCATGCCCTACTCGCAAATACTAGCAGCATGTTAGTAGATGCAGCTAATGTATGGAAGTACGGAGCAGCATTCCGGTGGATGTTGGGGGAGGGGTTCGCAAGACGATCACGAGCAGAAGAGGCTTGGTGATCGAGATTGACCCCATGTCTGCGCTCAACGACTCGATTCTAGCAATTTGTGCTACAATCAGTGGATACAAATGTGTCCAAGAGTAGACTTTACTTACGGATATTCTCTTGTGAAGGACTACAGAGTCATGAGGAGGAAGTCCCAGATCGGCTTGCTCCACGAAAGCACCATCTGGTTTTCCCCTGAGTAAGAACCGGGAAATGACATGCCGCAACTGTCTCAAGCCTGCCGCTTGGTCATCGAGGAGATGTGGCCAAGGCATCTACACTTTTGTTTGTCAACTCCTGCACCTGCGTCTCGCCAAGCAGGCCAGCCGCTTTGCGTGCTTACTATGTATCTATCAACTTGTGTACCGAATCGATGGGAAGATGGAGAGGGTGTGGTGGCAGTCAATCTGACTGGATGCTCCAGCTTCGGGGCTGTGTCTCATCGCCGAGGATATGGTTGTCTGTGAAAATGATGCATCGAGATGGGGCCGATTCTCACATGTCACGATCGCCGTCTGGGTCGGCGATAAGACGCTTCGTTTGATCGAGTTGCTGTAGATGGATACCTTTTGAAGGCGAAGAAGAAGAGCCAGAACGAAAAAAGATCAAGAAACCTGTCCTGGATTTCATCACGTGCTGTGTATCGAGTACGGAACTTGGCCGGGGAAGTTGGAGGAAAGTGCCTCTCAAAGCTTATACAGGAACTTTCAATGTTCCTTTGTCCCAACCTTCCAGCTCCTTCTACGGATCGACGTCTCTGTGCCTGGCTTTCTCAAGAACGGCAGGAAAGCGAGCCGCGGCCCCACTGACACGCGACTGAGCGCCCGCTGGTAGGCAACAAGTACCAGGAAGAGCACAGAGCCCGGGGCAATGCGTACCTGTACGATCCATACCCAGAAGACTCGCCTGAAGAATTGTGGCACGTTTACCTCCTGGCTGTTTAGGCTATACTTCTGCAGTACCTCAGATTGTACCAAAGGTACGTGTAGTAGGGATGCAAACTGGAAGGCAGGAGACACCTACCCTACGTACCGAAGTACTAAGTATCTATCGACAGAAAAGGATTTTGTGACGTTCTTCCTCTCTCATCAGGGGATTCAGCTTCAGATCGACTACCACGTCCGTACAACACCAACACTCTGATCGGCAGCTAGTCCGCCATACTTCCCAGTTCTGGACCAGAAGCAGATGCCTAGATCGGCTTCGTACGAGTGACAACCTAGCCGTTATTGACCCACGCCGGCTGCGTCGCGGCGCGTTCGTCAGCAAACTATATCGAGACGGGTTGACGAGGACACGTCAGATCCGCATGTGCATCTGACAGCCGAACACGGAATGAACAAGATCGCCAACCGCTTGTTGGTGCAGATGAACAATGGCCGTTGTCTGCTTCCACCAGATTCAATTTCATGCAACTGTCCCACCTCGCACTTTCGGGCGACATAGACGTGCCTAACAGGTACTTACGACGTTGCCACGGGTGCTTATAAGTTGCTGGAATACGAAGAAAGAAATGCAGGCAGCAAATATCAGCACCAAGAATACTACGTGTACGAGCATTGTATTACGACTAGTAAGCTACCTGGTATGCATCCATCCAGATGGTCTACGGCAGCTCATACAAGTCTGTGCGACATGTCGACAAAGGATACGTACACATCGTACGAGCCACAGTGGAGGCCATTTTGCTTTCGTCGTCCCATCAACCGAGGATGAGGGACAAAAATTTGTGAAACTAGGGGAGCTTCACCTTCTATGAAGCCCAATGAACTTGGGGTTTCCACCTTCAGGGCCGCTTCTCTCGTGTGGACAGTCATCCAAGAGAAACTTGGCAGGCTTTGCAGATTCATTTGCGAATCAGGAAAGCCAAGGATCCGAGAATGGGTGCAATCCTCTGTGCCCCATCACATATCACTCTTGCAAAGAGCAGATTATGCAGAGAGCCTTTTCCACCATACAAGCGCGGAACACAAGTACACTCGACGGTGGGCCTCTGATAATAGCAATGCCGCATCTATTGTCGGGAATAGCCAGCCAATACAAGCGCCAAGGACGAAGCTCGAAACACAGAGTAGTACAAGTGTCGCTTAGCAGTAGCCAGGGCGTCGAGAACTGCCGTCGTAAGTTGTGGAATGTGAGTTACTCTCTTCTATCCCTGAAGCTTCGGCCTTGTTAGCCCCCCTTCTTGAATTGGTGAAGTATAATCAAACGCAACGCCGCAGTAGGCCTCCATTTGTTAGCGCCCGCCAACTGCAATGGCTCTTTCACCCAACCCTAGCCTGCCACCATTTTTTGCATGGTTTCTCTTCTCTTCTCTATGCTCCAAGCTCTAGTGTGAACAAACTGCGGGATGACCCGAGCGGCGGGGTTCCTTGACTGACGACAATTTAGTACCCCACGAGCGTTGCAAATCAAAATTGACTGGCATCAAGATGCTGCCATTATCCCTGATTCAACTCCAAATGGAGCTCGGCTTTTGTCAGCCTTGGGTCACACAGAGCTTACGTCCCGCTATAACGATCCTCTGCCCCCCAGACTTGGCATGGTTAAAGCAAGACGACAGAAACTGGATGGAAGTCGTGCAACTTCGTCAGAGTTAGTCGTGCATCCTCAAGTTAGCGTCTCCGTTCGTGCCCACAACCGATCCCAGAGTGGGCACAAGACAACAGATGCTACTGTATGGAGTGCTTTGAAGCGCCTGGATGTGTGAAATGAAATGTGAGCAAATCCTTTCGTCCACCAATGGGTACCTCGTGAGATGGCATCCGCATATCTATCCATCACAAGGTATGGGGCGCTCCGGACACCCACTTCCCGGTTTTTAAATTATGTCTTTCACAACTGTGCAGCACAATCCTTTCTTTTAGAACTTTTGAGAAGCGACCAAGTCTTCCTAACCGAAGGCAGATGGGACTGGTCTCGCAAGGCAGAAATGCTTTCATAGCTAGGACGCGCCAAGCTACCTTGGGCGAGGAGTTGCACCTGAGTTAGCCCCTCACTACCGCTTATCTAGCCTTCCGGATGAAGATTGCATTTGTGGGTTTCTAACAAGAAATTTCTGTAATTGTTTTCTGGTAGGTTGCCCTGCTCCCGTTCCCAAGCCATTCCTTGAGGCCCTTATACCCTGCTTTCTGAATCCTGGCTGTCCAGACCTCGGCTCCTGGCATGGAGAATTCATTGTTCGAGTGGCCATCACACAAATACGCACCAGCTCTTTCCTATGAAGAGGGGCCGAGGTCGCTGAGCCACCCCATGCTGTTTCATTAAAGTGACATGTCATGCTTGGCTGGGGAATTGTCCTCGTCGTTGATGGGTGATAGTCGACCTAGGCAGTCTTGAGAGCTGGCAGGGACTCTCATTAACAGCACTGCTAACTCAAGCCGTTCGTCCAATGGCTTATTACCCAGCTCACCGAAAGCTGAGATGATGGCGAAGTCGGGCTACCAGTATTAGGCACAATTGTGAGTGTTTTGCGGTGATTTCTTAGCACGAAGTTTTGTGGCCGACATCGCTAATTCAAGCCTAGCAGATGATTATGCAGATGGAACCTGGGGTGGCAACGAACCCCCCCCTTCGAGAACTATCTGCTTAGAAGATCCTTTACGAGCAATTACAGTCGGCCATCCTTGCTCAAATTTGTTTACTGAAAGGCGTGTACCCTGACAATATCCAACCGCTTGCCATTGGGGGCTGAGACTGTGATATCTGTCACTGCCGACACGTTGCGTGGCCAAGCAAGTTACATTGCTGGCCATCGACGCCGCGGATATCTTGAGGGAATAACTCAAGACGTGGATGCCATTCATCGCGACACACGACGCTATCTGCAAAGAGAAATACGACCAGGAAAAGCCCCGAGCTTGCTTGCTTGCTTTACGCCATATCGTATATTTAAAGCACAATCTCGATCTGGTTTAGTCTTGCAGCTGAAAGATTAACACCCCATCCTATCTAGAGCAAAGTGGCATTTATGCAGCCTGCCTGTCATCATAGCTTGAGTACCTGCAAGCCGGGCATATTCCGACAGGCCGTACGGTTTTTGGTGCTTACCCCTTCGTAATTGTACACCGAACATTGGTTAGAATTAGGGCTTGCATCTCGTACACCCCTAAGTACAACAAGAGACTTTATGCATCCATGTCTCTCAGAGGAACTCACACTCACAACATGCGAGTATAGCTTCAGTACGATTACTTACACCCTAGGCCTCTGTCATTTGCAATCCATGACACATGCCGCCCCTGAGATCTGCAAGTCAGCCGCTGCTGCGGATATAAAGCAGGCTTTAACATTTTCGTTCATCATGCGTAAGAAAAACGTGGCACAAGTGACAGTCAGGGCTTTGATGCCCGCAGACTAGAATATGCGGAGGTGGACAAACCACAGCACGACATCACATTCCATTCTTTGTGAGCCTCCTGCATCTAGGCATTGACAGGTGGAGGAGCCGTACTGGCGCACTAATGGTATTTGCATGAACCCCGTCGCGGAGGAATCTATCCAAGTATACCATGTACCGTGGCATACAGTATGTACGGAGGACTCTATGCATCAAAGAGGGGGCGTCTACATAAGTTGCATGGAAGCAGCATGTCCCATCTTGCACCTCGCTTAGCAAACTGGTTGCCAGCAGGAACGAGAAGGGATATGCAACACCACTATTGGATACTGCCCCTAACATCAGATGCTTTTGACAGGTTGTACAATGCAACATTATCACATTGTTCCTTCTGCGCATCAGGCCCAACAGAGGAAGCCATGGGTTCGCTGTCATGCACGGGTAAAGTCAATGGATCCATACATGAGAAACGATTCGCCAGAAGCAGGACAAGATGAGTGATAAGTGGAATGCGATTCTCAAATTCTAGGAGTTTCCGTGACGGCGATTCTGTCTGCCCCTCGGCACTAAGAAGCTGAAGCCGACGTGGTGCATGCATGCATTCCCCTGCACGCCTTGTCAAGCAGAGCCAGAGCTTGTTTAACACGACATGCCCCCCTTCGGACGGCCCCCCTTATCGGGCATGACGGAGAATAGACAATTGCTGGCTTACATGCAATTTGATTGATAATGGTGGCCTCGCTATCACATTTCTTTGTTACCTGACGCAAGAGCTCTCCCTCGAGCTGCAATGCATGACCGAAAAGTGACAGAGTTTAACAAATTAAACCGACGATGCCGAATCATGAACAATGGCAAGGAGTCATGATGCTGCCTAGCTTTACAATTAGAAAAAGGGGGGAGTGCATGAGTGTGACGTCTTACATCTGGGATCGGTGCCGCTGAAGAATTTTAGATCAAGATATTACTTGGCACATACTTACGGAGGATCGTGTTCAGTTGTGTCATACTTGGCCACTGAGATCTGCTCTCGGTAAGTATGGATGGAGGCCGAATTGAATTGGTTTGAAGGAGTTGATCGGGCACCCCTTTTTATGAACTAACTGATTCGCTTGTGATGTTGAAGATCGACATCGTGTACCAGGACGATGTTGTACACTCCTCTTCATACTGGCTTGGGCAATTGAGGAAGCAAGGCTGAGTTTTACTTATTTGGATATCGCTGGTGTTTACTGTGCACTCGATGCTAATACTTACGAGAGTCCTTATTGCAGATGTGTGGCTCTACGCGGAATACGCCTTGCTAGATGACGACGATGCGAAATATCATTGGACTGTTCAAACACGCACACGAAAGAAGACAATTCGAGCTCTCTAAGTCTGATCTGATATATCTGTCTTCTACCACGACTGTCTAAACTTGTTATATCTGTTGAAGATCTATCGCCAAAATGAATCTCTTGCGTAGTCTTTCTTGCCTGGCTTCTTCCGAATATCGTAAATGAAAAGGGGAAATCGAATAAAAAAAAAAGGGCAGTATGCAAAAATGAAAACTGGATTTATGAGCCGTTGAACCTCAGACACGCATCTGACTTGGGCCGGCATTTTGATTGCGCCGTATTTTCCACCTCCAAACGCCCCCGTATTTATCTTTTTTTAGTCTACCCAGCCTAGTTATCCCAGAAACCCGGGAACAGGTACTCGACCTTCTTCATGGCCTCAGGGTTCCTGCCAGCAGGCTTGGTCATGAACTTGACAGGGCCGGAAGACGCACCCTCCCAGTGCTTGGCCAGGACAAGGTCGCTGTGGTCCAGCTTGGAGAGCTGGTCCAGAACACCGCCAACCAGTCGCTTAGCGTTCTGGCTGTTGGCATGCATGTACTTGATAACCATCTCGACGTTGACGTCCTCGTATGAGTGCCAGCAGTCGTAGTCGGTAGCCATGCAGATAACCTGGTAGGAAAGCTCAGCCTCGCGGGCAAGCTTGGCCTCGGGAAGAGCAGACATGTTGATGACAGAGCCACCCCATGAGCGGTACATGTGAGACTCGGCACGGGTAGAGAACTGGGGTCCCTCTGTAGTTGAAGAGAAGTTAGTCAAGTGGTAACTTTGAATCAATTTTAGGTAAATACATTGACGAACCCATGCAGATCAAGGTGCCTTTGTCATGAAGCACCACACCATCGCCCTCCATGTGCGCCGCACAGGTCTTGACAATGTCTGCCAGCTTCTTGTCGAAGGGGTCGGCGAATCCAACGTGGCCCACAACACCACCCTCAAAGAAGGTGAACGGCCTGATGCCCTTGGTGCGATCGATGACCTGGTCGGGGATCACAAAGTCCATGGGCTTAATCTCCTCCTGCAGGGAGCCCACGGCGGAGAAGGCAATGACGCATCGGACACCGAGGTGGCGGAGAGCAGCGATGTTGGCCTGGTTGGGAACCTCGTGAGGCGCAAACTGATGGTACAGGCCGTGACGGGCGAGGAAGGCAATGTTGACACCGTTGTGGGAGAGGATGGAGATGGGCGAGGCGGGAGGTCCCCAAGGGGTGATGGGGTTGACGACAGCAATGGGCTCGTAGCCCTCGAGCTGGGCAAGGCCAGTGCCGCCGATGACGGCAATGTGGACGGGTTCTATATACTCGAATTAGAGTCGCATTGGAGATGACAGCAGGGGAGCTTCGAGGTTTGCAACATACGATCGAAGCTAGTGGGGAGGTCGGACATGGTGACTGATGGCTGTGATTGAAGATTAGCTAATGCGCCTGCAAATGAAATTGAACTGAAAACCGAGCAATTTACCTACTGGGTATGTATATGCTTGTAAAAAGAAATAAAATAGAAAAGAAGAGGCTTAGAGACTAGCAATGGTGATGTTCGTGGAAAGGCCGCAAGTACAAGAGAGCAAAAAAAGCTACCAAGCTGCACTTACCCCTCTATCGATAGTGATGGAGGGGCAGGATTTTCTTAGGCACTCGTTGGATAAGAGGTTCAAGCAAAGAGCACGCCATCATGGAATTAGGTTCCTCGGAGCTTAGTGCGCTTATGTGATATTTTGAGGTGAAGCAGTTCTCTAGATATTCTATAATACATGAAAACTCAATATATTCAGCTGGTGACATTTGAGGATGTTTGCTGGCGTGCTGAGAGTCTCGGTACCGAAGTACTAACTTGCGCAGTACGGCACCCGCCTATATCTCTGTCCCTCAATGGGAAAGAACAAAGTTGTTATCAATCTGGTTGACACGGAAACGCCTCCAGCCCGGGTACAGTCACCCAAACCAACAACTCTGCACTCTATTCTAGCATTGATACGTCCATTATAAGGGACAAGACAAGAGGCGAAATACACTGTAAAGCTCCCTCCCTTTGCCTCGTCATTTATTCCCGATATAGCGGGGTTATGTGCTTACCAAGCCGGCAACTTTTTTTTTTTTTTTGCGGGCCATTTCACTGCTTCATAAACTACAGGGCAAAATTATATTATAGATATTCAGGCTGCTCACGCGCGCATCATCAATTTCACTCGCCACGAGACTTCAACATCAGCCGCAGATATGAGGATGGCGGAGACGGTTGATATCAATGATACTACCATTCTTGGGCAAGATGTAGTATCGACGCGGCCGAGCGAAAATGGTGGCGACAACTCTGGCGAGACCATCGAAGAACGATGCTTCTCAGCCGCTCTCATCTGCTTGGAGGGCCATTTCACACAGTCTCCTCCCATGGGCCCTCAAACAACGGCCAGGGTGAATTCGATGATCTCCAAGACGCTGGAAAAGACTCACACGCTTAGGAAAGCCAGGTAGGATCCCGTAGTCTGCATCAAGATACCATGCCGCTAACCTGCATCGATGGCATCAAACAGAGAGGCCTTGGCACGGAATGTAGCAATCTGGATATGGCTGACAAGGATCTTTGCTGCTGCCATCCCAAGCTTGACATCGCGATCAGTGGGGCCATTATCAGCATTGAACGATCCTGATAAGGGAGTCAGTCCTCAAGAAAGCACAGCCTTGATCGTCCTCAACCATGTCTCTGTGAAGGAAGACCTGGGCACCCTCATCAAGTTGATGCACATTGCGCGCAACCTCCTTGTTAATGCTGAGCCCGAGGTTCCTCAGGACATCTGCGCCGCAGTGCATTTTGACCAGATGGTCTACCAGACAATTATCCTCTGTGTCAACGTAACGAGTAAAGGCTACGACGGAGAGATATTGGACGAAGCCCAGAGACTGAAGCTCACAGACATTACTGAATTATGTATGTGCAGCTGACTACTTCTTCCTGTACGGAGAGATGAATACATGCTAATCCCTCTCTCAGATAAGAAATTGCTTGTGACTTCACTACAGCAAGTTCACAACTGGACTGCCAAGCATGATCGCAACAAAATGTCGTTCTGGTTTGACGTCCTGTTTGACGATGACGGCGCGTTATCCGGGCCTGAAGAGATTATGACAGACGGCTCGGGATTCCGCCCGGATGCGGCTAAGCACCAAGTTCAGCACTGGCTGGATCGGAATTCGAAAATGTGCGACACAGCGAGGAAGCTGCTTAGACATTACGCCGAAAACCATGCAGACAAACCTCCAGGAAACTTGGCCCCTATACGACCACTGGCCTGGAACTGGCTTCCGGATACACTTGACCCTACTTCCATTATTCTGGATGATGACTCTGAAAAGGTTAACCCTGTATGGAAACCGGATGAGCCGGACAAGTACCAACAGGACCGGTTGTACGCTCGTGTGTCCCGTGAAATTGATACCTGGTGGCTCCGAGCGCGGGATCCGAATTATGAGGATTGGGTAGTCGGCATGCCATCCGTGGAGTTTGCGCAGTCACGTACAGAGCATTGCCGCAACAACTTGGTTCATCGATATGCTCATTCCTACCGGGCGGACCACTCGCCGCCTCCAGAGGGTGCCGAAGAGGACCTCTCTGACCATGAGCACTGCCACGAGTGCCATGAGTGCTATCTCCGTCACCACCACCACCACGAGGATGATCATGAATGCCATCACCACCACCATGATCACGAACACGACCATGAACATGAGCATGAACACGATCACGAACATGTACACGACCACGACCATGAGCATGACCACGACCACGACCACGACCACGATCACGACCACGACCACGACCACGACCACGACCACGATCACGATCACGATCACGATCACGACCATCATCACCACGAACATGCTGCGTCTGGCAATGAGATTGAGGAATGCGACCACCATCACCATCATCATCATGATAATGAAGACGACCACCACCATCATCACTGCCACCATCACCACCATCATCATCACCATGATCACGACTATCCCCACGATTACATGGACGACATGATGGACGATGAAGAGGTCGATGATGACGAATCGTATGGAGATGGTCCATTGACTGGTCTTTTGACAGAGGTGCCCAACATTCTCGATCCAAAGCAGATTGAGGCGTTGCACATGATCGTGAAATCGTGTATTCTCGATCACGCAGGATCCGGGTTGACACGTGCGGGAGAAAACTTGCAAAAGACTCGATGCAGAATGTTTCTTGCACTGGACTGTGGAAAGAGCCTACTACGTGAGCTGCTAGTATTCATTGCTGTGTGGGATAAGGACGAGCAAAGCCTCATTTTCCAAGTCACAACGCAGATTGTCGAGGCTATTCACCACAGTGCCCTGGTGCCCTATGCGTGGAATTCTCTAAGAATCCCCAAGGACATCATCTCCCCTGCACAAACAGTTCTATTGCGCCTTGTCAACCATATGCTTCGGGCCCGCGCCGCCAGTTCTACGACACAGGATTCCAAGGACCAGACCAGAGATCTCAAATTAGTGCACTTCTTCTTTAGCTTTTTCCGGAGTCGCATCGTACCTGAATGCGCGGCTCTCATGCACTTGCAAGCTCAGATCCGCGAGGAGAATCGTGATCCGGCCGAGTTTCCCGTCGATAGCTGGGACATGGAACGAGCCAAAGACGGGCTGTCCCAGTACCTGGAATTTCTCACGACTGTGGCCGAGATGGTGGATATGAGGCCTCATCTCATCGAGTGGCAGGCTATCTATGATCTCATCACGATCCTCAGCAGTCTTGAGGCTGCCGTGCCGAAGAAACCACTTGTCGAAGTGCCTAAACGCGCCCCAGCAGCAGAGAGCACATCTAACGCCAGTAACAATGCCAGCAACGACCCGATGGTGGAACGGCCATATGCAACTGGAGATGAAGGCGTATCTCCATCACCCCCTCCGCCCCCTCTGCAAGAGCCGGCTCACAAATTCCCATGGTCTGGCATAAAGGGTCAGATATTCACCATCATTGCGACGCTCTTGCAGCCACCACCAGGGCAAAGCACTCCGGGTAATGCCCAAGTGCAGATGCAAATGATGAAGTACAACGGCATTGTGCCCTTGCTCAACTGTTGCGCATACGACGACCACAATCCATTTGCCAAGGAGCGAGTTACTATCTGCTTGAAATGGCTATTGGACGGCTGTGAGGCTGCCAACAACTTCTTCCGCGAGCTAGTCAACTTGGCACCACAGCCGAATCTAAGGCCACCGCCTGGAGGCACCACGGTGTCGACGATTAAGCTGGATGGAGTGCAGGGAGAGGTCAAGGTGCAAGTGCGGTCAAACACGGCGCCGCCATTGGCAGACCGCGGTGCCAGCAGCACCGATGAGCTACTTGAGAAGGCAGCCGAACTTAACCTGGGGCTGAATCAGAGCAAGAGCGGTGGGCGAAGCAACATTGAAGAAGACTTTATGGCATAGATTACCGACATTGACGAAGTGGGATTATTCATGGAAGCATTATGGTGTTTTGTTTTGTTTTAACTCATAGCGGTGGATCAAAAATATCTCTTGTACAGTACTAGTAAGGACAAATTGAATAGAAATTCCTTGCATTGTAAATATAGCACGTGGATGGGAAGCGTAGTTTTGTCTATTCTCTTCCATTTTTTGCCTTGTTATACAGGATAGGCTATACATATGGATTGTGGTATGTAAAACAACGCCGTATGAAATAGCTAATTCTAATGAACAACCAAAAACATAAACCAACGTAGATGAAGTCGTCCAAGACAGAATGTGCATGCAGATAGCCAAGGTACTTGGGTGCGTAGATGGGTGTATGAAGTGGGTTGGAATACAGGGAGTAGAGTAGGAGTTTGCGGCCTTTTTTTGTGTCTTTTCGAATCAGCCCTTTTCCGCCGTTGCCATTGTGCGCCGTGCAAAATATTAGCCGTGGAAATCGAATGAGTCCCCCATTACGGATATGATTTCTTTTTGTTTTAGGGGAGCGTTCCCGCCCTTTTGTCGTTCCTGTTCGTGATATTTCTTGGATTCCTTTGTTTCCCTCTTTCCTAATTTTTTTCCTTCTCTTTTCTTTTTTCAGATTAATTCACGGTCCCCTAGTATCATTGTTCTTTGCTTCAATTTGATCCGTTGGCTGCGAGCTTGCCCTCCGTCTTCTCAACGTACGCTACCAGGTCCGCAATAGTGCAGACCTTGAGGCCCCATTTCCGGGCAAAGTCGATGCAGGCCTCGCCGCGCAGCATACCGGGCTCCCTGCGAACAGCCTGGCCAGGAACCTCCTCCCCATCATCGACAATCTCGCAGATGACGCCCGCCTCAGCCTTGCCAGCAAGGCGGCAGAACTCGGTAGCAGCCTCGGTATGGCCATTACGAGCGCGGATTCCACCGGGAGCAGCGCGCAGCGGCAGAACATGGCCAGGACGACGCAAGCTGGCGGCGGTCGAGGCAGGATCGGCCAGCACGCGGCACACGAGGGCGCGGTCGTGGGCGCTGATGCCGGTGGTGACGGAGGGGTCGGCGGCATCGACGGAGATTGTGTAGGCGGTGCCGCGCGGGTCCTGGGAGTGCTGGACCATGGGCGGCAGGTCGAGGGCGTCGGCGCGGGCGTGGGTGATGGGGGCGCAGATGAGGCCGGAGGAGTGGCGCACCATCCAGGCCATTTGCTCTGTGGTGACGGAGTCGGCGGCGATGATGAGGTCGGCCTCGTTTTCGCGGGAGGGATCGTCGAGCACGACGAGGAACTCGCCTCTACCTGTTGGGTGAGGGTTAGTCAATTGCCCAGCCAGAGCGGAAATAAGGAAGAAAGAGAAAGAGAAATATCACAAGAAAGTGTGGGAAAGCTGAATGGGCGAGAACGTACGGAAAGCCTCAATAGAGTCGGGGATGGAGTCGAATTGACTCTGATCTATGGTGGAGGAAGGCATGTCGCTGGCTGTTTGTGCTTGCGCTTTGGGTATTATTGCACTGCTCTCAAGGAAGCAGTTGTGTATTCGATTTTTGCGAAATTGAATTGATCGCTTATTCGAGAGAGAAAGAGAGAATTGTCGAAAAGTCAAAAAAGAGCTGATGGTTGGAATATGACGATGCGCAAGAACTTGGGGAAAGTCACCCGGTGACTTTTGTTCGATGGACTTCCACGGGCCTAGGGTCGCTTTGGGCGGGCCAGAATTCCGAGTACCCTGGACTTTTGTACTGGATCTCGGGCCGGCACTTGCGGCGCCGAGCTGGGAGACTGCGAGAGGGAGTTGGAGGGGAAAATAGCGGCTTGCTTTTGGCGTTGGCGACCCGAGTTTGTTGCGGCAAAGCCGAGACGATGGAGGGGCTGAAAATGCCGAAGCGTGTGTCTCTCAAGGGCGTGGCACGGAGATGGTTCGCGAAGTTATGGGTGAAAGAAGTATCCGAGGCTTGTTGATTTTTGGATGGGATTGACGTCGCTTTTGCTGTTTGCTTCTGTTTCTTGGTTTCGTGCTTGTTCTCGATTTCGGTCTTGTTTCTTGCTCTTTAGCAACAGGGTATCATGAGATGAGTGAGACGAGAAAGATCAAAGTCAATAGCGACCAATGCCGTCCACAACAGTAGAGTTCAATATCACTAGAGACAACAGAACATCACATGGGAAACGAAACTCTTTCACTTGGATGGGCGCTCCAGCCAGAATATAAACAAACGCCCATGTTATTAGTTATTGCTCGGACCAGGCCAAAAAGAGCTGCGACCTCGGTGCGCCGGTTCCGCTAACGTTGTGCCGGTCTTATGATGATGGCATCAGGACTAATCCACATGCTTGGACCAGAATGCTTGTCAGCTTTTCCCGCTCGTACTGTAAGTGCAGAGTAATGATGTGTAAGCCGAGGCGTGGAGAGCGCTAGGGCGGTTTTGCGGTGTTTTAGCAGCAAAAGGCACGAATTGTTTTGGGGGAGGGATTCACATGTTGGAAGTTGATTACAAAGAATCTAGGACCTTGATGTTAATTGCTGGCGTCGAGTTGTGCCCAGCTGCAGAGAGAGATTAGTTGTTAGTTGATTGATATTGGCAATATGATGACGGATCTCTCGTCGAAATAGAGAGCCAAACAAGTACATACCAATTCATGTCTACACCACGGTACATCTACAAACAGAGATATCCCAAGAACAACGAAGATCAATGCCCCTCCAATTCATCTAATCATGTTTCTCTAAATGGCTATTCATTCATATTACCGCAATACCATGTTCCCGCTACAACATTCGTAGCAACAGCCAGCAATAGCCAACCGCGCGGGTATAATGCCCGATTTTTCTCAACTGCGGCCAGCCCCCACAAAGTCCCGCGGCACGCCGGCGGACCTGCCCCTCCAAGTCTTGGAAGATTTGCAGAATTGGGGGAGATTCGGAGTTGGACCTCCAGCTCGTTGTTTGTCAGCCGGACCCTTTGTGCATGCCCAGGGCATTCCCGCCCGTTGAAGCGTTGACATCACACCCCCTCCGTATCCTCCGAGCCTCCGAGCTCCTTGCGTGTTTCTTTTCTCATCCCTCGTCTTTTGGTGTCTCTCGTTCCGTCCGCTCACCTCAGATGGCCGCGCCGACCCGAGCTGTGGCCGGTGTGGCAAGCGGCCTGTCCCGGCTGGTGTCTCGTTCTCGTCCACGGCTGCCAATTGCCTCTGTCTCTGTTTCTACTCCAGCGAAGACGGTGGCTGCATCATCGCGATGGCACTCGGGCTTCTCGTCGGTCAACCCCAATGAGGTCTCACACTTCAATGCCCTCGCCGCCGAGTGGTGGGAGCCGCACGGGTCATCACGCCTGCTACACCTCATGAACCCGCTGCGCCACGACTTCATCCGCTCCTGTCGCGAGTCCTCCGACGACCTCAATTCCATCACATACCTCGACATTGGCTGCGGCGGCGGCATCTTCGCTGAGAGCGCCGCCCGCCTGGCCACCACCAAGCACGTCACCGCCATCGATCCCACGCCATCCGTCCTCAACGTCGCAAAAGCACATGCCCGCAAAGACCCTTCACTAGCGGGGAAGCTCTCATACCGACAGTCTTCGGTCGAGCAGCTTGAAGTCCCTGCCGAAGGCCAGGGCTACGACGTCGTGACTCTCTTCGAAGTCATTGAGCACATTGACGATCCGGGAGCGTTTCTGGAGCGCGTGCGCCCGCTCGTGAAACCCGGCGGGTGGCTCATCATGAGCACCATTGCGCGGACGTGGGTCAGCTGGTTGACGACGAACCTCATTGCCGAGGACATCCTGCGCATCGTGCCGCCGGGAACGCATGACTGGAATAAATACATCAATGAGGGCGAGCTGAGGGGATATCTTGCTGGCAAAGGCTGGGACAGCGCAAAGGTAATGGGCGTTGTCTACGTCCCTGGTTTTGGGTGGAGGGAGGTCAAGGGCAGCGAAAAGGTGGGCAACTATTTCTTTGCTGTGCGCAAGGCATAGAGAAAGGCATAGAGAAAGGGAGAAACGACAAAAATTGGTGAGAGAGTTACCACGGGCGAAGCATCACAGGCTACATGCTTGTAAAATAATACATGTGTATCAATATGGCTTTGGGAGATTTGATACCCCTTTTGATGTCTTACGAAGTTCACGATGGGACACGGACGGCGCAAAAGCCACTGTACGATAGTCGATAGAAAGGGAAATAACATTATTGCGTTAGAGGGAGCTTTGAAAAATAGTGAGAGGCTTTCTCGACCATGTAGCTTCAAATCTTTTATTTCTTGCTGGGTATCACTTTGTATAATATCTTCATTCCTACCAACTGGAACACCATAAATCAATCTCATTTGATGGTCACTTGTTCTTTCATCTCGCCTCCCTCTTGAGTCCTCTTGTACCGCCTCCTCTTGCTTGCTGCTCTGTCTCGAAAACAAGAGATTCATTTGCATCGTCTTCGTCTTCATCTTCGTCATCTATATCGCGACGATTTTGCTCTGCTTGCTTCCAGCGTTGGATTCTTCGCTTCATTGCCTCGTCCAAGTAAAACTCATGGTCAAACCGGGCTCGAGAGAACATCTTTCTTCAATGTTAGCGTACTGTCAAAGAGAGAGGGTAATCGGTAATGAAAGCTCACCTGAGAACAGCCTGTCTGCGGGCATTGGTGCTCGCCTCTGGTCGTCAAGTAGTCCAAAATGGCAGCCTTCTCAAAAGTATGCGGGCACTTGCGACTTCTGTATGGCTCCGTCATTGGAAGGAGGGTCAAGGGGCAGTTCATGCTAATGGTTTCCCGCTGGACAGCTATGTCGTCGTCGTCGTCGTCTCGGGTGCCATTCTGCCCATCACGATTGGGGGGTGTCATGTCCGGCTCGCCATTGGACAGGAACCATCGTGAGGCATCTGGGAGAGGAGGGCCATCTTCGCCTGCCGCAGCTTCGTGCCACAGCTTCTTGAAGCCGGCATAGTCATTGTTGAGAGCGTACCGCTGGTGAACGTCAAGGCTCGTGTACTCGGCCCTCTTCTTGGCGCGGAGCTCACGAAACGTATCGACGATGCTAGTCACGGGCCCCTCTTCGTCTTCATCTTGCCTCTCGGCAGCGTCTTCTTCATCACTGGTAGCCCCGTTGGCCTGTCGTCGTCGGCTTTGGGCAGCAGCTGCCCCTCTGGTCTGAGCTATTGTGTTCGTTGTAGCGGTCGTGCTGAGCTCTTCCAAGACAATAGCTCCGTCCTCTAGTTCGGCTCTTCGATCAATGGTATCTCTGAGCGCACGCTCGGATTCTCGCGTCAGCCTCTCCACCTCCTTTTCGAATTCTGGAATCTCCTCTTCCAGGCGCTCCTCTTCGGCCGTCTTGGCCGTGCCCTTCTCCTCTCGGCGCTCACGGACTGCAGCAAGTCGATCCTGGCCTCTGCGTAGGCGCTCGTTCAGATCGCTTACGCTAAGGCCAAGATTACGGATAGAGTCCTTCAGTTGGCTTTCATAAGGTGCAGCGCCGCGGTTGTTCGAAAGCTCAATCAATTCTTGCCGGGCGGTATCGGATAGAGGGAAAGACAGTGGCTCGTAGTCGGGGAGAGCTGTAACAGTGGTGGTGGAGGTGCTGGTCGATGAAGCAGCAGCACGGCCACCGCGATTGAAAAGACGACGCGACATGGTACGGGAGGTGACAAGTTGGCGATATATCAGATGTCGGCTATCATAAGAGCATCGTTGTGAGGATGGACTGCTTGCAGATCTATCCAATGGTGGGGGTTTGAAGACGCGATTGACAGACGCGATCGATAGCGAATGCACTTAAATTACCTAAGCCGCCTAGCACACTTAACAGGTGCTCCTGCTTCGGCAACTTTGACGAAGATCATCCTTTGTTAGAATGTTCATATCAGGATTTCAGGAGCTTGAGTGCCCGATTTCTATCAATTCAATGACAATGAAATCTCCAATTTCGTCAAGAAGCAAGCATGAAAGCGTGGAGATTCTACGTCCAAAAGCTGAACTGTCTAGGTACTACAAGTACGCAGAGCAGCCAGGGGGTCAGCAGCTTCCCCATGATAAAATACCGCCGGCCACACACTCTCTATCCTATGCTTAGGTAGTCGCCTTTGACTTACCACACTTCGTGAACACTCTTCTTGACTGACCTAATCTCTACTTAAACAGTCATTAGCTCTGCGGATTCGCAAACGATGCCTAGCTGGGACACGGCGCCTCCCGATCCCCTTGTAGGTTACTTGGGGCATCGGCGTCACGTACGGTACCTATGATGCTGCATGGAGTATTGCTAGGACCGATGGGCTTTGACAAGGCATGCAGTAGCAGGTCACCGTAATGAATGTGCAGCTGAGCACAAGATGCTGCGGGCCTGGGGACGCCGGACTACTGTGGCAGTCCAGCCTCACCAGACACCGGCCATGTGCATTTGTCTGTCCGCCACGGCGCCAACTCGACACTCTCCTGCCAGTCAGGCCCCTGCAAGCCGAACACAAGACACTTGAGAATGGAGCAGCAATTTGCACTTGCGGTATCTGAAGCCTGTCTGTCTTGACCAAGTACTTGGATCCCGGTGCTACAACTGCAATTTCAAACCCGCTCATTGAGGCCTGATGCAGCCACCGCTGCAAGGAGCCTGCGGAATTCAATGAATCCTTCAGCCTCACATGTCACTTCATGCGGAATGCCTCTCACCGAGCGTCCATCCTCGCCGTTAGTGTGCAGCTTGGCTTCAGGGTTGCTGCATCTTTGGTCTCAGCTCTTGGTCTCCCTTGCCAGATGTTGGAGGCGATCAGCGAATGATTTGATATTCAATTCCTACCAGGTACAAGGCAGCTACGAGTATCGTACTATTGATAGATACTGAGGGTCACAAGCTAATACCACATGTACGGTGAGCAACGGGCGTTCTTGATCCATGGTAGCTGGACGAATCTCGACTGCGGACCAACATACGATTATTGAAGCAAATCGCAAGCATTGAACGCCGCATTCCTGCGCCCGCATTGAAAACAGACGCATATTGAGAGTCTAGAACTGGAGACTTGCAGACGAAAGCTACATAGAGCGTCATGACAACAGGGAACTTACCGCCCTAAGGCGATCCCCGCCCACAGGCAAACATCGTGTGGCATTGACCAGCATCAGAGGCTGGGATTTCAGATCGTCTTTCATCAAAGGGCAGCCATTCGCCCGATCGCCATATTGACCCAAGCTACCGCCATCGGACCAATCAACTAGCTTCTCCCGGCCGTCTGCAGCCATCGGGAGCTCCACGAAGTTTGATGGCTTGCGCTTGGACGCTAACAAAATCAAGCGCGCGATCCCCAGCGCTGATGATAGTGCGCTAACATGGACTGGCCAAGCCGCTCTCGATGGTGGCCAAAGCCTCCCGCATCTACGATCTGAGATCGGTACTCTGTATCGATGATTTCCAGTTTTGTAGAGGCTGCCCCTGCACATATCTGCAGGCTCCCCAGCGCCAGCCGGCTGTTAGCCTTTTGCCAACTCAGTTGCGCCATGACTGCGTCAGGATCAAACTTGGCCCCCCCTGGTCTGTCAAAGTTCGAAGCCCTACCCAGTTAGCAGCAAGGAGCAAACTGGAGGGAGTGGTATCAAGCTTCGGATGGAGCCTCCCAATTACTCCGGGTGGCCGTTTTGTCTTGTGCTCTTTTCCCATTCCGCAAAATATCTTACCTCCTATCCACTTGGTTTACTCGTATATCTATCCCTTAACTTAGAATGGTCCTTCAACGACACTGGCTATTTAGTTGCTCCTCCCCGACTCTGTACGGTCCAGCATCTTTTCCATCCTCAGTAACTTTCTCGATATCCAAGCCTTAGCCGTATTTCAGTAATTGGCACAATCACAATCCTTGCGATTCCTCCTACGCCACTTAGCGGGCGTCAACGTCAACAATAAATGCAAGGGGCACCAATCATGGTGTCTTCAGGGTCTTCCAGATTGCCATTACAGTTGAATCCATGGGAAGACCAGGCCCTCAACGTACGTTCTCGACGCTATACCGGGGGGGTAGCCGTGTGACCACGACCGATATTAACTCTTTATGCAACCAGTACGGATTTCCAACCCAGTCTGCTCCTCATGCAGGAAACGACAGCACTCCTGTTCCGGCTTGGATACAGCTTCAAGACCCAATCATATATCCCGGAATCTATTCCGCTAGTGGCATTGATGTGATGGGTGTCCTGGTAAGAAGCACTTCTCGTATACTGCACCTTCGTACCGGGGCCAAGCATTGAGAACTCTTTTCTAACTGGCTCATGACTAGTTGCGAGTAATGTCTCGACCAAATCCTTGCATTGATATCGGGCCTCTCGACTGCTCTGTGTCGCTCACATTATGCGATCTAAGCCAACCCAATGCTCCCATCGTCTACGCCTCCCCTGGTTTCTACGAGCTGACTGGCTATTCTCCCCAAGAGACTATAGGTAGAAACTGTCGGTTTCTGCAATACCCCCCTCATGTACAGCCGCCGGCCAGATCCAGTCCTTCAGACATTCATGAGCCCGTTACAATGATGCGGCATGCCATCCGGACCAACCAAGAAGTTCGGGTCCAAGTTCTCAACTATAAGAAAAACGGCACAACCTTCACCAATGTCGTCACGATATTACCCTTGTGGGCTGATAATACCGGGCATCATTATGCTGTGGGGTTCCAGGCTGAATTATAGAGACTTGACATTCGTGTTGAGACGGCTCTCTGAGTTCCAACAACAGGTCCCTATTCCGCTGTCGTGTATTAGGAACGATCTGGTTTTACGACGCCACTTCTTTTGTTTTTCTCTTTCTTAATCCTTTTGTTTAATTGTTAAGCACATTGTTATTCAAGCCAGCATATAGCGATGCTCCGGAGCGCTTGAGGTTCGACCACGAACAGTACAGTACAGACAGAAACATATCTATCAACTGGTGTTGAGGGGATACACGAGAAGGACCATTTGGTTGATTTCACATGGTTTCACGCCAACGAGATAGACTTTCGGCTTTATATGGCGGGTTTGGGGCGGGTTCGGGGCGCATACGATTATGATATGGTTTTCTTATTTGATTTATTTTGAAAGTGTCTCGGCTGTTTTCTTCACGGGAGTTTTAACCGGGCAGTATGATCTTTGGGTTGGCAAATCAGACGAGGTTTATGAATAGTACACGCAGGGATTTTCGGGAAATATTGGTCATGATACACGAAGACATTCAGAAGTAGGTATATTTAATATCAGACACTCATATAGTTATATAAACAATATTACGCCCAAAAGCACCAAAAACACACAGCATTTACTCTTATCTATGAAAATTCCCATCACTTCGGTATGCATCATGTCAAACATCCACAGGCATCTACTTCCTCAAGCGACTAGACCGGCGGCGACCCTGGTCTTCCTCCACCACTTCTTTTTTAACAGGAGTAGGCTCCGATTTGTTCGCCGCCGGCGCTGCCTTGCCCCGTCTCTTCTTGGCAGGTGGGCCCGCATCATCAGCTTCTTCGGGCTCCTCCTTGACTACCGCCGCTTGTTTTCGTGATCGCTTGGGTTTCTTCTCTTCAGCCACCTCATCGTCATTTTCTTCTTCCTTCGGCTCGCTCTTCGCTGCCTTGCCCTTTGCGGGCTTGCTCTTCCCTGATTCGCTCTTTACGGGCTCTGTCTTTGCGCTGGCAACAACGGCGCCGGTTTTCTTCTGCACGCCTGGTGCGTAGCAGCTAGTCCGTCCGCCGACAGTGATGAAGGCGAGCTTTTCTCCGTTGGGGAGCTTTGTCGCTGCATCTTTGTCACCCTTACCCCAACGGTAGTTGAAGAGCCAGTGATCAGGGAATTCATCCGAGTCGCCCAGTTTGTCTACGGCTGTTTGGCAGACATAACGGATGGACTCGTGCAGCTTTGCGATTTCCTTGTCATCAAAGGTATCAGAGTATTGCTCCGGGTGGAGTTTGGCTTGGTAGAGAGTCTCGTCGGCGACCCAGTTCCCGATGCCGCTAATCATGGCTTGGTCCAGCAGCAGGGCTTTGATAGGGACGTGTCGGGACTTCATCTTGCCGCGCAGATACTCCTCTGTGAAGATGTCCTTGTCGACAACGGGATCAGGTCCATTCTCAACAAGAGGAGAGTGCTTCCGAATGGATTCGCCAGGGCAGTTGACAAGACGCACGCGCCCGAATCTCCGGGCATCGGTGAATGCGACTTCGACGGGCTCTTTGTCATCTGTGCTGAGGTGGAATTTCCAAAACTTGGGGGGCCATTGAGCGATGTCGCTCTCCTTCATTTTCTTGTAGTAGTTTGTATAAGCCGTCTTCTCGCCATTTATGTGTACCCAGCCTGTATGTTAGATGTGAGCGGTGTGAACTGAGGAGCAATAGATGTATGAGTATGCTTACCCGTCATGCCAAAATGCATTACCAGATGCGGTGGCTTGTCTAACGTTATCCTTTCTCAAGCGTTAATGAAAGTTCATAAAGCAGTTATTGCGACAGTTTTGTTTCATCATACCAAAAATATTTTCCTTGAGAGCCCGCGGAGACAACCTGGTATCGTTTAGATATGGCACGAAATCTCAAGCTTGTGACAAGTTGACCATACCGTTCTACCTTTCAGAGCCTCTTCGACCTCTTTTCCACTGGTTCCGACCTTGCCAAATACGCTGCTATCATCTATGGCCGCAGCATTGGCGATGGTCTTCCCCACCAGCCTCTTGCGGAGGTAGTGTACAATACGGGCAACTACAGTACAGCATGTTAATTATACAGTTCTCTGGGGCTCTAGAGACAAAGATACGTTCCTTCAGCTATCTCAGGCATGTTTATGAGTATCGCTTGTAAAGATCAAAATTAGATGTGAGAAAAGACGCTTAAAATTCGCTTTTCACTGTGATTCATACAATTGGAGCAACACCTTGTGAAATCACGTCGTCAGCCACGCCTTGGTCAATCTCCGAACGCGAGGTGACGCGAAATCACGTGCGTGCTTACAGAAGCAAAAATTCTAGCCGGCCCACAACCCCACCTGTAAAAGCTATGAAAACATTTTGCCGAAGCTTTTTTTTTTTTTTTCTTTCCACCATCCGCCATGTGCAGAATTTTGCCATGGCAAAAGCTCAATGTAAGTTTGTGTGCTGCTTTTTGCTTGTTTGCCCTCAGTCCTCCTACCTGATGATACCCTAAATCCGCAAACTAGAGTCTTTGACCACTGGAGTGAAAACACCGTTTAGCACGTCAGTCTGAAATATTATCGGACAGCTGCAATTTTTCTTGTTGCATTCAGCGAATTGAGCGCTCTTGCTAACTGTCTGGATAGAATATAAATGCCAAGTGGTATCGAGCTTGAATATCTTGCCGGCAATCTTGCGCCATCGACATGTAATACTCGGTAGGTTGCAAATTTTCTTTTTTTTTTCTGCTCGCGCAATATGATGATCAATTTTACAACTATATACGCTGGAAATTACCGGCTGAGGTCTCCTTTGACGATATTCTTAGGCTATTACTGATTTGCCTCTTCAATGCTCTTTTCTTGTTGACTTCAATCATGGTAGCATTGGCTGACTCGGATTAATAGATTCACTTGACAAGGTATGCCGTCTTGATACTGCATCTCCTCCATCACTCCGATGTTAGATGATGAAACGGCACTGGGCTCCGATTTTTATAATGAGCAAGACACGCCATTTTGCGGCAGGCCTAGAAAACCTCGCCCACTGATTCTATCTCATCGATGTCTCATGTTGGATCAACCGATGCCAGGATATCAAAGCTAATCCCTTGGTATCAGTGTCTAGTGATGTGCTCTGTATGCGCGCAATCGCACTACAGTGCATTTCATATTCATCAAGGTAAGCTTTACTATAGTTCTACCTCATCCCCAGCATCATGTGATGATTTTAGATGACGAGTCCTATCCGGGTTTCCGATGAGGACAACAACCTTACCTACCATTCATGCAATCCCTGATTTATGATCCAACATTTATCCTTGTTCTGCTGAAGCTTGCATGTAGACTTTGGCTAACATCTGAAAGTGATAGTGTTAGTTACCCACATATTCTTTTTGCAACCCTGCTTTCTCGTGATGAGCTCGAATAAACAATGACAAGCATATGTCTGAGCTTCACGCGACGAAGACAAAGTGTTCTATTTCTGATCTGAAATCATTCACATCACGCTGTTGACTTGCAAGAACTTGGGCTGTTGGCTAACCGGCTCGAAAGATGACTTACCCCAACCCGTGGTTTTCTCTTCTTGCATGTGACCCTATCGGTAAGAAATCCCTCCTTGCTTATTCTCCTTTCGCATTTACATGATGTACAAATATCACGACGGTCAACTTAGCCATATGCTCTGATGATAACGCCTGTGACAAGGCACTTTAACCCTGACAATTCACACTATTTTCATCTTTTTATTGCAGCATGCATTTTCAGCATCGTGCTAACAGATGATGTTCAGGTATCGCAGTTCTCTTAATATCGTATTGATGGAGATTTCTGCCCCAAGTGGTGCCGGCCAATACGGAGTCTTTACCAAGTGGTAGCTGTAACTCATATGTTCAAATAAAGCATGGATTGCCGTAAGCCCGTGTCCTCGTGGACCATTGTATAGCTGCCCCTGGACTATAATAGGAAGATTTCAGGCTTCAATTAGTACAAGGAGATTACCGCTCCCCTGAGTTCATACTATATCTAATGTACAAGTCCGTCTTACACTATGCCAGGTTCCCACTTTCCTCGTGATATGTTCTGCCTTATGTGACGAAATATGAATCATCTATGCTCGGTGGTCCCCCGTCAGATAGAAGCTTTGTCTGGTTAGCCTGCCGAGCGAAGTTGCTTCTTCTCCCCAATACTTAATGTGCGGTGATGTCCGAAAGCCATCAATATGCTCGATGAAATGGGGAGATTAAAAGCGTGCAGGGAATAGGTGTAAACGAAGGGTTCTAGGAAGCCGTTGTATATGTGATGAATGACTGGCAGAGTGGAGAGCGTTGGCAACGGAGTGTTGAAGGGGCCTCGTTGCTACGAGATATGGGTAACAGACCAAATGAGAGTGTCTGACCAGTGCCCAAAAAGGCTCGTCGTCAAAGATGTGGCGGCGTACATATATAGGCACAAAAACAATAGTTGGTTCTCGGCAGCGCTTAAACATCCGCAGCACGCATTCTGAACGTCCATGATAGGCCGATAAAGCGCATGTGGCCTTCGATTTATGCATCCATCTTGTCTTCTGTAACATCGATCTAAATCAGCGCCATGGTTTTGAATTCCGGAGAGAGAACCTTGGTGGCGTGGACATCAATGTGTTGGTGTATGCCCAATTGATTTGCGTCCCGACGGCAGCACAAAAGAGCCGCAAGAATAGAATCCCTCCCCGAAATCTCTTGGCAGGTTCTCCCTAGGCGCGAGAAGGCGCGAGAAAGCAGGGATCGGCTCAATTTTTGAACATGTTTGCCGATTGAGCTGATTGGGGGCTGAGTAAAAGACATTCGATGTGACCTTAGCTCAGCAGGATCAGAGTCCTCGACAGATGTCAACCGCTAGGTCGAGAAATAGATGAGGAGGAAGACGCTACTCTGGACGCTAAAATGCATGTTTAGCGCCGGCAGCGCGCCAGGATATTGCACGGGTTGGGCAGAGCTGTCGAGGGAATTCCCGAGTGAAGAGGCTTCAGTGTTGGTGATAGGGGGTCAACTTATACGGTTATATCTTGCGCATAAATAACGATATCTTGGCAGCTTATTTCACTCGTCTTGCTGAACTTTGGGTACCAAGATGACAAGATGCCTGCCTGTATTTCCGAAAAAGCATGATGATGCCCCCCCTGTTCATTGAATCCTAGCTCTAGACAGACTAGGATTCCGGTGGACACCCCTGCTCTCAACAAAGCCTCTTAAGCGCTGCATCTGGGTGGGAATGAGCTTAGCATCTTCTCTTTGGCGTACAATCTGTACTGTACATACATCAAACTACGGGAACCTTGGGAAAAGGCGTGCAATCCTTCTCGCCAGCCCCCCCTGCACTATGTCGTGTCGTCCTATTTCCTCACCTCATAGGCCGATGCCGGTTCCACGACGGCATATGTCTCAGAGCTCAGGCAGACTGCGGCATTGCGCCTCAACGATCATTGGATCGTCACGTTCGGAATAACACAGGCTGAACGGCTAGTGGCCAGTGAGGGAGGAGCTGAGTGGCAGGCATTCGAGGAGAAGGATTCAGCTCCTTGCAGCTTTTGGTGGGTGTGCTGGCTAGACTTTCTGCAGTCTCAGGGGTGACTTTTGTAAGAGTTGAAGGAATATCCACTGAAACTGGGCTTATGCTCTTTGATGTGGTATCGCCCAAGGCATTAATATGAGCCACACGTGAATAAGACCCTCGGCAGGCTGTCTTTCATGCTGCTTGGGTCCTACGCTACTGTATATTACATATCTGGGCTGGCGCTTCCATCCGCTGTTGCATTCACCACTTTGATCTGCGACGAGAAGCTGCGTGATATGGTGCTTCCTTGACCTGTCATTGGGAGAACTGGCATCTTGTTAGCCCTGTTGCCGCGATCGATCTCTCCATCAGGCGTCTCGCCATGGCCCTTCTCACAAGCCAGGCCGGCACTTTGCTAGGCCCTCTAACGACAACATGGACTATGCCCGAGACTTGCTCGATTTATATGCCGTCGTGCTCGACATGCACTAATGGATTCAGAGCACAGTCCTGCAATTCGATAAACAATGGCCAAGTGCAGGATAACACGGCGTGTTGGCCGCCAGCGAAGCCGGGGGTTGCGTCTCCATCATGGCCCTTTGTGGGATGGGGATTCTACTCTCCCGGCATTGCGTGTCCGGCAGGATACATGACTGCTTGTACGGCAGTTTACGGGCAGCGGCCTGAATGGGATATCCAATTCACCCTGGTGTCGTCAGAAACTGCCGTGGGATGTTGTCCAACGTAAGTATAACCTGGGTTGAGCCAGACGTCCATTTGTTATACCGCATCTTCTTGCTAGATAATCCAGGATATTGAGGAATAGCTTCGATCTAGAAGTTTGCTCCGCGCAGCAAATTGGCCAGGTTAGCTAACTCGACCATTCAACTAGGGGTTTCGCATGCGCCAACATCAACGGAAACACATGCGTTGCAACGGCTACGAGCACGGCCGTTCCAACAGCCTTTTGCGATGGCACCAAACTCACCGATTCCGGCACCGAGACTTTTCCCCATGTCATCACGATCACCCAGACGGATACAGCCAGTGACACGGTGGACGTAGAGACATCGTCGCTGACAATGATGTTATACGCCCCCATGTTCCAGCTCAATTTCCAAGCAAGCGATTTACCTGCCTCGACAACCACCGCGTCCACTACACTATCAACAAGAACGACATCCTCAACAAGCAAGCAAACTTCAACTTCCGCAGCAGATGATAGCCTTGGGAAAGGTCATTCAGGGCTCTCTAACGGAGCCAAAGTTGGACTCGGTGTTGGCCTTGGCCTCGGGGCGGCCATTTTACTCGCTTTCGCCGCCTTTATATACTACTATCGACGCGCAAGGCGATCTCAGATACCGATCAGCAGCGAACTTCCAAACAACGAGGTAGCAGAAGAAACTCCAAAGGTCAAGAAGTTGCCTGGTCAGGTATACGAAATGGGGGACTATTACGCCCCCGCTGAGCTACCCGGTGATAACCACGAAGGAGAGCATCTACAAACCGCTTCGAGATTCGCATAATTGGGACGGTGAAAAAGAAAGAGGATTAATGTTGTAATGAAATATTTGTCGGCGAAATGCATGGGCAGGGCAACTAGAATTTGTATGATTTGCAGGAAAGCTTGAGTTCCAGGACTCTGTTGATACCTACTGTAAAGCGACACATGGGCAAGGAGCTGGGGCTGGATTTTCTTTAACGTTTTGAATACCACTTTTTACGACCTGCTGAATAGCGAACGGAGGCAGATATGATTCTTCTCTTCATCTATTTATATATTCTATTTCCCTTTCGCACATACTGTTCTGTTGCGGCCATCTTCCGTAAATAACCATCTATCCGTGCAAATATCCGGCCGCCTTGCCTCCGTCCCGCACCGATGCTTCGTCAACAAGTGGCTCAGACTCATCTATACGCAAAACATGTAGCATTCAACTTGAAAGAACTTCTGCTCGGGGAAGCGGAATTGGGGTTAATTCGTCGGTTTACTTGGCACAAGGACTACGAATCTCTTCGGGTTCCGCGCAAGACGGGATTCGCGGGCGCCGCGGCCGTGGCGCAGCAACGGGTTGAAATTGCTGGGGAGTACGAGTACGACACCATATTTACAAACGGAGGAGCCAAGACAAGATAAATAAACAGTCAATTGATAGAAGCTCGCACATGAGGCTATCACAACGCTGCAGGAGACAGTGCTGTATGTATTTTGTGGTGTGCTCCGTATATACACTGTAGACATATTGCTGCTAACCTAGAACTTAACTCATGATGGATATAAAATTTCCAACTCTGGAGATCTAAACGAAAACGAGTGGCCAACCAACCAACAGCCACCCAACCAACAAAGATCTAGATTTTCCTCCCCCTTTTACCCCACAAAATAAAGCTGCGAATTACGCGCATTCCCATTTATCTCACTACAATTTCTCCGTACGGCTGATGCCCGCTCGTATTAGCGAATTTCGGCGTGTTAGTGAAGAAGTCGTGCCACAAAACTGCTGTAAGATGCTTGTCTTGAAATGAACGAGAAACGTCATCAATGCTACTCTCCTCCATCCGGCAATTGATCGAAAAGGAATTCGGGAATCATATCTATCAATATCAAAAAGGCCCCCATCTTGGGCGTCGACTCGCCACCGCCCCCCTTTAATATATCGCTGCTAGACACAAAACTAGCCGTATTCGTAATTTGACTGGGCCGTAACACTGGCACCAGCCAATCTTTGCTGGCCAGGTGTTGTTGATGGAAACACACAGATAAAAGAGACAAAATCTCTTCTTCACAAACACACGGACAAACAAACCCCCATTGACTCGTTATCATTTTAAGCTAGTGCTTCCTCTCTCTTTTCTTCTTCTCTCTTCCTTGTTTTCCCTCTTCGTCAGCTAGTTTTCACTCATTTTGCTCGTCGAATCCTAAGCCAGCAATGAATAGCACTGTTGAGCAAGTCATGGCAGACCTGCCGCTTCACCCCTTCTCTCCTTTTGTCGTTGAGCTGCCAACCTACGTTGCCAACACATTTTCGGCGGCCGTCCTGGTATCAATCTTTGCTGCTGGATGCTGTGTCATCTTTCTTGTCACGTATGGCCTCATTCAGCGGATGAGGCCCTCCATGGGCAACGGTGAGATGCTGGTTGCCATGTGGTTTGCCCTCTGCGGTTGCATCCATCTCTTTTTCGAAGGTGAGCGAGCATGTCCAGCTTCCTGGCTATACATAGAATACTCTCATCTAGTTTTCCTGTTTCAATGGAGTCGAATGTTAACATGTATGCAGGCTACTTCTCCTACAATGCCTTCGACATGGCTAGCAGAACAGACATCTTTGGCCAGCTCTGGAAAGAGTATGCCCTCTCGGATTCTCGTTACATGACCCAAGATGCCTTCACCGTCTGCATGGAGACTGTCACTGCTGTTTTCTGGGGCCCCATGTCCTTTTTCTGTGTCTACTTCATCATCGCCGACCATCCGCTCCGCCACCCCTTCCAGATCATCATCAGCCTGGGCCAGCTGTATGGTGATGTTCTCTACTATGCCATCTGTACTTTCCAGGAGGTCGTCAACGACATTGTCTACTGCCGACCTGAGCGATTCTACTTCTGGGCTTACTACTTCCTCTGCAACTTCTTCTGGATTGTCATTCCCTTGCTGCTCATCCGACAGAGTGTTAATGAGATCGCAAGTGTGTTTGCCAAAGTCAAGGCGGCATCTGTTGGCAAGAAGGCGCAGTAAAAAAGGAAGGAGAGCATTGTGCGAGTTCTGCCTGCAATGAGATTTGAGAGGAAAGATTCTTATCATATGGTATAGACAAAAATTGATGCTATTTTTTTTTCTTCTTTTTCTAATTTTGAAGCCTTCCAATCATGACCATTCCATCTAGATGTTGTCCGCTCTGTAAAGCATTCTGACACGTACTTCCTCTGCACCTAACCAAAAATAAAGTGACAAGAACGCCATCGCTATGCAAAAGGATCCAGATATATTAACAAAAGATTTCGTTGACTTTGGTATTATTCCAATTGGCCTTCGATGCCTGACTTGATACCTTCAAGCACAGGACCCCACTGGCTGCTCGTTCTTTGGGTTCGAATCTCGTCAAATCGATCGCTGGCAATTTTGCGGACGAGAAGGGTGTCCTTGGCCTTTTTTAGATTTCTCCCATCACCTGTCGAGAGGTATTCCTCAAACCACGCTTCTTCGGTAGAGTCAAAGGGCAGAAAAGCCAACTCGCCCGCCTGCTCTGATGCTTTATTACCGAGCGTTTCTGCAATCAACTGCCGGAAGAGCTGCTCGCGGGCATGCTCAGGATATGTTCGGGAATAAAGAAGCGCCTCAGTAACATTGGTTTGAGCCATGGCGCCAAATATGAGCTCAAGGGCCTTGGAAGTCTTCAAGACTGGCTGAACGGTGTGGAAATAGGACAGCGCAAGATCATAGTCGCCGTCCGGGGCATTCTGAACCAGTGCGATGATAATATCATCTGCAAAGTCTGATACTAGCGATGGATGGGCGACATATTCCAGAGCGGTCTAGCAAGCTGTTAGTAAGGTCCTCGTTTTGGCGAATCGATTGCTACAAACCGAAAATTCGAGGCCATCCATGTACCACAGCCCCTTCATGAATATCTCGTACTTCTGCGGCATGCTGGAAGCGGAAGCAAAGGTTTCTGACAGAGATGCTTGGCCCTCAACCGTGTCAAAGTCAAGGAGAACATAGTAGATCAAGGACAGCTTGTGGTGCATCGACATGTTGCTTTCGCAAATCTGTTGGTGGAGCTGTTTGACTCCATTGTCGTTCTTGGGAGGATACACCTTGCCTGTGGAATACGGTGTCAGTTGAGAATCGCAGTGCCCATATAAATTCAGCCAAACTGACTTTTGCTGATGCCCAATGCTTTCAGCACACGATCAATGAAGAGCTGTCCACCCAACTCTTTCCGACGCGCCTCGATTTCGTGTATGCGCTTGCGGTCGTAGGGCATTTGAGCTCCCGGTGGGAAAACCTTCTGGTAGTCGGTGTACTCGATCATTGTTGCGGAGGTATTGAGGCAAATCCAAATATTGGGGATTGGATTTTGGAGGAAGAGAAAACGAAGGGTAGTATTCAAGGTTATCAAAAATGAAGCTCTCAGCTCAGGGCAGCTGCAGTCACTAGCTTCGGTGTGCTCTAACTGGAAGGCTGATGCTTGTCGCGACGTCACGTGCAGCTGCTTCTAAGCTTGAGGCGCCGCCAGCCGCAGCGCTGAAGCCACTGAAAGAGAGCCACAGGACAGTGGTCGTGGTGGGGTGCAAGGTACGTACCCGTTGTTTACAAACCACGTATTTGGACATTTCCAAACAAAAGCGCGGGGTCTAACAAGATCGAGATTCTAGCGGTCAATTGCAAGGCCATCAAAATAGCGACAGGCGAGGGCTGTGGATCGGCACTCCAGGCTCAATCACATCGCCCATCTCTCCTTTCATCCTGTCGACGATTTTGCTACTACGAACCGGGGCCTTCGCGACAGCATCTCATTCATCGCATCTGGGCTTGGGAGCGACAGCCCACTAAAACATCATGGCTTCTCGACCACGACGCGTCGCCCAGAGGCGCGCTATTGTCGAGTCCGACGACGAGGATGAAATCTCCATGGCATCCAACACCAGTCGCCAAATCAAGGAAGAGTCACCATTTGAAGAAGAAAAGCCGGCCGTCAAGCGAAGTAGGACTAAGCGCGGATCGGTGCCGCCTGCGGCTGCTTCTGCTCAACCCGCCGCTGCCGTTCGAGTTCGTGGACGCCTAAAGAAAGCTCCCACTCCGGCTGCATCTGAGACAGCTGATAGCAACGACATACTTGGAGAAGATGAGATTTCTCAGGCGGACGTCACATCGACTTCGACGAGGATTCGTGGCCGACCTAGGAAGATTCCGGCTGCAGCCTCAGTCGAGTCTAGTCGGCTTGGTTCAGTGGACGTCTCTCACCTAGATACCACTCTTTCTACGGGCCGTGTGACGCCGGCAAAGCGGAGGAGCATGGCATCACGAAGCTCCATGTCCAGCAACGCATCAGTCGACGACCCTCCGACCCCAAGACCTAGGAATAAGAAAAGGTCGCAGATCGTGCCAGATGATCAACCATCAGCAGGAGAAGAACGGGCTACACCAAAACCGCGAGCTGCCCCGAGATCAAGAGCCAGCACAAAATCCCGAAGCACACCGGCGCCGCAGGAGACGCCAGCCGCGACTCCCTTACCGCCGACATCGCTTGATACACCAGCAACGCAGCTTCGACAGTCCCCTCCGCCAGCAGCGCAGAGGCAAGATTCGCCTTTGGCAGACAATGCACCGCAGTTGCGACAGTCCACTCCTACCGCATCTCAGAAGCAGGATTCGCCTTTGGCAGACATTACATCAAATATCAATGCGGCCAATCTGCTACCGCCGCCATCAGCTGTCAAGCCCAACAAGCCGTCAGAGTCCCCCACGAAGTCGTCGATGGAACCCATTATGGACAAGCCGTTGGATATCGTCCTCAAGTCGCGAACAATGACGATTCCCGTTGTTGAGGACACAACACCAAAGCCTCGCATCGTCATCACGCATTTGATTCTCAACAATTTCAAGAGCTATGCTGGCCGGCAGGATGTAGGACCATTTCACGCGTCGTTCTCATCGGTCGTTGGGCCTAACGGCTCTGGAAAATCCAACGTCATCGACTCACTCCTTTTCGTGTTTGGTTTCCGAGCTAGCAAGATGCGACAAGGCAAGATTTCAGCTTTGATCCATAACTCTGCGCAGTATCCCAACCTCGAGTTCTGTGAGGTTGCTGTTCACTTCCAAGAGGTTCTAGACCAGGCAAGTATTCTCGTCTCATTACAGACTAAAAGAACGCTTCACTAACAGCCTCCAGCCTGGCGGTGGCCACGTTGTTATCCCAGACTCAGAGCTCATCATCTCCCGCAAGGCCTTCCGCAACAACTCTAGCAAATACTTCATCAACAACAAAGCGTCAGACTTTACAACCGTCACTACACTGCTGCGAGATCGTGGTGTAGATCTTGACCACAAGCGTTTTCTGATCCTCCAGGGAGAAGTTGAGTCGATTGCTCAGATGAAACCCAAAGCTGCAAACGAGCATGAAGACGGATTGCTAGAGTATCTTGAAGACATTATCGGAACCTCCAAATATAAGACACCGATAGAAGAGTCCGCCGCTGAGGTTGAAACACTCAACGAGGTTTGCGTAGAAAAAAATTCCCGTGTTCAGCATGTCGAGAAAGAGAAGAACAGTCTGGAAGAGAAGAAAGACAAGGCACTTGCATTTATCCGAGATGAGAATGAGCTCGCTATGAAGCAGTCCGCTTTGTATCAACTCTATATTCATGAATGCAACGACAACATGGCGGTCACGGAGGAGGCGATCAATCAGATGCAGGCCGAGCTTGATGTTGAACTGGAGAAACACGAAGGGAGCCAACAGCTTATCAAGGAACTTGAAGGCAAATACGAAATGGGCAAGAGGGAGTTTGAGATTCAAGAGAAGCAAACCCAGGTCTTGTCAAAAGAATTGGCAAAATTCGAGCAGGAACGTGTCAAGTTTGACGAGAAAAAGAAATTCTTGGAAGACAAGAGAAAGAAGCTCGAGAAAACCATTCGAAACGCCGAAAGGACCGCGGCCGAAGCTGATGAGACAATTGAGCAATGCGGCGCCGATATCGAAACTCGATCACAAGAGATTACGGCGATGGAGACGATGGCAAAGGAAGAGGAAGCCGAACTTACCAACATTCGAGAGAGCATGAAGGGGAAGACAAAAGTCTTTTCGGACCAGATTGCAGTCAAACAAAAGTCTCTCGAGCCGTGGATTGAGAAGATCAATCAGAAGCAATCTTCAATTGCTGTTGCTGAAAGCGAGATGAACATTCTCAAAGAAAAGGCAAATGCTGGTGCCGTTGCCCTGCAAGAGCTCGAGGCCAAGATATCGTCCATCGAAGAAGGCAAAGTCGCCAAACAGAAAGAGCTCAAGGCCTGTCAGACTGAAAAGGCAAAACTGACAAAGGAGGCCGAGAAGATGAAGTCTGAGCTTGATATCCTCGCAGAACAAGAGCCAAAGATAAGGGCAAAGATCTCCAGCGCGCGCCAAAAGGCAGACGAGGCTCGCTCAAGTTTGGCCAATACCCAGACAAGGGGCAACGTCTTATCTGCCCTAATGAGGATGAAAGAGTCAGGTCGTATTGATGGATTCCACGGTCGTCTGGGCAATCTCGGTACCATTGACAAGAAATACGATGTTGCCGTTTCCACCGCGTGTCCTTCACTGGATAACTTTGTCACCGAAACAGTCGAGGCCGGCCAGCAGTGCATCGAGCACCTACGCAAGAATAAGCTCGGCCGTGGCAACTTCATCTGTCTAGACAAACTGCGCCAACGAGACTTGTCACCGATTCAAACACCGGAAAATGCACCGCGATTGTTTGATCTCATCACAGCGAAGGCAGACAAATTCCTACCGGCTTTCTATCACGCTATGCAAGATACGCTCGTTGCCAATGATCTCGCGCAGGCAAATCGCATCGCTTATGGTGCTAGGAGATGGCGAGTTGTGACGCTGGATGGTGAATTAATTGACAAGTCCGGTACGATGTCTGGAGGTGGCACAACTGTAAAGAGGGGCCTGATGTCTTCCAAACTTGTTGCCGATACTACAAAGGAGCAAGTCGCCAAGCTCGAAGAGGATCGCGACCAATGGGAAGCCAAGTTTCAAGAGTTCCAAGAGTATCAGCGAGAGTGCGAGAATACCCTGAAAGAGATCAACCGCAAGATCCCACAGTTGGACACCCAAATGCAAAAGCTTGGGTTAGAAATGGAGAGCGCCACGCGAAACTTGGCTGACATTGAGCGACGCATCAAGGAAGTCGGCAAGGAGTACCAACCATCTGCCGAAGACTCCAAGCGTATTTCAACACTGCAAAAGGAAGTAGCCAAGCTTAACGCGGAAGTGGACAAGCTCCGTGGCGAGACATCCAGCCTCGAAGAGGAAATCAAAGCTCTTCAGAACAAGATCATGGAGCTTGGTGGAGAGAGATTGCGAGCTCAACGAGCCAAGGTCGATTCTATCAAGGAAGAGATTGCGTCTCACCACGAGGAAGTGTCCAAGGCTGAAGTTCAGAAAGCTAAGGCTGAGAAGCAAAAGATCAAGCTTGAAAAGGACTACGCAAAAGCAACCAAAGAGCGAGATGCGGCAGTACATGACCTCCAACAGCTCCAGGACGGCCTTGATAATCAAGGAGAGAAGGCTGAAGAGCTGAAAGCTCGCGTCGAGGAAGCCGAAGAAGGCTTGGCGCTGAAGAAGAAAGACCTGAAAAAGCTCAAGGGAGAGCTAGACGAGAAGATTGCGGAGCTAAACGAGAGCCGTGCAGTGGAGATTGAGATGCGGAACAAGCTAGAGGAGAATCACAAGGTGCTGACTGACAACCAAAAACGACTTCGATACTGGGAGGACAAGCTATCCAAGCTTGCACTTCAGGATATCGATGATCTCATCGGCGGCTCGGGTTCCAGAGCCATCAAGACTGAAGAAGCAGAGGCGCCTGAGATGCCTGATGCTCCGGCAAATGGCGATGAGGATGGCGATGTCGAGATGACTGACGATGATGTCGAAATGTCCGATGTTGAAATCGACGACGCCGCCTCTGACAAGACTGAACATGCCCCAAGCGCGCCCGCTCGCCAACCTGGCCAACTCCCAAGATACACACCAGACGAATTGGCTGGTATGAGCAAGGAGACTCTGAAGGGCGAAATCGCGGCCCTGGAGGAGAAGACACAGAATGTCAATGTCGACCTTGGAGTATTGGCTGAATACCGTCGTCGTGTAGAAGAGCATGTATCTCGTGCATCTGACCTGCAGACGGCAATTGAGCAGCGTGATGCCGCCAAGAAGAGGTGTGATGATCTGCGTCGCTTGCGACTTGAAGGGTTCATGGAGGGCTTCAGCGCAATTTCCTTACGTCTCAAGGAAATGTATCAAATGATCACCATGGGAGGCAACGCGGAACTCGAGCTGGTAGACAGTTTGGATCCGTTCAGCGAAGGAATCCTCTTCAGTGTGATGCCGCCAAAGAAGAGTTGGAAGAATATCGGTAACCTTTCTGGTGGCGAGAAGACCCTGAGTAGTCTTGCATTGGTGTTTGCTTTGCATCACTACAAACCAACGCCGCTATATGTCATGGACGAGATTGATGCCGCTTTGGACTTTCGAAACGTAAGTATGGCTCTGCGGCCATTTCCAAGCCCCCTTTTCGTACTTGGTGACGATAAGACCCTCCTTGCTAACACATGCTACCAGGTCTCCATCGTGGCGAACTACATCAAGGAGCGCACAAAGAACGCACAGTTCATCGTTATCTCGCTACGAAACAACATGTTTGAGCTTGCAGCGCGACTCGTCGGCGTGTACAAGGTCAACCATATGACGAAGAGCGTAACAATAGAGAACAAAGACTTCATCGACAGGCCTCTGACGCTGCAGCAGCAGCAGAGAACACTTGGGGGGAACACAGCCACGGTGACGATCAGGTAGGACTGCCAAGTTGTCCTTTCAAAATAATGAGCAGGGCGACTACATGTTGTTTACGAATGCGATGGCTGATTTATCACGATAGTTCTTGATGTGTCCATGACATACATATATATATGGGAAGAAAGGGTAGGCAGGTATTGTAGGTGTATATGGCGGCTGTCTTTTTTGGGACTTCGACGGATGTCGAGTTGAAAATAACGGGATGCATTTTCTCTCTCTTAATGATTATTGATGAACAATATTCAGCTGAGGTCCCAGGTATGTGAGATGTGAAAAGCCGTGTTCATGTTCCTCTGGCCCCATATCACGAAGCACCCCCTATTTCTCCTTGCCATTCTTGGCTTCGAAGATATTGTTGTCAAGAAAGAGGGAGTTAGACTCTGGTCTCTGGAAGCGAAGGCACTCGCTTCTCGCACTCGCACCAAGCGCACTCGCTTCTCTTGAGTAGCTTCTCCCCAAGCTCCTCCACCAACCCCAGATTGGGCAATGCGAGAAATGTCTTGAACTGCAGCCCTTTTGGAGGTGTGCACATTGTGCCACGTGCCATCGTTCGCACAGCAGCGCCCCTTTAGGGGAGAGGGGGAAGTGCCGGATCTCGCGATCGCCATTGCATGAGACAAGATGTTGATGGGTCTTGGCTCTTGGGTGATGTTGCACGGATGAGATCTTGTGTGACGAGGAGGGGAGGGTGGTTTCGAAACGTGTGAAGGATTGTGGCTGAAGTCCTTAATTTGGACATGTCTGGATTGTGTCAAGGTGGACTGGACGTTCAGCTTGGAAAGTAAGGCCGAGAGAGGGACTGAATAAGGGGTTGGAAGCACATCTAGTTATGCCGAGACACGAGCAATGCCAGCTGTGTCTCGGTGAGGTGCCTGATCTAGGCTCTACTGAGGCTCGGGACGGATTGGTTTATGTGGTTAGATTCAACGTCAAGTTGAAAATCTTGCCTGTTCCTCGATCCTTGTCAGGGGCAACTGAGTGACGGATACAACGTGTCTCGTGTCTTGGGAGAGAGCATGCGAAGCTGTGCAAAGTGCTGAGACGTCGATGCTGTAAATACTGCTCTTTATTATAAATATCTATATATACCGGCAGTATCACCCATCATATACTACTACTTGCCAATGATCAGACATTCTCCCTTCGTTAGCTATTTACTCATCATCTTTTTGTAACAATGCTTCTTTCTGCGGTCCTCTTCATTCTTCCTGGCGTATTTGCCTTTCCTGCGGCGCAGAATGCAGTTTCCTGCTCTCGTGATAGCCTTTATACCTCACTCTCTCGAGATGGCGGGGAATTTTGCTCCAGCATGATGAGGACCCCTTGCGAGGTTTCATCGACTCCTACTCAGTTCACGTCATACTCCTCAGCCAAGTTGTCCTCATACGTAAGTCTTGCTCATTGGTATTGATGATTTGTTTATATGTTAACTTTATCACATAGTGTGCCTGTCTGATGACGACCTGTACTTCGTTTGGAACTGCTGCGCCTAGTGCGACTGGATCTCGGAGTGGCCAAGAGAATGGCACTATATCGTATACTTCGTGGCGCTATTCTCGTGGGCCGACAATTACAAGTGGTGGTACTCAAGCCAGATCTTCGGATGGCGCTGATGGAGGAAGTTCAGAGACTAATAGTGATGGTGGTTCAGGAGCTACTGATGGAACACAAACTTCTACGAGCAGCGATGGAGGCTCTACTGGTCGTGCATCTATTGAGCCTTCGAGCATCTTGGAGTCACCTACTGATCCAATAACGAGTGGCTCTGAGACTGCCTCAACGACCGCATCAGGTATCATCGGTTCTGATACTGGGTCCATGACTGACAAGGCCACGCGTACATCACAAGACTCTTCCCAGGAGACGGCAACATCCAGACAATCTGATCAGAGTGGTAACAACTCTGGCGGCGGTTCTGCAACGGGAACAGGGACCTCTGGTACGGATGGCGGCTCAGCTACTTCGTCTCAGACCTCATCTACTACAGCTACGGGTGATGGTACATCTACTCACGATGGAGGAAGCGGTGGCACTGGAGCAACAGGAACCTCTAGAGGTGGTGGAGGTGACGATACTTCTACTGCCTCTGCAAGTGATCCGAGTAATACAAGCTCCGACATCAGCTACTCTGGAGCTACACCGACAATAACATCTGGAGATGCATCCACAGCCACGGGTTGGAACACCTCAACAGTATCTTCTACACGGGGTACTGAAACTACGGGCTCTCTATCTTCCACGGCCACAGTTAGCCCTGACAACTCAGGGACAGGATCTGTAACCACAAATGCAACGACGACAACCACTCTCACCTCTGCCCCTTTCATTACCCCCAGCGGCTTCAACACCAGCACCATCAGCCCTATTAACGCAACGCAGACAGGGCCCCCTCCTTTACCTGCTGCGAATTTCACACAAGTAACTCGAACAGGTGCCATTGTCAAGCCGACTTGTTACCAAATGCCGGAGCCAGCAGCTGGTTCAACTCGAAGAGCGCTGCTTCATAACACAAAGCTCCGAGAGGTGAACGCAACGATCCCATTCCCATATATCGAGTCCGTCGATTTCCAAGTGGATGGCGTCGACCCCTTATATCTTACACTGCGTGACGCAGCTGAGGGAACTCACTACATCGATGTTTCTAATCGGAGCTACATTGCCATTGTGGATTCTCTTTACAATGCCATGATTATCGATGGTAAAGGCATTCACTTCTCGACAAAGAAGTGTCAGTATGATGTCTCCATCACGATTGATTCCATGTATGAACAGCTTGCGGCGCTTTCTGGGCAAATTTGTTCCGTGGGAGATCGTAAGCGGAAGCGGATGAGCGACACGGACTTCAAACAGATGCTTTACCTGAGAGACCAGTGCAACAATCCAGTCAAGCAGACGGTCAGACAATACCCAAATCTCAAGATTGGAGACACAGACTGCAATGACATTGAGGTTGATGAGAATACCGGGCGATGGCTCTTTGATTGCACATTCCCTGGCTCAGACTCGGGCACCCTGAAATGCGAATGGGCTGTGCGGAACGACATCGAAGAGTTTCTCTTTACCGATCCCTTTGGCGGTGCCTGTCCCGACTTGTCCACCGTCATCACAACACTCGAGGCCAACGGCCAGGACTTTATCAACCCGGAGTCCCTTCGAACCGAGCTCTACAACCAAGGCCTCGACGACGCCCAAAAGGCCGAGGCTAACCTCATCGTCATCTACTACGAACAACTCTGGGAGATCCTCAAGCAAGCATTCTCCAAACTGCGCACTCAACCACCTGGCAAATCGAGCGCCATCCAGGAGTACATCGACGTATACAACAAGTACCGCAACTTCGAAGACGACATCTGCGAGGATCTTCACGCAGGAGACATGCCCCTGAAGATGAGCCTCCGCGCAGGCGTCACCACCATCGACGCCATCGCCAGACTCAACTGGGCGCCCGAGAACCCCAAGCCCTTCAACGTAACAATCCAAGACCCAGCGAAACTTGCGTGCTGCAGCCCCGGAAGCGATTCCCAGAAGAACGAGACGGCGGGGACTTGTGCGTATCCGGCCAGCGCTCACCTTGGCGATACGGGATGTGTTTGCGGAAAGATGGCTTCAGGAGCGTCGGTGGCGTTTGAGATTACGGAGTGTGAGAATTTCGTGAGTGAGTGTAAGGTTGATGATGATTGTTCCAAGGCGGGACATCCGACGTATGTTTGTTTGACTGGGAGTTGTTGTGGAGGGGGTGTTTGTGTTGATCCTTATGAGTGTGCGCAGAATGGAAGTGTGCTGGTGAGGCCGGGCCCCTTTTGAAGAGATTGCTTGAGAGATTGTGCTGTGGGAGAGAAGGGTTGTCTGGTTTGTTTGTAAAGAGTAAAGTGCAGAGTGAAGATGAAGATTGGCGGGACTGATCTTGTGGTTGTTGTCTTTCGTCTTGGGTATTGAATTCACCGAATATTACTTCAAAGCATTTCCCATATATCAGGCCACACATCACTGTCATTATGAGGCACACAATGAGTTGAATCTTTTCAACAAGAAAAAAAAGTCCGATTCATTTAGGCTCCAGGATTCTCTTTGTCCCGGGTATTCATCTAAGCAAATTACATGAAGGCGTTAAAGTAAACCAGACTCCGTCCAACCCATTCCCGTCATACCCATTTTTAAACCTTGGGGGCAGCGGTAGGGGTGATCTTCTTGCCGTCCTTGTTGTAGCGGACACGAGGGGGGGGAGCCCTGTTACGGCGGCCCACGCGAGATCGGACACTATTTGGATTCTGTCAGCGTCAAACATATCTTTACGGGGGAGACGGGGGGAGGGATATATGTTCGAGAGCTGGGACGTGTGTGAACGTCCCAAAGTACAACCAAGGCTCATCTGAAGCACATACGCCGGAAAGGCGCAGTTGTAACACTCCCAGGGGAGACAACGTACCGGACAATCTTGCCGTGGATAGCGCAAGAGACGCAGTACTGCAGCTTCAGGTACATCTTGGGGACAGTGTACTCGGCGAAGACAGAGGCATCGGAGATATCACCTGCAGATACCAGTTAGCGAAGCCAATCTCAGACTGAAGCTGCTTTTGAGAATCGATATTCTCAGGCAGATGGTTTGACATACGGATGGCAGCAGACTCGACCATGTTGCGGATGGTGAAGCGCTTGATCGCCTTATCCTTGGGAGTGCATCGCGAGCAGTTGCTGCAGCGGATGGGCTTGGTGTGGCCGCGGCCCTTCTTGTTGCGGCCGCTGTTATTTTGTTAGCACCATGTCTCGAAGTATCAGATATGATTCTTCTCCATCGTCATCCATCACGAAAAGCTGCTGTTGACGGGGAACATCGAGTGGAAGCAGCTGGACGGATGAATGCCAAAGGACAAGAGGCAACGGATAGAAAGGCGAGGCATACTTGTTCTTTCTCTTCTTGACCATTTTGGCGGTGTCTGGATTGAACTGTTAGATTCTCACGCAGAAGAGAAAAGGAAAGAGAAAGGAGTTCAGCTCACGTACTGGAATTGGTGCTTGTCAAAAAGAAACTCGCGGATCTAGGCTAGGGCTTTCGCGAAAGTATTCCACATCCAATTGCCACAGGCCCAAGTTTTAGTGCCTCCACTGTGCACAATCGGGTATTTTGCTGCCAAATTTCGCGAGGGGCAGGGCACCCATTGCGGAAACCCTAGGTCATGTGACCTCGTTTGCTGGTGCCCGCCGGAGGTAAATTTTCTGGCGCGCCACACCAAGGAAATGTACTGCTCCCTCATCATCCGCAACATCTGAAGATTGCTTAGGACGGCAATAGGTCTATTGTCGAGGTATGTCTGAAAGATGCTGCATTTCTATCTGCCCTCCATGAGCTCCGGGAGCTTCATGAGGGAATCATCGTTGATGTCTCCCTCTTGAATATTGAACATTCTTTTGTTTCCCCGGAGCTCTATTTTCCCAAATCCCGAAATTTGCTCGTTGTCGCGAAGAAATTTGCAACACGGCAATTCTCGCCTTCTTCTCCCCAAATTCAACTCACGCAGGCAATGTATGCTGGGCAAACAAATCTAACCCTTCCAGTTAGGCAAGATGCAGATTTTCGTCAAGACCCTCACGGGGAAGACGATCACCCTTGAGGTGGAGTCTTCCGACACCATCGACAATGTCAAGTCCAAGATCCAGGACAAGGAGGGCATTCCCCCGGACCAGCAGCGATTGATCTTCGCTGGTAAGCAGCTGGAGGATGGCCGAACCCTCTCCGACTACAACATCCAGAAGGAGTCTACCCTCCACCTGGTCCTGCGCCTGCGTGGTGGTGCCAAGAAGAGAAAGAAGAAGGTCTACACCACCCCCAAGAAGATCAAGCACAAGCGCAAGAAGACCAAGTTGGCTGTCCTCAAGTACTACAAGGTCAGCAACGATGGTAACATCGAGCGTCTCCGCCGCGAGTGCCCCAGCGAGACTGTGAGTTCATCCCCTGCAATGATTCCAAATGATTCCAAACCATTGTGGCAAAGCAGCGAGACTAATACGATTTTGCTATCCAGTGCGGTGCTGGTGTCTTCATGGCTGCCATGCCTGACCGTCAATACTGTGGTCGTTGCCACCTGACCTACGTCTTCGACAAGCAGTAAACGACAAAACTTTCAAAAAGGGAAAAAATTTATTGTGGATTGGACAGCTGGAGCCATGGGACTGCCATAACACACAAAGGCGTTGATGTAGCATTAGAGAGCACATCCGGCGGCTTCTGGTAATGAATGCTTGATTTGAGACACGTTTGGAGTTTTCGGAAACTGTAGTTCATGTGACAATGTGCAATGATTGCGGGACCAATTACTCTGTATCTGTGTTGTGTGCCGTCTTTATGACAATGTGATGACTGTCTGTACGAAGTAATGCTGGAGTAATTCTGATAGAGTGATAAGACTCCCCATGAAGCTATCGAGGTACCCCGTGTAATAATTTTCTTTTCCATTTTTGCGCGATCCAAAATTATTCTCGATCCACTTTAACCGAGAGTAGGGTCGTCTGGTATCAACCCCATATTACTGTATGTACATCACCAATTCCAGTATCATGCTTGCACACTCAGGATGCCCCGCGAAGTGGCCAGCTTTTGTAATGTTCACGAAATGGCCAAGTCTGTAATTTGCAGAACTTCAATTCAATCGTGCCTATGCCAACTACCTAGGTTAAATCGACATTGCAACGTCAAGATCGGGTATGCATCCCTTCATATGTACAAATTATCATAGCAAAGCTTCCTTGAACGCCGTTTCCAGATTCCTTTACAACTCCCTCAAAGTGAAGTGCAGATACCACCCCGGGCCAGAGCCGGCCTCCCAATGCTACTCAACCTACTCCGCCTCAGACGACTTGCTCTTATTGGACCTTGTTGCTCCTGTCCTTCATGGGCTTGGGCTCCAAGTATTCCTCAGAATCTTGGTCGAGATCGGTAGAGCGTTCGTTGGCAAGCACGGCACTCAGCTTCTTCTTTTTTGCTGAGTTTCTCGTCGCTCTTCCTCATGTTGCCCTTGTCGCAAGCCAAGGCACCGTCCCCATACTTTCCCATTATCTCAACCCCAACCTCTGGTTGAGCCCACCTCGGTGGAGTTTAATCAGTCGAAGCATCCGAGCACTTGGAGGAGATCTACTCATCCTTGGACTTGGACTTCTTCTTCTTCTTCTTCTTCTCACCGTCGGCGGCATTGGTCATGGGAACATCCTCGTCCTCCTCGTGCTTGCGCTTCTTTTCCTTCTTCTCCTTCTTCTCCTTCTTGTCCTTCTTCTTGTCCTTCTTCTCCTTCTTGGAGGCGGCAGCATCAGGGGCATCAACCATATCCTCATCAAAGGTCTCACCGGCATCTCCGAGAGACTCCATGACGGATTTCTAGATCAAAGTTAGTTCATGCTCAACATGGCAAGAGAAGGGGAGCAGATAAGAAAAGTGTAAACGTACGATAACATCAGAGTTCTTTGTGGGGCGCTTGCCAGTGGCGTAAAATTCCAGACGCTCATCCACTTGCTGCTTGAAGGCATCTCCGAACCGGGTGGAAGGCTCGGCGGAGAAGACATCGATACGAGAAGCCATGGAAGCCTTGTTGGCGACACAGCGGGACATACGACCCTTGTTCTGCTTGCTAGCCTTGGCAATAGCACCAGCGTGGAACAGGAGGCCGAACTTGGGAGTGTTACCCTTAGTCTTGAGAGCACGGAAGAGGGCCTTCTCAGCACCAAGAATCTGCAGAGTTGATGAAGGCAGCTTAGCCAAGCTGGTGAGAGAACCAGCGTGAGAGATGAGACGAGCAGCAACGCTAGATCCGAGCAGGGCCTTCAGGTTGGGCGCGACCTGGTCAAGCTTCTCGTCAAGATAAGTAGAGGTGTTGCGACGGTTATCAGCCTGCTTGATGACAAGGCGAGAGAGCTGATCGATGATCTCGAAATCAGTGCCGGCAAGATCATATCCCATAGAGACCTTGGCGGCATCGATGATGGCCTGGGCCTTCTCACCGTCCTCACCAAGGATAGCGGCGATGTCGTGCAGCTTCTCATCAGTGAGAGTCTTCTTGTTTCCAATGACGCCGACAAGCTGAGCGTAGGTGTAGTTGTCTGAGGTAAATCTCTGGAGCTCGGGGAAATGAGAGCCGTACCATTCGCGAAGGCGCATGAAGAAGCCGTTGACACCCTTGTCCTGGAAATCGACAGTGGCAATAGCCTGGATGATGTGGTTGTCATTGCGGGTGACGTTGAACTTGACCTTGGCACGGGAGTAGGCGTGAGCCAGACCCAGAGAGGCCTTGCTGAGGTCACCAGACTGGAGACCCTTGAGGAGCTTCTCAGCGTGTAGACGAATGCCACGGATAAGTTCGGCAACAACCACGGAGGTTTCGATCGTCTCGATGGAGAGGCCAGGGAACTGGGCCTTGATGGCGCTACCAAGGTTCTTTTCGGCAACACCCAGAGTGATCTTGCTCTTCTTTCCGCTCGTCTGAGGGAGATTGAGCTCAAGAACCGACTTGAGCTGGTCGGAAACGATACCCTCAGAAATCAGGTTGACGTTCTCGAGGGCCTCAATGTGACCACTTTTGCACCCGCGTCAGTCTCCTTTCACCTCAATCGCGGTCACGAAGGAACAAAGACAGTGAATTACCTGAAGGGAGTGAAGTTGACGAGATTGACCATCTTGCTAAACTTGGGCAACTCGTTGACGGCAGTCTGCACCTCCTTCAACTTGGCGCCAACAGCATCGGCCTGGTGCACCACGTTGAAGAGGGCATAGCCCAGGGCGGCTTCGAAAAGGACGTAATCGACGTGCGCCATTGTAATCTCTTCCCGGGCGACGCCGTTAGATTGAGGAACAGAGGTGGAAGAGAGACGCGGTGATTGCAATTGGTTGCCTCGAGTTGGAGTTTTTTCCAAGATCTTCGCATCCAAACTTTTTTTTTTGGTCGACGAAATTTTTCTGGTAGCTTTGAGCTTAGCGCACGGACCAATTGGATTTTGCAGCCGGTAGGAACAGCGATGTGGGAGGAGTCACGTGTGCTCATAGCGGGGCACATTTTGCTAGGTACTTTGGCTTTGTACCTCGAATTCGCTTCAGAATGCAATCAGTGTGGCTACACATACATGAATCTCATGTCCAGCTGATATCAAAGTGAGATGCGTCAATAATCACTTTCAAATCATTCTTTTTTTAATTATTCATCTTCTATTTATGCTGATTCATTTGTATGTCAGTGTCATATCATGTTCTCGTTCGTTCTACCTGCTTGAATGTGCATTTTGTCCCCTTGTCTCTCCCCCAACCCCTTAGTTGTTTGGGAATCCATTCTTCAGATTGTCATATTTCGACTGCGGATAGTCGATGCAGTTATCCTTCCTCTGCAACGCCCCAGGACCTCCAAACTCATTCACCACAATACCGATCAAGCTGTCAGGGCCCTCCTTGTCTCCGCTGCTCTCCCACCACATGCCACCTCCAAGACCCCACTCCTTGATATACCCAGCCTTGGCTCTGCTAGCATGAGGGGTGTCGTAGGAGACAAGCTTCCTTGTTTGTGGGTTATAGCTGTAGCTGGCGCCAGTTGCTCGATCCCAAATTTCTTGAGAGCCTGGGTGAGGGAGAACCTTGTAGTCGAAGATGCCATTCTCCCACGACCCCTCGCCGATACCATTGTAAGGCCTGCCAGGGCCATCGGTATTTTCAAATGCACGGCCATAGATGGGCATTCCGAGCACAATCTTGCTGGGTGCCACACCACTCCTGGTATAGAAGTCGATGGCTGCATCAGTAGAAAAGGGAGTAGAAGTAGGGTTGTCAGATGATGGATGAAGGTTCGCCTGATGGCCGCTCGTCTGGTCCCAAGACCCAGCGTAGTCGTAAGCCATCAGGTTCCAGAAATCAAGATACTGGTCCATGCCGGGAACATCAAGTTTCTGGAAGTGCGTAGCTCCGGCGGGACAAGCAACAGTCAGTTCGAAGTGGCTGTAGGTTGGAAGAGTGGCAGAGTAGGCATCCAGCTCTCTGCGCACGGTGGCGAGAAGCTCGACGAAATTCCTGGCCTCGTCTGCATTCTGAGGATACTCCCAATCGATATCGAGTCCGTCGAAACCCAAGTTTTTGAGCAGCTCGAGACTGGATTTGGCGAATGTCTCACGGCCCTGCTGAGTGCTGGCCGGGCCCTTGAAGTTGCCGCTGTATGTCCAGCCGCCAATGGACAGCAAAACCTTGAGGTTGCGATTACGCTTTTTGAGAAGATTCAGCTGCTTGAGGCACCCATACATGTTATTTCCTGTGTCGTTCCACGAGTCGCCCTCCCAATGAATGTCCGTGTCTGCCCAGCCATCCGTCATGTGTCTATCATTACTTAGCGCGCTATAATCACGAAAGGGGGGTAGCAGAGATTCAAGACATACACTTCCCCGCTATCTTGGCGGACATTGGCAAAGGCATAGAGGATATGAGTGAGTTTGTCAACGGGGAGATCTTGAGGGCGATGCTTTCTAGCATAGATGGCCCTTGATTTCGGAGAAGCCGTGTCAGCCGGATCATACGAGTAAACGATGAGATGTTGATGCATTTGTATCCGGATATAATACGTACCAGTTGACGAAATAGGCGACTGAACGATAGCCGTCTCCCGACATGTTTACTTGAGATGTAGAAAAATTGATGATTGGAATGAGGGATAAGAGCAGGACCAGACCAGCGAGGAGAGTGAGGTATTTGGGGAGTGCTATGGTCCGATGACGAAATGGTTGCTGATACCCTGTAGAAGAAGAAGCCGTGTTGGATGTGAGTGCGGGAGCTTTGTCGATGCAGCACCCGCCTTTTTATACCTCTTTATAAGCGACAACAAGTTACAAATCCCAATCCCTTGTTGTTGTTTTGTCTCTCTTTGTTTACGAGATGAATACAGTAGCTTGTGTGTAATTCCTTGGCCGTCCAGTAGCTTCGCGTCAGTGATTCGATCAGCTCAATGGCGGCCTCAGATGCTGTCGTGGCTTTCGCCCCAGCCTCCACTTTGCATCCGCTCACTGGCCAGCACCGCCTCATGCGACAGCTCACATCTCCAGCAAGCCCACATACTCGTAGTATTAGCCAATTGTTCACCCCTTGAGCTTCACTTGGACAGCATGTGACTGGAGGAATCTCAATTCCTTTTTGGCCAATTGATTACATAGCCCTGCGACTGTAGCTGCGCATTGAAATGAGACACATGCAGTTCATCCCAGCTGTAAGGCGGGCAAGCGGGATCTAACTGATGTCCGATTTACCACTCAATGCACCTTTCAGATAATCAACGATGAAGTTCCATACTAAGGTGCATAAAAGCAGCTGAATTGAGTAATATTGATGCTTAACTGCCGACATTATTTCCAGCACTGCCGTATTCTAGCAACAACCTGACTATACCTTCATCTCATCTCTAAAGGCCCGTGCAAGTGGTAAATGCACGTACATATCTATGCCCAACGAAGTTGAATTCGCGCCATTCCCTAATAACAGCCTGATTATCCTTCCATTGTTGAAAATGATAGCCTGAGTTAATGGTGAGATGCTCTCGTTAGCAATGTGAACATCCGCGCCATGCCCCAGCAACAGCCTGACGACGTTTCCATTCTTGCCGAATGTGGCTGTACCTCGTAGTGGCCGGTGTCCGTCAACAGTCAAAACATCGTTTTCCTGAATACTTTTGAGGGAAGGAGATTGCGCACGATATCCCTTGCATATGCTGCTGCCGTCATTGCTGCGTAGCCTTGCCATTCTTCATTCTTGTGAGAATCTGAGTAATCGCAGATGCCACGAATAACTAAACCGGGAACCAAGCACATAAATACTGCAACAGCTTCCGTGTCAAAGCATACGATATCTTTCTTTTCGCTAATTAGCTTATCTCGAATGATGGCATCCCTCATTATCTGGCTGCCCGAAGCAATCGTGCCAGGATGAACCGAAGCAATCGTTCTAGGATAAACCGAAGCAATCGTGCCATGATGAATACAGGGGTTAGCCTTATTTCGAACCCGTTCCGGTCGCTGTACTAACATCGACACGTTGTTTCCGTGGGAAATTATGCCGCCTTCTTCAGTGTTCAAAGGATGGTTGACTGTAGACTTAGATAGCCTATCGCTGCTTGATTGTGGTCGGCCGTACTTCTGCCTCAGCCTTGGCTTCTTCTCCAAAATTTTGCTAATATCTTTTTCAATCTGGTGACCCTCTATCGCATAACTGTCTTGAAGTTTGCCGACTGAGTTCATAAGAAGTGACTGTGGTTCGTTTAAATGACGTGCTGTTTCACGTAATGTCCCATCTTGGACTGTTTGATATTCTAAGACACCCGGATTGCCATTGCAAGGAGTACCAACCACGACATCTCCAAGCCGTATATCGTGCTTTGAACTTGACGCGCCACTTCCAATACCAACCATCAAGTTGATATTGATATTAGGAAAAGCAGACTGCATATCGCATATAAGATTTAAGGCAGTTGCTTCCTCGCGAAGCATGTAAGCCATGGTTGCAATAACGACATTGTGTTTCCCAATTTTGCCCAATGTGTAACTGGGGTTACTTGGCGCAATGCCCGAGTGCGTTTCGTCTAGAAATAGCTGCGCGGCATCATACTCTATATGGTTGCTACAGATCCAGCCGACAGTATAGTCCGCAGGGGTTAAATTTGGCTGAGGGGCAGCACGTATGGCTTCCATGTCGCTGATGGCTGTTACAGGTTGTTACCTGTTAGAAGTTTGGATCAAGAGAAGAGTGATGAAGACAAAGAGGCACAAAGAAATGGTTTGTATGTAAGCCGTTATTGCGCAGTGAGGGATCCAAAAATGCCTGTCTTTCTCCAACCCAAAGGGAGGGGGGAAATTCCTTTCTTTTATATTCCATTGTGAGCATCGAATCTCGGTTTGGACCGAGGACAATTCCCTTTAACTTTCCCATTGTGAAGCCCCTGACAGGCTGCTCTTCTTTCATGGCCACGTCAACACTGCGAGGTTTAGTAACACTCTTTGTTGAACAAAGGGTTTCTTAAACATGAAGAACAAAGGAATCGATTTGTGACAAAGAAAAGACACGTCAATGACGTTATGCAAGTGGCAACAAAGTATCCACGAGGTCGTCGATGGCTATGTAAAGCATTGCCGTATCATCAAATGCAGAGTTAGTATCAGCGCCATACTCTACAAGAAGCTTAATAATGCCTTCACATCTAAGCATAACAGCGAGGTCGAGCACCGGCAGGTTGTCAAACATAGAGTTAGCATCAGCGCCGTGCTCTAAAAGAAGTTTAACGATGCCATCATGGCTGGTAAGGACAGGGGTGAAAAGCATCGGCTTGTTGTCAAACATAGAGTTAGCATCAGCGCCATTTTCTAGCAGCAGCTTAACGATGCCCTCATGGTTTTTATCGATAGCTCTAGAAAGCAATGTGCTGCCGTTCTTAGGAGACTTGACATCGGCGCCATTTTCTAGCAGCAGCTTAACGATACCTTCTCTGTCATCTCGGACTGCTATCTCAAGTGCCGACGTCTCATAATTATCGGCACATTCAACATCGGCACCGTTCTCTAGCAGCAACTTCACAGCGTCATTCTTGCCGCCATAGCATGCGTGGAAGAGTGGTGTTTGACCATGGATATCCTGTTGATCGATTTCAGCACCGTGGTCGATCAGCAGCTTCATCGCACCCGTACACTCCCCTTTAACAGCCCAATGGAGTGTATCCGCTAGGAAATCCCTGGCATTCGTGTCGTTTCCATTTTCTAAGAAGTGTGCAATTATGCTTTCTAGCCCAAAAAAGGCTGCGAGATGAATGGCCTTTGGAACTGGAGGAGCCCCTTTTATCGTATAGCTGGCGGAGTATATCTTCTTGCGATTGCCCAGAAAATCTAGTATCAGCTGCCTTAGTTGCATCGTCTCTGGCACTGCGCGGGCATGTTTCCCGAAGAATCCGACGGCGTATTGATATAGCGCAAATTTCTGCTTGCGTTGCTGGATATCAGCCCTAGAATCCTCAAAAACATCAAAGGAGATGTAAGTTATGCAAGCTGTTGCAATATCAGCTTCTGCGTCTTGAAACCAATGTTTCCCGTCTCGCTCAAAGTATTCTTGGATAGTATAATGTGCCAACCGTACGGCATCACTCTCAGCATCGAAGGTGACTAGACCTGCGCAGACAGAACCTAGAGTTTCCTTATCTGGGATGAATTCCTCGTCGAGCTGCTTGGTATTTGGTTCAACTGCTACCGCGTGCTGAAGCTCGGCCACAGAGAGCACTCTTTTTGCGTAAATGAGCCAGCATAAAACCTTTTTGGCCAACTTTTGAACGGCATCGCCTTGGGTCTCAATTCTTTCCATTGCTCGTTCGTATGTCACATCTAACCTTTTGGGCAAATTTTGCAGCGCTTGTTTGACATGCCCTACAGTGGGCAGGTGGACCAGTGCATCAACATGTAAACGCACAATGAGAAACCTGGAGATAGTTAGACTCACAGCCCAATTCAACTTTTATTTAAACTCACATTCCACTAGCAATCTTGGATATGATGGTTTTTATTTCGTTTTGCAGCTCGGGGTTGCGTAAGACAAATGGTGGGAGCCGCTCCATGTTCCCGGCCAGGTATTTTTGCACATCTTCATCTCTGGCGCTGATTTCTAGGGAGGAACTATGTTTAAACGCCTCTAAGATATCCGGAATATTTCGTGCAGTTGCAAAGAAGTTTACGTTTGTCCCTTCTTGCAATTTGAAAATCTCAGATAAAAAGGATTTGCGGCAATTATCTGCAGGCTGGCATTCGTCCAGTGCGTCGACGATAATGAAGACTTTGGAGTAGAGGAGACAAACTGATCGCATGGCTTCCGAAAGATTACGTAGAGATGGTCGTTCTGGCTTTTTCCTGAATTCAGCATATAAGGTTTTTATGAAGTCCGGCATCGCGGCACGTCCTTGAGTCAACTGTTTCAACAGATTTGCCACCAGGTCTTCGGCTTTCTGTTCATTTTGTCTTCGGTAATCGCAATACAAATATGAAATGCCTATGTCAGCATCGTCCTTGTATCTGGTATACAAGTCGTTGATAACCGTTGCGGTCATAATTGTCTTTCCAGCTCCAGGGACACCTGGACAAAATAGCGTCTGCTTGTCAGATTCAATCCAAGTCTGGTACTCCTCTGAGCTTAGGAACCAATGACCCGTGTCTGGCTGCCGAATTTTCATAAAGTCCCTTTGTTGATGGGCATAGTTAATCGGTGTAAGCCACTCGATGATTTCCTGGTTATCCTTGTTTCGTTGAACAGTGACAAGCTTATCGACTCCTTCCTGAACGACTGTCATCACACAACAGATCAGTATTTGTCTAGCGGAGCCATCCAATATTTTAGTTCAGACTGACTTGAAAGCACATCACTAATCTTTTTCTCCGCCTCAATCTTATACAGAGGGATCCTGTACAAAAGATCCTTTGTGTATGCTGCCGCTGTCATCGCCGCGTAGCCTTGCCACTTATTATTTTTGTGAGAGTCTGAATAATCACAAATGCCGCGAATAGCTAAACATGGAAACTGGTTCATCAATCCAGCCGCTTCCGTCTCAAAGCATAAGACGTCTTTTTCTTTGATTAACTTGTCTCGGATAATGGCATCTTTCATTACCTGGTTTCCGGAGGCAATCAAGCCGTAATGGATGCTAGGGTTATCCTCATCTTCAGTGCGGTCCATTCGCTGTTCTAACATCGAGGAATCGTTGCCACAGGAACTTATGCAGTCTTCCTCGGTGCCTGAAGGGTGGATGACTGTAGACTTATATAACCTATCACTGCTTGGTTGCGGTCGTCCGTACTTCTTCCTTAACCGTGGCATTTTCCCCAAGATACTGTTGATAGCCTCCTCAAGCTGGTGACCGTTAATCTCATATTCAGCCTGAAGACCGTTAACTGCAGTCCGAAGAAATGTCGGTGGCTGATTAAGAAAACCTGTTGTGTGGAAACCTCCCCCTTGAACTGCCTTGCCGAAGTCATATTGAAAAACACCCCCATTACCCCCGCGAGGAGCACTAACAACAACATCTCCAAGTCGTATATCATGCTTTGAACTTGGTGCGCCACCTCCTATGCCAACCATCAGACCGATTCTGATATTGGGAAAGCTATGCAGCATGTCTTTTGCAACACCTGTGGCGCTTGATACGCCGTATTCCCCTTGCGGTAAGACAGCAATAACGACGTTATGGCTCCCGACCCGGCCCAAGGTGTAATCGTTATTGTCATTGGGGGATACATAATCTGGACCTTCATGCCTTTCATCGAGAAAGACCTGCGCGGCAACATGTTCCGTGCTTAGGGCACAAATCCAACCCACTATGTAGTCTGTATGAGCCAACTTTCGCAGAGGGGCATCAATTGTTGCGTTCCGAGTCCCATCAGCACCCCCAAGATTATTCTAAATCGGAACAGCATTAGCAAAGTTCTCGCTCCCCCTATCGTCTGAGACCATCAAAGCGGAAACTCGTACAATATCATTTTTGTCGGACATGGCACTATCTCTAGGTTCCACGACGTTGGTCACCGTGATTAGATTGCTGTGGGCAATTTAAATGGCTCATCAGAGCCTCCAATTCAAGTTTCCTTGCTCGGTAATTTTCATGTCTCGTCTCAAGTGCACTCTAGGAATATCTCCGCATTGCAAGAGATTTGTGAGCTGCACTTGATATTTTGTAGGCCTCAGAATACAATATTGTTGGGTTGACTTCGTGCAGAGATGTATCCTGCCGAAAGCACGGAATCAGCTGGAGGCAGCAACGCGACATTTACGTGCGTGAGGGGTGCTCCAACCAACCACGGCACGACAATCATGTAATATATGCTAAGGCCGATTCAGAGCCAGGGTACATATATTAAGCTGTCCCCTGTGAAACAGCCCACGCTTGCAGCAAGAGCTTCAAAGCTCAGTTAATGTCTAGTATTCCTTGTTAAAAGGTGAAATGCATGCAAACGAAAAACGGGTATCCAGCGCCGACTCAACACAGTTTAAAACACAAAGACAAAATCCTCATTCTCGAGGTCAGTAATGTCCGCAAAAGCCTTTCGTCCTTTAACATCATCCGGTTGCACTCCATTCTCTTCATCGCCTCCTAGGCGGGTATCTCCGTTTTCTTCAGAAAGTCTCTGAGTTCCCTCTCGCATCGCTTGCTCTAACGCCTCCATGCGCTCTACCTCTTCTGCCGTCTCCAAACTCATGTCTAGAATAACTGCACTCTTTCCCAAAGCCACTCTTCGCTTAGCATGATCGGAATTGAGAAATTTCAGGTACAGCGACGTAATGCCGACGAATAGAACAACCATGGCGAAGAACACAATGTTTGCCCGCAAGCCTCTTGAATATGACGGGGCTTCGTCGGGTGTGAAAAGTAAGGGCCCGACGATATTTCCAGCAGACGACCCAATAAACACCAACGCCGAGGTACATTTACGTTTAGTATCTCCAGCTGTATTCTGTGCAGACCATGAATAGAGGAGCGGTGCTGTTAGGTGTTAGTTGTTGAAGCGCTTGATTGCGAGTTCGAAAAAAAAAACACTTACTGATGCCTGTGAATGTGGAAAGACAAAAATATCCAGCAAGCAAGATTCCTCTATGCTCAATATCGTGTGGATAGTGCAGTAAAATTGAAAACCCGATGATTGGAGGGATACACAAGAGAGCAATAACTGGCCCCTTGAGCTTCCACTTCATTGATGCATACGCACTCAATGAAACGACCAAGACATGCGACAACCCCACTGGAACGTTGAATAAGATTGTTCTGTAGGGGTCTGTCACAAAAGACTTGATAATGAGGGGTCCAAACGTTGATATACCATTTGAAGGTACCGAGATGCAAAATATCATGATTACCCACAGCCAGGTTTTGGGATCTCGCAAGGTTTCGAAGAAGTGAGCGATTCTCCATTCTCGCGACATGACACCCATCTGGTTGTTTCGAAGTCGCTCTATAGCAAGGATTTTGTCTTCATCGCTGAGAAACTTTGCTTCAGTAGGAGAATCTGGCATCCAAAAGAACATGGCGCCAGATACCGCAACTGTCACGGCACCAAAGAAAAGAAAAATGATCTTGGACAGCGTTAGCGTATGCATGGATAGAGTAGGAATCATGATGTTAATTTACCTGATAAGGCTTCATGCTGGACTCTATACTAGCGAGTCCATAAGTGATGAGACTTCCAAACTACACATTCCTTAGTCAGTAGCCAATAATAATATCACGAAAGCCGTAGTCAACTCACCACCCAGGTCAAACCGTTCATGCAATACCAAGACCCAATTCTCATTGTTTGCTCTCTGCGACAAAAGGTTAACTTCATCAGTGATAGATAAGAGGCCTGAAGACAATAGCGCACCTTCGCCTCCACCACATCTGCGTTATAGCAACAAAGGCTGGTCCAACGCAAGCTTCAAAAGCACCCAAAAAGAAACGAGCCGCCATGAGTTGTCCAAAGCTATGCGCCCATGTCATTCCAGTCAAGGTGATTCCCCATGCAAGAACCATGGCGCTCGTAAATTTTCCGATCGGCAGCTTGACCAAGGCCCATGCCAAGGGCAGCTGCATGATGAGCTGCGCCAAGTAAACAATGCTACCCAGCCACGAGAACTCGTCGCCCACCAAATCCGTGTCGTCGATGAGGCCGAAAATGGACGCATATGACAGCGTAGCCTTGTCGAGGGCTTGTAGAAAGTACACGGACAGCATGAGCGGAAGAAGGGCGAGGTCGATGCGACGAAGGATACGGGCATCGTCGGCGGGGGAAACGGTGATGAGCTCGTCTGGCGAACGGCCGAGCTTGATGAGCATCATGGCCGCGGCATCTCGATGAACCTTGGACTGCGCATCGGATACTTGGGAGGGCTCATCTGGCCTCTCGCCATCGTTTGGGTTCTCGTCATCGTCATCTTGGCTCAAGGCTCGGTACGGATACGACGACGCTGACGCTTGCGTTGACGGCAGAGCGAGCTTTACCGCCGTGGAGAAGAGCTTGGAGAGCATGGCGGCGGCGGCGAATCCTTGGGCATCGAGGATGTCTTTTGATAGCCTTGCCGAGACGAGGCTGAGCCTTGTGTCGAGACAGGCCGAGGTATTCAAGGTTGGCAGAGAAATGAACCGTCACGAGGTCCGAGGCCGCCGCTGGTGTTGCACCGGAAATGCTCAAGCTTCGATTTTGGGATGTCAGCTTTAGGGGGTCCGATGACGTCTTACTGTCCCGTGCCTGGCACTTTGTCGCTGGCTCTAGGCCTCTTTAGGCGCTGGACGGTTGGCTGACAGGGCTCTGGTTTAGCGGCATCGGGTCTTTTTTCACAGGCCTGCGATGCTACTGCAGATTGCCGCTGATTTTTTTGGACATGGATATTTGCATTAAAGTCATTAAATGTCCATGTTTGTACCTCGGCCTGGACATTTTAAGGGGTATTGCGATGTTAGTTCTACCTTTGCTGGCAATTTCGCTTGATAGAAAAGAGAGTGAGCTGAGAATATGTCTATAAGATGCTCTTATCCACATCATCTTAGTAGTGGAATCAAGGGATTGAGATTTGGTCATTGAGCTTCCAAGACGCAACGTTCTGAGGATTCGGCCGCAGGATGCATGCACCACATGCACCACATGTACACAACCGGAGCGGACGTAACATTGAGGCTTCATATCGATTCCAAAGCATCACAAGATAAGCATGGCTTGTAACAACAGATGCCGTGTTCCGAAACATGCATCATAAACTGTTCATCCTTTATCTAGACCTGTAGTGACTCTGCAATTGGTGATTTTCCCACCTTGGCATTGGTAGTGGCGTGTACACGTCTGTGTATGTGCATGCAGGTTAAAATCGGGTTATAGAGTACAAATGCTACTAGATAGATTGGATGGCTTATTATCGATCAGTTGTTTGCTCTTGAATCCCCCAAAATAAATCACATCATGTTTGTGTTGCTCTCATCAGCCAATCTGAGCAGCCCTGCTGCCCTGCTAACCAGGGTTCAAATGTTCATACACCGCACTTGGTAATGAGTCTCAAGCAGCGAAGACGAGAAACGTCTATTAACAATAGAGAAAAAAAAAACGCTATTTTGGCAATCGGTTCTACACGTATACAATTATATGGATATGAGTAACCCGTAGTATCAGCGGATAAAAATCCGTATGTGCTACACGAGTGCTCGATTCCAAAGCAGTTCAATGTCCGCCGCTCTTTTGTGGTTTCATTCATCTTACAAGGGTCGACCAACGAACAGTTGCACCGCTTGTAGAGAAAGATAATGGCCAAGACAATGATGCGACTTATCCACTAGTGCATGATTTCTAGTTTTGTTTGTCCATCAGGTTACATTACATATCAACGTTCCGTCGGCAAACAGTACGCGCGCAAACAAGACTAGAATCTCAATTCGAGCCTCCCTACATTTGGGGCTGAACATCTTCGGAACCTCTCACCACGTGACAGAGATGCAAGACATGCAGCAAGATACATAGGTAATGATTCAAATGAAGATAAGCCCCTGTAACACACACAAGTTGTCAAGTTCAATTACTATTCCTGTCGAAGAGAGAGAGAAGAAAAAAAGGCTTCTACTCCGTGGAAACGGACAGCCCGCTGCTGTGGATCACAAGAGACGGCTTGAGCAATTGAATCAGACTTCAGTTTGGCCCGTGCTCGTGTCAACTGCCAATACTGGATCTCTTGCCGAACAGCCGAAAAGTGCATATTAATCGAGCTTGTAAGCGTTGAACCTTGTCCGCATTTTTCAATGCATTTGTCGATCCTAATTAGACCGTCGTACGTTCAAGTCCTTTCGCCTATTTAGACCCCGGCTGCCAAAACTGGATACTCTCTTTAGTTCCAATCCGGCAGTTGCTTTTTATGTCTTGGCCGTCCACTGCCGACTTATTTATTAAAAATTCACTAACCATCTACCTGGCACCTGGTACGAGTATTGGCATGCTGGCAACTAGTAATATATCGGTATTATGGCTTGGCTTTGGATTCTCATCGAGGGGTCGATCGCCCTAATCTTGATCTATACGCTCTACCTTGCCGCGCTGCCAAGGCCTTTGCCAGGTATTCCATATAACCATGAGTCTGCCAAAAGACTCTTTGGGGATATTCCTCTTATGAAAAGTGTACGATACCGTCGGCAATGGGTATGGAGTCAGCCTCGGGAACATGGATCGCCAGTGTCTCAAGTCTTTCTGTTTCCGTTCCGCACACCGACAATCATCGTGTCCGACTACCGTGAAGTCATGGACATTTGCTCACGCCGGTCAAAGGAATTTGACAGAGGGATAAGGAATAAAGAGTTGCTTGGCGTTGTGACTCCGAATTTCCATTTCGCAATGCCAACTGCGGATCCTCAATTCAAGTTCAACAAGAAACTTGTTCGCGACCTCATGACACCAAAGTTTCTCAACAAGGTTCGTCTCAACTAACAAAATACTGTATGTACGTTTCGGGAATTATAGACTAACAGTATGATAGGTCTCAGCGCCTCCCGTATATGAGAAAGCCACTGCTCTTGTTGCTCTGTGGAACCTCAAGGCATTCAAGGCTCATGGCGGCCCTTTTGAGGCAGGAAATGACTTCTACTCAGCGACCCTCGACATGATATGCGGTGTCGCCTTTGGTATGGAGGATACAAAGTCTGCGCTACGGCATGAAATTGCTCATGTGCAGTCGACCAATCCCACCTTTCCAACGATGGAAGATGGACCAGTCTATTTTTCGCAAGCTCGAGCCATACCGGAACTGGAGGCTCTCCTCGACATCCCAAAAATGGTATCCATAGCTCAAGCGAGTCCGTTTCCCACCTTTTCGCAATTCCTTGCGTTGCTCAAACCAAAACATGCACGAGCCCAGTGGAACAGGAGGGCTCTGGTAAAACGACAGATAGATCGGAGTCTACCGAGACTAACTTCAGCTGGTGCAGAAGGATGCAAGAGCGCACTTGATCAGCTATTATGGCGAGAGATGAATGCTGCCAAGGAGGCTGACCGGTTGCCGGATTACTACTCGCCTGCAATTCGAGATGAGGTAAGACATGCGTGTTAGAATCCGTCTGAGTGATGAAATATGCTAATGCAACTTTGAATAGATTCTTGGATATCTCCTTGGTGGTCACGATACCACGGCCGCCAGCCTATCATGGTGGGTGAAGTTCATGTCGACCTACCAGTCCGTCCAGGCTCGCCTTCGCGATGCCCTACGACAGGCTCATTCCGACGCTTACCGAGACTCTCGGTTTCCAACAATGGAAGAGATTTGTGGAACGTCAGTGCCTTACTTGGATGCCGTCATGGAAGAAGCCCTTCGCTGCGGCTCTGTTGCGACACTCATTGCCCGAACAGCGACTTGCGATACGCAAATCCTCGGATATCCGATTCCAAAGGGCGCTGATGTCATCTTAACCGTCACCGGCCCGTCCCTGACCGAGCCAGCTTTACCAATCCCCGAGTCGTTGCGTTCTCCGGAGTCACAGGAGTCCAAAGACCGCGTTCCCAGTTGGGAAGACGATGTATCTGAGTTCAAGCCAGAGAGGTGGCTTAAGTTGGTTAAGAGTGCTGACGGGAGTAAAGAAGAAGAAGTCTTTGACCCGAATGCAGGGCCGACTCTCATTTTCTCGGCGGGCCCTAGGCAGTGCTTTGGGAAAAGGCTGGCGTATATGAAGTTACGAACAGTAATGACATTGTTAATATGGAACTTTGAGTTCCAGCTACTAGATGGGTCGTTGAACAGTCCGGACATTCATGAATGTTTTGTAAATTTACCAAAGGATTGTTACGTCAAACTTGCAAAAGTATGAGGGGGATGATGGGTGGACTGGGGTTATCTTTTTTTAATTGCGCCGCCTTTTGTTTTACGGCAATTCATACTTCTAGAACATATAGTTGCAGGATGTCAAATATGAAATACATTGATTCAAATCAAGAATAAAGTCCAACTATTTTCGCAAAACAGTGCCTGCCGTCTAATTCAAGCTCTAAACCTTTTATCCCCCATCGCCCTTTATAAACGCATGAAATCATTCTAGTCCTATACATAACATAACCTCATGCCGCTTGAGCAATCGCCACAGGCTGAATAGCCATCTGTGCAGCTTCAGCCTGGCGAAGCTCAGCCCACCTGTTCAAGAGACTCAGATAGGCCTGCCATCCGAGGTTCACCATTCCAGCAAAGAGGGCTCGGTATTCCAGAGGCACATAGGAAAGGTTGAATGCCATAACAAAAGGCCATACTTTGCATGAATTGATCCAGCTTGTGAGCAGAGTGTCTCTGACACGCTGGACAGCGCCGTTGATACCCTCGCCGGTGAGAAGGGCTTGCATGCTGAAGAAGTAGACATTCATATACGTGGCAAACAGAAGCTGGTTCATGACGATTTTGACTCCTAGAGACGCTGCACGAGATGAGTAATTGAAGTTTTTGGCGAGGAACTGGAACCTATAGACCGAAGGCCGTCAGCATTAATATTCTCCCCAAACTCCAATGCAATTTTCTCACCATTTATATGCCGGAATGGCGGTACCAGCTCCAATGAAGACGTTCCGCACCGTCCGCACAGGGTCATAGTCATCATCATTCATGCTCTGAGCGACAATGTCGGCGCTGAAGAAGATGAAAATGGTGCTTATGGTCTGAGTCACATAAGGCCTTTTCTTCTGAGATCGTGCATACGCTTGAGCCACGCGAGTTATCGGCCCCAGACGCTGCCATATGGGAACCGGTGCGACCACATTTTGTGCTGATGGCGAGACTGTAGGTAGGCTGCTGCTTGCCGTCTCTGGTGACATTTTGCCCTGCGTCTGAGTCTGGGATGAATTTGGTGTAGATGACTGGGCCCGGAACTGGGGTCGTGGGCGATACGCTAACTGGAGCTGACGCCGCAGAATCGAGCGAAAAGGGGTTGATGCCATTTTTCTTTTTTTCTCGTATTTACTTTTCCGGCTGGTTTCTTCTTCCTCTTCGAGAAACAGATATTCTATGGTGTATCACAGTTTTGAAAAGTTTCAATTCCATCCTGTCAGACAGAGTGAAGAGCACCAACTATTATCAAATCAAACCCACGCCTTTTTCTCTGCTAGTACATGATAAGGCGTCGGCACCGGCTTTCGGCACAAGTCATTTGTAAGCCGTTTTGGGCAATTCTCGGACCGTGAGGGAATGGCGAGCTGTGGCTGATCGGAAATTGGCCTTTCGGCGATACCGTTTGTTTAGAGAAGGTTGCCAGTTTCTCTATTGTTTCGTATTAACGTTTCACTGTTACAAAATCTAAATCTCCTCCCTTTTAAAACATTTTTGATTCCTTCAAACCCCCCATCGCCAAGATGCTGCCAACTGTGCCCTCGCTATCATGGACAGTTCCGTTGTCGGCTGAGTTATTGCCGACTCGCAAGAAGCCGGAGCATTACGGAGACGGACTCGTACACTATTTTATGCAACTCGACATATGCCCGGCATAAACACGTACAGAACCACTAAACTAGATTCGCGCGTATCAACGGTACAATGTCAGGAGCTTTCTTTTCCCACTGCAAAAGCTTCTCCCCTCACCGTAAAAGTAGTAACTCCCTAGCGTGGAGCTTACAGCAACGAGCTGCCCATTGTTCAACACGAGACTCCATTCCAATTTGATTATTACTGATTAGGAAGCTTTCATCATGAGTGATACCAGTCAGGTTGAGACGGCCCAGTCGACAATCCAGTCGACTGCGCCGTCCATTGACCCGTCTCTCGATGGCAGCGGCGTGTCGAGTGCAAGTGGCGGTACCAGCCCAAGTGGCGGTAACATCAAGATGGACGACCTTTGGGTCGCGTTGCCAAAGCCAGCACAAACTGTTACGTCCGAATCGCTGCCTGATCGCGTGAGGAGGATCAGAGTCGACGTCGAGGAGCTCGAGGTCTTTTACAGCATCTCCGTCTCTCCCGGCCGTCACGAACGGCTGCGCCGCTACTTTTCAGATGAGCTCAAGTCCCTATTCAGTCTCGACTTTGAAGCCCTCAACCAGTCGGACAAGATCGACTTCTTGCTTCTCCGCAACTTCCTCAGGCGCAAGAACCACCAGTTGTATGCCCAGAAGGAGGCCAACAAGGAGATCCAACGCTTGATTCCCTTTGCACAGCTCATCACAACGCTGTGCGAAGCTCGCCGAGACGTCGACCCCCTGTCGAATGAGCGGGTCGCCCAGCAACTCGACGACATTGCAAGGCTGGTCAACCAGGTCAAGGACGGCATTGAGAATGACAGAATCAAGATTAGCAAGACGGCTGCTTTCAGAGCTTCCAAGGTGGTCACAGAGCTGCGAGGCCATCTCCAGGAATTCTTCAACTTTTATTCATCGTACGATCCCATGTTCGACTGGTGGGCTACCGCCCCGTGGAAGGAAGCCGACTCTGCAATGTCACAATTCATCCCGCTGATCCAGAACAAGTTGGCGGGAATGCACCAGGGGGAGACTGGCGATATCATCGGCGAGCCTCTTGGCAGAGAGGCGTTGCTGGCTGAGTTGGAGGCCGAGATGATTCCCTACTCGCCCGAGGAGCTCATCACTCTAGCCAAGGAACAGTTCCACTACTGTGAATTGCAGATGAAGGCGGCCTCCGAGGAGCTTGGTTATGGTGACAACTGGAAGAAGGCTCTCGACTCTGTCAAGAAGCACGCCGTCCCTCCCGGCGAACAAACAAGCTTTGTGAAGAAGCTCGTCCGCGAGGGTGCCGCCTTTGTCAAGGAGCATGATCTAGTCACTGTCCCGCCATTGGCAGAGGAGGTGTCTCGCATGACAATGATGAGCCCCGAGATGCAAAAGGTCGCACCATTCTTCCTGGGCGGCCCTCTCATCATGGTTGCCTACCCAACTGCCGATATGCCCCATGAGCTGAAGAAGATGGTGATGCGCGGCAATAACAGGCACTTTGCCCGCGCAACCGCGTTCCACGAGATGATTCCCGGCCATCGCCTCCAGCTCTACATGAGCGAGCGACACAACAGCCACAGGCAGATCTTCACCACGCCTTTCAGCATTGAAGGTTGGGCCATGTACTGGGAGTATGTCTTCTGGGAGCGCGGCGACTTCTTCGAGACTCCCGAAGACCGCATCGGCACCATGTTCTGGAGAATGCACCGCTGCGCCCGCATCATCTTCTCTCTCAAGTTCCATCTCGGACTTATGTCTCCCCAAGAATGCATTGACCTGTTGGTTGAGTGGGTTGGCCACGAAAGGTCCACTGCCGAGGGTGAAGTTAGAAGGTCGTTTAACGGGGATTACGGCCCCCTTTACCAGGCTGGTTACATGCTCGGCGCACTGCAGCTGTTTGAGCTGCGCAGGGAGGTTTTGGAGAGCAATGCCATGTCTGAGAAGGACTTCAACGACGCGTTCCTCAAGGCCAACTTCATGCCCATCGAACTGTTCCGAGCCCTGGTCCTAGATTTGGAGCTGCATCCGGATTACACGCCCAATTGGAAGTTTAACAAATAAAGGGAACACGCCCTGAACGGGGATAGTTGACGAGAAGGAAAAGTTGGCATTCATTTTTGGGTTTGGGTTCTCTCGCTGTTGGGGGGAGCTTGTACCGCGTCTCTATGCATTTGCTCTTGACTCCGTTTAGCACGTTTTCATACTACAACACACAGCCTCAGCAAGCCGCATAGCGAACGATGATCTACTGGTTAAGTATTTGCTTTCTTCATAGGTATCTAATGTTATATGATGGATGAAATTTTATGAAAGTTGATGTCTTTACTTTAATTTACTCTTTCTTAATGCTTGCCAGACTTGTGACATGTACAGCGAGGCCGTGACGGTTTGCAAATTATAATAATTACATATAGACCTGAAGGATGATCAAGTAGCTCTGGATAGATCAAGTAAATCGTGCGAAATATGAGCGAGAAATATTTTTATTGTAAAAGCATAACTTTGAAGAACAACTATTGATACGCCAGGCATGCAGGTCTTGTAAGTTGATATATCGCTGTGCAAAATCATCCGCTTCAAATGTCCACATCGTCCTCATTGAGAAGCTCCAGACCACTATCATATCTCCTCCTCAATCTTTTACTTCCTCTCCGCCGCAAGTTTTCCAAATATTCTCCCGAACGTACAACCGCCCGAAGTGTATCTGGTTCATTACTACCATACCTGCTGCTCGGATCACTGCTAGTCTCACCAAGGAAACTCTGGCTCAATCGCAAGACTCTTTGCAGCTCCTCCTTCATCGAATCCATGGCATCTTTGGCTTTTCTCCTCTCTTCTTCCATTTGACCCTTCATCCCGCTATTTTCTATCCGGAGAGCGTGGATAGTATCTTGCGCGAGTTGTAGTGAATCGTTGACTCTATCAATATCACCTCGCAGCTCGGAGACTCGAGCATCTCGAAGTGCGAGGGCCGTTCTGTGCTGTCTGCTCATGGCAGCCGTTTGCCTAGTCAGAGAAACTTCGGTAGCGCTCATTTCTTTGAGAAGCTCTGCAGTTTGAACGACTGCGTCTTCAATCTTAGCTTCCAGTTCGGCGATGATAGTATCTTTAGCTATGATTAAATCATCACTCGATTTTCGCCGAGAAGTATGCGTATTCGTGAATTCTCGGTGCTCCTTCTCCATGCGTGCTACGAGCTTTTCAAGCTCTGCGATATCACGAACATAGCTGTCAACCGCGCCTTTGAGTCGGTCGTTGCCAACTTCAAGCTCTCTGACACGATTATCTTTCTCGTCAAGCATGCGGTATACTCCCACGATTTTCTCATTGAGCTCATCCATGACGGAGACTCGTGAGTCAAGTTGTCTGCGTAGGGATTGCTCAATCTCATGGTACTCGTTAATAGACTCGTCATCTTCTTTGGACTTCTTTGTCAATTCTCTCAGGCGCATCAACAGAAGATCCAGCACCTGGGCGCCACGAGAACTGAGCGGTAAAGATATTTCTCCCGGTGTGAGATATTCTAGCTCGATACGAGCAGCACGAAAGCCAGCCGCGAGCGACAAAACCATTTCGCTGGCATCATCGCCGGGAAACCCTAACTCGCTAATGGCAGACGTGAGATGCGAAGCTGCAGCAGCCCGCTCGGACATGGTTTGTAGTAGTAACTGGACCTGGCTCTCGACAGCCTCAAGGGTAGAAAAGGCTCTGCTTCTCTCTGGAGGGTCATTTGATAGCGCATCGCCAATGCGTGCACTAAGAGCATGATATGAATCCAAAGTTGCCGTCAATCTGTGCACTTCAAAATGCAGTGATGCAATCTCCTCTTCAAGTAGCTGCTTATCTGAGTCCGGATAACACAACGGAGTATCGCGAGAGGAGGGTGTTGGTGAGGCAGCTCGGAAGCATGGAGATGCAGGCATGCGCGGACTTGTTGCAGGAGGGGTCATAAACAAGGATCTTCCCCTTGCCGGTGTGCTGGCCTGCAACTGTAACATGGTGCTGTCGCCGAAATGATCACCATCTTGAACCGTGTCCATTAAATCGTCTTTTAAGGCATCACTTGATGGCTTCGCCCAGCTGTAATACTGAGTCAATCCCTCTTTAACTGAGTTCCTCGAAAGCTCATCTTTGAGCTCCTCAACCTGCCGCTCTAGAAACCATACCCTCTCTGTGTCCATAATGACCGTTGCATTCTGTAAGTCGTAAATCTCATTGTCTCTAGCCCTGACATCAGCCTTGAGCTGAGCAATCTGAGCCTGAGCCGCCTGTTCTTTGCGCCGCTTCTCCCGTTCAAACTTGTGAAGTAAATCACGGAAGCCATTGCGACGCATCCGACGTTCAACACGACCATCAACTGTCTGCTGATGAAGATTGAGAGCCGTATGCCGACTCGATCGCGGGGCTGAGCTGGGACTTCTTATGTGGGCAGCTGACCGTCGACTTTTCGGAGTCGCAAGATATGTGCGCCGCACCATTGGCGTAAGGCCGCTTGAGATAATAGAAGGGCCCGGATCAGATAAACGAACTCCTCTCTTTCTCCCGTGGGGAGTCTCTGGGGGCGTCAAAACACCCGGAGGCACCTCCGATTTGATAGCTGTGCGCGCGCAGCATCGTCGGCTGCGGCGTAACGCAATAGGAACGTGCAGATCTTCCATATCGACGAGCTGTTATATGTGGTGATTGCTTTTCTCTTTTTACTTTAAGGAAACCTTTATTCTTTCGAATAGTATGATGGCATGAATCAGGACGAGCCGTGTGAACGGATATCAGAGCATATAGATAAGCCTAACGGAGAATCCTGACTTCAACCACTAATGCTCAAGATAAACATGCCTATTGTACACACAGCATCCACACATGGCCTAAACCGCGTCAGAGACTTGCCCCTCTCCTATCACAGCAATAAACGCGCATACATGCGTGTAGCCCTTGCATCAACCCATGCTCGACTCGGGCAGCTTTTGTTTACATTTTGCCTGCTGAGGCTTAGCGCCCGAGTGCATCGGAGAGCCGGCCCCACCATCTCCGGCACAGCTTCTCTTCCCAGGATATGGGCATTTGTTATCGAGGGCTGCATGTCTTAGACTATAGATAGCGGCAGATTTTGTTAAGGGAAGTACGAGCTAGCACTCTAAATCTGCTAGCCAGCATCCCGTATATCGGGTTCAAAGCCACTTGGTGGTAAGTGATAATCCTAGAAACGAGACGAATATAGACATAGGTAGCAGCGGATACTGGACAAGTGTAGCGATAGTAGCAGATACTGGAATAAAGAGATAATAAAGAGATAAAGAGATTGAAGTACCCAACGTTCTCCAGTATACAAATACTGTCGCGCCTTTTTATTAAGTGTGTGAATACCTTTCATCCAGCTACCAACAGCACCCTTAGAGTCAAGGGCGAGCAGAAGGTACCCAACGCGTAACTGGATGTGGGGAGAGTAGTCTAGTTGGTAGATGTGAGCCAAACAATGGATATCAGGTAAGACAATGCTAGCTGATCATCCCACTATAAACCAGCACAGGTGGATTGTTGTTTGTTGTTGACGCGGCATGCACATAGGCTTTCTTCTCACCACAAAGACAAAACAACCAACCGGAAGCCGAATTTGTAAACATGAAGAAAAATAAATAAATATCAAGACAATCATTCATCTCTATTAATTGGTTTCAGAATTCACCCTGTTGACAATTCCGTCGACGTTTAAATGCCACCCATCGGCATCTAGTCTAAACGCCACAACATTACTGTTGGCTTTACATACATCATTCATGAAAACATGAGAAGCAGTTCCATTCTCGTCAGAATGGGGTAAATGCGCGATGCTGGCGTCATCTACTACAGCTTTCGTAAAAGCTCCTTCTTTCGCCATGTTTTATTTTCGAGTAAGTCTCGAACCCATTCCAACACCTCCACCACTCAGAGTGCCTTTCCATGTAAGAGACCAGAACTTGACAATTATCTTTGCTATCACGACTGCCAATATAAGGCCTAAAGCGCGATTCGGTGATGAGAAGATCGGAGCTGCTGGGCTTATACTGGGTAATACCGCAGTGGTCATGATAATGTAGTCATAGACGGCGGCGCGCTCAGCATTGTGGTCAATGATAGGGAAGGGCCGCTCGATATAGTCACCACATTCGGCCTGTCCTGTAAAGTACTGGTTTTTGTAGTAGAGTGTGTTGTCATGGTTATCGCGGACAGTGTTATCGTCTTCGTTGGATGTGACTTCATCATAAAGATGGACTTTCGTGTCAATGTCACTGCCAACATCACGCAGCTAAGGACTGTTGAGAACACTGTCATGACGATTGCAAATGGCAGCATCCGTTTCCGATAGTACCAGGGCCTCTGGATAGGTTCTCGGTGTAATTGATAGTACTGCTCCCGAGCGGCATTTGACTGTTGATCATCCATTGATCGCGTATTAGAGAGCCGAGGAGCAGATGGTGGCATTGGTGCCTCATGCACAGCAGCAGCCTGTCTGTTTTGCTGCTGCACAAGGTAAGCGATGTCAAATAGGGGCATCATGGTGAAGTCTCTCAGTTAAACTGTATGTGTTAAACTGTGGTGTCTTGTAACCGCGGAGGATAAAGTGCATTACTCTCAGATGCACCTGGTTGTAAGGAATTCGCATGCTTATATACAGATGGCGAATTACAGGGAATCGGTAGCAAGATGCAAGAACATCATTGCCATCACTTTGCTCTACCATGGAGTCACATTATCACGTTTGATGGTGCATGGACAAGACCACCGGGCAAATATGAGAAGAGCAAATATGAGATGACCACCGCGACAAGACCAGATTGGACGGCTCATAATCACGCCTCCTCGTGGTGTTGAAAGCGTGAATGTCATACAGTGACCAGATTGCTATCAATCACAGGGTTTTGTCATCCAGTCACTTTGTCAAATAATAGAATGGTGATTCTCAGAATTTTTCATGTCTTGGGATTGACGATAGCACCGGGCATCGGTGATTCTCGTACATGATACTTGGCAGCATACCTTGCACTTTTAAAGGACTGGTGCGTGAATGAAGAATTCTTGACTGCCTTCACAACGATATGCAAGTACGTGATTCAGTGTTGAGTGAAGGGGATTATGGAGGTGACTCACAAGATCATGCAGGAGAAGTCAATGAATAGGCACCTAAGATTCTACAGCACGGAGCGTCTTCGGTATGTTTGTCTGAAGGATTCATGTTGATGTGAAATGTTGAGATTGATCAATGACTAATACGTGCATGTCCTGTCCATGCCCTGTCCACTTAAGCTCAGTGGCCGGCGCAGGTACATGTACCTATGCTGCAGGGCTTAGCACGGGTGGGAACATGTACATCCTCGTACTTTTTACAGAGATAAGGCTGCATGCGCAGATAAGTGCCCAAGATTGCCGAAAGGCGAGATGGGCACGATCAAAGTCGGTATGGATGATTTGATGTCCCATGATTAATACGCATTGATGGGTCGTAACGTAACAAATGCCGTCAACAGCCCAAGCCTTCGCTTCCAATTTTAGCTGACCGAGCCACCCAGGACGGGACAATGGCAGGCGGCTAAGGAGCCCTGTAGCGCCTGCTAACGGCCACTAACCGCTTAGCACTGTCCAGCGTCCCTAACGCTCCAGCTGATTCCTCCGGGTTACCACCGATCGGACTGGACCCCATAATATTGACGGCCAAGTCATGTTCACACCCGTCATGCTTCTTTTGCTTCAGACTGATCAAATCCTTTGCTCATTCTGCCTCCTCTGGCCCAGCCCGCCATCCTGAGAAGACAGAAGATGACGGCGCTTCCGGGTGCCGAATGATCCATTCTCAACCTGCTCACCAAGGCAATGTCGCCATGGCCGTGCCGGCACGCAAAGTAAAGTTCGTCGCGTCAGATCCCGCCCGCGGCGGTTTGCCCGTGAAACGACGACAGGTCCAGCAGGCCTGTCTGTCGTGCAGGCGCAAGAAGGTATCGTGATGCCTGGTTCCTGTCACCTTTCCTTTGCCAGATGTCTAGACGTACGGCCTGCTTGCTAACGGTTTTGAAGCGAAAATGCAACCATGCAGAAGACGCCATGGTTGATGACGCTTCCCTCGAAGACCACAAAGGCCTGCTGGAAACGTCACCTTCTCAATCCTCGTGAGGCCTTGCCGTATCACCCTCCATATTTGTCAAAATTCTAACACTAGGACAAGGCCTGGAACTTCTAGATCGTCTCTCACGCCTTCAGTCCGCATGAGGCCGCTTGGCGGAGAGGACGCCGCGACACCAGCCGGCAGAACTGGTCTAAACGCTCATTCATCACCCGTCTCACGGCGACCCCTTCCAGGAGCCTTCGGCCATGGCGAAACGCAAGCAAATACGCCTGCAGCACAGATTGCGCAGGATATTGCCGCGCGACCGCAGTCGTCACGCTTCGTGGGCGACTTGAACCCAGAGGGCATGTTCATGGAAGCAGCTGTTCCGAGCGTGACTCGTGCCTCATCACAGAAAGGAGATGTGGGCATCTGGTTTCCCGCGGCTACTACTGGACAGCCGTCCCAGTTCATCACCTCACGCCCTCCACCTGTCATGGACAGCTTTATGCTCCCGTTTGTACGAGAGCATTGCTTATCCTGCTTGCCCCCTGAAGAGGACTATCTCCGATTGAAAGCACTGTTTTTGCAGAGAGTTCATCCCATCTTTCCCGTCATCCCCGAGGCTGCCCTTAATGGGCCTACAGACAACCCTTCCAGCATCGTGTTACGACAACTTGCTTGTTTGGCAGCCGGCTCTGACCCCCAGATGACTCCATATTTGCGTCTTAAGAATAAAGGTCCCAGTCCACTGCGGCCCTCCGAATTCTCCAGCGCATTATCTTCCTCGGTCCGTGCCATTTTGGAAACAAGTATTATTCCTGATAGAGTCGTACACATACAAGCGCTCACCATGTTATCCCTCTATACTCAGCCTACCTGCGCCGAAGAATCCGATCTACCGGCTCAGCTTGGGGGTAGAGCAATTCACCATATCCAAACTTTGGGTTTACACCTTCTCCGATATGATGGGCCGAATTTTGGTGATTTAGAAAATCTCTTTTGCGCAGTTTGGGCGCTGGATAGAATAAATGCCGCCATGTATGGACGGCCGTGCCTGATCCATGAGAGAGATATTGGGGCGGATCTCGACGCTTGCATCAAGAAACGACAGCCTGCCTTTCGGCTTCTGCTATCCGTGGCACAATGGCTGGATAAAGTGGTGGAGTTGTATCGCCCAGGCCCTAGTGCGCAAGTGTCTGGCTTCGATAAAGTCGCATACATTGATCTCCCCGTTCTCGAAGCAATGATTGTGGACGCAGACGCCTTGAAAGTCCCAACATCTCTCATTGGTAAGCTCTCCGTAGACGAGCCGTGTGTGGCTAAATTTCTGACCAACTTTACTAGCTACCATCGAAACATTTTATCATGCCGTCATAATACTATCGTGCCGGCTTCCTAGGCCAGGAACAATCATCGCAGCCTCAACATTGCCACCACCATCCGCCAATGCCCGTCGTTCACTTGCAGCCGAACGCATCGCGTGCGCAGTACCAAGGGACTGCCTAAGCTCTCTTCCGTTTATTCCCTACGCAGTGTCGCTCGCTCTAAGCGTCGAGTATCGAAAGATGAGACACAGCCGATTACCAATGTTCCGCACGCGAGCAATGAATGCCTTTAAAAGAAACTGCGACCTCCTTCGGTCTTATAGCGAACATTACTGGAGCGCCCGAGTCGTCGCTGGGCTTGGAGAGGGCGTTCTAAGAGAAATGGAGCGAGCGGCCAACACTCTGGCCAAGGAGCTCAGCCCTCAGCCAGCTGAAGTACCGTCAAAGCCCGTAATGGATGATCAAGATGCGCCAGTTACCCAAGATCTGGGTCCTACTCCATCAGGGGATCCCTCGAACATGAATTCTAACCTGGGTTTTGAGAATGTCATTGACTTTTCCGTCATTGACGCGATTTCAGGCCAGGATGTGTTTGGGCACATTGACCCTAACTTTAACCTGGACGCTGTGGAAGATGCCCTGGAAGCAAACCTTGATATTGGCCTCCCGCCCAATTGGGGAGACTGGGGCCAGTTTGCAGCATGAGGATGGTTGTGATAGGATTAGATCGAATGCGCATAGCTTATACGTAACCGCTTGGTGTATGGTCAGGGATGTTTTGTATTTAGAGAAGCGCGGGTATCGGTTTGGCTGATAGATACCAGGCGATTTCAGCCGCTACATGACTGGACAGGCTACTCTTTGGCTCACTTGGGATAACATTACCAATTGGTCTATACCACGCAGTTTGAGTGTTAGATAATGGATGCTTATATACGTAGCACAATTCAAAGGATAACTAACGTACGCATTTTATCAAGAGCACTTAGTAAAGCATACCAAAAAAGAAAAGAAAGAGAAAAAGCAAAACAAAACATCGCCAAGGTGGAACCGTGTGCTGGGATGATGTAGAAAAAAATAAATCTCCGATACTGGGAATCGAACCCAGGGCTGCTCGGCACTCGAAGGATGAGAGCGAGCGATGTTAGCCACTACACCATATCGGATGGATGCTTGTTGTTGAAAGCCGCTGTGCTATTGGCCACTATAGAGCTAAACACAAAGCCTATGCCCGTCATAGAGAAGAGATTGGATTTTGCAGCATTCTGGAAGCAAGGCATTTAATGCTTATTCGTGGAAGAGATATGTAAAAGAAGTTGTATGTGCTTTTTATTCGGGGTATCAAAATCATGACTCATATCAAACATTGACGTATTATCCACGTCTTGCCATCGCTGAAGCTTGTATCATACAGACACGCTCCATGCAGTGCATAATGTTTGGGTATATACAACAAAAAATGCCCATGTGTCTGCTCTTCTCTTCCTGCATTTTAATATGATGCGCACGCAGCGATGGAGCATTGCCTAAGCCCGGCAATGTCATGTTCACCTCGAGGGAAGGGTTAACAATGCCCATTCCAATTCGAGTGCGCTTGATGCTCGGAGTGGCGATGGTTAACGTGCGGCGTTTCGGTTCGGTGTCCGCCCGACGATGTGCGAGAGCGAGATATTCGGCGCGTAGCTATTCTCTAACAGCTAAAGGCCAACGACTTCTTCATCTGTACCGGTATATCATCGCAGTCGTGGCGGGTATATGGATTTCGCTTCGAGCTCAAGGTGAGCATCGCTTCACTTCGTAGGCGGCTTAGTAGTGATGTCGGTTGGTTTTCCACGAGCCTGGTTCTTCAGCTCGCCAATGAAATGCTTGAAAAATCCATCTGCTCGGCCTCCCGGGTTCGGATCCGCTGCAAGTACAGTTTCTCGTCAGCTTGATCTCTCCTCTCGAGCTCCAAAACTCGCCATCGTACCTGTAGCTTCTCCCGGCGCAAGCGGCTCGTGCGGATTTCGGCCATGCTGCTTCTCATTGATCGCGCGGTGGATGTGACCGACAGCTCTGTGGAAGCCCGGCTGGCGGAGGATCTGGAGCTGTGCGTGAGCGATAGCTGAGAGAGGGAGTCGTGCGCCTGTCAAAGAGCACTTACAGTGTCGATGATTCGATCCTCAAAAGCCTGGATGAGCCGCAGCGCGAACAAGTACGGCGACATTGTGATTTCCTACTGATGTTGCGGGAGGAGGACGTCGTGGCTCTTGTTGGTGGCGGGAGGAATTGAAGAGGAGGTTTGGCTTAATAATAATTGGAGAGGTACCTTTACTGGTGTAGAGATTTGTCGCGACGGCGATGCTGAGGTAAAGCTGCATGTACGTACCTTGCTGACTGGCGGAGGATTTTTATCAACCTCACTCTGTAATTGTACATGAATACACGTATTACGGCTGCAATATCAGGCAATGACAATTGTGCTTCATTTGATGGGGAATAAGTTGTAATTTAATTCACTTTTCTGCTCATACATTGCCATCTCCTTCTTTTGCGATGGACAATCCATAGGGTATTGCGGTTTAACAGCGCTCATTGAATAAAAACATAGAACCCGTGCCTTGGTCATTCTTTCAGCTCATTTCAACGAGTCCAGTTTGTCGTTACTCCTCCCTCCATCAATTTCTGATATCTATCCTCCTTTTTGCGTTTTTCTTCTTTTACTGCTTGAGGTACTGGCCAATGAAGGACTCAAGGTAAGCCTGCTTGCCCAGAGGAACGCCCTCCTTGCGCATAATGTTGTAAGCGGTAGAGAGGTGGAAGAAGAGGTTAGGCAGAACATAGCCGTTGAGGTAGTGGGAGCCGGGCATCTCAAAAGTGCCAGCAGAGCCCATTCCAAGGGTGACGAGCTCGTTCTGGCGCTTGTTGATGACGTCCTTGTCGGCAGTGGCGAGGATCTCCTCAGCCTTGGCGATGCGGGCGTAGCAGTCGGCAAAGGTCTCAACCTCGCCCTCCCAGGCATGAGGCTCGGCGCCGGTCAGACGGGCGACGATCTTGGTTGAGGTGTCGGTGACCATCTTGACCTGGAAGACGAGGGGCAGCATGTCGGGATGGATGCGGGCGGCGAGGAGAGTGGCGGCATTGGGCGAGGCCTCGCCCAGCTTGAGGATGTTGGTGAGAGACTTGAGGGCGCTCTTGGCCAGGGGGATGGAGGCGTCGTAGAGAGAGTAGCTCATCTTGGATGATTAGGACTTGGTTTGATTGGTAGGATTAAGTTGATTTGGAAGAGAGAGGATGTGGGATTGCTGTGATGAGGCAATTGGTAACTTGGATCTCGCAATCAGGAGAGGGAGTGGCCTGGGGTATATATATCAATTTTATTGAATCGTGGTCGTTTACTCCGAGCGTATTCAACTTAGACTATACACTATGCCGTACATCAATCGGGAATATAACGTACAACGTATATGTCCCTCTCCTGAATTAGCAGGTGGTCTCCGCCTATCCTCCAGTCGAACTAACTACCAACCGCTACTACTCTGATCTGAGACTCGCGATAGTCTTGTCACTACCTCGCTCGAATTCCGCATTCCGCCTCCGTCTCCTCTCGCTCCGCTTCTCTCGCAACTGCGGCTTGACTCAATGGGTCCCCGTACGAGTATCCACGAGCCACTGAACCCCCCTCTCTCCTCTCCCAACTCCCCACCGACGGATATCCGAGGGGATCCTCCTAGGTTGCTAGGGATCCTCCATTAGCTGTTGGCCAGAATTGAGGCTGAAAGGCCCGCAACGCAACACGACGCTGGATTACTAATTAGAATCGCATCGAAGCCACTCCCGCGTCCAGTCCAGCCAGAGAGCGGTCAAATCAAGCGGCGTGTCATTGTCAATCCCTCATGTCACAGGGGAGGGCATGTCTCAGCCGTTGTGGATCAACAGATGAGCTGTTGTTGTGCATGTGTGAATACTCGTACATACGGAGTACAGTAGTGCTAGTTCATGCTCACTTGACTAGGATTATGAGGTTTCACGGCAGGCCGAGCCAGTGCGAGCGAGGCCGACGGCCCGAAGGGGGGCAGCTTTTACATCAATCTGGCCATCTGCATCTACTCTGCACTCCCCCAACACACACAGTTCGACAAGTGACAAGGGCCAGTCGAGTGACCCATGACTCTGTCTCTCCGCACCGGCTCATTTTTTTTCGTCTCTTTTGCCCTTTTCTCTCTTCCCTCGTTCCTTTTCCCAAAGTGGACAACGGTGCGCTGGGCCATGGCAAAATAGCTCGGCACTCGGCGATCCAGTCAGCACCGTATTACCACCTCGCGGCTAGATATATCCAATCTCCATCTCCTTGATCAATGTCATTACAAATAGATCCGCGCAAAAGTAGAAAGTGCAACGCTCAAGAGCTTGGCTTTGCTTTGACCAACACGGTTCCCTTCCTGTACACCTGCAGAAGGATTCGATCAAAAGGAATCCCTCGTGTCACCAAAGCTGAAGGATCCTAGATTTGGATTACCAAAGCTAAAGGATTCAAGATTTTGATTACCACGCAGCTGAGACATCAGCAAACAATGACGACTTTTACTCAGCAGACATCTCAGCTTAGAAATTGAAAGACAAAAACTGTGAAACGAAATCCTCGAACGGGATTCAGGAGCAACTCTTGACCGTCCGCGCTGACATGGTGTTGGACGATCCAGCACAGCACAGCACAGCACAGTGTTGCTCGCATATTCCGCCTCTCCTGTTTCGCTTTTTCTTTCATTTGTATTACTGATCAATAAGCGGACATCAGATCAAGCAGAAACTAGATCTTGCTAGTTCACGACGCTACGCCGCTCGATGCAAGACAAGCTTCATATTACAAATGCTTCCCAGATAGTGTACAGTACAGTCTCATCCTCCACTCGATTTCGCTTTCAAACATCATTGCCAACCAATGCCATGGGACCAGAAAGAAAGCCACTTGCGCACACAGCAAATCCAATCCTCATGCCAATCCAAAAAAAAAAGTTTTATGAAAATTAAACTCTCTTCTCTTTCAAATCAGCCCCAAAGTCGCGTTAAACCTGTCCACCACCTCTCTCGCTCCAGGCAGGGCTGAAGGACTCGCAACCAGCTTATCCAAGCCCATTGCCCGTCGGCCCTCGGGATTGACCCATCGCCGCACCATGTCTTCTGTCGGGCGGCCTATGTGCTTTGATTCACCATCGCCGCCTGGAAAGTCGGGTCCTGGTGTACCATCCAAGAAGGCCTGGCGTTGTCTGACGAGGTATTGTGCGTTGAGCTCTGTGACCGGGCATACGGGAATGTAGAGAACGCTCGAATCGGATTGTCCCTTGTGAACTTTGTCGACGGCATGGATAGCTAAAAGATGTATTAGTATCTGTCCAGAACAAGATGTTAAAGAAGGGAGGGAAGAGGAGAAGACTTACTGTCACAATGCCATGCCACAAAGGCCCCGGGCTTTATCTCGGGCACATGTGTCATGGTCCTTGAAAGCTCCAAGTGAGGATGGAGCTCATCATTGAGCTCTTGTCCATGACCTGGATGTGCGCCTTGAAGGTCGCTGGTCATATCAGCATCGCCAGTGAATGTCCAGTTCTTCTCATCCAAGAAGGCATCCCCCTTCTTGGTGGCGTCAAGAGGTGTAAAGAATGGCCTCAGAAGTGTGTACGCAGTCGACAGCATCAAAGGATATGTCAACAGAGTACCTTCTTCTGGTGCTACTTGGCTCATAGAGACCCATCCTTGCCATGCTCTAAAAGCACTGCATGCTCCTAGGCCGTTGTGAAGGTCGTTGACGGCATCGATTCTGCCGGAAGCATCCCAGGCATCATACTTCTCCCATCTGCCTTCAAACACTCTATCGTATACATGGCCCCGTCCGTATCCGTCCTTTTCCCAGCGCTCGACGCTGCCGCCGTCGATGTGAGGGCCGAGTGCAAAGGCCGCATCGCCGGGTTGACGAATGCGAAGCCTGTCAGCATAGGATAGGGGTATGTCGAGGGATATCTGGGCACTCGGCGATGACGTGTGCCAAAAGTCTGACATGAGATGCTTCTGTACTTTAAGCATAGACGGGTGTGATCGAGCTTGGATCTGTGGCTCAGACCAGTATAGCTCATACACTTGTGGATCATGAGCTGGGAAAGCTGCCCTTGACCATTAGCCCTCATGTCTTTTCCCCCTTCAACAACCAATACAATACATACATATATATATATATATATATATATATATAAGGGAGAGAGAGAGAGAAGCCTTACCTCTTGTGTGTGGGTTTTGCTTGACATATTCTTCCACGCGGGCCTTGTATTCCCGCGCCTCGCCCTCGGGGATTACACCATGTACGACCACCACCCCCCTCTTCTTGATCTCCTCCTTGACTTTATTATCCAGCCCGTAGTTTAAATCGGAAAAATCTACTTGGGGAATAACTGCAGGGCCCTTTTGCGCAATAACCTCGTTCTCCCTCCGCAGCGTCCGCAACAATCTCGTCCAGCTCGCCGCAATCTCCTTCTCACGACCCCTGACCAGCTCCAACTTGAGCTGTCTGAAGCGATCCGGCAGCGGCACCTGCTCCACGCCCGACAGCGAGACAAAAGAGTCCGAAATATCCCCTGTCCTCTTCGGCGCCGGTTTTGGCGTCTGCACCGTCGCGAGGCAGCGGTGCAGACGGGGCAGGACGGGAGAGGCCTTGATGAAGCTTGAGCGCAGCATCTTGATGGGGAACTTTTTTTTTTTTCGTACACCACGAAAGACTGGGATCGCAACAAAGGCTTTTCAGCACAGAAAATGATGGAATCACACAACCTGAGCCAAGATGAACCAACAATCGACTACCGACAAAGCAAGATTGTCATCATACTATTTATATTGATGGGCTAAAGGCGTCGGTGTTGCTGTTTTGGGGTGGTCCGCGCCCCGCCTCAGCCACGTAAACTCTATCTTTCCCCGACGCTACACGATACCAAATAGCAAACTGGATCCTTTTTTTTCTATTTGCTGTGGCCTGATCGAGATTGTAATCGAGGGCGGAATGGGCGGTGGTGCTTTGTCTTGGGGCGGGCTGAGACATGGTTGGATTGCGTCTAAGACGCGAAAGATGGGGGGCAGCTTTCAAAGGAGGCCCGTTGTTTCCGCTTACAAGAAGTAAAGAAGAAGAAAAAAAAAAAGGTACGTATCCCGTCTAATCCAACCCGTTTAGCTATCTGAATCAATCCATTAGCTTCTTGCACTATATCACCAATGCTGGAACGTTACAAAGACATTGCCATCACAGGCCAATCTCAAGTTATGACCGAGTGTTTTCGTCCCCCCCTTTTTTTCTTCCTTGTCTGCCGTACCCAGCAGCCGTGTAACGAAAAAGCACAAACTCCATCCTTCCGGCCGACACGGACTTCCAATTCGAAACATGATCACATGAGTTCTTCTGAAATTGGTGCGTATACCCGAATTCATTTATTAAATTCGTTTTTCGAAGGGGGGAGGGGGAAGGACCTTTGTAAAAAATGACGAGCTGCCGACTTCTTCATGGCGTCATCTGTGTTAAAGACGAAGATTCCCGGTGCCTCGTGGTGTTTCTAGCATAGTTATCCGGTCACATGGACAGCGAGCTACGTGATATAGCCTAAAAGAATGCTTCTTTGACGTTCCATTGTGTCGTTGCATGATGAGATTTTAGAAAGTTCGGTGCAGGCGAGAGCTGCAATGGCCGCTTTCAGGTAGAATGAAACGTCTCCAAAAAAGGGAACTTGTTGTCGACGGGCGCCCTGTGGTGGATATGATCGAGACAAGATGTCTTGCTTCCTCATCTCCGAGATATCGTGAAGTCTTCAAGTCAAACATTGGGAGGAGCGGGAGAGAGCACGGCTCTTATACATCTAAAACTCCGTTATAAAACTCCGTATATACATCCCGGCAATTTTTTTCCAACTCATTTTTTTCTCTAAACATCATATATCATGAGTCCAAAAAAAAGCTTACCAAAAACCTTACAACATAGGGCATAGCCAACCCCAAGAGCCTCAACTTTCGACTACTATCCCTCTCATGCCACATCGCCAAACTAAATAGCACTCCCATAATTACTCGACGGGAAATTAGGCATTACCCAGACGACAATAATTCGCCGGCATGTCTATTTTAGGCAAATCCGCTCCCCACACTCCAGCCACGACCGACTTACTCCAATCCGCATCCCGCCGGTGCTCCCACCCCCTCATCAGCCACACCATCCTCCTCCGCTTGGGTTCTCCAAAAAGATTATAGCCTAATAGCTCTCTCCTTCTCGTCTGATGTTTCTCTCATTCTCAATCTCATCGTGAAAGGCTCTCTGTCACTCACACCATCCCAGTATAGCATCTCATCTCCCCTCTGTAATCTCAACACCACCCCCGTATAAGTGCATCCATCATGACCTTGACCAACCCTCCCCCAACCCTCAAAATCTCCCTCCCCCAAATCGCCCACCTCATCGACCACTCCCTCCTCCACCCCACCCTCTCCGACCCCGACCTCCGGTCCGGCCTCCTCCTCGCCCGCTCCGCCTCCGTCGCCTCCGCCTGCGTAAAGCCCTACGCCGTACCCCTCGCCCGCTCCCTCCTCGCCGACTCCCCCGTCCGCGTCTGCACCGTCGTCGGCTTCCCCCACGGCTCCTCCTCCGCCTCCGTCAAGATCACAGAGGCCGCCGAGGCCGTCTCTTCGGGAGCAACGGAGATCGACATGGTCATCAACGTCGGCAAAGCCCTCGGCGGCGACTGGGCCTATGTCGAGCACGAGGTCGAGGCCGTCAACCGCCTCGTCACCGCAAAGGGAGCGATTCTAAAGGTCATTTTCGAAAATGACTTTCTGCAGGACGAGCACATTGTTCGGTTGTGTCAGATTTGTACCGACTTGGGCGTGGCTTTTGTCAAGACGAGCACGGGCTATGGATTCGTGAAGCAGCCCAATGGGTTTTATAGCTACCGGGGCGCTACGCCGCATCACCTCAAGCTCATGAGGAAACATGCCGGCCCAAAGGTGCAGATCAAGGCCGCGGGCGGTGTCAGAACTCTGGATGAGCTGATTTATGTCGTGTCGCTGGGAGTAACGAGAATCGGTGCCAGCGCTACCGAGGCAATCCTGGAAGAAGCCAGAGCGAGAGGCATCGGTGAAGCTGAAGTTGAAGTTGAAGTCAAGGTCCCTCCAAGTCTGCAGGATGGAACATATTGATGCCACTGCTAGTTTGAGCGCTGTGTCAAATTGATAAGTATCGGAGTAGAGAAACATAATTATCTATTAAAAAGAGTAAAACAGCACCAGGCGCAGCTCCGCGTGATTATGTATGCAAGACTTTCATATTCCTTTTAGCTTCTTCTTTCTGTTCCCTTTTCCTTTCCTTCTCAACCGTCATCACAGCTGAAGAAACTCAGAGATACCCAAAAAAGGATAGGAAAGGGCTGTATGACGAAACAAAAAGGTGTAAAAAGAAGTCAAGATTTTGAAAAAACAAAAAAGCATCGCTCAGCCGAAACATCAAGCCGCCAGCTTCATGCCCTGTTCTCGATCCCCATGTATCCCTAACAAAAACAACATCATGTCCGTACACCGGTCCTCTCTACTCTCCAGGCATAACAGGTATTTGTAATGTACAAACAAAAGATACGCTCTCGTTAAAAATAAGATATGGGTGGTCGTGTAATAAAAAAAAAGTTTTAAATAAAATGCTCACGGCGCCAGTTCGACGCCATCGTTATTCGAAATTCCATTTTCGCTTTCATCGCCTCCTCCTTCTTCTTTCTTCGCAGCCCAAAATGCTTTTTTACTCGGTATCTTGGTTTGCGCGCCTCACCTTCTCTCTCAAATCTCTGTTTTCAGTTTCCAAGCCGCCGAGTCGCTGCCTTGCCGCCTGCCTGTCTTGGTTGCGCCCTTCTCGCTCCATCTTCAGCTTGTACTCCATATCCCGGAGTCTGAGTAGCCAGCGATTGTCGTTCTGGCTAACCGACCCGTCGGAATTTGACGCATCCATGAGGCCGAGTCCAGCCCTTGACGACGATACTGGGATTCCAGAAGCGGACGGAGCACGCACGGCGGATGACGCCCTGCTCTTGGAAGGACGATCGCCAGTTCCACGAGAAGCCGACGGCGAACCGGCACTGGCCTCGGAGCCTGCTCCAGGAATTTGATGAGCCGCACGAGCACGAACATCATTAGCAGTCCTCAGTGTGGCATTTTCCACCTTGAGCTGACGATATGCCTCTTCGAGACGTAGCATCCGGTTCGACGCCTCGTGAGAGCCCAGCGACCCAGTGGCAACAGAGTTGCGAACCATAGTCTCTAGTCGATCAAGCTTCTTGATTCGCACATCCAGATTGTTCTCGAGAGCTTGGTACTCGCGATAGAGGTCCTTCTCAACTGACTTGATCTTTGTCTGCAGAGCCGCAAACATGCCCTCAATAGTCTTAACAGCAGACAAGAGATTCTTAGTAAATCCCGGCAGGCGACTCGCAATGACTTCAAGCGTCGGCACAACTTGCCGGTCCACGAGTGTGTTGTTGTTGGCCCATTCTCGGCCGCAGAGCGTGCTCAGCTTGTGCCACAGAAGAAGTAGCAGCTCGTTCCTCTCCAGCAGCTGCTCGCGGGCAGTCTGCTCCAGCACGGCAAGTTTCCGGCGATCCTGGCCTCTGGTAGCTTCCAGTTCGCTAATGCGGACATCTTGCGTGCTGGCCGTTCGAGTGAGATGCTGGTGCGTCTTCTGGAACGACTCGAATTGAGACTTGGTATTGCGGTGGGCAACCCGCTCCTTTTCGAGTAGCTCGGTGATTTTGCGAGTTTCCAGGGCATGCGACTCCAATAGTGAATCGCGCTGCTTAATGATTCGGTCCTTCTCGACCAATGCTGCTTTAGAAGTGTCAAGTTCACGGACAGTGTTCTCGAGCTCACGCTGCATCCGTGCAATAGACTGTAGAAGTAGCTTCATGTTAGTACAAGAACAAACGGAAAAGAGAGAATAGGCGGCATCTTTGTACCTTTAGCAGCGAAGAGCGGGTGCCGTTCAGGTCACCCAAAGCTTCCCTCAAGTTATTCTCCAGCTCCAGCAACCTCTCCTTCCACTCGGTTGCCTCAACCTCACGAGATGACAAGCTTTTACGCAGCCGCTTGACCTCGTCCTTGGCGCTAGCATTCTCTCGCTGAAGGTTAGCAAATATCTGCTGGACATCGGCATCCTTCTTGGTGGTGACATCCTCCCATTGGGCGCGCTCCTCTTGCATCCGGTTATCCAGCTCCTTGACTCGCTCTTTTTCATCTTCCAAGCTTCTCTCCAAGTTAGAAAGGGCCGCCTCCAGATCACCGATGCGAATCTTGTCCGCCTCCTGCTCTTCCCGAAGGAACGAAATCTCGCCCTGGGATGACTCCTGTTGGACGGAAAGGCGTTGGTTCTTTTCGTTGGATTCCAGTAGCTTCTGCTCCAATTCCTCCAGCTCCTTGTTGGAAGATTCTTGCTCCTGCTCCAGGTGTTGGATGCGGTGTGTCTGGTTAGCCTGCTCCTCCTCGAGCTGCTGAATGTGTTGAAGCTTATGCTCCTGCTCGTCTTCAAGGCCAAGGAGGGCTTCGCTCATCTGTCGCATCTCCTTCTGCAAGCTCTCAAAGTTTTCGGATCTGTCGCTCAGATCAGCCTGCAGCCGCTGAACTTCCGCCTCTAGCGCATCAATCTCCGCCTGGGCCTCGCTGCGAAGGTCCTCAAAGTTGGCCTCCATTTCACCATGCTCTCTCAATGCTTCGTCGCGTTCTGACTGCAGCGCAATCAGGTCGTTTGTCGCGTTGTCGAGCTCCTCCTGCATACTCATGAGAGCCTCATCCGCCTCGCGCTTCTGGTTAATAGCAAGCTCAAAGTCGGCCATGCAGCTCTCCAACTCCCGCTGCAGGTCCTGGTTCTGCAGTTTGACTTCGCTAACTTTGTCGCGCAGCTCAGCCATTTTGTTTTCCATTTCCTCGCGCTCTGCCTCATCCTCCGCTGTCAGCTGCCTAGTCCGAACACTATTCCTCGAGCTCGGTCTCTCAAGAGCGCCTGCACGAGATGCGGACCGTTCTAGGAGACTGTCAATAGTAGAAGGAGCAGGACCACCGCGGCGCTGAGCCATCTTGAGATCCTCAATTTCCTGGTACAGGCGTTCTTTTTCGCGATTTCTGGAAGTCAGCATAGAGGTCTGGGCTCCAACCTCACGACGAAGTTCAGCATTCTCGTGGCGCAGCTGCTCGCTCTCCCGCCGCAGTTCGTCGACCAAGGTACTGGCCGCACTAAAGTTGGCGTGAGAACCATCGGCATCGCCAGACACGCTGGACATGGGCCTGCCCGGTGAAGCACCCCGGTCTCGTGGTTTCTTGGTAATGTTGTAAATGTTGGTCGTATGATGCAGCATGCCCGAACCAGCGCCAGACATCTCCTTCTTGAGCCGGAAAACTTCATCTCGCAGTTTCCTGTTGTCCTCATCCGACTGCTCTCTGCGCGCAGTCTCCTGCTCCAACAAGTCCTTCCAGACGTCTGCTTCCTCCTGGCGGCCGAAAGCGTCGCTTCCAGACCGCTCGCCGAGCGTCTTGACAATGTCCGACAGTTTCTTCTTCTCCGACTCCCTATCCTGAGTCTCACTTCGGAGCCTTTCAATCTCAGTGGCGTAGGTTTCGACACGCTCTCGCAAGAACATGAGTTCCTCTTCCCGCTCTTGAGCCTCCTCGTTGTACATCTTGGCGGTTTGGTCCGTCGAAGAGGCAGCGCTGCGAGCAGTACTCGGTCTCTCTTCATCTTCCTTCTCCTTCTTTTCTAGTTCCTTGACTCGTTTCCGCAGAATCTTGTTGTCTCGCGTCGTTATCGCGAGATTCGTTCTCAGCTCAACGTTCTCGGATATCATCTCCTTAAGACCTTCTTCCGACAAGGTGTCGAGCCTTTTGCTCAAGAACATGACTTTGAGTTTCAGGTCAAAGTTTTCTTTAGAGAGTCTCTCAATAGTGCTGCTCTGCTCCTTTAGCGTCCAGGTCTTGCCAGTGCCTTTGCCTGTAGCCTTGGAGCTGTTAACCGCGGTGGCGGTAGAGCCAGACAATCGTGGGGTTTGTAGGCCATTTTGGAATTTGAACTCTTTCGCAACCGAATCCGGGACGTGGACGTTCTTAACGTGCTGAGCTATGACGGTATCCGTAGGAGCTGTGCTGATGCTATCTTTGGCCTTGGGTGTCACCATCTTGTAATTGCTCTCTCTTCCTCGGGTAGGAGTGTCCACCTCGGCCAGCGGTTCCAGCTGGCGCGTATTGTCGCCAAACTCATCAGTGCCGAGACCAGAGGTCATGCTGCCCATGCTTATAGTTCGCAACAGATTAGAGGGAGATCGAGACATGCCCGTGTTGGGTACCGCTCCTCCGGAATGTAGCGCATAGTCGAGTCCTAGCCCTACAGTGCCCACAGTAGCATCGCTGTCTTCCTGCGATTCGGGATTGGTCACGAAGGATGAAGTCGAGGATCGCTGGCTGCTGAAGCGGCCACTGCGCACATACTTGGGGCGCTTGTTGCGCAGGGCAAGCCCAGTAGGGCCACCCGGAAAGGAAGAAGCATCATGGCCCTCGGTGCTAAATACAAGGGAATCGTCCTGTCCGTTTTTGTCGTTCTCTTGTTGGGGGACCTTGGGAGTGTTCTGTTTGCTTGTGCTGCGGGAGATGTTACGAGCGGCAGCTGCTGCTGCAGGCGAGGAGTCAAACCTCTCTAGACTCGATGTGGTGTTGCTCGCTCTGGTCAAATCATCTTCAGACTCCGGATTGAACTCAAACTCGTTTGTGTACTCCGGTCTCGATCTGTAGCTCGAATCGTATCTCAGCTGGGGTCTAGATTGCGACGACTCGGGCCGGGCAGAGCTCCTGGAAGGCTGCGCAGATCGTTTGGCGGGCGAATCGAAGACAAAGCTGTCATCGGCGGTCGCCCCAGCACCCGCAGAGCCTGTAGGAATTGGCGACAACGACGGGAGGAAGCTCGAATCCATATCCTTAAGATGTTCTCTGACTGCGTCCTCCGAAATGGTGTCGTCCGGGTTCAGCGTCGGCTCCAAAGCGGTCGTCTCGAAATAGCTGAGGTCTCCTTGGCCCGCGGGCGAGCCCCCGCCAGCTTTGGGCCGAGAGGAAGCTTGCGCCGACGCTGGGGAGAGCCTACTGCTGGGATTAGGGGGGATCGAAGCATGTTTGGGAGGCGCCGGCGCATTCTCCTGCTGGTCGGATCGCGAGCGCGCGCTCATCGTCGTCGAGTCTGCTGTCTGGCCATTGTCGGTTGGGACGCGCCGGGAGGTGGAGGGGAGCGATTCGGGCTCCTGGGCGGTGTTCTCATCCACGCCAGCCATGGTGCATCTTGCGGCTTTGTTTCTGTCTCGGCCGGGGCGTGTGAGAGTCGCGAGGGAGGCGAGATGCTAGCAGAAGAACTAGCAAACAACAGGTGGTGAGCAGAAGGCGAGCTGAGTAGGGAGACGGCCAAGTTTGCCAGCTTGATGCGAGCTCAACGCATTGATCCAACGCCTGATCAAGCAGAAAGTGTCCCAAGGGCAAGATGGCCTGCAGCTCCAGTGCTTGCACGCGCTAAGGCCGCGGGAACCAGTGGAATTCTAGAGCGAATTAGGGGGCTGTCAGGGGGGGCCCCGCATGGCTTTAAACAGGCGGTAAGTCATCCATCAAATCTAAAAGGCAAATTGATGATATTTGAATGCTGGTTTCTGTCACTTTTGGATTTCAGGTTGACATTTCCTCATGTTAGCAGAATGCGTCGCTGATTGCCCTGTCCTATTTGGCCCCGTCATCACAGTGGCTCAGTATTTTCAGGCGGAAAAAAAAATGGTATTATCAAAATGGCGTGAAGAAGAAGAGAACAATAAGAGAATAAGAAAACAAAAATAACATCATGCCAGTTAAAAAAGCCATGCTGGATTGGTAGTGCAACATAATTCCCCAAGTCCTGCCACTCTCTTAACCAGGTATCAATTTTCAAATCGCCTGTCGTCCGCCAGTTTTCGTTACAAACAGACCTTCACCGTAATTTACTTGCCGATATGGAGAAGCGTAAAACGACTTCCACGCCAAACGCCGCAGGCCTATCCAAGTCCCAAACTGTTCCAACTCATGCATCGTCACACTCGATTATTGCGAGAAAAAAGTAAATGAAAGAAAACCAAATGGTGGGGAGGAGAAGAGGGGGAGGGCGGAGAAGAAATAAGAAGGAAGAAAAAGAGTCATTACCACCACCAGTTCCATGTCTTCTCCAGTGACGGGTTTTTCAGGACATCGTCCACCCATCCCAGACTCTCTCTCTTATCGTCGAGTAATCGAGCATATTCATACAGCAGCCGCAATACATAGATCTGCATGTCTTCTTTGCGCAGCACCATATCGGCCCACTCCTTGCCCTCGGTGGCTATCTTCTCCGCCACGTGGTCGTGGCCGTTGCGTCCCTCGTATCCGAGGAAGTACTCCATGATGCCGTAGTAATCGATGAAACGGCTATCCATGGGGACAAAGTGCTTCCACGCAACCAGGCGGCTATCATGCCACTCATGCCAGACGGTGGCCTTGATAGGGAGGGAGGTGGATCGCAAGAAGCCAAGGTAACGGCCAGAGAAGGAGTTTCCATCAATGTCCGGGATGTACTTGGAATCGAACTGTTCTGCCATCTTCATTCCCTTAGTTGGCTTGAAATAATGGCTCGTGTAGTTGCACTTTCCGTTTTGCGGGGGAGTGCAGCTGAGATCCGTGAAACTGATGTTAGCCCATTGGTCGATCCACTCGCCCAGCTTGCCATCTTTTTGAGCTTGTAGGTTGTATTCCTCGCCCGGTAGTGCAAAGTTATCGGCCTTTTCTCCATGTTCCACTCGCGAAACTGTGGTGCCATTGTTCATGGCGACAAATCTGTGGCGTTGGAACCCTCGCCAATTGTGCACGGTATTCTGACCTCCGGTCGCGACACCGCGCCAAATGGCCTTGTTCTCCTTCTCCTCCCAGGAAACGCCGTGGTTATCACCACCAGTGAAGCGCTCCTCCTCGTTCCAATACATGGGTGCAGGTAGTAAAATCTCGTTGTTGACTCCCAATTTGGAGCCACCAAACATGGGAAACAAGACCTTGGATGCAGAAGTAGAAATCGGCTCGATGAAAATGCCCTCCAAGGCTTGCAGGTCAGGCTGATGGCAAATTTCGGTGGACATTGAAAAGTTGGAGACGAAGCCCTTGTACATGTGGGGTTCGGCATATGACGAGTTAATGGCGGGCGTTTTATCTGCGGTTTTCCTCAGATCTTCCACTCGAGCCAGGCTGTCAGGAGGGCAGCCGCGTCGAGCAATGGCCCAGTAAGGCTCTGTATTGAGAAGAGATGTTAATATCAAATCATTAAATAAAGGCAAAGGGAAGGGTATGAAAGGCAAGGAAATCATGTATCAGATACACAATCCTGAGAGAGCAACCTACTTGTTTTTTCCCAGTTCTTGGAGCGCGTCTTGACCTCGACGTCGCCGGTACCGGGGCGAGGCAGCTTCTGGAACTCGCTGATGACGTTCTTGGACTTGGGCATCTTGATCGTCTTAGATGCATTCTTCATGTAACCGGCCATTTCCTCCCACGGGACAACCAGCCTGGGCTCGTCCATGGCGTTGAGTGCAATGTCCATATCTGGCAGCAAGTGGTCGATTGTCTTGATCATCTTGAGCCAAATTTTGGTCCAGAAGAAGTCACTTCGCGCAGTGGCGTTGCCGTCGCGGATATTGATTGTCATTTCAAAGTCCCACGCCTCTTTACGGATGACAGCCGGGTCAAGACCCCAGAAGGGCTGGAGGTCCTGGTAGATGCGGTCGAAGAAATCCTCAACAATGACTGCATTCTTGGAGCGAGCAAACTCGAACCACTTGTCGAAGCCGGGTGGAGGGTGGCGGCCACGGCGCTTGCGATAGGCCTGAGCAGCCTCTTCCACCGTTTTGGATTCCTTCGAAGTCAACTCGGCAAACGTCATCTGGGCATCGTATACGAGCTTGTCAATGGGGTGGCCGCCGGCGGTGGGTGGAGGGCCGAGCGGAGGAAGAGAGTTGTGGATAGGCTCCTGGTTATCAGAGTCTGGCTTGGTGGTTCCCTCTGACGCTGGCGCCGTCGCGACGGGTGCCTTTGCGCCTCCTGGGATGACAGGAGCCTCGTTGCCAGCGGGATTTGAATTGGGGGGTTGCAATGGTCTTCCTGGCGCGGCCTGGCCTGCTGGTAAAGGCGGTAGACGAGTGATATCTGATGAGCTGTGGCTGAAGGTGTACAAGGCCAGTAGCAGAATGGCCGCCAAGACGCCGTACCGCACCAGGCCGGACGACCGCCGCATCGGAAAGCCGGGCGACAGCATCTTCATGATGGGCGTCTGGCTGGGAGAGGTTGTGATGCTCTACTAGTACTTTTTGTAACGTTATAAAGAATCCTCAGGGCAGAAACGCGGCGTCGGAGGATCGCTAGAGATGAATGAAGGTTGGCCGCGCGTGCTTGCGCTGCTGCGGCTGGCGTTCGGGCTAAAGCTGGATGACGGAGGGGCAGAATATCCAAGAGAAAAAAGGAAGTCTCAACGCATCCGGGCGTGCCAAGAAGCGCACAAGACCAGGAGGCTGCTTCGAGAGATTGATAACGAGCGACTGGTCCCGAAACACTGGACTGGACTGGACTCTGTCTCCGGTCAACAGGGAGAGAGGAGAAAGAGAAAAGAAGGTCGAAGTTTCGAGCCAAGGGCACAAGCAAGGCAAGGCGTTGGCGGGCTGGACGAGTTCGGTTCGGGCGCTCTGGAGTCGCTACAGGCGCCGCATCATCATCCGACCTGCAGGATCAGCCCAAGACAGCGAAGAGATTGAAGAGGCAGAAGTCTAATTTCGCAGAGATGCCCGGAGGCGGGCAAATTACCTGGGCAGACGCTTGCGGCAAGATTGGCCACATCGCCCATTGATTCGCCAAACCCGCTCTGTGCCATTTCGCAGCGAGCTAAAGCCGGTGCCAAGACGACCCATAACGTCTCTGTAACCCCTGACATGATTACGCTCGCTAGTGGTTGCGCTGGAGCTTTGGGGTGGCACCAGCGTCTTCAGCATTGGTTGAGTTGATTAGGTCAACCTTGAACGTCCCAGCGCGATAAGGCTGCCCGCAAATAGCCTAACCGAGCGCCGCTGCTAATGAAACACGGGCGATTGATTTGATGGATGCTTTCGATTGCATCGATTGATGGCATGGCACGCACCGCACCTCTGTAATATGAGCTGTAAGCATTGACGTTGATCCATGTCAGCCGCAAATATTCGATAGTATTGCAGGTACTGCTGATAGTGCTAAGTAGAGAATAGTACAAGCATTGAACCTAGCACAGCACGAGAAAATATGATGGCAACTCATGTGCCTGCAGGACAACCTAATACCGGAACTCTCTCCCTTGCTTCAAACCCTCGCACCCGTCCAGCAGCATGCATGTCTCTGTTTCTCATCACACCAGACTGCTTCCCTACCAACTCAAATCAATGACATCTTCTTTTTTGGCCTGCGTACTAGTGAAGAAGCCATGGAAAAGAAAGAGTGGGAGCGAACCTGACCTGAATCAAACCCACGCATCCATCCCATCCGTCCACCTTGACAGACAATCCTGCTGCAAATACTGTACTCGCTAATGAGCTGACGATCCCTCCTCTTCTAACTGCTCCGTAGCCCCAGCTCAATTATTCTCAGCTCCACTCTGCATGGCCCCAGCCGTTGTCGCGACATGCTTGCACTTGCACCATACAAGTACAGCACCATTGCGAAAGAAAATCCTCGAGAAATTTTAGCGGGTTGTGCGGCGAGCACGCAACCTCCAATGACATGGGCCAGGACTGCAAGACTGGAACCACAACCAAGCAGGCGAAAAAGACAAAAAACGCCTCCAATAAGCAGCATCGGAACCACACACTCAATTCCGTCCGTGCCATTACGAGTCCGAGTCTTCAATTACGAGGCTCGTACAGCACTTGTCCCCCCTCCGCCTAGGACATACATAGGGCAGACGGAAAGTTTTCTGAATTCATGTTACCTCGCGTTGCTCTCTCCCGATTGCCGCTATCCGCTAAGCTCAAAGCCATGTTTTTTCCTTGCAAGGAGCTCCTTGTATCCGTGTGAGATACCATCACCAACGGTGATTCGCACTCGTACTATTTCATTCCCCACCCTTTCGCCCCATGCTTTTTTCTCTCTTCTCGCCATGGAGACACTTGCAGTAAGCCCAGTCGTGGTTTTTTCCTCAACCAGCAACCGGCATGCAGAAGTCAACCAACGTGAAGAGACGTCCATTTAGCGATCATTTTCCGCCAACCACAGAGATGCCCACACTTTGGCCATGTGGTTTTCCCCAGGTCTGTGAGGTGGCGCAGCACGTCTTCTCTAGATAAGAAAAGAATAAGCTCTCTGCAAGACAGATCCGACGCTACTTTCGTTACACAAGCCCTGACTGCCCGGCTGCTGGTAGCGTGTTGTACTGCTGAGTGGGTTATGTAGCATTTTGGAGGGTCGGGTGCCTAAAGAGGGACTGGCTGGAGCTATTGATTGACGGATTTCAATTACATGTGCTTAGTCCCAGCGGTCTACGATAGAGGCCCCCCTGTAATTTCGCCTTGTCGACGCCGTCTCGTGCGTTTTCCCGATTGGCGATGGGTCTTGCTATGAGGTCAGGATCGTAGGCGGATGGGTGTGGCCATGTTGCACGAGGATGACGGGCTGCTACTCTGGAAAGCCAAACAGATGCTCTGTGTGACACTCCAGGTACGTACGACTTGATAGCTTGGCTTGTAAGTGATTAAACAGCTTATTAGTAAATGTCTAGATCAGAGGCGTATGTTCATCTATCTAAAATAACATCGCGGCAGTTATGGAGATGCATATATAAATACTTGTAATCATCAAAAAGCAACAGCACATGGAATTCCGAGATGCATACGTGGGCGCTACTCCGCACTACTCCGCACCAGCAGCAATTGACTTTGGTTATTTTTCAGTAATTTTCCCGAGCTGCTCGTATACACGTAAACACCTCTGGAAGAGAACTAACAAGCATTCAACACTCATGGGCAGGCTGTTTTCTCGGGTTACCGTTACCCTACAGCTTGAGGTATTACTTTATTTGCCTCACCTCTAATCAACGATGGAGTCCAAGTCATAAAGTCATGATGTAATGATTTGATCATTAGAAGCTCCATTTCCAGGGAAGATCAGACCCGCCCTAAGCTTTCAATAGGGCTTTCAATTTTTTGAGCATCCTGGATTTGAGACTGATATCGAATATGAAATTAGTGCTGTGAAGCCCGGCTGCTATTGAACTCGCGCTCAGAATCGATAACAGAGTCACGCTAACCTCTTATGGACATTCCGCATCGCCATAGCCAACAAATTCGTCTACACAGATGAATAGCTGTGACCATCTTGTGATACGTGCCAAAGGTCATCAAGGTACCTTCAACCAGTTGATGGTTGGCTCATGCATTCATTCGTGCAAAAGGCCTTTGGCCACTTCTGGCTCCCATCACTTCATCTTCTTCCAATTATGGCGATATGACTACCGGTTTCTCTTCTAACCTGAACGCCTGTCAATTCTACCACTCATTCATCGAAACCCCACAATGGCGCCCGCTCGCAATAGCAATGTCCAACTGTTAGCAGTACTTGTCGATTGGAATGACGAGGAAGAGGGCGAGTACCGCTTCCTGGTCGGCGGTAAGGACACAAGATATGTTACCGTCGAGCCTGGTGTATTGCCAAAAGACAACCGGACCTTTGGCCCGATATTAATTCCGTTACTATACCGCCCTTTCCTCCTGGTGAATGGAACGAGGGCCATGTCTCCAAAGACCCTCTGAGCGGGCACCCAGTCTTCTCCTACTATACTCAAAGCGACTTGCCTGCAATTTCAAATACCTGGCACCACATGCGTATCGATCATCTAAAGTTCAAGCAGGTCCAACAACTGCAGAACATTCACGTGGTTACGCATCCGCGTTTTGATCAAACCCTGGTTGTCAAGTTTGCCGAGTTTCCTTGGCAAATGCCCTCCTTCGAGGCCGAAACAACAGCGTATGAATGGCTTGATAGTCATGGAATCGGTCCCAAATTCATCGCTCATTTGACCGAGGCCGAGAGGGTCTTTGGCTTCGTCACGGAGTACGTTGACGGCGCAAGATTCGCAGACATTGGAGATCTGGCGGCCTGCCAAGAAATCCTCTCTCGGCTACACTCTCTAGGTATCAAGCATGGCGACATTAACAAGTATAATTTTCTTATCTGAGAAGGGAAAGCTATGCTAGTTAATTTCGAGGACTCGTAGAGGTGCAATGAGAAGCAAGAGCTCGAAGCAGAGTATGAGCAGCTCGAGGCTTCACTGAGCGACACTTCAACAAGAGGCGTCCCGTATACGTGGGAGGATCAACAAGCATTTCAGCAGTAACTTATTATGGACAGGTTACATCACTAGCTAACGCTAGTGGCATACAATGATAATTGTTCACCGAATTGGAGCCCTTCGGTGAGCCGCATTTGTTCCCACTTGGAGCGCCAAATTTCTCACAGACTTTGCTCATCAACCAGACAATCTAGTCTTGATAGCCTGACGGACATCTGGCGGATCGGTTCCTCGTGTGGTTGTGTGATCTAATAAACGCAATAATACGACCAATGTTAAGCTTTTCTTGGGGCTTTATAGAAGAGTTAGTAACCGAAATTCCACTTATAACGAAAGACATGCCAAATTGCAGCGATTTGCATATCACCACCTGCAGCCCATAATAGCCAAGTATAAAGGACAGCCTCGAGTTCAACTTTCAAATTGGTATCAACTAACCGGAATCAGCACTCTGCCACAGCAAAGCCACAGCAAAGCCAGGTTGGCTGCATGTCCGTCAAGCTACCTAGGTAGGATGCTTGATGCTTGATGAGACGTCTGAAAAATATCCCCTTGGCGCGCGAAATCGGAGGATGCGGGGTAGACACCTCAAGGGTTTTGGCAAAGTCGCACCACGTGATTGGTGCGCGACATGTTGACTCATACCTATTCGTACCTTTGCATCAGCTCCAGATCGCCCAGCGGGAAAAAAAAAATCGATTCTTTAATCTTCAGCTGGCAAACGTTCTCTTTATACTTTTGATTCCCGGAAACGTGGGCTTCGATAATCCCTCAAGACTAGGCTTTGCAGAAGCGACATGCCCACCAGATCAGACATCACCTACTTCGGTGCAGGCCCAGCGCTTGTCAACACTGATATTCTTGAAGATGCTGCCAAGGCTCTCATCGACTACCAGGGTACCGGCTTGGGAATTGCCGAGCACTCTCATCGATCACAGCTGGCTACTGATATAATTAACCAGGCCAAAGCTGATCTGGCATCTTGTCTTGATATTCCAGACGATTACGAGATCCTTTTTATGCAAGGCGGTGGCACAGGACAATTCGCTTGTGTAGCGTATAATTTTGTTGGCGCCTGGGTTGCCCGGAAGCAGAAGGAGATTTTTGGTGTGAATGGAGGCGATTCCACCGACCCCCAGTTAATGCAGCAACTCAAGGAAGCCGTGGATAAGGATCTCAAAATGGATTACCTGGTTACAGGTGGCTGGTCACAGAAAGCGTCAGCTGAGGCCGAGCGGCTTTTTGGCTCAGAGCATGTCAATATCGTGGCAGATAGTCGTGAGACGAATGCCGGCAAATTTGGAACCATCCCCGACGAGGCCACCTGGAAGCTATCTAATGGTTCTGCTTTTGTGTATCTCTGCGACAACGAAACGGTCGATGGGGTTGAATATCCTGCTTTCCCCAAGAGCCTTCAGCCGGGGCCTGATGGAGAAGGACCTATTGTTGTCGCCGATATGAGTTCGAATATTCTGACCAGAAAGATCCAAGTTAAAAATTATTCAGCAATCTTCTTTGGCGCCCAAAAGAACCTTGGACTAACTGGTATTACTGTTGTGGTTCTCAAGAAGAGCTTTCTACCACCATCAATATCTCAGCCTTCTGCGGCCTTGATGAGATACCTTGCTTTACCTATTCCGCCTATTATTTTCCAGTACGAGACTATTGCTAAAAACAATAGCCTGTATAATACCTTGAGTATTTTTGAGTAAGTTAAAGTTTACCTGGAAAGTGAAACTAATGATAACTTAATACTAATTATCCCTATTTATAGTGTATATGTCGCAGGCCAGGTTCTTAAAAAGCTACTGCGGACATACCCTAATAAAATTGAAGGACAGCAAGCCATATCTGATCAGAAGGCCAAAATTATTTATGATGCTGTTGAGGCCTTTCCCGAGATTTACAAGATTATCCCCTCCAAGGCAGTGCGATCGCGCATCAACATCTGCTTCAATGTTACCAAGGGTGGCGATGTTAACGCTGCTGAGAAGGCTTTCCTCGACGAGGCTACTGCACAGGGACTGACCGGGCTCAAGGGACACCGTTCACTAGGTGGGATCCGTGCAAGCAATTACAACTCGGTTCCCCTTGAAGGTGCAGAGAAGCTTGCTAAATTCATCCGCACTTTCGCAACGTCATAAGGGCTGTTCGTTGGCTAGGCGTAGCCTAAGGGTTCTGGAATGAACATGGAATAAATGCACGATGAGCCATTGTATCAGGGCCGGGTAGTAAAGTGATTTGATGCTATGTGGATTCATGGTTACGGCTGCTGATGTAGGACATGCCGAATTCAGAGCTCGGACTACCGACGGTGCTCAGCCATCGCTGGAAAACTTGGCCGCTTCAGCTGGCGGAGCTAGTCGAGCGGAAAGCGCTGGGTCTGTCATATGAGACAACAAAGATGATGGCTCCAAAGCAATACGCACATGCCAGGGTTGCTTGCTGTACGGGCACAAAGAATCTCGCGTACCGATAGAGCCGGTAATAAGAGCGCCATGTGCTGCAAGGTGGCATCATCGGCCCATCAGATTGTCATTGTAGAGTTATTAACACACAAGAGGAGTTCATCAAAGAAAATTCAGGTGGATCGAACTTGGGGGATGCTATCAAACAAGAAGAAAAAGAAGGTCGACCACTTCCCCTACTTCATAGTGTAAACAAAGTTGAGCCAGAGGAAGCCGTACAGTAATCTCACGATCGTCTCAATTGTAAGCCCGGAGGTGGTACAGGCTGCGATAGTGCATGAAAAAAAGAATAGCAAAGAAATTGACTTAAAAGGAAAGCTCGCAACTCTATGTACGGAAATACTGTTCTGGCCAAGAAGGCTTTTCGACGAATAAGATGGCACTCTGTCCATGATAATCTAGCAGCGGTCGCATTTGAAATCTGTATAATACACTTACAACAGTTGACATGGGTTTCCTTCCTTTACGGCCATTTGACTGGTTTATTGCTCGGGTTACTCTCTTATACAGTCGACTCGCCATAGTAAGAATTGACCGACAGATGTCGGGATTTGGACTTTAGATAACGGCACCAACTTCGGGTGTCAAGTCGGGGTAAGAACGGCGTTGCCAAGCATGCGGAGCGTGAAGGGTCTGATCGGAGCGTGGACATGGTTTTGTGAGCCGTCTCAAGCGCAGCAAGGCAATTTTCGCCTCCATTAAGGCAGGATGAGTCAAAACGACCTGACGTTAAAGGTGCTTCTGTCAGACAATTGACTGGTACTTAACCTTGAGCTTCTCGGAAAGCAAAGTTTATAGAAACAGGTTACTAGAGCCACAACACCAGTTGTCCGTGATTTTGATCCATGCTGTGTGTGCATCATGTCTCCAATTGTGCCTTTCTCCCCCGCCACATATAATATCTATTAGTCAACGCCGTTTTAGTTCGATGAGTCCCGAATATTTGGAAAAAAGCGGGATATAGATCCATAGGTCGACCAGACCATTCCTTGATAAATTTGCCCTCATTCTCACCCAAAACTGTTTTTTCCTTGGAGATTTCTTCAATGTTAGATACTAGTGCTCTGTACAAACAGAAAACAGGGTACATCACTACTAGGTAGCACTAGTGGCATCCAATGAGAATTGTTCACCGAATTGGAGCCCCTCGGTGAGCCGCATTTTTTCCCACTTGGAGCCGCATGAAAACTCTTATACCTATTTGCCTCTCCCCGATTCCAACAACCAGCCAGCCGCCTTCGAGCTCAACCGTGCTAAAGCCAGCCCGGTTAGCTCAATCGGTAGAGCGTGAGACTCTTAAGAGCACACGTTCTGATGCAATCTCAAGGTTGCGGGTTCGACCCCCGCATTGGGCTTTTCCTATACAAGCACTTGGTCGAGATATCAAGTCGGCTGGTTATTTTTTTGCTCCTTTGACCAAATTCTTTACTATTTACCTCTTACCTCCTGCTCTATATAAGAAGGCGCATTCTTTGACTTACTATTTTGCGTGCTACTACAAACTCCCATACCTACTTTGTTCCTCCAAATACAACTTCGTTTTTCCTGCCCAGCCAGTGCTTGCGTGTTGCTAAGTGAACTCTGTCTCATCTGAAGTGCTAATGGAAGCTGCTAGAAATGACGGGCTGACTAGACATACGGAACTTTGCTTGTTTGCTCTGAAAGATATAGACTCAGCTTGAATACATGTAGATTAATTCACAGTCTCGAGTCACCGACGATCGCTGTATGAGCAGACAGTGGGAGGATGCATATATCTGACTGTTCGGCCAGCAGCCTCAGTTACTGCTAATGGTAAACATCTCATTGCTACCCTTACCTACCAAGAGATCTGATCTTTACTGGGCCTTCAGCGGTGGCGGCGCCGGCACTCTCGGTGTTGTTATATCTATGCCCAGTATTGTTGATGGTTCTTCCTTTACATTCAACGATCCCAAAGTTGGTAAGGATGCTTTCTGGGATGCTATTGGTGTATTTCACGCTCCTCCTCCTCCTAGTCTAGTTGGATTTGGCAACAGTGCTCTGTATACATGTAGGCTTGCTCCTACAAAGTTTGCCCTTATTGCCATCGCTGTGCCTGGCGCAAAACTTATGGCCTGTATAAACGCTTTAATGAAGCTCTTCTTCGATAACCTCACTAGAACCGACTTCTAGCACCAGCCGCTTGTTATTCGACAACTATGTTGACCATTTTCGCCTACCAACCTTGTTGTTGGCAGCGACGTGTGGCGCGAGGACAACAACAACAACGACGACGGACTTTGCCCCTCCTAAGTGTTCTGAACACTACCTGATAACTACCTCGGTTGATGGCCATCTCAACATGACTTGTATAGGCGTGGATTATGTCGGTAGACGTCTCATTATACTTCAATTACATGAATTTTAGTTGTAGAAGAATTATATACTTTTATGCCCGAGGTTTTACTGATTCACTAGGCCACGAAGATAATTTTGTCTATCTGTATGATTCGATCTTTATGGGGGCTTTTGCCAATACTTTTATCGGGAGCCTTGGCGACTAATCGAACACTGACTTGCGCCGAGGGTGTCGCTTTTCGTATTTCGCATCCGACATGTTACAGCCGACTGGATCCAACTACAAATACACCGGTTCTGAGGCCGAGGATCGACATGCAAACAGCGCCGCAAAGATGTCCTCCAGCGTGAGGGTTGGCGCGGCGAACTCTGCTTCCCATTTTCCCACCGCATAAAATTGTTTTGCCATTCCTTGTTGCAATCGGAGATCCCTGTAGCCGTCTGTCAACTGGAGTAAAAAGCGAAACAGCAAGATTCTTCGAGCGTCGTGCCTCGATTTTTTATGAACGGTCTTCATTCGGCCAGTATACGCGGATAACGCATCTCTCGATTCTTGGCTGAAATTACAAGTATGCACCATGGCCATGAGTCCATTCTGTCAACTCGGCCTTCTCCTCCGGGAGGGAAGTACGACAATCTAGGACAATTGCCTCACTACTTCCATTCATATTATTAAATAAAACTTCCGGCTTTTTAGTAGGGAAATTTTCGGTTAGATGAGCCTTACTACTATCCAGGTACTATAGGTAATAAGTTGAGTTATTGAGAAAAGCATACTCAACTTTCTTTCCTGTGCCGCTGACATACAGAGCTGGAAAAACACTGAAGAAGAATGATTACCCCATCGTATAGGATGCTGCTGCCTCTAGCTAGTTAGTTAGTACAGGTGGAGGAAATGTCTCGCCGAAGTGTTTTATTCGGATGCTGGCTGTCGTAGTCCATTTTTCACCACAGGCAGAATACAAAGTTGCGTTTCGGCATGGCTTCTGGAAGCTATACTAACGGGTAAGGTGAGACATTAGATGAACTGGGATGTTACATCTGATTACGCCAGTTGACTTGAAAGATGGAATAGGAAAGTGTGACGATGGCCAGGGATTTATAGGATGGAATTGGCCATACAATAGCATCGTAACTCTTCGACTCTCTTAAACTGTCTCGATATCTAGTCTAGCTTATTATCAGTCCGTTATGACTTTCTTCGTATTTGACGTAGCGATAAAGGATCAATTATTGTTCTGCAGGAATCGTAAATATTAGATAGCGTCCTCACGGGGGCCGATGATATCTGCGTGCTGTTCTCTTGTCACGCTGATCAAGGGTTCATATTCCAAAATAACATCACCAGGTTTCCAACAAGCCACCAATGAGCTTAGCCTATGTGCTTAATAAGCGCCCGGTTAGCTCAATCGGTAGAGCGTGAGACTCTTAGCAGCACACGTTCTGATGCAATCTCAAGGTTGCGGGTTCGACCCCCGCATTGGGCTTTTCCTATAACAAGCACATGGCAAGATATCGAGGTGGTTCATTTTTTGGCCTTTCATTTTTTTTTTTTTGTAAATGTGTTGTTACTTTTGAAGATCGGAGAGGTCAAATGCCGGTGCCTATTGGCTGGCTTATTAAATAGAGCTGGGGAAATGCGTTTGTCTGGTGGACAACACTGGTGTCTCTTCCCAATGTTTGGATACCTTGACTTGTTCTTGGATGAGCGAAAGAATTAAATACTCTCTTGCGCCATATCAGCCAGTTGATATCAGCACATATTCCAACTACCTGTACTCTGTAGTAAAATCGGCCAAAGTGGGCATATAATTGTACGGCTTGTACTCAAACTCTTTATCTCTGCTTGATTGGGCGATGCTGCGCAGCGGGTGTGGTGGCTGGAAAGTGTTTCAACTACAGTTTCGTTTCATCAATCGGGCAGTTTGATGCAGCGATTTCAACCTTTTCTTTTCAATACCAGGGAGGTTCTTGAATATTTACTATTTTAAAAGATTGAGGTATCTACGAGTATTAGGATGCATCTGCATCTCTACACTGCATTTACACGTTTTGTGTGATGACTAAGTAATTTACTAGTATTAATGCATGTGGTGTGATTCCTCTCCATGACGGCACTGCCGCGTCTTATATCGAGTCTACGCAGAGAAGCGCTCGGGTATCTCGTCGCAAAGTGCCATCCTGCGCTCAATGCGATCCTTGCCCTGGAATCTGGAGCCGTCGCGGTATTAATCCAGAAAGCGCCATACGGACTGCCGACGACGGTTTGAGATCGATCGGATCGGATCCGTTGACTCCTGCTTTAGCGGCCGTTGTCCGTGGCCGGTGCCCCTGCCTGTGCGTCGGTATCGAACGTTCAGGTCATCTGGGTTGGGAATAGATGCTGCTCTTCTAGGATAGAATCGCAAATAAGATAATTTAGACTCCTTGGACGGATTGATGTGGGAGTTGCGTCCTTTTGTCTTAGTCCGTGGCTCGGAGTTATGGCCCAGTTGCCTACCATGCACTAGTGGTCGTATCTCCGACTCCCACTTGCCCTCGGGGGTTATCATTGTGGTCGATTAAATGAATTTACGGCCTGGGAATTTATCGAATTTATCGAATTTATTTTATCGAAAATATAATATTCAGTTTCCTTGACTCATGTCTTACTGGCCGAGACAGCTATTACATAACACTAATTCGGGCGGTTGGTTGGCTGCGGAGGGGTCACTTGACCTTTCTTATCAGGTGGAGGAAGCGATAGGGAAAGGTGCAAGGCTAGATACGGCTCTTAGAGGGGCTGTTCCAACGTCATTCAGGGCATTAAACTGAGCGATATGTTATGGATGCGACAGAGGACGGGATGCACCAGCCTGATGGGGGAATTGAAGGTTGGGAATATACGAATAGCCTCTATGCTAGTCCTTGGCGAGGTATACTCGTACCAAGGGAGATTTCCATGACAAATAGTAGAATTTGTCCTGCTCAGTGAACTCAGTAATACACACGTGTACTGTACAGTCTGTGTACCTCACTTATCATGTCTCTCCTTTTCCGGCGCTTCATGTAAACTGTGCCGAGCGGTGAAGGTATAAGCTGCGCTGTACTCCCTCAGAGATAAGAAAAAATCTCCTTGCATCAAACCTCTATTACTCGGCCAACCAACTGCAACCACGGCATCGCCACAATCATCACCAATCTGACAAGAGATAGCCAACGCGAAACCCCCGTGATACCATCGGCTCTGCGTCTCTCTTCGGCATCATGTGCAAGCCCCGGCCGCTGCTGGACGTGCCCCGCGGTGGAGTCCCCGGACGCGGCGGATTGCCGACTCAAGCCTTTTATTAGCAATAATTTTCCACGGGTGAGCAAAGCGACTTGATTATATAGAGTCTCTGTTTTCCTCTAAGTTACTAGTTCGTTCGTCTGCTCAACACCCCTTTACCTCTAAGTTACTAGCCCGATCCGCCAGTCAGAGACACACGCACACATGGATTCGAGCGCCTTCGTTTGACCTACCCAATTGTACGGCCCTAGCCCACGGTCTTGCAAATGGCGCTCAGACAGCAGCAAAGCAGGCGCAGGCGCAGCCCCCATTCGAGACGAGAAACGGGCCTTTGATTGGGGGCGTCCGTGTGACCCGAAGTGCTATATCTACTGCAGCCGCTGCCCGCCTCGTCGAAGCTTCTTTTCCGCATCTCTCCTCAGAAGCATTTTGCACCAGGACTATCCGCCGATAGCATATATTTTTTCCTAAGCCTTACGCGCAAATTCCGACTTCTTACGGACCTACACGTACTTCAGTTAAAGTCCAATCGCCCAAAATGAACACCAGCACCGTCAAGAGCCGCTTCCTTTCTCACCCCGAGGACCTTGGTATTGTCACCGTAGGCTTCTCGGGCGGTCAGGTATGTTTATCTATGTTCTATTTGCAACATCTATGCGCCTCTACGCCATCAATTTGGCTCTCCCATGGACTCCGGACACGATTGCTGACGCGTATTGCAACAGCCCAAAGCCGGTGTGGATGCAGGCCCTACTGCCCTCATCGAGTCTGGACTCTTGACCCAGATTCGAGATGAGCTTGGTTACAAGCTGCACGGTGATGAAACGGTCAAGTTCTACAATGACCTGACTCCCGCGTCCGACCCCGACTACCGCGGCATGAAGAACCCGCTCCTTGTCTCGGCTGTCACTCAAAAGATTGCATCTGAGACATACGAGCACTCTTCCAAGGGCCGTCTCACGCTGACGCTTGGTGGTGACCACAGCATTGCCATTGGCACCATTGCTGGAACTGCCAAGGCCACGCGTGAGCGCCTGAACCGCGAAATCGCCGTCATCTGGGTTGATGCGCACGCCGACATCAACACCCCCGAGACGAGCGACAGCGGTAACATCCACGGCATGCCTGTTGCCTTCCTTACCGGCATTGCCAAGGAGGAGAAGGAGGAGTACTTTGGCTGGATCCAGGACGACATGCGCCTGAGTGTCCGCAAGCTTGTGTACATTGGTCTGCGCGATGTCGATGCTGGCGAGAAGCGCATCTTGAGAGAGCATGGCGTCAAGGCTTTCAGCATGTTCGATATTGACCGGTAAGTGCTTGGCTTAGCGCCGTCTCTAATCGCCTTGTAAGAAAAGAGAGCTAACACTGGATTTTATCTCTTTAGCCACGGAATTGGCCGTGTCATGGAGATGGCCCTTGCCCACATTGGCGACGACACTCCCATCCACCTGTCTTTCGACGTGGATGCTCTCGACCCCATGTGGGCGCCCAGCACTGGTACTCCTGTGCGAGGTGGCCTTACTCTGCGTGAGGGTGATTACATCTGCGAGGTGGTTCACCAGACCGGCAACCTGGTCGCCATTGACTTGGTAGAGGTGAACCCAAGCCTTGCAGCCACCGAAGCCGGAGCACAGGAGACTGTCAGAGCCGGTTGCTCTCTGGTGCGCTGTGCACTCGGCGAGACCTTACTGTAGAGTGTTTTTTTGGTGAAGGAAAAGGGTTTTTGTTTTCGTTTGATAGGGTTTTATGATGAAATGGATATATGGGATTGGGAAAGGAAACGGCATGATGATTTTATATATCTGTCTGCAAGGCAAAGCGGCTCGTTGCGTTGAATGGTTGTCCTTTTTTAGACACCGATAGAAGGAGGTATGCCAAAGGTTAGAGTGGAATACAGGTATACAGTTCTATTAGGTGCATTTGGAAAATGCATCACTTTGCACACTTTGTTCACATACACACGAATACGCGAGTGAAATCGAAAATAGAAGGTGTGTTGGGAATAAATGTCATTTGTCTATCTACAAATTTGCTTTTGTGCATCGCTCTTCTATTCGCAACGTCAAAGATTCAAACTGTGCCAGCCGCTTAGTAAACCTCAAGCACATATCGTCCGTCCTCCTTGAGCCTCTCAATCTCCTTGCTCGGGTCAACCTTCTTGCCTGAAGCCTTGGCCTCTGCGGCAATGGCCTCCTTGAGCACCGCCGTCACATCAGGCACAGGCCACGTAGGACCGCAGAGGTAGAAGCTACCGCCCTCCTTGATGTACGCCTGCACGATGCTGTCCAAGGTCTCGCGCATCCTGTCCTGGATGTAAATCTTCTTGGGCTGGTCTCGCGAGAAGGCGCTTCCGACGAGGGTGACGACGCCGGCGGCGAGATAGGCCTCCCACTCCTCGCCGTAGAGGTACTCCTCGCGCTGGTGACGAGAGCCGAGGTACAGCAGGATGGAGCCAATCTCCTTGCCCTGGGCCTTTTGCATGGCACGGTACTGGACGAAGGCGCGGAAGGGCGCCAGGCCGGTTCCGAGACCGGCCATGATGAGCGGCGCGGTGTCCTTGGTGGGCAGCTTCATGACGGAGGGCTTCACGGAGACGGTGACGGTGGCGCCGGGCTGGAGGCGGCTGAGGTACTGCGTGGCCTGGCCGGTGCGGGTGCGGCCCTTTGTGTCGACCCAGTCGACGACGACAATCATGAGCGCGACGCTGGTGGGGGTGACGGCCTGCGCGGAGGCGATGGAGTACTCGCGGCGCTTGAGCGGGCTGACAATCTTGACGAGATCGTGGAAGCTGGGGCGGGCAGAGCTAAACTCCTCGAGAATGTCGACGTAAGTCACCGTGTCGACCTCGGAGCGGCGCTTGAACTCGGCCGCTCCATCGTTTCCGCCCAGGGCAGCCAGCTTCTTCTTCTGAAGGTCGTCGGTGGCGAACTCAGATAGGGCCTCGTAGAAGCGCTTGGGGGGCTTGCCGAGGATGTCGACGTTTTGCGTGAGAGCCTGGAACACGGTGCGGACCTCGAGGGCGGTGGCGTTCTCGCGAGAAGGCACCTGGACGAGCTCTGCGGGGTTGAGGCCGTAGAACTCGATGAAGGCGTTGACCTGCGCCTCGTCGTTCTCGGCGTGGATACCCAGGGCCTCACCGATCTTGTAGGTGAGACCGGAGTCGCCAAGGTCGAACTCAATGTGGAAGATGTTACGGTCGTAGTCTGAAGGTGTCAGACGGCGGTTCTCCTTAACACGGACGGTAGAGGTCTTGACAGAGAGGTCGGGGCGCAGGGTCGTCTGAGTGCCATAAGCCTCCTTGAAGACGATACCCTTGGCGGCGATCTGCCAGTCGTGGAGTTGCAGAGCCTGCTCGGCCTCCTCCTTTTGGAAGGGGACAAAGCCAGTTGGCTGCAGACCTGTGGGCAAAACGTGGTGGACGAAATCAGGCTCAACCTCTGACCAGGTAGCCGGGACCTCGAGTTCGGAAAGAACCTGGACAAGAGCGTTGCTGGTCTCTTGCAGGATAGCCTGGGCTCCGACAACCTCTGCAAGTCCCTCGGAAGAGATTCCTGGCAAAGCAGTTTGCAAGAAGGAGAGCTCGAGGAGTAGCTTGGCGATGGATGCATCCTTCTCGAAAGCAGGGGAGACAGCAGGGTCCAACACGATGACACCGACTTCCTTCTCTTGGATTCCCTTGCGCAGGGAGGCTGAAAGTCGCTTTTCAACGTCGGCAGTGTTGAAGTTGGGCAGCTTAATGAGGAGCTTGCCGCCACGGACGATGTTGGCCAACACATCAACATCCTTCAGGACCTTTTCATCACCAACGACCACAACGTCGGCTTCAGTGACAGGGTAAGGGGCCTCCAAAGCAGACTTGGAAGCACGAAGATCAGTTCGGACAATGCCTCCCTGGGTGAAGTTGTCATAAGTCTCAAACAGGTGGACGTTTGTGGTCGACTCCTGGGCAAGGAGTGTGCCGATAGCAGCAGGCGACTTGACAGAGACAGAGTTGTCAACATCCCAGAAGGTGAACTGCTGGGACTTGACAAAGAGAGAGGGCACGGGCTTGACCTCGCCGTCGTTTCCAAAGATCTTGTGCAGAGTGCCGACCAGGCCCTGAGGGGTCAGGAAATGAGCAGGAGTATACTTGATGTCCAGAACCTCGGGCTGCTGATCAAACTTGCCGGCGAAGGTGACGGCCGTGAGGACATCACCGTACAGAGCCGACTGGGTGGCCTCGTCCGCCACGGCGATCTCATTGTTCACCTGGCCCAGCACGGCAATGGTGCGAGCAGAGGCGGGGATGGCCTTGAGGAAAGCCTCCTCGATGAAAGGTCGGTAGACACGAACATTGATGACACCGACCTTGGCTCCGTCGGCGGCAATCTTGTTGAGAGTCTCCTTGGCGACTTGCGCCTCGACACTTCCCAGAGCAACAAGGACGACATCTGGGGTCTCGTGTCCGGAGTATTCAAATGGCTGGTAGACAGTGCCGAGCTCATCGTTGAAGAGTCTCAGGAGTTCCAAAACCTTGCCTGCGGTATCGAGGTGCTGGTTCAACTTGCCAGCCTCCTCAACAAGCTTGGTGTACAAGTCGGCGACACCGGCCTCGCTCAAAGCATCGACAATTCTCAGAGTCTCTCTGGGAAGGCGAATGCCGTCGTAGATGTGGAGGGTAGGGACGACAGTAGCCAGCAGCGTTGAGAAGAGTGACATGTGCTGAGACTCATACGCGGAGGAGCTGGCAACCAAACCCAAGCCAAGGTCTTCGGCCAGTCTCAGAGCAACATCATAGTCAGAGACGAGGCCGTTGGCGTCGCTGTAGTCGGCGGCGGCAACATGAGCCACAAAGGGGCTTGAGAGGTTGTAAAGAAGCGAGAGCTGGTCCAAGGCTCCACGGAGGTTCTGGAGAGAACCTGACGGGGCCAGCAGCGTCTGAGGGATATGGCGCTTGCTGACGTCGAAATCCGGCGAGAAGATGTAGCCTAGGGCCAGAGCACCGGCACCGGTTCTGGTCTGAAGAGGCAGGACATCGGGGGCGTATCCGTGGATGTTCTTGCTCTCCTCGACAGCCCACTGCTTGGCAGCAACATCAAGGTCAAAGGTGGGAGGGGAGTAGGAGAAGATCTTGTCAGAGAGCTTGTAGGCAATCTGCTGGACAAGGAGCTGGGCAGTGACATACGTCGGGCCAGAGATGGCCGACAGAGGCACCTGCTTGCCAAAGGGCAAGGTGGAGGATTCTTCAACCTTGGACGCCATTTTCAGAGGAATTTCAAGTGTTCCAAAGGTTCAGCGAATCTCCAAGTCTGAGTGATGGCAACAGACTTAAAAAGAGAAGAAGAGCTGGGGAAACCGAGGAAGAGGAGGAGGAGAACGGAGAGGAGAAACTCGAGCAGCAAATACGAACAAAATAAGCCCATGGCAATCGTGGATCGCCCCGGACGGGAGAGCCAGCCACGGATTTGTCAGGGTCCATTCTGCACCAAACGAATGACTTTTTTTCTCTTTCTGCGTGCAAAGCAGCGAATTCTACCACCTTGACTGGCTTCGAGATGCAAATTGTTGATACCGGGACCGAATCACGCAATTCTCTTAGACCGCGTTGGGCTTAGCGCCGATGATGCCACTCGCCGAACCCTCCCCGGAGGGACGGGAGAACCCACTTTATTTTGTCTGCAGCGGCGTGATTGGCCCGGACTGTCGGCCAGGCTTTGGGGGGGAGGACCGACTTCCGACAGCGCTTTGAAGAGATGTGACTTGTATGAGTAATTTTGGGCAGTTATTGCTGATGGGAAGAGGAAATTTGATGTTCCGGGCTGTTGAGGTTTTATTAGTGCGGGGATAGAAGGTGATAATGTTTTCTTATCTAATGATTGTATTGGGTTGGATGAGTAGAAAGAAATGTACGTTGAAAAGGTACATACATATGCAGCCATCCGAGAAGGAAAAAAAAAGACTATCCTAATTCAGACAGTTGGGCCAATAGCGGCAATCCCACAGGAAAATCCAGAATGTTACTAAGGCTGCAAAGGGGGAACACAGTGCTGTATATTGAGTTTAGTACTTGGTAAAAGCGAATAAGACGAGATGATGCGGTCGCGATGACCCGGCTATGTTGCAATAGAAGGGATATTGGTATATGCTACCAAAGACCAGTCTCGACATTTATTGAGACTGCTTACCTACATAAACAATTATTGCTGACTTTATTCTGAATCAAAACGAACGTGCCTTTTATACGAGTACACGATACGAGTACAATCAGATGGTGACTGCCTGCTACCTACGGTAGTCATCCCACCATATGCTGTCTCACTCGCCTTGATCTTGTAAGATCTGATACACGCAAACACGCACAACAAGGTAGACCAGTGAGCTACTCGGGCATGACCCATCTTGAATATTTCCAACTTTGTCTCCTATTGGTCCCCTGGGCACGATGTATGTATGTACATCAGATAAAAGAGGCGACTCATTCAGTGTCAAGTGTCTTGGATGAACCATCACGTGACCCGACTCAGGATGACGTCGGACTGTCGCTTCGTTGTTTGTCAGCAATTCAGCACAAATGTCGCGATGCCACAATGCTTTGATGGCTCGAGGGAAATGTGCCTTGATTACGCCACAGATGCGTCGAGCTGACCTCTGTAGAGCATCCAAACTGACATATTCAAACCGACTCCAAGTTCCTCTCAGCTCGGTCACGTGCAACGCGTAGAAAGCCAACAGCTGTCTCTTGCAACGCGTCCTGTCTTTCCAGCAGCTTCTAGCACAATAAACGCTGTAATACAGTGAACACGTCAAGAGCAAGACTGACAAACGAGAGCTCGCCATCACATTATTATGCTTACGGGGACTGCGTGGCTTTTGCGAGATACAAAGGGCGTTGTTGGTTGATGACGGCAGCCTCCCAACTAGGATCCCTGCAGACTGCGATATTTGTGCGGATTTTAGCGTCAAAAGCCAGCCAGGAGAGTTTCAGCGTTTCCTTATAAATAAACGACATCGACAGCAGCAACCAAGACGAACATCCTTTTCTTCTTCATCACTGCATCTGCTTTCATCCCTATCATACTCGGTTAATTACAGCTCTTTACGAGGAAAAAAAATCTCGTTAGAGTGCTTCACGACTACCTACTTTGTGCAACACCACCTAGGACCTTTATCATATCTTCCGCTGGACGCTTTCATCACTACTGCCGTAAAACCCCCCGCCAACGCATCCTTTTAGGGTGCCCATACCTACTTAATCGCCGATTGGTGCAACAGACAACAACACGGCAGGTCGTACATGATGCCTTTGTCTAACACAGCTACGACAGCCTTTCTGCTGGGGAACCTCCACTGTCCATCATGTGTGACCCTCATCAAGTCGCTTCTGCAAGAGACGTTTGGTGACAAGATTGTTTGGGTATCACCAAATCTGGTGACATCCATCGTGACAGTTGAGCACGATGACCATTCGCCCGACTTTGTCCGTGCTATCGGCAAGACGCTTGAAAATGTCGGCTTCGAGATTTGTGGAGTCGATACCACTGCCTCCGGTGCCGAAGAGCTAAACAACAATCCTCAAAGCGATGACATGCCTGAAAGCAGCGGCTTCTTTGACAGCTGGTCCAGTCTATGGGCGCAGAAGCAGCCGGCGCCGGCAGTAGAGGCCACTAAGGCTGCGCATCTGGAGAACTGTGAGGCGTGTAAAGCACACAGGCCACACGATGAAGAAGATGCCGACCAGAAGCTAAAGTCGTCCTTTTCGTCTTCGAGCCTACGCAAGGATCCGACCATCGATACAGTCCCGCTTGATGCTGTTGTCACTGGAGATGAGAGTCCGCCCCCCTTATGGCGAGCGACAGTGTCTGTTGGCGGCATGACCTGCGCGGCTTGTGTTACCGCCATAACGGACGAGCTACAGAAGCTCTCCTGGGTGTCAAAGGTTGCCGTCAACCTGGTTGGAAACAGCGCCACGATCGATTTTGTCGGTGTGGATAAAGAGAAGGAGCTTGTCGAAGCAATTGAGGACATCGGCTACGATGCTGCAATTGATCAGGTGGTTGACCTCAATGAGAAGAAGTCCCTGTCAGACGAAAGACATGTGGAAATCAGAATCGATGGCATATTTTGCCCGCGTTGCCCTCAGAGGATCAGCCAGACCTTGAAGAGCTTCGGCACCCATGGTGTACAGATCCTGGCACTTCCGTCCGCAGAGCACCCCATCCTAAAGATCCGTTACATTCCAAACTCTCCTAAATTCACCGTCCGCCACATCTTGAGAAGCATCGAGGCCACAGATCCATCTCTCCGGGCAAAAATATACCACCCACCGACGCTTGAAGAGCGGTCGAGGGCTATTAGGACAAAGCATACCCGACAGCTATTCTACAGAGAGATGTTGACCCTTGTTCTGGCCATTCCCACATTCGTTCTGGGCATAGTGTACATGAGTCTTGTGCCAGACTCCAACTCCACCAAGCATTTCCTGATGAAGCCGTGGGTATCTGGCCTTAGCCGAGTTGAGATTATTCTCTGTCTCCTCGCCACGCCAGTGTACTTTTTTGCAGCCGACGTCTTTCATGTAAGAGCTATAAAGGAGCTGAGGACCCTGTGGCGTAGTAGCAGTCGTACGCCATTCCTGCAGCGGTTCTACAAATTTGGCAGTATGAACATGCTCATGTCTCTCGGAACAAGCATTGCATATTGGTCTTCCATCGGCCAGATGATTGCCGCAGGAGCTGATGGCGATGCTGACATTCCAGAGGACCGGTTTTATTTCGACTCTGTGGTCTTTTTGACCCTCTTCCTTCTTGCCGGTCGGCTGATTGAGGCGTACAGCAAGTCCAAGGCTGGAAATGCCGTGGAAGCCCTGGCAAAGCTGAGGCCGACCACTGCTCTACTTGTAGAGCAAGATAAGCTGCAAGGTCAAATTACTACGACGATAGACATGGACCAGCTAGAGCACGGAGACGTTATTCGAGTCCCTCATGGCTCATCACCGCCAGTTGACGGCGTGATCCTATCTGGCGAAACGATTTTTGATGAATCGAGTCTGACAGGCGAATCAAGGCCCATCAAGAAGGGTGAAGGAAACGAGGTGTTTGCGGGAACCGTCAACAAGGGAGCTGCGGTGGTGGTCAAAGTCACGGGAACTTCTGGCAAGTCTATGCTTGATCAAATTATCGAGGTCGTCAGAGAAGGGCAAGCCAAGCGAGCACCAATGGAACAAGTAGCCGACCTTTTGACCTCGTACTTTGTCCCGGTGGTGACTCTGATAGCCATCATCACATGGGCTGTCTGGATGGCGCTCTCGTTTACCCATAATGTGTCAAGTGACGAGTTGGATTCATCAGGAGGCTCAACCGCGTTTGCTTTTCAGTTTGCCATTGCCGTGTTTGTCGTTGCTTGCCCGTGTGGACTGGGTTTGGCTGCTCCAACGGCAATTTTCGTTGGCGGAGGTCTCGCAGCCAAGTACGGAATCTTGGTCAAGGGCGGCGGTGAGGCATTTGAGAAAGCCAGCAAGGTGGGCTGCGTGGTCTTTGACAAGACAGGGACGCTCACGGTCGGAGGAGAGCCTCAAATCACCGACTCTGCTCTCTTCCCTGATGGAGCCGTTGATGGACTCAGCGAAGGAACTCTCCTCTCTGCCATGAAAGCTACGGAAGAAAACAGTAGCCACCCCATTGCAAAGGCCATAGTTGGATTCTGCAAGACGGATGCCAAGCCGGTTGAGCTCGAGCAGATTGAAGAGGTGCCGGGCAAGGGCATCAAGGCCAGCTGCAAGAATCAGGCTTTTGACATTGCTGTGGGCAATGAGAGCCTGATGAAAGACTTGTCTGCCAAAATATCTTCCAATGTCAGGGGCTTGCTGGAGACGTGGAAGCAGGAAGCCAAATCTGTTGCGCTCATCGCAACACGGCTTCATGATGGTGGCAAGTGGGCAGTCACTGCCGTGCTCTCCATCTCGGACCCCATCCGCGAAGAGACGCTGCCGGTCCTCGAGGCACTACAGAAGCGTGGAGTGGAGGTATGGATGCTCTCAGGAGACAATGTGACCACGGCGCAGGCCGTGGCTCAGAGGGTGGGCATTCCCACGTCCAACGTGCTCGCTGAGGTTTTGCCCTCGGAAAAGGCGGCCAAGATCAGTTATCTCCAAGGCTCGATGGGCAGCAACGGTCAGCGTCCGATGGTTGCCATGGTGGGAGACGGCATCAACGACTCGCCGGCGCTTACGACGGCGGACGTGGGCATCGCCATTGGCTCCGGCAGCGACGTGGCTATTTCGAGCGCCGACTTTGTGCTGGCCACGTCGAACCTGCACTCGGTGCTGACGCTCCTGGACCTCAGCCGTGTCGTCTTCCGCCGCATCAAGATCAACTTTGGGTGGGCGGCTGTGTACAATGTGTGTGCGATCCCTATTGCAGCCGGGTGCCTGTACGCTATCAAGACGTCGAGCGGCTCGCACGTCAAGCTGGACCCCGTGTGGGCCTCGCTCGCCATGGCTCTTTCGAGCATCAGTGTGGTGTTGAGCAGTCTGAGCCTGCGGACGAAGATTCCTTGGCTTGGATTCCGCAATAAGCAGGTTGTGTGATTCTATGGTGTTGTTGTTTAAGCATTCAGGGCTATTGTCGTCTTTGTCTTGGCAGTCAAGGTTATTTTTGGAGGGCGCAGGGCGTGGGTTACTACGGTTGGGATCTCTCTTTTGGATGGACCATGTGTTGGCAGTTGAGCATTCGTATGGGAGTATATGTTATGTTTAGCATAGTCCAAGTAGTTTTAATCCTATAATGGCAGCCTATTGTTTCATGTTGGCTCAAGTCTAAATCCTCCAGTATGCACTCACAGCCATCAAACAGCTCGATTTAATCTATTCAGCTTCCCTATTCATATTAACAAATGGATATAAATAAATATAAACATAGTCGGGATCTGCAAGGCCCAGCGTTTTCTGTTGCCTCGGCGGCCGGGACGCTCAACTCGGGCCCGAAACCGTCGCCGCGTGCGGCTTAGACAGACCCGAAAAAATCGAGGCTCAGGGCTCAAAGCGATCCATGGGATCCTTTTCTGCTCCAAGTTTTGCAGGTACTTTGAATGCAAGTACCGCTACTTTCTTTCACATCTACGATCTAATTCCTTTATTCCTTCTGGGGGCTGTAAAATCCCAGCGTTAAGGGTAAGTTTAAATGCACTTGGTCTGGATGACGGGTCATTTTACCATCCTTGGGCGGCAATGGAATTTCATCGCGTGCCCGTGCCCCCCCAACAAAGAAAAGAAAGCCGGAAACGGAGTGTATAAGTTGGGCTGGGGGAGGCGCAGCAGGATTTTGTTAGTAAAGTCAGCGTCTGGGTGTTTGTGTTAGTAGTTGTTAGATGGTGCGATTTCCATGGCCGGGTCACTGCCATAGTTGGTAGGGCTTGTCAGCTCATGTGAGATCGGGGGTGAAAACAAGGCGACCCCAAGCCAGGGCCATGGCCATTGCTCAGCAGCATGTACATACATGGGGCAGAATTTGGAATTCGATTCTATTATTGTTTGATGCTCCGTCGATACAGTAACCCAACAGCAGCTTTTTGTTGGTAGTGTGTACATGTATTTGCTTTGTTTGTTTCTTGCAGCCCACATGTAATTTCAATAATCCCCCAATCTGATATCCCGCATCAAGCAAATAAACAAAGAAAAAAAAAACATCAAATCTTAAATCCAAGGTTCGTGCAACTGTCATCTTGAACAAAGGAAATCGGGCATCATGCAGTAGCACCACCTACACGAAATTGGACAAAAGCACGATGAGGCATGTCCCCGTAGAAGGGGGGGGGGGGGGGGGGTGTCACAACTACTGCAAACAGGCAAACAAACAATATGGGAAGAAAATGTCACACGCCGTCATAATTCCCGATTCCTTCAAAGGAGAGAAGAAAAAACATGTCATGGTTTGTTAATGAAACGAAGGAATCCTCTTCCCGAAATCCCGTCGCTCTCGCTCTTCGGCAATAACAAGCTAAAAAAAACAATGTGCCTCACCGCAGCAAAAAAGAACAACGAAAGAAAGCCGAACCCGACTGCATAACACACACCCAAATCCCAAATCAAGTAAAACCTTCTCTATACATCAATAACCAATCTTTATTTCCGAACCCGTAATTCTCCGTGGTACAAACAACATCATCATGCAATGTAATTGAAGGCCACTTCGTACACGATAGCCCAAAAGGGCAGTGTGTATTACTCACTCCAACTCCCGCAAACACGCATACGAACACGGCGTTTCTGGGCATCGCCATAATGACAAAGAACAAAGCCACACTCCGACCTACGTACGCATTTTCGCCTCCCCATCAATCTCTCCGACTTGTTCTTCAATGTTTCCCCGTGAATGCGTCATCTTTGTACTCCCCTGCACAAACCATCAATCAAACCATGTAAATAAATAAAAAAATAAATAAAAATAAAAAAATGCAAAGGCTGACAAGATCGGCCGTGCTCAACACATCATCGGCCGCAAAAGCACGCATGGACCATCCACACCTGTAATTACTCCGTTGACTTGACAGACAACCTTCATTCACACGATTTTTTTTAACGCCGATCTGGCTGCATCTCAAATGCCGAGCCACGGGCGCAAGACAAAGGCGGGATAAAAAAACACAAGTGCTGACGGACAAACGGGCAGTGATCAATAAAATAAGCTGCTTTGGTGCTTTCTGATATTGATGAAGACATCCTCTAAAAAATCTAGAGAGGTGATTATCTAATTGTAGATTGCAGTAATTCTTGAGATCCTCTTAAGGAAAATCACAAAAGAAATTAGGCAAAGTAATAAAAAAAGAAGTTATCCAAAGATGTCTCTCCTCCGAAGAAAATATCGGGCAGTAAAAAAAGCAAATCCCACCATGAAAAAAACTCCAAGAAATTCCCTTGACCCCCCATTTCCCTTAGCCAAAAGCAGGGTTTATCCCAACCCATTGTAAGCAGGCCCCTAGTTTCCCCCCTCTGCCCTTCGTCGACTTCGCCTCGTTGGCAGACCAAACCAGAACCCGCAAATAGAAACATGACAAAAAACACGGACCCGTTTCCCATGGCCTAAGATTTCGCTTGGCGTATGCACATGATATCTTTGTATAACAAATTGATTGTGATTGAAATGTGAAAAAAAGGTGGTGGTGATTAGGCGATTGTCAAGAACATGTCCCGCTGTCGATGCGCTGGCCATGCAGCTCTATCTCGGAGAGGCAGTCTTGTAGTAAATGTATGATTGATGGGGTGTGGGCAATAAAGCAAACAAAAGACAATCCGCGACGCCATGCTTTTTGTAACACAAAAGTGATTTAGTGTTGATGGAACAAAGGAAATAGAAAAAATAGAAAAAAAAACGCCCAGGATTTGACTCTGCAAATCGATGCGAAAACGGGAGATTTATCGGACGGCGACGGCGGCGGTGCCGATGAGGCGCTCCCACAATGCGCGCCTGTGTCGCTTCTTGGTCGTGACCTCGTTGAGAGGCTCGTAGGAGTCCACCGAGGAGATGTCGTAGGAGAGCATCCGCGCGCTGGCCTGCATCTTGGGCTCCTCCCTGTCCATGACGATCTGGACGGGCGAGTCGTACAGGCTACCCTGGCTAGTGCCATACAGGTACGGCGACGGGGACTGCTGTCTGCTCGAGGCGATAGACGAGGCATACGAGCTGGCAGAGCTGTAGACCAGGCCCGGAGGGGTGACTGAGCCGTTGCTGTTGGCGCGGTAGTGGTCGGGGCTGGCGTGGCGAGATCGGGAGCTCCGGGACGAGACCGGGCTGGGGTAGCGGGCCGCGGCGGCATACAATTCCTGCTGTCGCTTCTTCTCCTCGCGGTGACGCATCTTGCGGGCGTGCCTCTCGGCGATTTTGATGCGCAGGGGCTCGAGGAAGGAGTCCAGCTCGCGGTACAGGTCGTGCTCGGTGATTCTCAGCTCCCACTCGAGCAGGAAGAGAAGCTGCTTCTCCATCAGGTTGACCTCGGTGCGGGTGAAGCCAAAGCTGTAGTAGTCGGTGTTCATGTGGGTGTAGTTGGCCCAGTGCTTGTTCTTGGGCGAGCTGTCGTTGAGGTACTTGGCCGACAGGATCAGGGCCGCCAGGAAGATGCGGTGGGTGGTGCATCGCAGGCCGCGGGCCATGGGCTGCAGCTTGGACTTGAGGCGGTTGAGGTAGACCAGAGTCGACATGAGGGTGGGCACCTGGACATTGGAGGAGACGACCAGCTGGGTGATGAACTCGTCCAGCGTGGGCAGCGCATCGTCGGTGCTGCAGACGGCTCGGGGCTCGGGGGTGCGTGGTGGAGTGAGAGGCCGGTCCTGGCCCTTTGATGATGATTCCCTGGGTGGCGGCGGCATCAGGGTCGAGTCGCAGGCAATGACGTTGTGAGCAGCATTGGCCAGGTACGAGATCATATCCCGGCTGACGGGCTGGTAGACGAACTGCTCCAGGGCAGCCTTGTTGAGGTCGTCCATGGAGAGGAATGATCTTGACGCCATGGTGGTGTGTGTGTAAGTGATGGCCCAATGCAAGAGTGGGCTGTCGGGATTCGGCGGTGAGTCGTTGTAATTAAAGAGAAGATACTGCTGTTTGATGGATGGGAAAGAGCAAAAAGCAGAGACGGAGACAAAGACGTGATGATATATAAAAGATCAAAGGCGGCAACCACAGAAGGGGGTGACTGAGAGATGCGAGAGAGAGATGATAGAGCAAGTTGGAGGGAGAAGAGTCTTGAGCCGAGGATGGAGCCCAAAAGACAAAAGGAGGACGGGATCTGGAGGGTTGCAAGGAGACGATGGAGAGGAAAGAGGAAGAAGAGAAAAAGAGGAACGAGGACGAGGATGAGGATGAGGATGAGGGATAGCAAATGTATTAAAACGAGGTATCGCAGTCAGTCAGACACGAAAGGACGTGTGCATGTGGCCCTTTTTTAGTCGAGCCAGTGACCTCTGCTTCTGACGTTTGGGGTGTACACGAGGCTGTATACGTGCAAGCAAAGTACAGCGGTACAAGCACCAGCTGGCAGTCCAGGCGCTAGCGATGCGCCACAGGGAGGGTTGGGCCTTGTTGGTGTGCCGGCGGGGATGCCTGCGGGCTGCAGGGGTGGGCGATGGAGGGTAGGTCCCAGGTATGGAGGGTACCAGGCCGCAAGGAGGGGTACCTGGGGGGGAGGTACCGGCAGACAGCCAACGGCGGCGTGGCACGGCGACCGATGCTAATGTACTGCAGTCGACGTGGCGGGCCTTGGGGCGGTCAGAGACAAGACAGCCTGTACAAGCACCACAGGTACCGGAGCGTCGCAGCTGTGGGTGGCTGGGGGTGCTAAGGTGCTAGTACGTACCGGGAGCGGGTACAAGTACGAGTACGTTTACGCGCGGTGAGGGTGGCGGTACGGTACCTGTACGGGAGTACTCGGTCAGTACACGCAGAGCAGAGCAGAGCAGAGCAGAGACAAGGTACCGGCGCTCGGTCGGGCTTGCTGGCAGACGCTGGGCGGGGCGGACGGCCAGGCCGACAGGGATTCTCAGCAGGGCTCGTTTAGAGTTGAAGGTGTCAGTCAGTCAGTCCGTTCGACAAAGGCCGTTTTTCGGTTCGGGGGAGCGGCAGCTTCGGTGGCGAAGGATTGGCTGGTGATGGCTGTGTTGGCGTTGTGTTGTGATGGATATGGAATATGGAAAGATTCCGAAGGAATACGCAAACAAAAAAAGATGAATAGGCTGATTGATTGCTGAAGATGTGGTGAGAGAGAGATGGGCAGATAGAGGGCTGACTTGAGATGAGTCAAACCAATCAATCTGTAATATTATAAGATGGAATCTTCAGAGTCGCCAATTTGATGCAAACGATGCCGTGTCTAAGGGATGGCCAAGACAAGACAAAGACAAAGCCGTGCGTAAAGAGGGTTGGCAGAAAAAATGTTTAAGGCAAAATGAAAAGACTCATAAAACAGAAAAGAGCGAGAAATGTTTGCTTTGTTTCCCGACCCGTCCGGTTCGTGGGTTCCGAAAGGCACGTACGAGTATACAGTATACGTCGTGCTACCACTTATTGGCGTTCGATGGTCCGATGTGGATGAGAAAAAAACTCGTGGTCCCTCCACGATATGCCAACGTGGCGGCCGTCCGATCCAGCGGAAAGAGGGGCGAATTGATTTGTTGGGCCTGAAACGAAGGCGGTTGGATTTTTTTGGCGACGTGTCTAGCCGGCTTGCAACTTTGACAGTACTTGTAAAAAAGCAGGTAGCCCCGATTCAGACGTGGCGTCAAGGGTTGGGAGAAGAAAAAAAGACAAGAGGTTTTTCTTGTTTCTTGTTTCTTTGATCCTGAATTTTGCCTAATGGGTCACTCGGGTGTTCGGTGATTCCCTTTAGTTGTTACAAGGAAGCGAATGCGGTGAGAGCGAGGCTGCAAGTCAAAAACCTGGTCGGTAAAATGCTGGAGACGCGATCGAGTGATGCGATGCCAAGTATCAAATGCTCTCTGTAGGGCGGACAAGGCAGATATATATGATGCAGCCTTTTTTTTCTCGACTTTACAACTATATCTTTCAATAGTGGTTGGCCTGGTTTGATCTGCCCCCTTTGTAGGATCGGATTGGGATTGGAATCCAATAGCGAATAGTCCTTGTGAATGAGGGAGTCGGGAAATGCAACAAGCTCAGGCTCCAAGAAGCGCTACCGGAAGTAGATTATGCAGCCAGGCCAGATGCAGGGTCCGAGGCGTCGAATGACAGTTCAGAAGGGGTTCCGGCCAGCGGTCGATCTGAAGGAGCGAATTATCAGGTTTCTACCACGCAGTGGTATGCTGTGACGTTGTATGAAAGGATTGATCGGCAGTTGGTATCCCTTGGTGCTGGTGCCGTCAATGAAGGTCGTAATCACTGCGCTGCAGCGTTCCAGTCGTTTGGTAAGGCACGAAAAGAAGAAAAGAAGGGAGGGCTGGTAGCAAGAAAAAAGATGGGTGGGATGCAAAGACAAAGAAAATGCAACAGAAAGGAAAAAAGGAAATAAAAAAGGAAGGGGATTAAATTAGAATGAGGATGAGGATGAGGAAAGAACGAGATCGAGAAGTTGGACGATGCGATGCATTTATTAATAAATCGTCCAAACCGCCGTGACGGGACATTTCCATCTATGAAACAAACCATCAAGCAAAAATAGAATCACGCCTGTTGCCGCTGAACTACAATACTGCTACTCTCGCTATGAAACTCCAATACTATGAATCAATCTCAATCTCTGCCATCTCTCGCCCAGCCTCTCCATTCTCCATATTGTAAAACAGTCCCGGCAAGCATCCGAACGAAACGACCAGCATCGGCGCCTATCCAAGCAGCCGCCGCTCTTTGACTGGCCGCCAGAGCTTGTCGATGCCCCCCCTGGCCTCATCTCAGCCAGCGCTGCGTGGCTCGTCGCGGGTGGCCTCTGCCCGCCTTCATTGGGCCTCTGCTCGTCTTCATTGGTCCGCGGCGCTGCCATCTTGAAACCAGCTCGAATTCGAAACCTCTTTATTATTCTCCGCCTTTTTTTCCTTGCCGTCGAAACACTGCCTCCCTTGGACCAATTGCGTCCCGCGTCTCGCACAAACCTCTTGTCTGGGGCCTCTGGCCAATCACCGGCCGAGGTGCCAGCGGCAGCCGACGGCGCTGAGGCGATGCAGTGCGATCCATGGATACGATACGATGCGATGCTATCTGCGAGCAAGTGTCGCTTCAGACGAAACGGGAACGAACAAGAGCGAACCGCGGCCCGGCGCTTTTGGCGGGGAACAAAGCAAATGAATTGAAGCCAAAAGTCACAAGCACCGTGAAAAAGGGCAGAGTCATTGGACGGCTGGACAGGGCATCACTCACTGTGCTGGCAAAAGGAAAAAAGAGATCAATGCCCGAATCTGTGCCCATGTCCAGCTTGGCGTGTCTTACTGTTTGACCATGACTTGCTCTTCGCTGTTTTTAAGCCTTATCTCGCCCTTCCCTTGTCCTCGGCCAGATGATTTGCTGTCGGCTGTTGATGCGCTGGCCGCCGTACCGACCAATTGATGCCCGCCAAGGCCCCCTTCAGCTTTTCCCTCTCAGTTCAGTTAGGCAAGTCACTTTGTGAAGTGTCATATGGGGAATCCAATCCCAGAAAATGTTATCAAAGTAAAATCGAATAAATGCACATGTGAGACATCAGGTGGGTGAAAAACAGGCTGCTGCCACCATTGTAAAATTACGAGTACAAGGGGAAAGAAAGGAATGATATGGATCGCGGGAAAGCCACGCCGCAGCCGCGGGCACACCAGTGAAAAGAATCTAGACATTTTTGTGGCATTCAGTTAGTAGGTATTTTTCTTGGGGTTTCCTTTTTTTTTAATCCTTGATATTCCTCGCACTGCGTAAGACAGCACCATCCCACCCCTCCAACTTTTTTTTCGTTCCGCAAGCCGCTTCCAATGCAGGGGCAAAAAAAGTATAAAAAAGAAAAGAGCGTGAAAAAAAGCAATTTTACATTGCATGGAGGCACCGCGGCCCGAAAACTCTCTTTTCTTTTTCGCGGGCGTAAAAAAAACATCATATGATGATGTGATTGATGTGATTGACAGACAGAACGGTGATTCAAAAACTTGATATCGACAAAACATCCCATCGTCAATTCTGCCCCGTGATGTCTCTTCCCCTCTCTTCCAGCCCAGCGAGGCGTTCCTGTTCTCCGCTTATCGTCCATCTTTCACCTAGCGTTCGATTTTGTCTGGGGAATAGAGGGGACAGACGCCTCCACGTTGAAACTATTTCCTCCTCTCTCTCTCTCTCTCTCTCTATCGAATTGATGGATATACATACAGTAGTAGTAGCAGGCACTTCCCGCGAGTAAGACGCAGGTCACAAACTTTGTCCATAGAATGGGGTGTCCGACCCCTAGCCGTCCGCCGTGGCGTCTAGCTTTTCCCTCGCCGCCACCCGTACCTTTTTTTTTCCTCGTTCTGTTTTGCATGGCATGCCGCTTCTAATGACCAGCAGCAACGGGATGATTATGCCCGATATGATGCATCAAATATCATCGCCCTTCAGGGACGTGTCCGTTAAACCTTGGCCGCAAAAAAAGGAATAACCCGCTACTGTAATGCACTTGTTTGATAGCGTATATCAAATCTCCCTCCCTTACTTGTCTAGTGCCGCACCAGCTCCAGCAACGATCTTTCCGTAGTCTCTGCAATAGTCTCTGTTAGCACTTCCAACGTTTTGTGTTCCAGCGGTTCAATCAGTCCGGGGAGGGGGGTTGATCAGCTCCCTGTTTAGATCCGATCCGCGTGCAGACACGGGCAGCCAGCCGGGGGACCGGGTCTAGGTCTACAGTAGTGGGCGATAGTACAGGTACTTTGTCTGTCACGTTGCTTTTTCTGTCCGCCCTGGTTTAGAGTACTACTTGTCTCTGCAACTCAGCTTGCATTGCCGGCTGAATTAGTACGAGTATTCACGGGCATTCAATTTTGCTTTCGCTCAGCAGCTGAGTTCAGGGTAGGTGGTCAGCCAAACTCGCTTTTCTGCTCAGCTGTTGCTGTCCCTGTCATGTCCTTATCCTGTTCCATTGCCATTGATACTGTACTCCTGGCCATCAATTCTCTCCTTATCAAACTTCCAACCGGTCGACTCTCTCGGCTAAAAGCCCGTCAATCACGTCTGCCCGAGATGCTGCTTGTCTCTACCTAGCACCTAGCCCAGCGCCATCGTTTGATCCTACCGAGCTGATGCCCGTCTCATGCGATTCAGGAGCAAGCACACCAAAACTACCAAAAGACACTATCTTAGTAAACTTTTTGTCCGCCAGGGGGCAGCCTCACTGCTATGGGCGTAGCTTCTCCGCAATTCTTGTTCTCAACATGATCATCTGTTCAGCATCAAATCAATCAATCACATCAATTGGGCCCGCGCATAGCTCGATAAATAAACCAGGCAATATCGATGCAGGTCCGCCAACCTCGACTAAGGCAAGGCAATTAACAACCCCAAGTCTGTACAATACTTTGTGTAGCAGTGGGAGTACT